TATTCGCCAACAGGGCGTGAATTTGTGACTGGCGCGTACGACAAGTCCGTGCGCATTTACCGAATGTCGGAGGGCCATTCGCGAGACATTTATCACACCAAGCGCATGCAACGGATATTCACTGTAAGACATGCGAGTACTTTTGTTTTTTGTGTTTTTGAGGAGTTTGTTTTGTGGCCAACCTGCTTGCACTCACTCGAGGAATGAATCATTCCCCCCCCCCCAGGTCAAGTGGTCTTCGGACTCAAAGTTTATCTTCTGCGGTAGTGATGAAACAAATATTCGTATTTGGAAGGCGGAGGCTGCGGAAAAGCTCGGCACTCTCTTGCCTCGCGAGCGCGCTGCTCTCGAGTATGCCGACAAGCTGAAGGATTCCTTCAAGCACCATCCTGCCGTCAAACGCATTGCTCGCCATCGCCACGTGCCCAAGGCGATCCACTCTGCGCAAAAGGAGAAGCGCATCATGGTTGATGCCCGCAAGACCAAGGAGGGCAAGGTTCGCGCGCACAGCAAGCCCGGCAGCGTTCCCTTCAAGATTGAGCGCAAGAAGCACATTGTCACGCAAGTCAAGTAGCAGCCTGCGTCCCCCTTTGGCGATGAATTGTGCTCTTTGGTGGTTTCTGGATGTGCAATTGTACTATTATTACCTGTTTCCTCTCTCCACCCACCCTCCGCTGCACTATCTCTTTTTTCTTGGTCATCATCATCATTCCTATTTTACCTTTGATCTCCTTTGATTTTGACACTCAGTCCTTCTCTTCCCACAGTTATCAATGCTTGCCACTTCGCTTCGTCTTCTCGCTCGTCCTGTAAATCGTCTCTCTCCGTTCTCTCCCGTTGTTTTTGACCTTGATGTCATACTGTCCTTCCTCTATCTCTTTCCGTGATCTGCGCAATGCTCCGCCCATCCCACCGTCCCCCACAACCCCCTTCAACCCCCTTTTGCCCTTCTCTTCACTGTGCTCGTTTTTTTATTTTTTTTTATTTTATTTTTTTTTTTTGTATGCCGCTCCATTGGCTTATTCCTCGTGCGCCTTCCCCTTCTCATTCCCATTTGCTTTCTCCATCATCGCCTTTTGTTCCCCCCCCCCCGCCTTTCCCCCTTCCACATTGTCCTCCTCCTCATCATCACCATCACCATCACCATCATCACTATCACTCTCTCTCGTTCTACGTCCGCACATTCAGACTCGCTGGCGTTCTAAAGATCCCGCTTTTTTTTTTTTTTTTTTTTTTTTTTTTTTTTTCCCCTTCTCTTCCTCTCTCTCTCTCCTCTCTTCCTCTTCCTCTTCCTCGTCTCTCTTCTCTCTTCATTGCGTTGCGTAGTGATCTCATCCATCTCATTTTGTCCCCCCCCCTCCTCTCACCCTGCCCCCCTCTTCACATCACATCACAATGAGGGTCGCTCGTTCACTTTTCCCCTTTTCCCTCTTTCCCTCTCGCTCAGTATCACGGCTCGCAAAAAATCACACCACTTTCACTCAACGACCATCACCATCATCGTCATCATTGTCATCATCATCGTCATAATCCAAAACACTCAACGATTGCACTCGAGAGACGAAATATCCATCTCAATCGCTTGCTTCAATCACTCGCTTCAATCACTCCATCGCTCCTCCATGCTCACCACTGTATGCTCAATTGCTCGCCCTTCCTTATCTTTGTAGACGACTGCTGCGGCTACTGCGCGCGCGGCGGCTGCGCCCTTCTCAACGGCAGCGTCCGTGTCACACATGCCCACCGCGCTGACCGTCCGCGACGCACTCAACTCGGCCATGGTCGAGGAGATGAACCGCGACAAGACCGTCATGATCATGGGCGAGGAAGTCGCAAAGTACGACGGCGCCTACAAGGTTTCCCGCGGTCTGCTCGAAAAGTTTGGCCCGCAGCGCGTCGTCGACACTCCCATCACCGAGATGGGCTTTGCTGGCATGGCTGTTGGTGCCGCGTTCGCTGGCCTCAAGCCAATCTGCGAGTTCATGACGTTCAACTTTAGCATGCAGGCCATCGACCACGTTATCAACTCGGCCGCCAAGACCTTCTACATGTCTGCCGGCACCGTCCCCGTGCCAATCGTCTTCCGCGGACCCAACGGCTCGGCTGCCGGTGTCGCCGCGCAGCACTCGCAATGCTTTGCTGCCTGGTACTCGCACTGCCCCGGCCTCAAGGTCGTCGCTCCTTACTCTTCCGAGGACGCCCGCGGTCTCCTCAAGGCGGCCATCCGCGACCCCAACCCCGTTGTTGTCCTGGAGCACGAGCTCATGTACGGCGTTTCCTTTGACGTCAGCGACGAGGCCATGTCGCACGACTTTACCATTCCTTTCGGCAAGGCCAAGATTGAGCGTGAAGGTATGCAAAGCAACGAGAAGGGTTTTGCGAGAGATTGAGAACGCAAACTCACGTGTTCTTGTGCAACACTGTTCAGGCAAGCATGTGACGGTTGTCGGCTTCTCCAAGGTTGTCGGCACTGCCCTTGAGGCTGCCGCCGATCTTGCCAAGGAAGGCATTGAAGTGGAGGTGCGTCGGCGTCTCGGTTTGCGCCTTTTTTCCTTTTTTTCTTTGCTTGTGGTTTGCACAAACTCATCATTCCTCTCCTTTACTTTTGTTTGTGAACAGGTCATCAATCTCCGCTCCATCCGACCTCTCGACACAGAGACCATTATCAAGTCCATCAAGAAGACGAATCACCTTGTCACAATCGAAGGCGGCTGGCCACAATCTGGCGTTGGCTCCGAGATTTGCGCCCAAGTGATGGAGTGTGAGTCGCTGAAATCGATTTGCTTGGCGCAATGGACCATTGGTTGGTGTCTTATTTCTTGGCTGACTTGTCCCCGTTTATTTTTGCGTTGCTCCAGCTGATGCATTCGATCACTTGGATGCCCCTGTTTACCGAGTGACTGGCGCTGACATCCCCACTCCTTACGCCACATCTCTGGAGGGCAAGGCTTTCCCCCAAAAGGCCAACCTCATTAACACAATCAAGCGTTCGCTCAATCGCCAGTGAAGGCGACACCGCCAACCCCCAACCCCCCCCCCCCCACAGCGCTTGATTTGATACTGATTTTTCATGTTTGATGTACTTGTTGCCGTCTTGTGTTTCATTACAAGTTTGTGTTTTTTTCTGCTTGCGCACACCATTGAAACAACGTCCAAAATGGATTGAAGGAGCATATTTTGCAACACAGCATTGATGTGGGAGCCTGTAATCAGCAGCACAATTGCATCACAACATATTCAACGCTTGTGGGCCAGTTTGAATTTTTACATCAAACTTGGTTTTACCAAACTCGCTTGCCGAGACACAATCTGCACCAACATCTGCACCAACATCCAAAGGTACAAAAGAGCTGATGAAGGCGGCCACGACAGCACAAGATGGCAACGACATTGAACCCGATTTCGATGTCTACGCATGGGAGGGGAATCCGTTCCCCGCGGGTTCCTGAAGTCAGAAACCTTCAGCAGCATGATCAACTTTCTCGAGCATCCGCCCAACGACGTGCGATCGCCCAACTCGTTGAATACGCAAGCACGCATCATACGCGTGTGCCGAACGCTCACTGTCATCGAAACTTGGCACCATGTGCCGCCGGAAGTGTCAGAGCGGATTGTGCACGCTTGCGCCAGCCTTTGCTCCGTGCTCGCCGTTCGCCCTATCGCCATGCAGTGCGTGGAGACCATCCTTCGATTCACGCAGACCGTCAAACTTGCAATTGACAAGAAGTACCCAAGCGTTTCCTTTAAAATCGCGCTACAGGGGTTGTTCATGCGCGCCGCGTATGGATCGGCCGACCGCACCAACCTTCGAGCGCTGATGACGAGTCTGCGCGTTCGCATCCCGCCAGACCTTCCAGCTCGGGAACCGTTGGATATGGACGATCCATGTGATCATTGAGTGTCGCTGCTCATGAAGTAGCAGGCTCGAGTCAGTCCGAGCCGGCCGTTATCGGCTTGTCAACGATCGCATCGAAAGGTCCTTGTAACAACAACAACAAGCCCGGTCAGCTGGACTTTCGCACTCGGGAAGCCAGCCCCATTGGAAAGCCCGACGCGCCGCACGCTATTCTGCCCTGTTCACCGATCAACCGAACAGCGAGTGTGACTTGTTGCTACTGGCCCAAAAAGGCGAGAGGAGAATTGAGTCTGGTTTGGTAGATACACACAGAATAGTTTGGCCATCTGACAACAACGTTCATTTTCAAATTCACACAACAAAAAATTCAGACGCACACAATTTTTGCAACAAAACGACTAACTTCTCTTGTAGACCATTGTTTTTTTTCGTAAACGCCTTAATGAACAGCCTTAAACTGGTTTTCAGTCACACCGTCGCCCATGGCAGCAGTTGAGACGGCACCACCGGAAATGGTGGTGAGCGCACGGTCAACGAGGTACGCGCCCGACCAAGTCTGGTGCTCGAGGGTTTCGACCTTGTGCTCGCGCTCGCGGCGCTGGATTCGCTCGCAGTACGCAAGCATGCCTCGGGTCTTGAAGTCGCGGGCAAACATGTCGATGCCGAGCGAGTCCGAGTGGAAGCCGGCGAGCGTGATAAACTGCCAGGCGTAGCCCATGCGACCGAGGTCCCAGATGAAGGACTCGATCTGTGCGTCGTTCATGCCGGCCGCATCCCAGTTGAACGAGGGCGAGAGGTTGTACGTGAGCAGCTGGTGCGGGTGTGTCTTGAGGACGCCCTCGGCAAACTCGCGCGCCTGGGCAATGGTGGGGGTCTTGGTTTCCATCCAGACAATGTCGGCGTAATCGCAGAAGGCCGACGCACGGGCGATGGCGTACGCAGTGCCGCCCTGGACGCGGTAGTAGCCCTCGGTGGTGCGGGGCAACTCCCAGTCCCAGAAGAGCTGCTTGGAAGCCTCTGCGCCGAGAAGGCTCTCGGCCAGCGTGCGCGCCTCCTTGTGGCCCAGCTTCTTGGACTCGGTGGTCCAGCGAGCAAGCACATCCGCATCGCCAGCGCGGGCCTCCTTGAGACGGTCGGCAATGTAGTCGGTGAACGTCTTGAGACCAGCGCGCTTGACCCACTCTGCCTGGAGCTTGTCAATGTCGCTCTGCGAGCGGCCTTGGCTCGACGCCTCAAGGACGAGCTCGTTCAGCGAGGCACCAGCGACGGCGGGGTTGGTTGCGCCCAGGATGAAGGGGTGGTCGCGCTTGTCAATGTTGTTGTTCAGCAGCGTGGCAGCCTCCGAGTCCGTGCGGGCGACGACCAGCGTTTCGGTGCCCATCACGTCGGTCTGCAATCGAATCGCGACGAGGCGGCTAATGTGCTCGGAGATTGGAACAAGGACCTTGCCACCCATGTGTCCGCACCTGCGCAACAAAGAAACAAGAAACAAAAACGCGAAAAAAAACAACCCGCGGGTTAGAACAAACAAATCGTTCTCGCACAAGAAACAAATACTCTTCGCTCAAGGCAAAAACCCCCTCACTTTTTAGTGCCGGCAGCCTGATCCTCAATGTGAACGCCGGCAGCGCCACGCTCGACAAACATCTTGGTCAGCTTCATGATTGCAGAGAGACCGCCGTGACCAGTGTCGGCGTCAGCGACGATGGGCGCCATGTAGTCGATGGTGGGCGACTGGATGCGCTGCTCGCGGGTGAGGTGCGATCGCGCCTCGCGTTGGCGACGGTCGTGGAAGAGCTGTGCCTTGAAGAGGTGCTCGACCTTGTTTGGGACAGTGTCCATGGGGTAGTCGGCAAGATCTGGGCCCGGCTCGTTCGACGAGGACGCAGTGCTCGAGCATTGCCAGCCAGACACGTAGACCGTGTCGAGGTACTTTGCCATCTGCACGACCTGGACGGGATCCAGCGCACCAAACGTGTGCGACACTGTGCCTTCCGCCTTTCGCTTGGCGAGCAGGTTCCAGAGCTTCTTTGCCTGGATGTTTGAGGCGTATTCCTGCAATGTCAAAGACAACGTCAAACAAAAGCAAAAGGGTTAGCTTCCAAGGCAATCCACACACACATGTCGAATGCATACAGCGTGCCCACACTATATAAACGCGCACAGCTCATCGCTCATGTTCGTTGCTTTTGTTTCTTCTTCTTCCAATCTGTTTCGATTGCTTTTTTTTTCTCTCTTTTCCCCCCTCCTTTCGTTCATTTCATCTGGAAATCTTTTGTCTTCCGATTCTCCTTCTTTCTTTCTCTCTTCTTTGAGAGTCATTCATTGACAACCAGTAAAAACGCTCCGCTTTTCTTTTTTTTTTTTTTTCTTTTTGTTTCTTATTTTTGACTCAGTTGCTTTGTACAAATATCACGTTTTTCTTCCTTGTTAATTTTTTGTTTTCATGCGTTTTTTTTTTTTTTTTTTTTTGTGTGATTTTTTTTTTCAATTGTGAGCCTTTTTGTTTTCCAAGAGTCTCGCGTTGCAACTTGTAGTGAACACGACTAAACGACGGGAGCACAAAAAGCAAAGACGAAGATAGATGAAGAGGATGGTCGGTTGGGTGGCAGAAGAGAAAAGCAAATCTGACTCCAATTGTAAAGTCTCGTCCCCCCATGCAACGGGAGTCGGAAACAAGTCGCCGACGCTGCCACAAACACAAGAGAGAGTAGAGAATGCATGGATGGAGGAGGAAAAATCACATAAAAAAGGGGGAGGAAAGAGAGTAGGAATCGGGTATAAAAAAAAAGTGCGTACACACAGAACAACAACGGGACGTGTTTCAAAACCCGACGGCTGATGAGCGACGCCTCAGTTCGAGCAGCCCCCCCAAAAAGAAGCATCACAAGGCGGGTGCAGCAAAACAACAAACAACAAGCGCAAAGAGTGAAAAAAGTGGAGGACAAAAACAAACCTGGTGCACGGTGCCGCGGAGAGCAATGACACTGGCCGCGTCGTACGGGCGCTTGGCGTGCTGGAAGCGCTCTGTGGCCCACCATTCGCGAAGCTGCTGCTCTTCGCGCTGGAGCTGGCGGAGCTCCTCGTCAACCAACGCTTCGGAAGTCATGATGGTGTTGTAGATTGCTGCTTTCTGCAAAATCTGCTGCAGGCGAGATGAAGAGCAGAAAGACGCAGAACAAACCGCAGTCAGTTGTCGGCGTTTGCCTGTTCTGAGTCACAACAGCAACCGCACTCCACGCTCCCGTCCGCTCCCTCTGCTCCTCCCGCCTCGCGTCACCTCTTTCATGCTACAAAAGACTTGCTTCACAGTACCTTAGAATCAAAACTCTGAAAAAAAGCACGAACGGATAATTCGAACAAATAATAAAAAAAGAGAAGTGAGACAATCAAACTTTGGGACGAGTGGGTTTGTCGGTCGATTGTATTTCATCGCCGCACGCCTCGGTCGGCAGCAAGAAGAAGAGGAGGAGAGTGTGAAGTGGAGCAAGACAAGTCTGGTTTGAGGAAAAAACAGAGGCAGGCGCAACAAAGGAACAAAGGGGGGAAAGAAGGAGGGCGGGAGGAAAAATAGCCAGATTTTGTCTGGTCATCAGTTTCCAAGCGGTTTGCACGTGAATCTTTGGGGTGTGTGTGATGGACCATTGCAGAGAGACAGACACAACCGCAAACGGTGTCCCTGCCTTGCTTCAAATTTTACACGTGCCTCGGATGCATTCGAACTCGAACTCGCTTGTGGCCACAAACAAGCGAGCACAGCACAGGGTCGTCGCGTCGTTGGGTGGTGATCTCGTTGGGTGACTGCGGTTCTTCCTTCCAATCTCACTTCACTTCGAGGTCCAACCCCTTTCCCCCCCCCCCAATGATCTTAAAAATGACTTACTATTTTGTTGTTTTGTTCATCCGTTTTTGCTTATTCAATTACCAACATCCCTTCTTCATTCACTGCTTTTTTTTTTTTTTTTTTTATTGACAAAATGGCGGATTTTGCGACTGGAGCGCCCTTCCTGAACACGCTTCTGCAGGCTGAAGGTCGGTTTCAACAACCCACGGGCTACTACGACAACCAAAACAAACAAAAGAGCCATCGTTTTTAACATGTCGAACGTTTCAGGCGCACTGTGTGGCGGTGTTCGAAGCGGAGAGCCAGAGAGCGAGGCGAATCGAACGATTTCCTACTCTTCTTCCGACCGACGACTCCGCATTTTGAGTGACCAGCCTCACGGAGCACGCTGGCGTTCGATGCGTGATCAGAGGCTCAGTCGTTTCTGTCCCAACCTCACCTCGCGAGACGAGACGACGCGCGAAACGACTTGCTTTGACTCAATGCAGTTTTCATACACCAAAAAAAAAAAAAAAAAAAAAAAAAAAAAAAAAAAAAGCCCAATCGCACTCAGATTGAGTTCAAATCTCAGAAAGTCATATTCCAAATGTGTTTCATGAAATTCGAACAACCCATTGTAACTCACTCTTTTTGTGTGCTGTGTGGACAGGAATTGAGGTTCGCGGACGTGTCACCGAGTCGTACGCCCAGATTCTCAACCCGGAATCACTGCGATTCTTGGCGGCTCTGCACCGCACGTTTGATGCGCGTCGCATCGAGCTGCTCAAGTGCAGGCAAATCCGACAGGCCGAGATTGACCAGGGCAAGCTGCCCGACTTTCTCGCGTCAACTGCCCACATTCGCTCGGGCGATTGGAAATGCTGCGCCCCTGCTCCTGGTCTCGTCGACCGCCGCGTTGAAATCACCGGTCCCGTGGATCGCAAAATGATTATCAATGCGCTGAACTCGGGTGCCACTCAGTTCATGGCTGATTTCGAGGGTGAGTTGCAGCATCAGTCAGCCACGTTTTTCTGCCATACCCGCTCCAAGACGCTCTCGTCCTTCCTTTTCATTTCATTTCATGACATGTTCACTGACTCACCCTCGTCCTTCCATTCACGAACCGCCTGACCATAGATGCCACCTCCCCCACCTGGGACAACCTCATCCAGGGCCAGCTCAACATGCGCGATGCCATTGCCCGCACCATTTCCTTTTCTGGTCCGGAGGGCAAGGTGTATCGCCTGAAGGACAACGGCTTGGCCACCCTGCTTTGCCGGTAAGCACCCCCCCCCCCTCTAGATCTCTGTTTTTTTTTTGTGGTCCACCATTCAAGCGTGCCTTGTTGCGGCCTGGTCTCACGAGTTCTCTTCCTTCCAGACCCCGCGGCTTGCATCTTGAGGAGCACCACGTCTTTGTCGACGGACAGCCACTCTCAGGCTCTTTGCTCGACTTTGGACTGTACTTTTATCACAACGCCAAGCGCAGCCTGTTCATTGGCGCTGGCCCGTACTACTACGTGCCCAAGCTTGAGTCGCACCTCGAGGCCCGCTGGTGGAACGACGTGTTCAACTTTGCGCAAGACTACGTGCGTGTCCCCCGTGGCACGATTCGCGCAACCGTCCTGATTGAAACCATTCTGGCTGCGTTCGAGATGGAGGAGATTCTCTACGAGCTGCGCGAGCACTCTTCGGGCCTCAACTGCGGACGCTGGGACTACATTTTCAGCACAATCAAGCGTCTCCGAAACCACCCACAGTTTGTCATGCCTGAGCGCAAGGATGTCACCATGGCCACGTAAGCGTCGCGATGCTGATTCTGTGTTTTTTTTTTTTTTAAATTTTTCGTTTTGGTCTTGATTCTCGTTCTCACTGACTTTATTTGTTGTTATGTGTTCGTTTTTTTTTTTTTTTTTTTTTTGCAAACTCTGCGCAGACACTTTATGGCATCATACGTCAAGCTGCTGATCAGCACATGCCACAAGCGCGGCGTGCATGCGATGGGTGGCATGGCTGCCCAGATTCCAATCCGCAACGACCCTGCTGCCAACGATGCTGCGTTCGAGAAAGTTCGCAAGGACAAGCTGCGCGAAGCCGAAGCGGGACACGACGGCACTTGGGTTGCTCATCCCGGCCTGATCCCGATCGCCAAGGAAATTTTCGACAAGGTCATGCCGACCCCGAACCAAATCCATGTCCAAAAGCCCGCCCAAATCACTGCTGCAGATTTGCTCAGCACCAAGTTCGAGTAAGCGGAAAAAGTTTGGATGCGTGTGAAGTGACCAAAGTCGCCATTCTTTGAACTGACTCGCGTGTGGTTTTGGCGTAGGGGTGGCATTACCGATGTGGGCGTGCGAGCCAACGTTTCGGTGGCTTTGGCCTACATGGCGAACTGGTTGTCCGGCATGGGCTGCGTCCCGCTGCACAACTTGATGGAGGATGCCGCCACTGCCGAAATCTCGCGTTCCCAGCTCTGGCAGTGGCTCAAGTTCGCTTCCAAGACGAGCGAAGGACAGGTTGGTGATGTGTTTTGTTGATGTGCTCCGCTTCCCCCGTGCTTTGGCTCGTTCTCTGGTGCTGACCTTTGGTTTGTTCGCATGCTCGTTCCTTCGCGCCAGACCATCACTCCCGACTACGTTCAAAAGATCATCGACGAGGAGGACGCCAAGCTCAAGGCCTCACTCGGCGACAAGTACACTGCCGCGTACACGAACGCAAAGGGGCATCTTCGCAGGATTGTTCTTGAAAAAGACTTCCCCGAGTTCCTGACACTGGTGTGCTACGGGGACATTGTTGAGCAGCAACCTCCTCGAACCATCAGCCACTTGTAGCTCGTTGCGAAATTAGATCCACAACAGTTGTGTAGTCCGTAAATCGATCTGAGCGGTGTTGAAAATGCAATATTATTTGGTTCCTTTTTTTTTTGTTTGGTTTTTGGTTAATTTTTGTTTATTTTTTCAACGTCGCCTTTTTGGCATGATGAAACACAGCCAACAACTCCAATCGCAATCTTCGTGACTTTCGTGCCGGTGCGAACGCATGGCATAGTTGGAATGAAGCTCCTCATGCAGATACCGCAATAGGCGCAAGCTCGCGCAGCCAACTGAGCCTGTTGCGTGACCACGAATTTAGGATTTCGGATGCGAGCGATTCGCATGCAACGACACATGCGGACGGCATAACCCCCTCCTTCCCCTGCCACTCCCTCGAGATCCAGATCGGCGAACGGCAAACGAGAGGCAATAGTAGCTCATAGTATCCTGGAAATTGTAGTAACTACAGGTGGCATCGATCAAGCCGAGATGAAGAGCGAGAATGCGATCGATCTTGTCGTGTTCCGCCTGTCATCACGAAAAAAACCAAAAAAAAAAAAAACCATTCCGCGTTTCCATCATTCGCGTTCAGGGCCAGGCTGGGCGTCGGAATGCTCGTTGGCTACACGAGTTCTGTGCCAACACTCTCAGGGTGCCACGGCAAACCAGAACGCAACGGGCGATTGCAAAGCAGGGGAGCCGGGCGGTGACCTTTCAATTCGCTCGGAAAACGCAAAAAAGAAAAAAAAAACCAAAAAAATCCCTCGAGTCGAAAGTGAAACAGCCGCGGCTTTGCTTTCCCGCTTGTCCGTCGCTTGTGTGTCGGCCTGGTGACAACAGCGTCTTGCGTGGTCATCTGGACACGCATCGGCGTATCGGCACCGGCTGCGCATGTGCAGGCAGCCCATGCGGCTGCTTTTCGACCAATTTTTGCGAACGATACACTTTTTTTTTCTTTTTGTTTCGGTTGGTTGTTTGTTTTCGTTCTTCCCCAAAAATGCTATGCCTTTTCAGTCTTGTTTTATTTGCAACATTTCAGATTTCTCTCGCCGTTCGTTGAGCCAAGCCCTCATGAACCATCATGGTAAGAGAGCGACGCATCGGTCCAACATGCTGCCGGCACGTCATGAAGAACGCTCTGCCGCTCCTTTGTCACTTCCTGGTGCCTCTTCTCGCATCCTTTGACTTCCGAATCACGTTTCACTTTTATTCGCTTTTTTTTCTTCTTCTTCTCTCGAATTTCGTTGTTTTCAATCTAGAGATGTATTTTTTTCGTGAAAAAAACCACCCAAAAAATCTCCCCCTTTTCTTTCCATTAATGGAATTAGCCAGCTTTTTTTTGGCTGCTCAGGAAAAACGCTGCTGTTGCATGACTCCTGGCCCACATAGTCTGCTCGCAGCTGCTCGTTTGCCTTCGTTTGCTCTCATGTCCAAGTCATGACTACACAATGGAGTCATCGATGGAGGGAGAGCAAGGGGGAGTTTCGTTAGCAATTCGAACAGCCACCGCCTAGTAATCAAATAGACAAGACCGAAAACAAGACACGAGTCGATCCAACTCGAACAATGACCGCCTAGCCTAGAGCTTGAGAACACAAAACGAAACAGCAAGCAAAAGATAAGACAACAACAACAACAACAACAACAAGACAAGAGTGGACAGGGTGATCTAGCAAGGGTCGAACGAAAAAAAGGGTCAAGGGTCATTTTCTTGTCAACTTCATCACACTCACTTCAATCACCAAACAGCAAACGCCTCCGCTTCCTCCTCTTCCAGGCAGTCTCGCGGTCCGCTGCAAGAACTGAGCTCGAACGTTCTCAACGCAGAGCCCGCGCCCAATGTGGAACTCGTGCGCAAGGTCGACGAGTTTTACGTCGAGGAACTTGTCAGGGCCTTCCAAACGAACCCGGACTTGTTCCACAGCGCGAACCAATGGCTCGCTCTCAATATCAATAGCGAGCGACTGCCCGAATATTCCGCCGAGCAAGTTGAGCTCTACGAACGGATTTGCCGTTACTTGAACGAGGCGATTCGAGGGGTCGCTAATGGCGACCAGACGGGAACGGCTGTGACTGGCGCCTTGGAGCGTCGCGCTTCAGGTCCTGCTACATGGGATGGTCGCGACACCCCGAACGAGGACAACCGCTGCTTTGTCTTCCTTACTGCCGAGATTGAACGGTGGACCGACAACGAGACCTGGGGTGGATCCTTTCGGGCAGGAAACTGGTTCAAGTACCCATCCGCAGATGTAGCGGGCAGGTGGAAGTATCGCTGCACGTCGGCAGATGGACTGTGTGGCATCGTTGTCTACACGGGGCCGCCTGCGGTGGTACGCCCCGTTGGTGGCAGAATTCGTTGATTATGTTTTTATTTTTTTATTTTCTTCTTGTTGTCGTGCCATTGCGATGTCACCTATCCGGGTAGAGGGGAAGCACTGAGTTTGGTTGTCTTTGTTTTTGAGATTCGTTTTTGAATTTTGTTTGTGCGTGTGGATTGATAAACGAGCGTTTGAGGGTTGCATCAAGTTGTGCAGTCGAGCGTCGTCCCTCTTGCTGACGCTTCGACGAGCAGCACTTGTTTCGATATGGATCAATACTATTTAGCGTAGTGAGATTATAGCGAGGCAGAAGGGTTGATTGCGTGCGCAGGGTTGACAGGGCGTTCGTCTTCAGTTTTGCTCGGTTTTGCGTTCTGATTTAATAACTTTTAGCCGTGGACGCGCCCATGCACACTTGAGCGGCTTTTCACTTTGCTGGGCATGTGATATCGAGCTAGACTTTCCAAACTCTAGCAAATAGAGGCAAGCAACATTGTCCGGGATGACTCACTCTTCATCTCCAATGTCAGTTTCAGCAACGCCTTCTGTTTTGTATTGTTTTGTTTTCTCAATGGTTGTGGTTTTCTTAATGGGTTTCTTTGTTTGCCAGGACGCTTTTCGTCGCTGTTGTGGTCCTGGCTCTGACTCACTCCGTGCTCGCTGGCACCTGGGATTCCAGTGCATGCAAGTATACCACAACGTATGTACACGATGCGCTGCGAAGAGAGCAGGGGGCGGATGGGGCAGAAAGGCGGGAGTCGCTTCTGGGTTATTTTGCCGGGTTTGCTTCTCGACATATGGGGCTCTGCTGGCCCTTCCGCCCAACGCAACTGAGACACACCTCATCCGACCCACCTCACCTGCATTTGATGGGTGACTCCATAGCGCTGGCACGTCGTTCACCGTGTCCGCGTTTCACCGCGACCAGCCTTGGTCGATTCCCGGCGTCTCCTCCACTGGTGGACCCGATGGATACAACTATCTCTACAACTTCTGTCCTGGCCTTGGGACTCAAATTGGAACTTGCCGTTCAACTGATCTTGTAAGTCGACGAGAGAGAGGAGGGGAAGAGGCATGGCGAGGCGAGGCGAGATGAGGACAGTGGTTGCTGTCCTGAGCCGCTTGGCTCATCTTTCATTGTTGATATTTGCCTTTGTTACAATCCCTGGATTGCTAGGTTTGCCAGCAGTCAACTAGCGGCTCGACTTATGTTATTGGAACCAATTTCATGTCAACCACTGATGGGACCAACTCTAATACTGTACGAATGTCGCCTGATTGTATTCGTCGACGTCCTCGTACTCTCATTTGTCATTGTTCAGGTTGAATTCAAAACCACAGACGCGAGTCCGCGATGCACGCGTGTCATTTTCAACTGCGATCCGAACACACGCGGCGAGCCTGTAGCTGCTGCGACCGAACAGAAACCCGCAGGTATTGGCCACTCTTCTGGTGGTTGCTGGCTCCAGCTGAAACTTACTGGCTTTGTTGGTAGATCTCGGCTGCCTTGCAACCTATACGATGGCTTTCACGCATGCGTGCTTCTGCCCTGGCACCACTTGCTCGTACGGGCCTTCCGGATCTTCGTCCGCCACTCCATCCGTGACTGCCACGGCAGTCGCGTCCGAAACCGCTGCGCCTCAGCCTTCGCCGCCTGCTCCCTGCACCTGCACTCTTGAGTCCTATCTCATTGTCGCGACCGCCTCTGTCGGCCTGACCCTGGTGGTTGTCATTGTGACTCACTACGCTCTCCGCGCCTTCAAGCGGTCCCGTCAAGTCCAGCCTCAGTACATGTTGCTTCAGAATCAACTGCACTGATGGTGACGAGAGGGTTGCGTCGTCAAAAGAGTTGCAAGCCAGTTTGAGTACACGCATCTTCGGCTCAATCACCAATTTCGTTTCTTGCTTCGATCGTTTTGTATAGCTATTGCTCCCCGAACCCGAGTGTTACACTCTGATATACAGTATTGTTCCTTGTGATTGAATAGTTCAAGATGCATCTGCGCCCGAGGTGATTGGTTTGTGTACTACTGTAATCGAGGAGGGCTGATGGCGGCACATTTGGAACGCCATGCGGCTGTGTGTCTCACTGCGTCGCACTTGAATGACTTCATTATCATCAAAAGTCCCATTTACTCCCATCTGCATCATTCTTGACTTCTGAACTACCAGATGAGATTCGTTGATTTCTTGTGCTTTTTCTCGATTGGAGCAGTTCATTGTCGGCAACCATTCGCAGCACATTCTGCCTCCTATCGATAAAATAACCGGATTTTACCATCATTTCATGCAGCGGAGCGGATCAGAGACGTTGAGGTCGAGCAGTATGCAAACTGTGAAATGCTGCGTTTGGTCGTCTTGTTTTTGAGATTCGTTGTTATTCTTTATAAAAATGGTTTGGTGTTGCTGATTAGGTTGTGTATTAGTCTGAACACCATGGCGGCTGCCAGGAGTGAGAATCAACCCAACGAAAGTAATAGTGACAGTTGCAATCACTGCTACAATAGCGCCATCGCGAGCATATTGGCCACAAACAAGACGAGCGAAAAGATCAAAATTGCATTGCAGATTGCTAGCCGGCGACTTTGAGGCACAATCCGACCGAGGAAAAAGTCAACCGAAGCGTACAATGCCCATTGCCCGTCCAGATAGTAAGTCGGGAGCATGTTCAACAATGCCAGCGCGGCGGACAGAGACAGCGTGTAGCGCAGTAGCATTTCAAGTCGAATCGGCCATTGAGCAGAAAAGTAACGCATTCGCGGCGCATAATCGCTCAGATGCACTGCCAAGGAGAAATGAGTCACTCAGTTGGTGGTCCGATGCCATCAAACGAGACACAAAATCTCGAAAAGTTTCCGTCGACGTACCCGTGTAGGCTAGAACATACGGATCACCCAAGAACATGACTGGCGCCCGTCCTTCAACTTCGAGAGTGATTAGCTGTTGCTGCTCGGACTCGCCTTCGACGTGAATGCAGACACTCCCTAAACAAGACGTGATGCATTAGTTTTCAACCCTGTCGCATGGGCGATCGAAAAATGCGAACAGAAACTCCACTCACCTGGTGTGCAATCCGCCTTGCTCGTGCATCGATTTCGGTCGAGAATGCTGCGGCGGACTGGGAGGCACGCCAACTTCAAATAGAGTGGAAATATCAGTCCTTGGTCCCAACACTATGCCACAACAATGAAAATCGAACAACGAAGAAGGAGAAGGGGAATGGGCGCGTACCGGTGGCAAGACACCATCTGTCCCAGCAACAAGTGAAACATCAGCATCGTGCTGAAAGCACAAGGTGCTCTCTGTCTGCCCGCGTTCGTCGATCGTACAGCACTGCCAGAGACGATTACCGTCTCGCCAAGCTATTCAGACCAAAACAGAGATGATTAGCGCAATCGAGAGACAACTTGAGTGCTCACAAGGGAGAAGCAGCAGTGCGACGGAAGCCAGAAAACGCGAACAGAGTGATGAACAAACGAAAAACCCCCATCCCACAAAAAACATGGCACTTACGTCGCACTGCTGTATCCCATTCACGCAAATCGTTCTCTGGGATGCAATATCCTTTTGCTTCCACCGGGACGCTCCGTCGCTCAGTGAGACAGCGGCCCCAGTCACCGCGCAACGAGAGCGAGCAAACTCGGTCAATCGACCGCACTCGATCGCCAATATGCAGCGAAGAGTAAAGCGGCGAGTCCTACGACATGGGAATCGCGTACATGGTAGTAGCAACAGAGTTGGTGTCGTCAAACTTCGGCTGGCAGTGCTAAAAAACACAAAAAACCGCGATCACCTCCACCCCCACCAACAACAACAAAAGCAATGCTGACCTCCATCACATCGACCACCGTTAATGCGCCAGTGTTGTAAGCAAACGCCGGCCAGACTAGCACAGTGATGGACATGAGCCCAATCACAGCTAGCAATGCAACCATAGCATTGTGCCACACTCCGGCGCAGTAAATTTTCAGCTGCCGCAGTGGGGAAATGGCATTCATTTGATCGTCATTCAGCGAAACGTAGCACCCAGGATAAAGAACGGTTACGAATGCGCCAAATCCTTCCACTGTGACTGAGTGGCTGCAAGCAATACCCAGTGTCGAGTAAGTCAATGGAGCATGGCGATCGTTCATTTTTTTTTTTTTCGTTTTTTCGTTGTTTGGTGTACCTCGCAGCAGCTAAAGCATGCCCGGCTTCATGGCAAAACCCACTGATAGCCAATGCAAGAAAGTAGTACGCCAGATGGTTGGTTGGGACATTGACGCCTGGAATCTGAGAATTTTCCAAAAATCCGCGCGAGAACACAACTGTGACTGAGCATCGCTTTTTTTTTTTTTAAAATTCGACTCAATACTCAATCCAACAAACATAAACTCACAACCGGACTGAGCATTTGGACGTCCGACTCGAGGATTGTCCTTGGGGCGAGTGCTTGGATGAGGTTGGCTGTGAGCAGCGCAATGGAACCCAGCATGCCCAGCCAGCCAAAGCCGACCGACAGCAGAAACCACGCCGACCAGAACCGGGCAAACCTGCGCCCGACTGCCATGAACCAGCGGTTGAGTGCGTTCGAGTGGATGCGCAGCTGCCCGACGCTCAGACTGATGCCCAGGCGAGCGAGCAGCGCCTTGTACGGCTCCCCAATGCAGCGCTGCACTCGGTCGTCCACAAGCAAGTACAACACGTCAGTCGTTTGGACAAATCGCTGGGCTGAAGATTAAAGTTTGGAAGGATTTAGAAAGGGATTTTGTGCTTGTTTTGTTGTTACCTTGAGTACAGTGTGGGCGCCGAGGATGGCCGCCCAGCCACAGGCCAGAGCGACCGAGGTCTGAGCGAGCGACATTTTTGAGGGGATTGAAAGTGAAACCGCCCCTCCCCCTTGTTTTTTGGACTGCCGAGCAAGTAAAGTTTACGAATGTGGAATGAAGTTGAAATGAGGGTAACAAAAAGAGTTCTGATTGAATTAGATTGACATAAAGCGTGCGACACAAGATTGAACGGAACAAACTCTCACACACGCACACACGCACGCACACACACACACACACAACATGACTGTACAAAAGAGCAAGGTGATTCAATGATGATGCCGTAAGAATAACATGATGAAGAGAAAGGCATCATCAGGAACTGCCCTTGACATTGTCAACAGAATGCAAGACCCCAGTTAACCGCGCAGCGAGCACTTTGAGCGACATTGGCAGCAGCCGGTAGAATGGCATCAGATGGAAGAGTCGAGGTAATACAAGCATTCCACCACCACCTACAACGAGTGGTGAGCACTCCCAAGAAATACAACAAATCGACGCAATCCTTCAAAAGCCTCCCTTACCCTGATGAATGCGATCAACGACGCAGTCCGCCACATACTCGGGCGTGAGCGGCGGCATGAAGAAAGGATGCTTGATTCCGTCAAACATTCGTGTGGAAATGGTGCCGGGGCACACGACGGTTGGAACGACGTTGGGCTGATCGGCGAGCTCCATGCACAGCGATTCGTGAAAGCCGACCACGCCGTGCTTGGAGGCGCAATAATCTGACAACCTTGCAACACCAATGTGACCTGCATCAAGGTAGACAAGCGGGGGGAGTCGCGAAATTGAGATGCACACATTTCTCGGATCATCTGATTTCCGCTCTCCCCCCCCCTCTGCAAACCTCACCCAATACAGAAGCAATGTTAACAATCTGTGCATGAGGCTGCTCCTTCATGGTGGGGAGCAATGCACGGGTGGTCCAGAAGCACGCGAGCAGATTGACGCCCATTGTTCGTTGAATCTGCGCGTCGGTCAGCTCCAAGAGCGGCTTGGCCGACACGACGCCCGCGTTATTGATGAGGATCGTGACCTTCTTCCAAGCTTGTTCGTGATCAACCACAAATCGAAGTGAGAAGTACATGGTCAGCGATTTTGGGGCCAAATTCTGCAAAAATCCGTTCGTTCGTTTCTCAATCCGTCTCTCGTTTGCGTTTCCCACAAAACAACCGCTCCTCGACATATGCCCAGGTCTCTTACTTTGCAATGCTCGTTCAGCAGCAAGTTTCGTATCGGCCGACTGCGACACATCCACAACATCGGTTGCAATTCTTCCGCCGGAAGCTTCAACCTGAGTCCCTGTGCAACCAGACCCATGACAAAGTGAGTTACGTGGCTCAAGAGAACGATGCGCTTTGTCGCTCTCATTCATATCCAGTGGGGGCTTTGTGGTAGCAGCATAATGCAAAAAATGTCTGAGAAGCAGAGCGGTGCCTTACTGAGCGATTCCAGCCCAGCGCGATCTACGTCCCAAACAACGACCGAGCAGCCCGCCGCAGCGAGTCGCAGCACAATCTCGCGACCGAGGCCCTGCGCACCGCCAGACACGACCGCCACTTGGTCGGCGAGCGAGGACAGGCGGCGCCGGGGCGAGAGCAGCTGCGGTCTGCGGTAACCAACAGAACGCATGCGCATGTGTGTCGGAGTTAGCTCAGAAGCGGGTGAAAAGTTTTGGGGTTTGAGTTGACGTTGACAACTCGTATGAATCATGCAATGTTGAATTCAATGGAATTGGGGGAGGGGGGAGGTCATTCACCCACAGGAAAACGGCGACAAGGATGGCAGCGAACGCCGTCGCTACTGCAAAAGTCAGCAGCATTGTTGCTCGCGTTTCGCTGCACCAAACCACAAATGTAAAAGCAAGACTGAGATTCTGGATTGGAAATATAGACACGGAATGTTTGAATTGGTAACAAGACAAGAAAAGGATTACTAACAAATGGGGCCGAATTGCAAAATGCAAGTACAAAACAAAACACAAACGAAAACAACAAATCACGCCAGGCGCTTGGCGGCGAGGACGAGGTTCTTGAGATAGGAAACCTCCATCTCGAGCTGGGCCACCTTCTGCTTGAGGTTGATGTTCTCCTCACGCATGCGCTCGGTGCGCTCGTCGAGAATGGACTGCTTCTCGCGCTTCTTGTCGCGGCACCGGGCGGCGGCGATCTTGTTGCGGCGACGCTTCTCAATCTTCTCCTCCTCGTCGAGCGGGCGGCGCTTGCGCGGAGGACGCTTGGGCTTGGTGGCGGGGGCGGAAGCAGGCGACACGGACGACGGCGCGCCAGACGGCAGGGGCGTGGCCGCGACAGAAGAGACAGTCGATGCACGCGAGGCTGCCGCGTGCGTGCCAAAGTCGAAATCGTAGTCGTCGTCGTCATCGTCGTCCTCCTCGTCAGAGGCTTGGAAGTCATCGTCGTCCTCCGAATCGCGAGCGTGCTTGCGAGCCGAAGAGGGAATGGGGGCAGGCAGGCAAGAGACGGTGTCGCGCGACATGCGACGTGGCGAGGCCATACCAGAAAGCGCAGTCAGGTCGGCGACGGACGAGACGGTCGAGATCGAGGCGGAGGTAGGAGCCGGAGCAGGAGGAGCAGTCGAGCAGCTTGCAGGCTCAAACGCCGTGAGGGCGTAGTTGGCAGACTGGCCAAACTCGAGCCAGAAGGCCAGCGACTCGGAAGGCAAGCACTCGGAGGCATCGGCCGCTGCAGCAGAAGACGAAGCAGCAGCAGAAGCGCCAAGAGACGCAGCCTGGACAGACGCAGGCTTGAATTCGCAGTCAAAGACCAGCTTGTCATCAAAGGGCAAAAGCGGGCCAGACAGCGGAGTCGAGAGCGCGCCAGGCACCTTGAGCAGCTCCTCGAGGATGTGTTCGTCTGAATAGAATGGTTGCTGTGCTTGCTGGGCAAACGCAAAAGCCGCAGGCTTGGCCGAAGCACGCGCAAAGTTGGAAGTGGGGAACATGGTTGCTGGTGGTGATGGTGGTGGTGGGAAAGAAGAGGAAAAAGAAAGAAAAGAAAAAGCAGAAAGCTGATGCTAAGGTAAAGGTGTTGTCAATGATAGGTTACTAGACTTGGAGGATAGTGACACGGTCGAGGAAATCAAAAAAACTCAAGCGAGAGATGTAGCGCGTCCTGCGAGAAGAGCAAGCACAGAGAGCGAGAGACAGGGGTGAGACACACTCAGAGCAACACCAAAACGCTCACAGTGGAATCTCAAACACACACACATACCATCATCCTGAACGGACGAATTCAGCGTCGCATCTCTGGTTGTACTTGGCTTTTTTTCTTTACTCCGTATCAAATCATCGTCGTCATCGCGAAAGCGAGAGTCGGAGATTGAAGGTGGGAAAGAAAAAGCAAATGCTGTTGGTCCGAAGCGTGCATCTGAAAGGCGTCACAGAGACGGGTCAAATGCGGGTTGAAGGCTATCGAAGCGGCTCTTGAAACTGGTTCGGCGTCGTCATCTTTGGGTCAAAGACAAAGCGAGCGACGAAACTAGAAGGCGAAACAAAAAGGAATTCTTGCAAACGGGAGGCGAAAACAGGACAGAGGAATCAAGCCAAGAAGGGTTGATTGCGCAGATCCAAAGGCGTAGCGAAATCCAAGAACAAAAGGTAGCGTGCGTAAAAAACGAACCGAGAAGGTTGAAGAAAACAAACGAGAAAAGCGAAAAGTAAAAGTCAAACTGAAAAAAAAAAAAAAAAAGTCAAGAGCCTGATTGAAAATCAATCAGAAGTTAAAAACAAGAAAGGGGCTTTGTGACAAATTTGTTGTTGACGCGAGTCCACCGACGAGGGAGGACGATGAAAGTTTTTTTCGCTGAAGCAACGAGTAGAAAAGAAAAAGGTAAAAAAGGCTAAGCCCTAGAAACGACGAAACCAAAGAAATCGGCTCGGAGAGATTGAAGGAAATAAAAGCGCTCAAAGAAACAAAAACCGAAAAAAAAAAGAACTCAAAGAAAGGTGAAAACAAAGTAAAAAAAGCAACGGGAGAAGAGGAAACGAAATCCTTCGGCAAAAATAAAACACTTGGATCAACAACTGGGTCTTGCTTTAGGCAGACATGGTTGCTTGGGGGAGTGTCTCGTTCTTGGAAGAATCGGCTCTTGTTACGTTGTTGTGATTTTCGCCGCCCTTGAGGATTTTTTCTGGGTAAAAATTCCTTGGGTGCTTGTGGGTATCCGACAATAAACCGAGTGACTTGATTCCGGGGTGCGAGGGAAAGACTTTTTTGAAGGCCTTTTCTTGTTTTCGTTGGTTCAGAAAAAAAAAAAATACTTTGGATCAAACAGCAAAAAAAGTAACAAAAGCGCTCTCTTTTTTTAAGGGAAAGTGCTCAGTTTTTTTTTTTTGGAAAGTTTTTCCTTTTTTTTTTTCCTTTCCGTTGAAACTCTCGAGTCCGAAGCGACTTTGTTCAATGGATGTGGGAGGCGACTACGCTAGGAAGTGTGTCGAAAAGGGGGCGTTCTCGCAGCGACGGGCTTGATGCAAAAATACCAAATTGGACGAAAGAAAAAAAGAGACGCGAAGATGTCAAAGTATCAACACGCGAGGATCAAGAGCATCCACAAAAAGAAGATGACAATTGGAGAAGAAAAAGGAAGAAAGACCTGTGAAAGTGTTACCAACGCTGATTGGTAAAAGCTCAAACAGGAATAAAAAAAAAGACTCGGAAAAAAATCGGGTCGAGCTTTTTTGCTTGTTTGGGTAAAAAGTGATGTCACTTTGTGCTTTTCAATGCGAACGAACGCGTGCGCGCACGAGGACAAAGAGGGGAGAAAGGAGAGAGTGCGGTTCTCTTTCCCCTTTTGTTGCTCGAGTGAGAAACGAAAGGTTCAGAAAGAACGGGAAAAAGCGAAATGCGCTTCTGCTGAAATGCAGAGCAGAGATCGATAGAAAATCGAAAAAAAAAAAAGAGAGACTGAACGGAAATCTCGTTTTGGAAGCAGCGCTTTTAAAGGGCGCGGTTTCTCCGCTGCTCCTCCCGCGCTTCCCGCGAAACCGAGGCAAAGGTAGGCAGAGGGTGAAGTGCGGAAACAAGATCCTGCTGTCTGCGCAATGGGCAGCCCAGTGCACAAGCGCACAAACGAGCAAAAATTGAAAAAAACAATAATAAAAATCATAAAAAACGAAAATGGATGGAGGTAGAGAATGGATTGTTTGGCCAAACAATGACATCACCTACGTAACTTTGGAAGTCATTGCATCATCCCGCGCACGCTGTTTTCGCTGTGCATGCAGCTGTGTGTTTTGTTGCCAGCTCATCCTCATTGCGCAAGCCGAGCAATGACATGGCATTCGGTTTGGGAAACGCGATTGGGGCAAAGGCAAACAGGACAATCGATGCGGGCGGCGAAGAATTGGTTTGTTGTTATCTCAAAATTGGTCACGAACGAACCGCCATGTGTGTCCACGAGGGAGTGACTTGGTTGGAGGTCAAGTTGGACTTTTCAGATCAAAGTGGAAGGGTGAGGGAAGGGATAAAGGGGGAGGGGAAACTGTGCAATGCTGTTTTGTTTGCAGTTTTGTTTGCTGTACGTCCATGCAGATCTACGAGCATCAGAATGCATCTGGTTTGCCAATTGGCAAACAATGAACAACTCTGTAATCTCAACAGTACAAGTCACGACTCGAACAAAAAAAAACAACAACAACAACAACAACAAAATCTCAAAATTGCATCGGCTGGATGGAGTGCAGCAAATGATTCACCTGCGCATCGCCATCATCATCATCATCGTCGTCGTCGTCATCTTCGTCGCCTTCGTCAAACTGCCGGAGATCAAAGTTGTGGGAGGGGCTGGAGGGGTCGAACAAGCGATCCAGGGCGCTCTGTCCGCCGAGGGGGCTGGCAATCGAGTTTTGCAGCTGCTGCGCAGCTAGGGCGAGCGTCGTGGCCTCCGCGAGGATGGGCTGGCCCGTGCCGGCGGAAAGCGAAACCTGGGCAGAGTTGGACTTGGAGCCATCGCGGGATCCGTTGCGCGACGACCGCTTGCGACGCGGACGCTTTGTGGGCGGCAGGGCAGCGAGCGCCAGTGCCTCCTGTTCGGACATGCCCTTGTCGCGGAGCTTTTTGATCTTGCGCACGTACTTGAGGCCGCACGAGTTGCACAGCGACGTGTCGCCATCAGGACCCTTGCGCCACTGCGGCGTCTTGGTCAGGCCGCAGTGCAGGCACACTTTCGAGTTGGGATCGTGGCCGAGCGTGCTCGCGATTGAGCTGCCGGGAACCGTGTTGAAGAGGCCAACGCCGGCTGCGTCGGACGACGGCGGCTCTGGTTTGACCACTGCCGCGGCGCTTGCCGCAGTGGCATTGGCTTTCGGGCGGCCGCGTGGCTTCGGCTCGACAGGGGACTGCGTGCCAGGCAGCAGCCGACTCGGGGACGAGAGCCCAGAGCTCGAGCTGGCACTCACCGACACGCTGTGCGAGGCCGCTGGAGAAAGCGACAGAGGTGACAGTTCGTTTGGTTGGGACAGCCCCGCGTTCGACGGTGCGCCAAGCAAGTGACGATTGTCCAGGAGCTCATGGGGCAGAGAGTCGGAAAATTGCAAGGACGACGTCGTCTCAGGACTCAAGCTGGGCGAGCCCACGAGCAGGCGCATCAAGTCCACGTCGTGATCAACCGCCATCGTGGCATCGATGCCGTCCAGGTTGTCGGGGGAGAGGAGCGTTTGCAAGTCGGCCACACCTGCCAACAGGTCGGGATCGAGCCCCAACGGCACCGTTGTCGAGACAGAAATGCTGGGCGAAGTCACGCCGGTGGACACGTCTGAAGTATGCACTGTCGTCGTTGGGCTGGCAACGCTGCGATGGCTGCTGCCACCGCCACTGACAGACACCGATTGTGGCGATATCATGGTGGGGTCGGCGACAAACTTTTCGCCGGTTGCGACAGCACGCGCAGCGGCTTCCAGCATGAGAATGGCGTGCTGGTGGCTTTCGCGTGTGGCCAGGTCGAGGGCGGTGCGGCCATCGTTGGTCACCGACTCGATTCGCACCTGATAGAGGTAGTCTGTGCAGATGGCCTCCACCACGCTGCAGCAGTTGGTAGCGGCTGCCCAGTGCAGCGCAGTCCATTCACGTCGATCCTCAATGTTTGGGTTGCAACCGCGCGCCAAAAGCAACAGCGCCACCTCCTCAAACCCGTACTGGATGGCCAGCATGAGTGGGCTCGTGCCAGAGCTGTCAGAACTGTCCATGTTGGCGCCCTTGTCAAGCAGCTGGCCCACAAGCACAGCGTCTCCAACAGCACAGGCGGTGAACAAGGGAGTTTGGCCGTCCATGTCGCGTGCTTCGAGCGGCGCGCTCTTCTCGATGAGGAACATGGCAGCCTCATGCTGGCGGTACTCGCACGCAAGATGCAACGCCGTCATTCCTTCTTCGTTGGGCATGCCAATGGAGGCGCCGCGCTCAAGGAGTGCTGCCATCACGTTCAAGTGGCCTGCGGCCGTGGCGTGCAGGAGGGCGGTTGCGCCTTGCTGGTCTGTTTCGTTGATGATGCGCTCGCGCACATCCTCCTGCTCGAGTAAAACCATGATGGGGTCGAGCAAGCCTTCGCGAGCCGAGGAGATCAAGACGGCAAAGATCAACACGTCGTCGCGATCCAGCAGGCTCGCCTTCCGCTTGCTGCCGCTCATCAAAGCCATTGCAGCAGCCACATGGGAACCGACGGTCGCAACCACACCGGCTGCCGAGGCAATGAGAATGCCCACAACGGCGGACGTCTCGCCGGCGCTCAAATTCTCCGTCGAGGAAAATGTCGTGTTGGAATTGGAGGACGTTGGGGTGGGCGTGGCATAGGAGGGGAATTTTGGGGTAGGCGTTGTTGAGACGAAGGATGCTGGGGGAAGCGTTGCTGAGAAGGATGTCGGAGTGTCCGAGGCGGCGGAGGTGGCATTGACCGCCGTTGGAGTCGCGAGTGAAGCCGACGGCGAAGGCAGAAATGAAGCAGACGCGGATGCTGAGCGAGTGAACTCTGTGTATGTAGATGCAGTAGAAGTGGATGTCGAGCCAAGGAAATCCGTGAACGTGACTGCAGCAGAAGTGGACGGCGGAGGGGATGAACTTGCGGGAGGGGATGAACTTGCTGGACTGGGCGGGTAGAGCGGGTACGGCCTCTGGAGGGGAAGGTGATGCAGGGGCGGGGTTTGGCAAACCGAAAGGTCGTCACATTGGTGCAGCTGGTTGAGAAACGTTCCGTAATACTGACTGGGGGATTGGTCGTCCAAGGTGACTCCAGGCAAAACAATGTGGCCGCTGTAGTCAAACATGGCAGTCATGCTGAAAGGAAACAAGGGGGAGCGGGGATCGAGCTTGACTCGTTGCCACATGTCAAACTGGACGCTGTAATACCAGACATCCTGGTTGGTTCCGAGGTCGGAAAAGCCGCCGGCCACAAACATGTCGCGGCCGTTGTTCACCAACACAGCCGAGTGACTGAACAGTGGCGGTGGCCTGCTTGCTCGGCACGCAGCGGTTTGGCAGAGTTCCGTCCAGCAAGACGACATCAGGTCGAACTTGTAGAGGAGCGCTGACGTTTCAGAACTGCAGTTGCGGCCGCCAAACACAAATAGTACGGTCTTCTTTGTCGAGTACACGGCGGAGTGCTGAGACACGACTGGGGCTGGCAGGCAGGGAGGCGCGGTCTCGAGGTCTATGACTTCCCATGTCGGATCTGCGGCATTGAGGTGGATTGCAAGCGTCGTGTTCGCGTCGCTACAGACTCCAGCGGAGGAAGACATGCCACCAACCATGATTGCTGACGCCGGGGGCGAAGAATCGACCACTTGCACAGGCGTCAATGTTGCGCCGACACGGGCAAGCAGCTTCCACGGGTCGCTATGCAGGTCCTTGAGATGTGGCGGAATTGCTGCTGTCGGATTGCTGTTGAAGCTGGGCTCTGACCAAACCCCAGTTGAAATGCGGTACATGGACATGTTTAACGCAATATCGCCGCCGCCAACCGCGCCGCCCGCCAACAGGAGATACGCTTCCGTTCCATAGGACAGCATGACCATTGCGGCGAGGTCGCGGCTCGCAGGGACGTTTCCTGTCTGATTCGGGTGCCGCCACTCTGCAGCAATCCGCGCGGGCAGCGGATCTCCGGTCGTCTTGGAGAAGGTGTCGTTAATGAACAAGTGTCTCAGAGCGGTGACTGGCGCGCCGTCGTCCACATTCGAGCCGCCATAAATCCATACATGGACATCGTCCACCTCGGCGACTCGCGAGCTGACTGCGGTGGCGCTTTGCTGTGAGATGGCAATGGGGCTGGTTGGATTCGCATTGCACACGTACTCCACGCTCCATGACAGGGCGTCTGGCTGCGACGACGATGGCGTAGGCGACGCGGTGGCGGTCTCTTGGGCTGCGGTGAAGGACAGCAAGGACAGCAAGGACAGCAGGCAGAGGAGCACAAGAGCGAGCAGGGTCGGCCGCGCGCGTCTCGGCGTCACCCAAGGTCGCTCCAGTGATGCTCTGGCTTTGGCTTTGGCTTGGGCTTTGGCTTGGGCTGCGGCTGCCATGGTGCGGGCGTCGTGGTCGTGGTCGTGGTCGTGGTCGTGGTCGTGGTCGTGATGGTGGTTGCTGGCGCGCGGCGATGACCAGCGGCTCAAGCCGGCCGTCGCCACCCGCCGCGTGCATGCTCTTCGGTACGTTGCGGGGGCTGTGTGCTTTGTGCTTGAGCTGGTGGTGGTTGTGAGGAGTGAGAGCGCGACTGTCGCACACAGGACCGGTTGGTTGTTGTGGTTCTCTGCTAAATGGGTGTGAATTGGTCGTCGTTGGGGGAGCAACCTCAATGGCTCAATGGCTCAAGGGAGGGCACAAGCTCAACAACAAACAACAAGTGCTGAGATAGGAGAACAGAGAACAACAACAACAACAAAGGCAGAGAAAAGCGGAAAAAGAAAAGCAGGTAAAAAGTAGAAAAAAAAAAAAAGAATAAAAAAAAAAAGAATAAAAAAAAAAAACCAGATCAAAACCGATAACAAAAAAATAGAAAAGAAAAGCCGGCAAAACGACAAACGCAAAAAAGCAGATACAAAAACAAAAGTAAACTCAAACGATGATAACGTTGGCAAAGTTGAAGCGGAAAGGGGGAGCAGGGATTAGGGCTTAGGGGTTAGGGGTTAGGCTGTTTTTGTAATGTGCGACACGATGCGCAATGCGGAGGATTTTTGTTTTTCGCATTTTGAATTGGCTCAATACGAATTGTGGTTGGATTTTTGTTGGGGCGGGCCGGAGGGAGCGGAGATCCGACGACGAGCGGCAGTGAGCAAGTGCGTAGGCATGTAATGACCGTGCTGAGCTGCATGACACGCGATGCAGGAAGAGAGAGAGAGAGGAAAGTGGGGTATGACTCGATGCCGCTCTCGCTGTTCCATGGACACCGACTGCTGGTAGCATGTGTCAAGTTGGATGATACCAGCAGGGGCGCAGCAGATAGAGTCTCAATTGACAATCGCAAGGGCGGAATGGGTGGTCCTTGGCAATGGAACGGACGTCACTTGAACACCACCCGCTGTTAAACAAAAACGATCTACGAGTATCTCGTGTGATCATGGAATCGAAATTGAAAACGCACAAACCAGCCAACATCAATCCAACCGCACCCTTCCTTTAAAGACGTAGGGCCCCTCAAGGCAGTCGTCTTTTGAGAGGACGATGGACAATCCATCATTACCACCAGACGCGGATGACAAGAACGCAGCCAACGAAGCGCCGGTTGGCGTTGCTTCTTCAGCCCCGCTCCAACATGAGCAGTCCCTCTCGATTAAACCAGTTAGTTCGTACAGTTCCATCATACGGCGCTCCAGAAACACGAGGCAACGCAAAGTTCGCCGACGAGCAAAATCGCTTCCTACCCATGCGAATCGGCCAGATTCCAACCCGAGCACCGCCCATCCACCTCAACCTGATAATGTCGTTGAGGGTCATGTCAAAGCGAGTGAGCCCTCCGAGGCTAGTGAAGCGCAGGCGACAGGACCGAGCATGCCGGATCATCAGCACGGCGACCGCGTTCATTTCACTAGCAACAATCAGGACAGTACCACACCTGCCGCTGTTTGTTTGATGGACGACCCTTCAGTCACCACATCGGCGTCTGTCAGTTACGATTCATCGTCTTATGACGATCTTTCATATTCGTCGGTCAGTGGCGGGGAGGAAACGCTGGTGGTTGACCTCCCGAGAAACTCGGATGGCATGTCCACCGTCACCCTTCAGCGTCTCTCGCGCCAGGTAACATGGTTTGATATTGAGGGCAAATTGGGGTGGGGGGGGAGTGGGGATGGTGCGCTCACGTTTGTATTTTGAACCCTCAGCTCCATCTCAACAAGGAAGACGATCTGCAACTGGTGCGCAGCCACCACGATCTGCCTGCCATTACACGGATTTTGTCTCGCTGCAAGAATGCCTCCGTCGTGTTTAACTTTACCTTGTCCCCATCGGAGGATTCGGAGAGTGAACCAACTTCCCTAGCAGGGTCCAGAGCCAGTACGATCCCCGCCATGGCTCCTGGCACGGAAGGCGCTTCGACCGTAGAAGCACCTCATCCTTCAAGCACCGTGCCAGTGCCACAGAACGAGACACCTCCAACACTGCCGCATGAGGCGGCGGCCGTTCCGACCAATGAAGCGCGAGAATACACTTTGCAAGTTCGCACAGAGCCCATGCACATCCGCCATCATTCTCAGGCACATCACAAAGCTCGGCATCACCATCGTACTCGACAGGCGCAGCCATCCACATCAGTGCCAGTCGTTCCACCACCTCCAGAGCGGCGGATGTCAGTGTTTCGTCCGCCACAGTATCTTGCCAGCATCGACCGAGCTGCCGTCACAGATGTCGGGTCACGTCATCCCGACGAGTGTCCCAATGAGCCACATACCGAAGAATCTGCAGTAGACATCAGCGCTCCCCCTCTACCGGCCGGCACTCACGGTCGTTCGGCAACTTGGCTCGGTACAGTTGGCTCGAATGTTTTACTTTTGTGTTCCTAGCCCGCTTTGTTTCTTTTGCTCACGACGTGCACTTGTCACTGGGATGCAATCCAAAAGAGCTCTTTTTCGATCTGTTCTTTGTGGCAGGCATCATCGAGCTGTATCTGGACGACAGGGTGGATGCCGCAGCCCTCGGAACATTTGTTGCATTGTTTACTCCAATGTGGTGGATTTGGTCTTCGTCCTCCTTTTACGCCAACCGATTCGACACTGACGATGTCATCCATCGGTGTTTGATGCTGATTCAACTCATTTCCCTTGGTACGTGTGATCTGTACTTCTGAGAGTGCGGGAGATTTTGGGTTTTGCTAACCTCCATCGGATTACCGCAGTCATCCTGGTTAACAACCTACACTACGCACTCGGGTCCACTTCGGACGTATTCACGATTGCCTACATGTGCAACGATATCGTCATGCTCATCAAGTACTTGCGAGGTAAAGGCGCGGTTGGCAATCTACAGCGGGAAATCAAAACTCTTTCGTTCAGACTCTTACGACCCACCTTGAATGTGCACCTTCTAGTGTACTACTATGTGCCGCGTGCAAGATCGGCGGCATGCGCGATTGTGATGGCCAATACCATCTCGATTGCCTTGTGGGGCGCGTCGCTTGCTGTTCCAACTCCTTGGCGAGTGATACTGTGGCTAGCAGGCATTGCAGCTGAATGCACAGCGCATATTATCAAGCGAGGGCGCCAGGTACGGATGAGGATTGTCACTTGCCACGACTGTTTTGGGTCGACTATGACTGGTTCTGGACAATTTTCTCGACCCTGCAGATTCCCTTCAATGCCTCCCACCTTCCTGATCGATTTGGCATTTTCACCATTGTCGTTCTTGGAGAGCAAATCATCTCGGCAACCGAGGGGAGCACGATTGCCGGATTTTCTGCCACGATTGGGTTGGTTGCATGCCTTTTTTTTCTTTTCGTACTTGGGATTTGTCGCGACGCACTTCTCTCCGATGCTCACAACCAATCTCACCTGTCATTTGAATTCTGCCATGGATCTCACCTCGCAGAGTTGCGCTGGGCTTTGCTGTATTGTTCTCCTTCTCGTTGTGGTGGATGTACTTTGACGCCTTCGACGGCCAAGTTGTCGGTCACGCCACGCACTTGTCGCCGCTGTGGCTGTATGCGCACTATCCGTTGCACACCTCGCTGGCGTTCACGGGCGTTCTTCTTGCGCCGTTGGTTGCGCGAGCTGCAGATCCGCTCAACAACTCGGCCGTCGTGCTTTACTTTCTCGGTGGCAGCAGCGTGGTCTTTCTTTGCAACGCTGCCATCACGTTCATCAACTCGTTTGCCAGAAAGGGTAAAGGGGGGGGTTTATCAAAACGAATGCTTTTGAGTGTTTGTTGTGGGCCTTGACCAACTTGTTTTCGCGCCCCCCTCTTCAGATCCATACTTGAATACCATCATTCTCTCCCGGGTCGTCATTGCGATCGTCGTTGCGCTCATATGCGCGGGTCCTCCGAGTGAATTTGTGACGCTCGTGGTTGTTGGCTCTTTGGCAGCCACTCAAGGTTGGTGTTGGGAATCTTGCTTTCTCGCCAAGCTCTCTCTGATCCTGACTTTTCTTCCTTTGCTGCTATTAGTCGTTGTTGATGTGCTGGTGCAGCACCTGCGCTACTTGCGCTTCACCAAACTGCCTGCAAGCGCTCGTGATAGCATTTCGTTGAGCAGCCTGGCAGGATCTCCTTCCACTGTCGACTCGCATCGAATGCGAACAAGCTTTGCCAACCGCTCACGCACCTCGTTCTTTGGCGTACCTTCTGCCAAGTCGATGGACATTGAGGCTGGTCATTTGAACGCCGCGGTCGCCTTGACCTCGCCGCTGAGCCATGCCAAGTCTCTCGACGCTGGCGAAGCAGCCGACTATGAGAGCGATGGCGGCGCAGAAGCAATCTATTCTAGAGCTTGGAAAGGTCGAAAGCGGTTTACCAAAACTCGAGAGCAGCTGCATGCAAGTAATAACGCGGTGGCACGAGTCGTGTCTCGAGATTCCCTTGCATTCACGTCGGCAGGAAGCCACCTCCAACGGCTCGCGGCTGCACATCCCTCCACATCTTCGCCACTCACTCCAAGAGCAAGCTCGCAAACGCTTGCCCAGGCCCATGCATCGCCCCGATCTCCAACAGCAGTGGCAGCAGCAGCACCGCCAGCATCCGGCACTCAACAACTCACCACACCGGCAGCGGCAGGCTTAGCGGCGTCGGACGCCCATGCACTATCAACGACAACGCTGCAAACATCTGGACCCTCAGTCATGCCGATCGGGCGTCTCCCGCCTGCGTTAGCCGTTCGACCCCTTCCGCTGTCCAATTTGCATCACGACCGGCTCATGGGACATTTACCACGACCTCACTCTTGTGGACACCTTCCGCTTCGACCATCAGCCAGCTCACGCGTGGTTTCTCGCATCTGGGAGCCACCCAGCGAGTGTTGAAGCATGTGTATGAGTGTTTGCGACAAAAGTGAGGCGAACGAAAGCGAAAAAGTCTGTACATTTGAATCACAACCATACGAATGAAGCAAATATGCACATACAAGGCATCACAAAGCCTGCTGTGATGTCAGTGAGCACGAAAGTATGAATAGACGCCACAAAAAAAAGCAACACAACAAAAATACAAAGAAATCCGTGATGCTGTTCATCACTGAATGATCATGTAAGCGGTGGAGCGACGGCGACGACGAACGCAAATGACAGTAATAGTGATGGCGATGAGCACCAATGCAACTGCGCCTCCGCACAGACCATACAGAACGACGCTGCTGACTGTAAACATAAGAAGAGAGAGAGAGGGAAGAGTCCAATCAAGATTCGGTCAGGCGAGGATCAAAAAAGGTCCAATAGTATTCCCACAATCACAAATCTAACTCGTAAGTAGGCCTTACTTGCGCATTCACCGTAGCGCCAGTCCGAGCACGAGAAGCAGACCTGCTCGCCGAGACCGCGCCAGTCACCCGAGATGCACAGGCCCTCCGGCGAAATGTACTTTGAGTTTCCAGAGGTCAGCTGCATGAACATTTTGGCATTGGGTTTGTTGATGGAAGGAGGTCAGTAACTCGTCGAACTGCAAAATCAATGGCAATTCAATCAAAGTACTCGAAAGTGTCAACGACGTACGGACGGTGAGGCGCACCAGAGGCAGCCCGAGAGGTCGATGCACGTTGAGCAGTTTGAGATGAGCGCCGTGGTTGAGCCATAGCCATTGAGGCAGGGGTCGAGACCTAAACAGACACAATAGAGCGAGCGGAGCGGCAGTGATGTCAAATGTCAGTCAAGTTGACGGCTGTTGCTGCCCTGCTCAGCACACAGATGGAGAGTGTTGAATAGAAATGGAAGGTAGTCATGCAATGTAGGAGGGAGGAGGAGGCGTGAGGAGGCGGGGGATTTGGGACTGAACTGCTGCTGGCGGACGCAATGCCAAAGGCAATCACAATGCTCAGGACGAACAGCGCAATGCTGCTGCTGCGAGACATTGTTGGAAGAATAACAACAACAAAAAAAGTGACTGATGAGAGACGCGATGCATTTCCATACTCGAGTTGTATTGAGTCGTCGGATAGGATCAGCAAAAAGATGGAAAAGCAAAACTGCTGAGAGATTGAACGGCTCTTTCCCCTTCTCCCCTTGCTGCTCTCTTCGCTCAACCCTCACTGATGAGAGATGCACAAACACAGATTCAGACAATACGGGTGGCTCAGCGGTGTTTATCGGTAAATTTGGAGCAAAGCAACAGCAAGCAGAGCAGTCCTTTTTGTTTGTGTGAATCTTTGAGAGATGGAGTTGCTGGAGAAGCTGTCGTCCCTCTTGGACCTGGAGGGGACCCGAGAGATGACTGCGAATCAGCTCGAAGTGTATGAACAAGTCAAGCGTGCGAGTGGGAGGCTCGAGTAAGTGAGCGCCGAATGTATTGAAAAGCGTACCAGCGCGTGACACTGACGAGATGATGCCGGTGGGCAGTCTGAACAACAACATGATCGACGATGACGAAGCAAAGGTGCTTGCGAGAGCACTCAAAGTGAACATGGCAGGGAACACGCCAGTGTCTGGGATCAAGTAAGTCGTCTCACTTTGACTGATGAGTGCGAGTGGTTGATTCAGAAGAGTGCTCACTGATGGAGGGGCGGGGGGCGAATGGACAGTTTGAACAGGAATAGGTTTGGCGATGTCGGAGCAAAGGCCATTGCTGAGGCTCTCCAAGAGAACAAGAGGGTGACTTGGCTCGAGTACGTCGTCTCACTATGATTGATGCATGCGAGTGGGTGATTCGGAAGAGAGTGGCTCACTGATAGCGAGGACGGACAGTCTGAGCGTTAACATGATTGGCGACACTGGGGCGCTGGCGATTGCTGAGACACTGAAAGTGAACAGGCTTGTGAATCACGTCCGGTAGGGCATATGCATGTAAATGGCTGGCTTCAGCAGATGACATTCAGAGTGGCTCACTGGTGGAGGGACGGCCAGTTTGAATGATAATCAGATTGGCGATGCCGGAGCGCTGGCGATTGCTGAGGTTCTCAAAGTGAACAAGAAGCTGAGATACCTTTCGTAAGTGTTGATTGCTTCGAGATGTGTGGAATGTCGGAAGACTCATAACGGATGCAATCCACCGACAACAATAGTTTGAGCAACAACTTCATTACCATCGTTGGAATTAACGCATTGTGGCAAACAGGCAACACCATTTGTAAACTGGAGTAAGCCTTTGCAAGCTGATCGGTTCTTGCATGATAGTGATGCAAATCCGACCAGTCACTCACTCACGTGCTTTGGAAAACTTTATAGCTTCTCTGGCCAACGTGTCCCATCGCCTGCCATGTTGGCAGCTCGTGCCGCAGCGAACGATCAGCCCCAACCTTCCGTCAATCCTGCATCTGAGATTCAGCAATTGCGCTCCGAGCTCGCTTCCAAACAACAGGAGCTCACCACCAAAAATCAAGAGCTCGCTTCCAAAAATCAAGAGCTCGCTTCCAAAGCTCAGGAGCTCGCTACCAAAGATGAGGAGCTCGCTGCCCAAGACCAAGAACTCGCTGCGCAAGATGAGGAACTCGCTGCCAAAGACCAAGAGCTCGCTGCCAAAGATCAGCAATTGCGCTCCAAGCTGGCCGCCAAAGATCAGAAATTCAACTCCAGACTGAATGCCAGAGATCAACAATCACGCTCCGAGCTTGCTGCCAAAGACAACGAACTTCAGCAACTTCGCTCAAATCTCGCCGGCAAAGACAAGGAGCTCGCGACTCAAAGGCAGGAGCTGAAAAAGCTTCGCTCCGATCTCGCTGCCAAAGAGCAGAGCCTCGCTACCAAAGAGCAGAACCTTGCTGCCAAGGATCGTGAACTCAAGTCAGCTCTTGATCGGATTGATGTTTTTGAGCGCAATCAGCCCGCCGTTGGATCTGCATCGAACTTTGACGGTCCCATACCTCAAGTGCCTCTCGCAACTCTTGTCGCCGCCACGAGCAATTTCGCCGCTGATTCTCTGCTCGGCAAAGGAGCATTTGGTTGCGTGTACGGCGCCAGTTTGCCTGGGCCTTCTGTTGCCGTGGCCATCAAGAAGCTGTCCGCCGAATCCAAGCAAGGCGCTGCCGAATTCAAGGCGGAACTGGCCTCTTTGTCCAAATTCCGTCACGCAAACATCATTGCCATTCTGTCATATGCAGAAGAAGGCGACGAGCAATGTTTGGTCTACGAGTTCATGCCAAACGGATCAGTTCGCGATTGCTTGAATCTGAAGAACAACGCGACCCCGTTGACTTGGTCCCAGCGTCACCGCATTGCGGCTGATGTCTCCCGCGGCATGCACTACGTCCAGACAGCCTTCCCCGATCATGCATTGTTTCATCTCGACCTCAAGACCGACAATGTCCTTTTGGACGCGCATTTCAATGCAAAAGTGTCTGACTTTGGCTTGGTTCGGATCGCTACACACCTTGATGAGCAAAGCTACCTTCGCACATCGAACGTTCAAGGCACAGCTGCTTACATGTGTCCTGAGTTTTTTGAGAAAGGCCGCATGACCGTCAAGACGGATGTCTACGCCTTTGGCATGATTTTGCTGGAATTGCTGACTGCGGAGAAACCTGGCACCAAGCTGAAAACTGATACGCGGAAGGCGGTGAAAAACCAGAAATTCTCTGACATGCTGGACTCGACCCTCAAGCCAACCGAGGCAGAGCTCCAGAACGTCAGCGATTTTGTCACTCTTGCGCTCGAGTGCCTTGATGAAGCTGCTGATGATCGCCCCTCCTTTGGTCGCATCCTTGCGACATTGGATCCTTGATGACAGATGGAAAATTTTGTGTTCAGTAGCAGAGCTCAGCTCCCTCAAGTCGACTTGGGCTTTGGGTTTGTCCGTTTCCATTTTCTCCCAGTAAACGATGTCTTGCACATTCATTGTAGCATGCTTCCATAATGTGGTTATGCTCCGGGTAGGATCGTTCCAGGTCAAATCAGCATGTAAAAAACAAGAAAAAAAAAAGCAAACAAAAAAGCAAACACGAAAAGTTTTGGCGAAAAAGTGTGGCTCAGGAAATGAGTCAATTTGGACAAGCAAATCAGTCGTTTTTATTTTGCTGAAAAACCACATGCCTCATTTTTGGAGGACTGAGAGTCAACGCGAATTGAAGCGCAGCATGAGTGAGAATCAGCGCAAGTGGTATGACAAGGTCAAGCATGCGAGTGGCAAGCTCGAGTAAGGAAACAACAAGAGAGCTTGGATTGGAGTACTTTGGCTGCGCAGCTGACGAAACCGCCGAACAGACTGATCCGGCAAAACATTCGCGAAGATGACGTGCAGGCCATTGCCGAAGCACTCAAAGCGAACACGTCATTGAGAGCGCTCGAGTAAGGCATCTTACTTTGAGCAATGCATGGAAGCGGGTGGCTTCGGCGGAGGGTAATGAAGAGTGGCTTACTGCTGGGCAGTCTGAGGGAGAATCAGATTGGCGACGCGGGAGCTCAGGCCATTGCTGAGGCACTCAAACTGAACACGACGCTGACCGAGCTTGGGTAAGTCATCTGGCGTTGAGTGATGAATGAACGTGAATGGTTTCAGCTCACTGATAATGGGGATGGACACAGGTTGGGCCAAAATCAGATTGGTGATGCTGGAGCTCACGCGATTGCTGAAACACTCAAATCTAACACGATGCTGGCTAAACTCAGGTAAGTCAGCTCACCTTTGCTGATGCTCTTGAGTGGATAATTTTCGACAGAAGGCATCCAGAGTGCTCACCGATGGAAGGGACGGGCAGTTTGCGCCGGAATCAGATTGGCGATGCGGGAGCTCAGGCCATTGCTGAGGCGCTGAGAGTGAACACAACACTGACCGAGCTCGGGTCAGTTAAATCACTTGTACAGATGCATTTGAGAGGGAGGGGGAATTTTCAGAAGAGGGCATTACGAGTGCTCATTGGTGGCTGGGACGGACAGTTTTGGCTGCAATCATGTTGGCGACCCTGGAGCGAAGGCAATTGCTGAAGCATTCAAAGTGAACACGACAATGACTGGACTCGGGTAAATCGCCTCTCGTTTGTTGATGCATTCGAGCGGGTGATCAGTAGAGGATGTTCAAAGTGCTCACTTGATGGAGACAGTCTGAGTGAGAATGCCATTGGGGATGCTGGTGCGCAAGCAGTTGCCGAGGCACTGAAAGTCAATACGGCGCTGAATTGGCTCTTGTAAGTCGTCTTGTTTGTACTGATGCATGTGAGTGGGTAGTCCAAGAGAGACCTATAAGCTTTCAGAGTGCTCACTGCTGGACGGTACGGACAGTCTGCACCAGAATCAGATTGGCGATGCCGGAGCGCGGGCGATTGCGGAAGTCCTCAAAGTGAACAAGAAGCTGAGATACCTTTAGTAAATGTTGATTGCTTAAGATGTGTGGAATGTCGGAAGACTCATAACAGGTGCAATCTACCGACAACAACAGTCTGAGCAACAACTTTATCACCAACGTTGGAATTACCGCATTGAGGCAAACAGGCAATACCATTTGTCAACTGGAGTAAGCCTTTGCAAGCTGTCAGTTCTTGCATGACGCTAAATCCGAACAGGCACTCACTTGCTTTGGAAAAAAACACACAAAATTGTAGTTTCTGTGGCCATTTCTTGAAAACCGAAGTGTCGCGCTGAGTGCAGCACGACTAGCAGCAGACGTTCAGGCGCAAGCGTCGGTCTATCAAGAAACATGAACTCGCTTCACTAAGCTTCCGAGCTCGCTACCAAAGATGAGGAGCTCGCTGCCCCAAGACCAAGAACTCGCTGCGCAAGATGAGGAACTCGCCGCCAAAGACCAAGAGCTCGCTGCCAAAGATCAGCAATTGCGCTCCAAGCTGGCCGCCAAAGATCAGAAATTCAACTCCAGACTGGCTGCCAGAGATCAACAATCACGCTCCGAGCTTGCTGCCAAAGACAAAGAACTTCAGCAACTTCGCTCAAATCTCGCCGTTAAAGACAAGGAGCTCGCTACTAAAAGGCAGGAGCTGAAAAAGCTTCGCTCCGATCTCGCTGCCAAAGAGCAGAGCCTCGCTACCAAAGAGCAGAACCTTGCTGCCAAGGATCGTGAACTCAAGTCAGCTCTTGATCGGATTGATGTTTTTGAGCGCAATCAGCCCGCCGTTGGATCTTTTTCGAGCTTTGACGGTCCCATACCTCAAGTGCCTCTCGCAACTCTTGTCGTCGCCACGAGCAATTTTGCCGCTGATTCTCTGCTCGGCAAAGGAGCATTTGGTTGCGTGTATGGCACCAGATTGCCTGGCCCTCGTGTTGCCATCAAGAGGCTGTCGACTGACTCCAAGCAAGGCGCTGCCGAGTTCAAAGCCGAATTGGACTCTTTGTCAAAGTTCCGCCACGCAAACATTATTGCCATTCTGTCATATGCAGAAGAAGGCGACGAACGATGCTTAGTTTATGAATTCATGCCAAATGGTTCGGTGCGTGATCGCTTGGATCGCAAGAACCATACGCCTCCGCTGATCTGGTCTCAGCGGCACCGCATTGCGGCTGATGTCTCCCGCGGCATGCACTACGTCCAGACAGCCTTCCCTGACCACACGCTGTTCCATCTGGACCTGAAGACCGACAATGTGCTTTTGGACGCGTACTTTAACGCAAAAGTGTCTGATTTTGGCTTGGTTCGTATTGCGACACACCTTGATGAGCAAAGCTACCAGCGCACCCAGCACGTTCAGGGCACAAAGGTGTACATGTGTCCCGAGTTCTTTGCGGAGGGCAAAATGACCATCAAGACGGATGTCCACTCGTTCGGCATGATTCTACTCGAGCTTGTGACCGCTGCCAAGCCTGGGCCCAGACTGAAAGCAGAGACGCGGAAAGCTGTGAAAACCCAGAAAATCAACGAGATGCTGGACTCGGCACTCAGGCCCACCAGAGCAGATCGCAATCGCATCAAGAAGACAGTCACGCTCGCGCTCGAGTGTCTTGATGATATTGCTGACGATCGCCCCTCCTTTGGACAGCTCATTGCTACATTGGATCCTTGATGACAGATGGAAATTTGTTGAATTGATGTTTCAGTACAGTTGGAAATTTGTTGAATTGATGTTTCAGTAGCAGAGCTCAGCTCCCTCAAGTCGACTTGGGCTTTGCTGGAATCGGGGTTTGTCCGTTTCCAATTTCTCTCAGTAAACGATGTCTTGCACATTCATTGTAGCATGCTTCCATCTTGTGGTTATGCTCCGGGTAGCATCGTTGCAGGTCAAAGCAGCATGTATAAAAGGTGTGGCTCAGAAAATGAATCAATTTGGACAAGCGAAGCAAATCAGTCGTTTTTATTTTGTTGGGAACAAATGCGTTCGTATCTTTCATCCTTCTGGACAACTGAGAGTCAGAGCGAGGTGACTCGCAGCATGAGTGAGAATCAGCGCAAGTGGTATGACAAGGTCAAGCATGCGAGTCGGACGCTCGAGTAAGGAAACAACAAGAGAGCTTGGATTGGAGTACTTTGGCTGCGCAGCTGACGAATCCGCCGAACAGACTGATCCAGCAAAACATTCGCGAAGATGACGTGCAGGCCATTGCTGAAGCACTCAAGGTGAACACGTCATTGAAAGCGCTCGAGTAAGGCATCTCACTTTGATCAATGCATAGAAGCGGGTGGCTTCGGCAGAGGGTAATGAAGAGTGGCTTACTGCTGGACAGTCTGAGGGTGAATCAGATTGGCGATGCGGGAGCTCAGGCCATTGCTGAGGCACTGAAAGTGAACACGACGCTGACTCACCTCTAGTAAGGCATATCAATGTTAATGATGCTTGTGATTGGGCTCAAGGACTTCCGCCAAGAGTAGTTCAGAGCGGCTCACTGAGGCGGGAACGGGCAGTCTGGACGAGTGTCATATTGGGGTTGTTGGAGCGCAGGCCATTGCTGAGGCACTCAAAGTGAACACGGTGCTGACTGAGATCTAGTAAGGCATCTGAGCGAGTGATTTGAGAGGGCATTCAGACGGCTGACTGGCGGACGGGCAGCTTGCGTGACAATCAGATTGGCGATGCGGGAGCACAAGCAATCGCTGAGACACTCAAGGTGAACACCATTTTGACTGCGCTCGCGTAAGTCACCTGACTTGTGCTGGTGCTTGTGAGTGGGTGATCTTGCTGAAGGCGGTGAAGAGTGCTCACTGATGGAGGCGGACAGTCTGGGCAAGAATCATATTAGCGTCGCTGGAGCGCAGGCGATTGCTGAAGCACTCAAAGTGAACAGGCTTGTGAATCACGTCCGGTAGGGCATATGCATGTAAATGGCTGGCTTCAGCAGATGACATTCAGAGTGGCTCACTGGTGGAGGGACGGCCAGTTTGAATGATAATCAGATTGGCGATGCCGGAGCGCTGGCGATTGCTGAGGTTCTCAAAGTGAACAAGAAGCTGAGATACCTTTCGTAAGTGTTGATTGCTTCGAGATGTGTGGAATGTCGGAAGACTCATAACGGATGCAATCCACCGACAACAATAGTTTGAGCAACAACTTCATTACCATCGTTGGAATTAACGCATTGTGGCAAACAGGCAACACCATTTGTAAACTGGAGTAAGCCTTTGCAAGCTGATCGGTTCTTGCATGATAGTGATGCAAATCCGACCAGTCACTCACTCACGTGCTTTGGAAAACTTTATAGCTTCTCTGGCCAACGTGTCCCATCGCCTGCCATGTTGGCAGCTCGTGCCGCAGCGAACGATCAGCCCCAACCTTCCGTCAATCCTGCATCTGAGATTCAGCAATTGCGCTCCGAGCTCGCTTCCAAACAACAGGAGCTCACCACCAAAAATCAAGAGCTCGCTTCCAAAGCTCAGGAGCTCGCTGCCAAAGATGACGAACTCGCTGCACTAGACCAAGAGCTCGCTGCCAATGATCAGCAATTGCGCTCCAAGCTGGCCGCCAAAAACAACGAGCTGCATCAACTTCGCTCAAATCTCGCTCACAAAAAGCAGGAGCTCGCTAACAAAACGCAGGAGCTCGCTACCAAAAGTCGCGACAAAAGGCGAGAGCTGCAAAAGCTTCGCTCCGATCTCGCTGCCAAAGAGCAGAGCCTCGCTATCAAAGATCAGGCGCTTGCTGCCAGAGATCAGGAGCTTGCAACCAAGGATCTTGAGCTCAAGTCAGCTCTTGATCGGATCGACGCACTCGAGAGCGCCCAACACGCCGTTGAACCTTTCTCAAACTTTGACAAACCAATCCCTCAAGTTCCTCTCGCAACGCTTGTCGCCGCCACGAACAATTTCGCCGCTGATTCTCTGCTCGGCAAAGGAGCATTTGGTTGCGTGTACGGCGCCAATTTGCCTGGGCCTTCTGTTGCTGTAGCCATCAAGAAGCTGTCCGCCGAATCCAAGCAAGGCGCTGCCGAATTCAAGGCGGAACTGGCCTCTTTGTCCAAATTCCGTCACGCAAACATCATTGCCATTCTGTCCTATGCAGAGGAAGGCGACGAGCGATGCCTGGTGTACGAGTTCATGCCAAACGGATCGGTTCGTGATCGCTTGGATCGCAAGAGCAACACGCCTCCGCTGACCTGGTCTCAACGCCATGGCATTGCCGCTGATGTCGCCCGCGGCATGCACTACGTCCAGACAGCCTTCCCCGATCATGCATTGTTTCATCTCGACCTCAAGACGGACAACGTTCTCCTGGACGCATACTTCAACGCAAAAGTATCTGATTTTGGTCTCGTTCGCGCTGCCCAACACCTCGATGATAAGAGCTACCTTCGCACGCAGAACGTTCAAGGCACTGTTGCTTACATGTGTCCCGACTTCCTCGATGAAGGTCGCATGACCATCAAGACCGACGTTTATGCATTTGGCATGATTCTGTTGGAATTGCTGACTGCAGTCAAACCTGGCAACCGCCTGAAAACAGACTCGCGAAAGGCTCTGAAAAGCCAGAAATTCCTTGACATGCTGGACTCGGCGGCGCTCAAGCCAACCGAAGCAGAGCGCCAGAGCGTCAGCGAGCTTGTAGTGCTTGCGCTGGAGTGTCTTGAGGATGCTGCTGACGATCGCCCGTCATTTGGACAGCTCATTGCTACATTGGATCCTTGACAGCAAACAGAGGCTTTTGCTGTCACGCTTTTGCAGCTTTAAGTGTAAGCATGTTTAGAATTCAATTTCAGGTTCAGCTGTTTCAGCCTTCGCAAGCGTGTTGACCACGTCCAGCATGACTATCATAGTGACATACAGTCACTGAAAAATCCACGCACAAAGTTCACTCATTCAGTCCAACTTTTTCAGAGGTGCGCACTACTGTAACGAATCATTGATTACGATTTGTATGATAACGGATTGCGGGTTGAAAGCGACTTTTGAACCGAGTCGGAGTGCATCGAAGGCCAACCGACCTGATGATGATGATTGAACTGAATTGCGGCATAGGAGCGAATTGGGGCGCGGGGCGGAGAGAAGACGGAGAGCGCTTGGTGGTGGTGGTTGGGTGGGAGCGGGTGATGAGGGGCATTCAGCCGAGCGAGAACTGAGCGGTTGGACACCCGATGTTGCTGTTGCTGCTGCTGCTGTTGCGCCGTGAGCATTAGTGACGAAAGCGACGTAAGGGATGGACGTAGCGTGAGTGGGTTCAACAACAGTGCGATGATGAGCGGCAAAAGGGGGGGGGACTCATAAGGCTTGAAAAGGGGGGGTGATTTGGATTCCCATCATTCACCCCCCTCCTCGAGTTGTTTACCACACAGCAGTCACGCACGACCGCTGCAAAACAACACATTATCAGCCAAGTGTGAGGTTTGAATCACGCTTGCGGGTGATGACGAGGCGGTGACTGCGGCAAGGTCACGATTTGCGCCCCCCTTTTTAAGAGTGTGAAGTGAATTAGCGGGAAATTTCAACAAACAATGCTGAATTGTAAACAAAAGCAGTGAAACTCACATGCAATGGTAATCCAACCAACAACCAGACCACAAGAAGCAGCAAGAATAGAAATAACAATGAGAGTGACAATTAAAAATAAAAAAGGGGCGGGGAACAGGGAAGAGGAAGAGGGGGAAAAAAGAACTTCGATGAAGCAAGAAAACGGGACGACTTTTCGCTGGAACACGAACTTGAAAGACACCTCGTTTGTAACAAGGAGAGAGACAAACAGCTGAATGTTGCCATTTATTGGGGCGGGAGGCGGGAAAGAGCAACTCGAGGGGTTGAATTGGTCTTGCTTTGATCTCACCGGCTTATCCATTCACTCATTCACCCACACGATAAATCTCACATCATTGAAACTTGACGAGACTGCTTCCCCTGACTACCGATCGTTTGGTTTGTACGTTGTAGAACAGCTCAAGTGCGACAGTTTGCAATCCCGCTTGCTGAAATCCGGATTAAAACGCCATGCCTTCGCCGTCGCTCCGACCTCAACAATGGCGACAACGAACAGTCAGCACGAATGCTTTATTCGCGTCGCTGGTACTCGTCGTTGCCGCAGGCTGGATGCACAGTTTGCCATCTGCATTCGCCTACGAGAACGCTTGTAACGTTTGCAACTGCTATGCATTTACCGTGGAGCGCTGCGACCCCATGCTGGATTACATCCCACTCAACATTCCAGCGGCAGCAACCGAGCTGTACGGAGCGAAAACTGAGGCAGATTGGCTCGCATCTAGTTGAGCACCAACAAAAAAAAAAGTGTGACTGATTGGACCATGATTGGATTTCAAACAGAGACTTCTCCGACACCATGATTACATCGATTGACTCTTCGTCATTTGGCGCGTCTATTCTGGGCTCTGTGCGCAAACTGTAAGAAGGCCCGGCATGCTTTCCTGCGTGTTTATTCAATGTACGATTTCTGACGTGAAGATTGCCGTTTAAATTGCTTTCCACGACGTGTAGCCGAATCGCAAACGCGCAGCTCGCCAACTTGCCAGTCAACACATTTTCACATCTCCCAAACCTGGAATTGTTGTACGCAGTATAGTGCTCTCGCCACAACAACAAGAACTGGATTTGGTTTGTTTGACTCAAAGTCGTCAAAACGTGTGGTTTGGTTTGCACAGAGATCTTTCAGACAACCAGTGGCTCACAATCTTTCCTTCCGGTGCATTGCAAAGCAACACCAACCTCAAGGAACTGTACGTGTGCAACGTCCTTCTTGGCTATTCTGATTGTTGTGGTTCGGTTCCACCATCCGCTCAACTTTTTTGACCTGCTTGACAGACGATTGGCACAGACGGGCATCTCATCTCTGCAGTCCAACTCGCTCAGTGTCTTTCCGCTGCTGAAAGTTGTGTAAGCAAGCTGAGCTTTTGTTCCCATACTTTGCGTGTGACAAACTGATCTTGCGCACAATTCCATCGGAAACCAAACCACGACAAACGCAGTCAACTATCGTACCTGCAGATTACGACTTTGCCCACCGGTCTGCTGTCCGGGTTGAGCCAGTTAGAGGAATTGTGCGTGTCCATGCGATCGGCAGTGTGTGTCTGTCTACATTTGACTCGAAACCTGAATTCATGTTACAATCGTTGCCATGTTGCACAGGTACCTGGACAGTATTGACATTTCCGTAATTCCACCTGGCTTTTTCGATTCCAACACGCAGTTAACGGTTCTGTAAGCGCAGTCGTTTGCTGCAAAGTGTCGACCTTCCTCGTGCAGCTGCTCACACACACGTGCAAAATCCTCCTCGCAGTGACATTTCCTACTCGAAATTAACGACCGTGCCGACAACACAGCTGAACGTTCTGGCGAATCTTGAGCTCTTGTAAAAAATCAACGTTTGACTTGCACCTTGATGCGCATTTGCTGATTCTCGACGGCCCGACACAGAGACCTCTCAAGTTCTAGAATCGCCACCATGCCTTCAACCAGTCTCACCTTGCCCGCGTTAAAAACATTGTAAAACTGGCTTGCAGTCCAACCGTATTTTCCCGCTGTATCAACCCTCTCACTCTGGAATCGTCATGTAGATACTTGCAGAACAACGACTTGACTGCCATTCCACCAGGCGTCTTTTCACAGCTGGCTTCACTCGAAATTCTGTGAGTAGTCTAGATGCGTGTTACTGTGGTGCATCTGGCGCACGTCGCTCTCATGGCTCTGCGCATGGGCGTTTTGTATCAGCTTTCTCCATGAGAACAGCCTCACCACTCTGCCAGCAGGTTCCTTCCTGGGCTTGCAACATCTGGAAACCTATGAGTTTGCCCCAAATTCTTTTACGGTTGCGCCTCCCAGCACTTACGGCTCTCCGACTGATCCACAAAGTATGCCCAGCAGTTCGGAAGTCTAGGCAGTTGCCGTGCGAGTTTTGCTCACTGTGCCCTTCTCGCAGAATGCCATTACCAATGCGCCACCTGTTACGACTCTGGATCCAACCAATGCTGTTCAACAAACTGCGTCTCCTGCACGGTCACAGGATGTTTACTTTGCGCATCGGGAACAACTTGGAGTGATGGTAGTTGTTGGTTGCAGGATGCCGCCTCTTCCGTGTCCTCAGCTTCCCGCGTGTCCGTGGCTTCTGTTGCGAGCGCATCTGCCTCCAAAGCAAGCGTTTCAGTCCAATCGGCATTGTCCGCAGCGTCGATGGAATCCTCCGCGTCCAAGGCGTCAATTGTTTCGGCAACGTCAGCCGCTACGGTTTCTGCGCGATCGGCAACGTCAGCCGCTACGGTTTCTGCAAATTCGGCAGCATCCGTTATTGAAGCATCTGCGGCATCCGTCGTTTCTGCTGCATCTGGTTTCTCTGCGTCTGTTGTCTCTGCGGCATCCGTTGCTTCAGTATCGTCCGCATCTGCCGCCTCTGCCGCCTCTGTCACATCTGCACAGTCGGTCACATCGGTCCAATCCAGCGCGTCAGTGGCATCCGTTGCTTTAGTGTCGTCTGCTTCTGCGGCGTCTGTGGCTTCTGCAGCATCGGCAAATTCTCTGATCTCTGTCGACTTTGTGGTCTCTGTCGACTCTGTGGTCTCTGTCGCATCCGTTCGATCGATTGGCGGTGGATCCACCACCGCCACTCCTGCGCCATCTGCAGTCCAATCTCCAACTCACGTGCTCTCATCTGCGCGTGACGGATCTTCAGCCGCCAGTGTGGCTTCGTCCTCGTCTGCTTCTTTGGCTCTCCCCCCTCAAAGCGACCAAGCTTCGTCATCATCCTCTGCCATTGTCGGTGCTGCTGTTGGTATTGTGCTGCTCGTTCTGATCGCAGTCGTCGCGTTTGTGTTGTATCGTCGTCACAAGCGCCGCCTGCAGCCTTTCGGCTCGCGCATTTCCTTGCAAAAGTCTGACTCGACGCTGGTGCCGATGCAAGCGGTCGGTTTCCCCTCAAGCCAATCCCAATCCCAGAGCGAGGTGTACGCTTCGCCAAATCAGGTCGAATCCGCGTACGCGACTGTGGGCCAACGCGTGTACAGCAATGATCCTCCGAAGCCAAGCCCCGAGTATGCATACGCCACTAGCCCGGGACGCATCTACAGTGATATTGTCACGGAAACAACATCACTCAGACAAGGTCTTGTGCTTGGCGCCAAACTAGGCTCGGGCGCATTTGGGGTTGTTCTCCGTGGCCAGTTACCATCCAATCTCGTGCCTAAAGATGCCAAGTACCTGCTGGCGGACGAAAGACAGCCGCACCTGGACGTCGCAGTCAAAACCATTCCATCTGACGCAGATCCTAAATCTCGGCGCGAGTTTATCGAAGAGGCCCGCATGATGGCGCGGTTCGACAATCCCAATGTCGTGCGCGCCATCTGCTCCTTGCTCGAAGCAGAGCCTCTCCTGTGCGTGCTGGAACTGATGCCGTTCGGCGATTTGCGAGGTGTGTTGCAAAAGTCGATCAAAGTCCAAGTGTCGTGGACGCGTGCAGAGTCGGCACACGCCCTGGCTCAAGTCGCTCGCGGACTCGACTACCTCGAGCAAATTCGCTTTGTTCACCGTGACATTGCGGCGCGGAACTGCTTGGTCGGCGCGAATCTCGCCGTCAAAATTTCCGATTTTGGGCTGTCGCGCGCCATAGCCGAGGAGAGTGACTACTACCGCATGGAGACCAAAGGTCGTCTTCCAGTGAAGGTAATTGTGTTATCGGGGGTTTGCAGAGCTTGCAGGGAGGGTTACTGTCGAAGAGTATGAGAACAACCCAACATTGAGGGTTTGCTTGTCTACAGTGGATGGCTCCTGAGTGTCTATTGTATCGCAAGTTTACGCATCAAAGTGATGTCTGGGCATTTGGTGTTCTTGCTTGTAAGTGAAAATGGGGGGGGGATTCGGACATTGGCGTTTTTTCGCTGTTTTGCTTGACTTGTTGCCTGGGATTTTTTTAATTTTTTTTGGTTTTGTTCCTCTGCAGGGGAGGTTTACTCTTACGGCGCATCGCCTTATGGAAACCAAAAGGGTCCGGAGATTCTCGCGCAGGTGGAAGGTGGCTTCCGACTGCAAAAACCTGCAGGATGCGCCGACGTTGACTTTGAGCAAGTTTTCAACTGCTGGAATCGTGAGCCATTGTCCCGCCCGTCCTTTGCCGCATTGAGTGCGTACTTTGCGCAAGTAGCTTTGAACACGCCCGTGCGTGATATTGGTTTACTTGTTTCGTCATGAAGAGCTGGGAACAAACAACCATGTTGCAAAGAGTGGCTTTGCCTCGCTTAAGATTCGAATTGATTGGTGTTGTGTTTTCGTGAGATTGCCCTTGCTGTGTCCGCTTGTACTTTCAATGAATGCATGCAGACTCTATGGCTTGCTGTGTATCGCTCCATGGCTGCCTCGGCGGGGGCAACCTTAGAAACTGTCGTCTTTGCTATTTCGCACAGCGCTCGATGTACTAGTAGATCGACTCCCTCCTGCATTTTTATCGCGTTCTCTTTATTTTGGTCTGCTCTTCTTCCTTCTCCCACACTTTCGCCCGCACACACATTTACACTTCCACACTCTAACACACTTACACACCCCACACATATGGCGCTGCGTGTGTTGCTGTGGACTGAGTGGGCAAAGAACATTGATCTTGTCAACTTGTGATTTCCACGGCTCGCTCTTATGATTTGTTTGCCTCCACTTTTGATCTGAATTTCGAATCCATGTCGGAATTGAAAGCTTGGCCATCCATCGGCCTGCTTCAAGGGGAAGCCCTGAATCTGTACTGTTCCATCTTGAGCGCCGGGTGGTGGCTGCAGTTGTGCCATTGACATTCCAATCACTTACGGATCGATTCCAGTATGGTTTTAGCCGAAACTTGCAATGTATTTCGAGTTGTGCGGGTGCTGGGGTGCATTATCCTCGCGGTCTTTCCACGCGCCCTTCCCGTAATAGTCCAACACTTGATCGGTCATTTTTTTTTTTTTTTTTGAAAGTCTCATCGTTTATTTCCCTCCCCGTCCGCGCTTTGCTCGCCATTTGGTAACAAACCCAAGTCGAGCTGCATCATCAAACCCACTGCTCTCTTTCAACTGTCTCGGCTCTTCTGCAGTCGCATCGCGAGGTCGGCAATGACAGCTAAACGATAAGGGAGTGTGGGCTAAGGCTAAAGCGCTCAGGTCGGGAAACTACTCTCGGTCTCGGCCTCGTTCTCTCTCTGTCTCCCTCCCTCTGCTCCTCTGATGAGCTTGGTCGCAGTAAGCAGAAGAAAGGGATGGCGAACAGTGGGGCCCTGCCACTGGCCGGGAAAGCAATGGAATCGAAGCCATCAAACATTGTTGTTTCGCAACAAAAAGCACACACCCAATTCAAACGGCTTAGAGCAGCGCCGTTTTGCCGCTTAGACAAGCAACTAGTGAGAATGAGCTGGTGGGAGACGTGGGGAGGGGACTCTGCACATGCGTCAGCCTTGTATGGGCTGCTTGTTTATATCGCTTCAATCACATATTCTCGGACCTCTTCGCGACGATCACCTCTCAACACAACCCCCTATATAGATTCACTCACACACGGCACAGACTCAACCACTCGCATCCTGACTCCCAGACTGCCTCGTCACTAGATTTATGCATGTGCACGAAACGAGCAAACGGGCATGACCCAATTGGAAACCCAACTCAGTTTGATCATTGATCAGTAGCCCAACAGGTCCTTTTCAAAGTGCGCATACTGCTCGTCAAGAACAGGCTTTTTTTTTTGTGCCCGCCTGTTGGTCCGGACTTTTCTCGTGACTGTTCAATGCGCGTCGGGAGGGTTTCGCTGCTCGCCCTTGCCGCTCTTGCGGCTTTTCTACCGTTTGTTTTGGGACAAGACTGCACAACCACCGTCTCCACAGCGGCCGACTTGGACCAGGCACTGCGCGGTTTTACGACCGATGTCGTCGTGTGCATCCAGCCAGGAACATACGCACTCAACAACCCTATGATCTATGTCAGCAGGACTGTTCGCGGTTTGGGAGCAGGCCCTGGGGATGTAATCATCACTCCATATTATGCTGGCAACGGCAACGTACTTAACGTGAATTCCATGCAGCCTGTCACTTTGAGCAATTTCCGACTGTCCGGCGGTGAAACTGGCCTGGTTGTGACGAATGCCGCTAATGTAATCATCTCAAACCTCATTGTGGACTCGAACACGCAAACTTCATCCGGACAAGCCGCTGGCATCCACCTTGGCAGCAGCGTCACAATCAGTATTACGGACTCTATCATTTCCAGCAATGCCGCTTATGGTAAGTTCCATACATTGAGTGAGAGCTCATTGTGATGTGCTGGATGAGAACACACTGAACGATGAATTATTCAATTTTTGGAACGTTGATAGCATATGGCGGTGGCATGATTGTGGCTGGTGCAAGCAACGTTCAACTCACGAACGTGACTTTCGTCGGCAACTCGGGAGATCTAAGTTCGAGTTTCTCAGAAGGGTATGGTGGCGCGATCGCTATTTCCGGAAGCGACAGCACGGTAACCATAACTGGATGCACGGTAAGCACTGCCAAGAGACACTATGTCGACGCAATGGTTGCTTTCGTTTCGCTTGTTGTGCCTCATGTGAAACTCGTATCATTGTCTCTAGTTTATTAATAACACGGCCGAAAATGGAGGTGCCATTGGCATCACGGAGCATATGACCGGCGTCCAGGTGGCTATCTCCAAGTCCACGTTCTCAGGCAATATTGCCGAAGACAGTGGTCACGCCTTTTTTTCTGACAGCCAGACTGTACGTATTGCTTTACAAGACCATGCTTTTCCTGGAAGAAGATGAATCTTACCGCCCCCCCCCCGAAACTGTGAAACATAGACTACACTTGTGATTTATCAGAGCACGTTTACTGGCAATGTCGACACCGAGAATGTTGCCAACACTACGAGCATTTGGCTTTCTACAACTGGCTTTGCGAGAGTGTTGATCTATAACATGATATCTTCCGGCCAGAATTTCACAACACCGCGCAACTGGGACATTGATATCGAGTCCGCGTCCGGATTGGCTCTGTGGACTACGAGCGACGCCGCGCGCCTCACCACGCCCTCCACTTTCAAGTCTGCCGACTCGGCTCCGGGCATTTTCTGTCCGTATGCCACCGCTCAAGGAGCGACAACTTGGATGATTAGTGTCATTGACGAGTGCACGTTTGCTTCGCGACTGTCCGTTGCCACAATTTCGGCGTCGCGTGCTTCCGCCTCCGCCATGTCCAAGGTGTCATTTACATCCGCTGTGTCGGCATCCTCCGCCTCAGCACGATCTGCAGTGTCGGCCGCGTCGGTGCAATCCTCCCTCTCCATTGTTTCTGCGAAATCGGCAACGTCAGCCGCAACGGTTTCTGCAAAATCGGCACTGTCTGCAGCATCGATGGAATCCTCCGCTTCCAGGGCGTCGGTGATTGCGGCAACATCAGCCGCTTCGGTTTCTGTGCAATCGGCAGCATCCGTCATTGAAGCAGCTGCCGCCTCTGCCGCCTCTGTCACATCTGCACAGTCGGTCACATCGGTCCAATCCAGCGCGTCAGTGGCATCCGTTGCTTTAGTGTCGTCTGCTTCTGCGGCGTCTGTGGCTTCTGCAGCATCGGCAAATTCTCTGATCTCTGTCGACTTTGTGGTCTCTGTCGACTCTGTGGTCTCTGTCGCATCCGTTCGATCGATTGGCGGTGGATCCACCACCGCCACTCCTGCGCCATCTGCAGTTCAATCTTCGACTCACATTCTCTCATCTGCACGTGACGGATCTTCAGCCGCCAGTGTGGCTTCGTCCTCGTCTGCTTCTTTGGCTCTCCCCCCTCAAAGCGACCAAGCTTCGTCATCATCCTCTGCCATTGTCGGTGCTGTTGTTGGTATTGTGCTGCTCGTTCTGATCGCAGTCGTCGCGTTTGTGTTGTATCGTCGTCACAAGCGCCGCCTGCAGCCTTTCGGCTCGCGCGTTTCCTTGCAAAAGTCTGACTCGACACTGGTGCCGATGCAAGCGGTCGGTTTCTCCTCAAGCCAATCCCAATCCCAGAGCGAGGTGTACGCTTCGCCAAATCAGGTCGAATCCGCGTACGCGACTGTGGGCCAACGCGTGTACAGCAATGATCCTCCGAAGCCAAGCCCCGAGTATGCATACGCCACTAGCCCGGGACGCATCTACAGTGATATTGTCACGGAAACAACATCACTCAGACAAGGTCTTGTGCTTGGCGCCAAACTGGGCTCGGGCGCATTTGGGGTTGTTCTCCGTGGCCAGTTACCATCCAATCTCGTGCCTAAAGATGCCAAGTACCTGCTGGCGGACGAAAGACAGCCGCACCTGGACGTCGCAGTCAAAACCATTCCATCTGACGCAGATCCTAAATCTCGGCGCGAGTTTATCGAAGAGGCCCGCATGATGGCGCGATTCGACAATCCCAATGTCGTGCGCGCCATCTGCTCCTTGCTCGAAGCAGAGCCTCTCCTGTGCGTGCTGGAACTGATGCCGTTCGGCGATTTGCGAGGTGTGTTGCAAAAGTCGATCAAAGTCCAAGTGTCGTGGACGCGTGCAGAGTCGGCACACGCCCTGGCTCAAGTCGCTCGCGGGCTCGACTACCTCGAGCAAATTCGCTTTGTTCACCGTGACATTGCGGCGCGGAACTGCTTGGTCGGCGCGAATCTCGCCGTCAAAATTTCCGATTTTGGGCTGTCGCGCGCCATAGCCGAGGAGAGTGACTACTACCGCATGGAGACCAAAGGTCGTCTTCCAGTGAAGGTAAGTGTGTCATCGGGGGTTTGCAGAGCTTGCAGGGAGGCTACTGTAGAAGAGCGTGAGAAGAAACCAACATTGCGGGTTTGCTTGTCTACAGTGGATGGCTCCTGAGTGTCTATTGTATCGCAAGTTTACGCATCAAAGTGATGTCTGGGCATTTGGTGTTCTTGCTTGTAAGTGAAAATGGGGGGGGGATTCGGACATTGGCGTTTTTTCGCTGTTTTGCTTGACTTGTTGCTGATGCTTGGGATTTTTTTAATTTTTTTTGGTTTTGTTCCTCTGCAGGGGAGGTTTACTCTTACGGCGCATCGCCTTATGGAAACCAAAAGGGTCCGGAGATTCTCGCGCAGGTGGAAGGTGGCTTCCGACTGCAAAAACCTTCGGGATGCGCCGACGTTGACTTTGAGCAAGTTTTCAAGTGCTGGAATCGTGAGCCATTGTCCCGCCCGTCCTTTGCCGCATTGAGTGCGTACTTTGCGCAAGTAGCTTTGAACACGCCCGTGCGTGATATTGGTTTACTTGTTTCGTCATGAAGAGCTGGGAACAAGCAACCATGTTGCAAAGAGTGGCTTTGCCTCGCTTAAGATTCAAATTGATTGGTGTTGTGTTTTCGTGAGATTGCCCTTGCTGTGTCCGCTTGTACTTTCAATGAATGCAGACTCTATAGCTTGCTGTGTATCGCTCCATGGCTGCCTTGGCAGAGGGGGAAGGCAAATCTCAGAAACTGTCGCTTGTCAAAATGGCAAACTTCCTTCGCACTTTTCCTCCCCTTGTCCCCGCCCCCCCCCCGTAATTCCCCACCACGACTCATCAATCACATTGACAAACAATCCCCCCCCCCGCCCCCCCCCCTCTCCCTTGCTCGGATTCAGCTTTTCCAAAGTTAGTTGTTTCAGATTCAGTCTTCTATCTCGAAACCGTTTATAATCAAAAATCCCCTAATAATGCTGTCTCGCGTTGCACTGACTTGCGCTCGTCGCCTGACGCAATCGACCGCGGCGTCAATCCAACAGCAACACCAGCAGCCGCGCGCACTGCTGTCGATGGGCGCTTCTGCTGCTCGTGCTGCCGCGGGTGCTGGATCGTCCAAGCAGCAGGCGTACGTTTCGCCGTTCGACGAGCGCCCGCAGTTGACCGACGAGCACCGCATCTTCCGCGACGCCGCCCGCCGCTTCTTCGAGACGGAGGTTGCCCCGCACCACGCAAAGTGGGAGCAGGACGGAATGGTCTCCCGCGAGGTCTGGGAGAAGGCCGGCGCTGCGGTAAAGCAATGGAAGAAAGAAGCCGAAAATCACGTTGTTTTTTGAAATTGAAATTGGGGAAAAAAACAAAAAAAAAAAAAAGCGGATTTATTTTTATTTATTTTTATTTTTATTTATAATTTTGTTTATTTTTATTTATTTTTATTGTTCTTTTTGAGATTTTTGTTTTTTTTTTTCCCTTTCATTTTTGAAGGTTGGCTGTTTTGAGTTGAAGCTCGCTTTTTTTTTTTGTTGTGTGTTGATTGGATTGAAACGAAAAAGCTGGAATTGTGGTCGAAAGCAAAAAGCCAGGGATTTTGAAAAGGCAATTGAGGAGGTCACCCACTCACTCAATGCTTGTTGCAAAAACACGCGATCTGCATCGTAATGTCGTTGGAATGAGCGCCAAACTACTGATCCGGGTTACTGATGGAGCGTTGCGGGAGGGAGATAGAGAGAGAGAGAGGAGACAGATCAAGAAGAAAACGCGTTGACCAACAATCTCAGACACTCAGACTCACAATCACCCATGACTCAATGTGCAATTTAACAGGGCCTGCTTGGTACGACCATCCCCGTCGAGTACGGCGGTGGCGGTGGTGATGCTTTCCACGCTGCGATTGCTGTCGAGGAGCAGCTTCGTCTTCAGCTCTCTGGCCCGGGCTTCTCGCTCCACTCGGATATTATCATTCCGTATGTACAATATTTTCAGAATGTGACTGGCAACTCCTTTTTTTTGGGAGCTACTGGGAAATGGACCAGGCATAACAATCGCTAAACCTCTCACGAAACCATCCACAATACAGGTACATTCTGCACTACGGCTCGGAAGAGCAAAAGCAAAAGTGGATCCCGCTCATGTGCCAAGGCAAGGCCATCAGCGCCATCGGCATGTCCGAGCCATCTGCTGGCAGCGATCTTCAGGGCATCAAGACCACCGCCGTGCGCGATGGCGACGATTATGTCATTAACGGCTCCAAGATTTTCATCTCCAACGGCCAGATGGCTGACATTATCGTGCTCGTCGCCAAGACCGATCCGAGCAAGGGTGCCCACGGCACTTCCCTGATTCTTGTCGAGACCGACCGTCCCGGCTTCCAGCGTGGTATGGATTTTCATGGCTGATGATTGCTCGTTTCTCCACCTGCTTATGCCAACTTTGATGCTGACCTGCTTGATTTTTTTTGAAACCATCCCTACAGGCCGCAACCTGAAGAAGCTCGGCCTCAAGGCTCAAGACACCTCCGAGCTCTTCTTTGACAATGTCCGCGTCCCCGCGTCCAACTTGCTTGGCAAGGAAAACCACGGCTTCAAGTACCTTATGCAAGAGCTCGGCACTGAGCGTCTTGTCATTGGCGTGCTCTCCCAGGCTTCGGCCGAGGGTGTCTTTGCCGACACTGTCAAGTACGTCAACGAACGCCAAGCCTTCGGCAAGTCGATTGCCTCGTTCCAGAACACCAAGTTCAAGCTGGCAGAGATGAAGACGCAGCTGTCTGTTGGCCGAGTTTTCATTGATCGGTGAGTTTCTGGAGTTTGGGGGCTGGGTTTGTGCTGGTCTTCTTTGGGCCATGCCCCGAGACCAATTTCGCCATCCTCACTGTTCGACTCTCTTCACGCGTTCATACAGCTGCCTCGAGCTCCAGAACCAGGGCAAGCTCGACCCCGTCGCCGCGGCCATTGCCAAGCTGCACGCTGGTGACATGCTTGCAAAGATCACCGACGAATGCCTGCAGCTGCATGGTGGCTATGGTTTCATGTGGGAGTACACTGCTGCTCGCGCCTACGCCGACGCTCGTGTTCAGCGCATCTATGGTGGCACGAGCGAGATCATGAAGGACATTATTTCGCGCACCCTTTAAAAAAAAAATGGCAAGTGCGTGTTTTGATGCTCAATCTGCGCCAATTACATCTTGGCCACTGTTTCTCTCGTTGTAAATGTGCTTTTTTTAATCAATGAAGCTAGTTGCATTGGATCTGGAATATCTGCAACGCTTTTCGGTCAAAACACTACAGTATTCAACGTAGCATAGACTAAGACTGGATGTCAGAGAGCCTCTCCCCCTCAGCTGTGCCAGAGCGACCGTCACTGGCACCAACAAACCCCACCTGTACTCAACTTTGCTCTGTCCTCGCTCTCGCAGAGTACTGGGCTCTTGCTGTTAAGCTGAATTTGTTTGTATTTGTATTTTGACTGGTTTTGTGTTTTGGCTGTGTGGTTTGTTCGCATTTTCGGAGCATCATGACTAGCTGTTTGTTCAGCGCCCGCGTACAGCGCAAGCTTCAGTGGCGATTCCGTTGATGTTACGACCAAGATTGAACACACCCAGTACATGCATTTGAGCTCTCCGCTCTAGCTCACGAACTATGAACAGAAGAGCCAAAAGTACGAATCGGGAAATGCGCAGTCCATTTTTTGTATTTTTGTTTCCAGATTTCGCTTCCACATGCAGAGTATGAATCCAACTCAGCGCGAGCTGTTTGAACTTGCCAAGAATGCGAGTGGAGTGCTCCAGTAAGAAAAAGCCGAGTCTATGGAAAAGCAAGCGTGACAGAGCGTGCGCTGACGAATTTGACAGTCTGATTGGCAAACAGCTTAGCGATGCGGACGCCCAGGCAATTGCTGAGGGCCTCAAAGTGAACACGACGCTGGACACACTCTTGTAAAGCATCTCACTTTGACGGATGCATGAGAATGGGTGATGCAATAGAGGGTGTTACGTGTGGCTCACTGATGGAGGAGTTGGATAGTCTGGGTCAGAATCAAATTGGCGATGCTGGAGCTCGAGCAATCGCTGAGGCAATTCAAGCAAACTCGACGCTGACTGGTCTCGGGTAAGAAATCTCACTTTGACTGGTGCATGAGAATGGCGATCCAACAGAGGGCAGTAAGGGTACTCACTGTTGGAGGGATGGACAGCCTATACGAGAATCAAATTGGCCATGCTGGAGCGCAGGCTTTTGCTGAGGCTCTCAAAGAGAACCAGACCTTGCGTCATCTCGCGTAAGCTACCTCACAAGTACCGATGCATGTGGGTGGTGATGTAGCAGAGCACAGTAAAAAGTGCTCACTGATGCAAGGCATGTGCAGACTGAATGGCAACCAGATTGGCGACGCTGGAGCGCAAGTGATTGCTGAGGCGCTCAAAGTGAACACCACGCTGACTGACCTCCAGTAAGCATTGATTGCTTCAGGACGCTCTGAAGGTCGTGAGCTCATGCGACAATCTGCCGATGAAACAATGAAATGTTTGCAGTTTGAAAGATAACTTCCTGAGCAACGCTGGAACCACTGCACTCAGGCAAACGGGCAATATCACTTGTACATTGTTGTAAGGCTCTGCATTTTTGACTGGTTTCTTGCACAAAGCGCTTGAACAACAAACCATTCACTTGCTCCATCGCCAGCCGAATTGGCTCAGATTGCAGCTGGTGCCGCAGCAAAGGCTGCGACTGAGATTCAGCAATTACGCTCCAAGCTGGCAACCAACGAGCAGGAGCTCGCTTCTAAAGACCAGGAGTTTGCAACCAGCAAGCAGCAGCTCGCTGCCCAAGAGCAAGAGCTGCAACAACTTCGCTCTGATCTCGCTGTCAAGGACCAAATGCTCGCTACCAACGAGCAAGAACTCGCTACCAACCTCCAGGACCTGCAACAACTTCGCTCTGAACTCGCTGCCAAGGATCATGAACTCAAGGCAGCTCTTGATCGGATTGATGTTTTCGAGCGCAATCAGCCCGCTGTTGGATCCGCATCGAATTTTGACGGCACCATCTTGCAAGTTCCTCTCGCAACTCTTGTCGCCGCCACGAACAATTTTGATGCCGATTCTCTGCTCGGCACAGGAGCGTTTAGTCGCGTGTACGGCGCCACCTTGCCTGGCCCTCGTGTTGCCATTAAGCGGGTGTCGGCTGAATCCATCCACAACTATGTCGCATTTCAATCAGAATTGGACACTCTGTCTCAATTCCGTCACCCCAACATTATTGCGATTCTGTCTTATGCCAACAGTCACGATGAGTATTGCTTGGTGTACGAGTTTATGCCCAATGGTTCTGTTCGCGATCGCTTGGATTGCAAGAACAACACACCTCCACTGACCTGGGCCCAGCGTCATCGCATTGCGGCTGATGTGTCCCGCGGCATGCACTACGTGCAAACAGCCTTCCCTGACCATGTTCTGTTCCACCTTGATCTCAAACCGGACAATGTTCTTTTGGACGCATACTTTAACGCCAAAGTGTCTGATTTTGGTCTTGTTCGCGTTGCCCAGCTCGATGATCAGAGCTACGTTCGTACGCAGAACGTTCAGGGCACAAAGGTGTACATGTGTCCCGAGTATCTTGAGTCAGGCCGAATGACTATCAAGACGGATGTCTACGCCTTTGGCATGATTCTACTGGAATTGGTCACTGCAGCCAAACCCGGTATTCTGCTGAAAAGAACTGCGCGAAAGGCTGCGAACAACCAAAAATGCATTGAGATGCTGGACTCGGCTCTCCACCCAACCGAAGCCGAGGGCCAGAGCGTCGGCGAGCTTGTCAACCTTGCACTCGAGTGTCTTGAAGACTTTGCAGCCGATCGCCCATCCTTTGGCAGTATCCTTGTGACATTGGATCCTTGATGACAAGCGGAAGATGTCGTTTTATTGATGTTGCAGTGTCTTCTTTACAGGTGTTGGTGTAAACCTGTGTTGCTGGTTCAAATTGAATGCGGACTCGAAATCCTTGATGCTGTTCCAATAGACTACTGCAGATCGACATTTTCTCACTTTTCCTGAACTTGAACTGCCATTTTAATATCGCAATGTGGCATGAGCGATGTGCATATTCAAAACCACCAATCATTGCTCCGAAACAAGTTCAACGCCGTCGTTTCCCGCCAAAACTCGTAAGCCGTCAAAATGGCGGGAAACGACTTTTAGCGGTTTCTCAGACCAGGGCCGCCGTGCATATTTCCGCCGCCTGCGTTCTACTCCAGCACACTCTATTTTCATCTAGGACATGCGTACTCCAACGGGGACGGGGACACCCAAGCAGATCGAGCGACGGGAGCGGCGCCAAGCTGTGCTGGATCTTCTCCGTCAAGGCGCGACTCATCCTGAAATCGCGGCTCAATCTGGCCTGTCTCTGCGTAGTATTCGGCGCATTATACAACAATGTCCTACTGGTGTCGCGCGGGAGGATGCGCCGCGCTCTGGTCGCCCGAAATTGCTCGATGACCGCGACCGCCGACGCCTCGCGCGCCTCGTCTCGAGCACCCCAGGCATCACTAGTGGAGCTGCAGCCGCCGCACTAACGCTGAAAGATGGTCGACACCCAAGCTCTTCCACGGTGCAAAACGAGCTGCATGCGATGAAGTACGTCAATGCTCTACGCGTTACAAAGCTCAAGCTCACTCGGAAGGATCGTCAAAAACGCCTCAAATTTTGTCGCGACCATGCGAGCTGGACTGTCGCGCAGTGGCGCACCGTAATCTTCTCGGACGAAGCCTTCATCAAGATCCATTCATCTTCTCACCGTGGACGAGTTTGGCGGAAGCGAGGAGAGCGGCTTGCGCCGGGCATGGTCAAAGAAACATTGCAGCAGGGAGGAAGCCGAATTCACATTTGGAGCGCTGTCTCTCGACGCGGTTGTTTCCCCCTCATTCCTATCGAGGGCAACCTCGGCGCTCACCAGTACGCGAAGTTGCTAGACACTCACTTTTGGAAAGGCCTGGACAAATTGGGAATTGGAAGCAACTTCATCTACCAGCAGGACAACGCTCCAGCGCGCACCAGCAAAGTTGTCGAAGAGTGGCTGGAGCTTCATCAAGTCAACGTTCTGCCCTGGCCGCCCTACAGCCCCGACCTAAACCCCATAGAAAACATGTGGTCGTTCATACAGCGTGGGGTGCTGGCGCAATATCATCCATCCAACCAAGCGGAGCTGTGGCGGGACATGCAGAAGTGGTCGGAGGAACATGTCACTCCCGCGTACTGTCGCAAGCTCATCGATTCAATGCCGACCCGGATTCAGGCTTGCATCAAAGCCAAGGGTGGTCACATCGATTATTGAGGTCCGTGCATGCCGGGAAGGCATACTTGAGTTTGGCGGAACAAGAATTTTTGCACCTCCTGTCAAGCCATTGCGCGCGTTCCGTGTCCCAATATGAGTGCATGCTGTATGTATTGCGTGGTAAATAGTTCACAAAGTTTCAGACACCAGGCGCCCCGCAGACCAGAACTTTTTATTTGTACTGTGTTGTACTTGTTGCACGATCAGCATCCTCAACATCCTCACCATCATGCCTTTCGCCACTCGACCTCCATCTTGACACCAGCTGCTGTAAACAGATTGGCAATGGGGCACTTGAGCATCACTTCCTTCTTGAGGCCATCAATCTGCTCCTGTGACGCGCTCGTCTTGACAAGCGCCGTTCCACGCACGGTTTGGAAGCGCGCCGGAACACTTTCGACACCAATAATACCTCGAACGTCTGTTCAGCACCAGTCCAGACAAGCACGTCAGTTTTGTCCAACGGTGAGCATCGTTCGGTTTCACAGCAGACTTGGCAAGTTCCCAAACAAAGAATTTCCAGCCAGAAACAACTCTACAAAAAAAGAAAACTCACCCAGCTCGCCTTCGATCTGCATGTCAATGGAATCGATTGTAAATCCAAGCTTCTTTGAGATGAATGCAGCGGTGGCCTGTTCACATCCACAAAGTGCGACCAGCAGTGTATGCAATGGCGTTGTCGCTGAATCCGTTCCACCCAACTTGACCGGCTCGTCCGTCACAACCTACCCCCCCCCCAAAAAAAAAAAAACATATCCATTCAAGTTGGCGATGCTTGTGCTTGGTCAGCACAAATTCACAGCGTTGATCGGCAAACTTTGTCGCATTGGTTACAGTGTGCTTGTCTGCTGTGGCGGTGAACTTGACACCGACGCCCGTGCCTTGGATGGCAGTCCGCTTCCACATGGGGTTTGGATGGGTCGCCAGCGTCGCAGCACTGCGTCCGAGAGCGGCTGCAGCGCCGCTGGGAAGACGCGAGATTGGTGCCAGCAGAAATCGGCTCAGAAACATGATGAACGAAGACTGAAAATCTCAGTGCTTCAAGCAAGGAAAATTGAAAATAAAAGGGGTTGATGTTACGTTTGCTTTTTCGGTCAAACTCTCGATCTACTCGGTCGTATGAGGACCTGTGAATCTGAGCAAACTGAGCGAGCACTTTTGAATCTCAGTTTCACTCCCTTTTGACTGTTATTTCTAATTTGTCATTTCTCATTCACTCACTCTTCTTTCTCCTTTATCATCATCATCATCGTCATCTTCATCAATGGCAGACGCGCTTCAGTCAAAGCTGGTCGCTGCGCTCCAAGCAACGCATGTGGTAAGCAGCCTGCCGCCCGTCCTCCTTCCTTCTCTGCACTTGACTCGCCGAGATCACATGAAATGACCAAGCTAACTGATTGGCTGATGACGATGTCCGTTGGCAGGAGGTCGTCGACGTCAGCGGTGGCTGCGGCGCCAAGTTTGAGGTTCGTGTTGGCTGCGTTTTGCATTGGCGACGAATGCTGGTCTCATTGCTCGTGGATCGGTCTCAATGAGTTTGTGATTTTTTGTTACTTGTTCAATGGTTTGAATGGCAGGCCGTGATTGTGTCGCCACAGTTCGAGGGCAAGAAGCTGCTGCAGCGCCACAGGCAAGTTTTATCAAGCGTTTTGGAGGCCAACATCTGCACCGGATCGCGCTCCATTTCATGCATTTTTGATGCGGAAATGAATGAGGAGAATAGTTGCTAACGGATGCAATATTGACCCGGAGGAGGGGGAAATCGAGGCGGGAGCTGTACTGATACTATGGGACTTGCAATCTGATTTGCGCAGACTGGTCAACGAGACACTGGTGGAAGAACTCAAGGGTATCCACGCCTTTTCGCAGGTGTGCAGATGAATGATGGCCCTGTTTGTGGCGATGTGGGCTGATGAGATGGATGCTCAACTCAACGAAACTCTGCAACACAGAAAACCTACACACCTCAAGAATGGGAAACCAAGCAACAACCAACCCCGTCAACATGAGCAGTTCGCCCATTGTATATGCGTGTATTGTCCAGGCCTATGCGCCTGAATACAACGCCTTGAACAGGTGGACGATGACAGAAAAATGCATATTTCCAACCTTTTTAATGGCAAACCGAAACACAATGAACAGCGACACACCAGTGTGCCTATCTGCTCGCGATACACACTTCATACACACCAACAACTGTAACAACACAAGGACCTTGTGCCCTGTGGCTTCACACACACACACACACACAAACGAAAAAAAAAATAGCTAAACAAACAAACTACCTCGAGGCGTTGCGTGGCGACTTCTCGCGCGCTCATACGACACCAGTGTACTGAGCAATATCGTCCACAACTACTTCAAGCTGACGGACAGTGTAGGCTTTGCGCTGGGAGACGCGATCTTGGGCGGCCTCGATGGCTGCGGCGGCGGCGGCGGCGGCCGTGAGAGTGCCGCCATTCATGGATGCAGCAGTGACGACCGCAGTCACGAGCTTGGAGTTGTTCAAGTAAGAGCTCACAAGCTTGGGCAGACCGAGCGCAAACTGGCGGTACAGGCGATGGAGCTCGCGCGAGACGGAGGAGGTGCGCAAATCCATGGACGCAGCGATTGGGTGCGTCATGTTACAGCCTTCGGCAGCTGAATCCGTGAGCTTGCAGCACGTCCAGCGGTTGCCGCGGTAGCCACCAGGGTGGTAGTGCTGGCGAGCGTTGGGATTGCGGCCAGCAAAGTTTCGGAAGGCGGACAGCCACTCGTTTTGCTCATTGACATCGCTCGCGGCCACGTACAAGATCTGGTCGGCGTGGCGTCGGTTGCTAGAGATCATCTGAATCATGTGGGGCCGGTTGAACGCCGCCTGGTCGACCTTTTCGATGGCCACGACATCTTCCGCGCGAATGCGTCCGGCAATCTCGCCGTCGTCAAAGTAAGAGACGGCTCGGTCGTCAATCTGGAAGGAGCGTCGCACAAAGGTGGGCTTGGCTCCGACCTCGACGCCATTTTTGCGGACAAGCTTGAAGAGCTCGCCTTCTTTGGAGCTTTCGTTGCGCAGCCGGTGGTTGGCGGCTTGGTTGGTAAACTCAATGGCACCACTGACAGCAGTCAGATGGTCGATGAACGAGCGCACGCGAGCGACGTTTTCGACAATGAACGTGTCGACCGCGCTCATGTACTGCTCCTTGTTGCCTGCGCGTTGCCCGAGATTGCCCAAGTTTTGCAGAATTTTGGCCACCAAGGTCAGTGTGCGGGCAGTCGCGGCGTCCGGGTGCTCGTCACTCAAGCCATAGGTCTTGGGAGCGAGCAGGGCGGGCGAGAAGAAGCGGAGGAAGAGAAAGCCCGAAACGACGACATAGCGCAGGTGCAGATAGGCCTTGTCGTCCGAGAATCGCTCCAGGACGCGCTCTTGGAGGTACTTGAACACTTGGCGCACAGCCAGCGGACAGGCGTCAACAGAAGAGGAAATGGCGTCGAGCAGACGGCTGCTGTACAGTCGGAGGTTGGCCGAGTTGCGCTCAATCTGCGACGCGTTCGTGCTAGCATCTTGGCCCTTTGGCAGCTTATTGGGGTCAATCTCGCACGAGAGCTTCTCGGCAAAGATCGAGTCGACCACACCCTTGAGGGTGGTGTTGAGGTACTGCATGGCCGTCATTTTCAAAAACTGCTCCACCGACTTGCTGGCGAGCGAGCTGCCGCGGAAGAGGGTGGTTGGCTGCACAATGCTCTTGATTTCGCGACTGGCCAGCGCATTGAGCAATGGCGTCACCAGCTCCTGGTCGAGGAAGATTTTGATGAGGGCGCGCGCCACATCCTCACGATCGCTCATGACGTCCTCCAGCAGAGCAATCGCGCCAGTGGTCAGGGCTTCGGGACCGTTCAGACTACCCAACAGCAGCTTGAGCAAGGGGTCGTAATGCGAGATGGGGAGCACGTCGTCTTCCTCGTACTTGATCTTGAGACGGATGGCGCCCATTTTCGCAACAGAGGACTGTGAGGTCTGTCCGGAGGATTCGGTGCGCTGGATGATGGACGTGCGATAGTCACCCGACAAGGAAATGGACGCGCGGGTCGAAGGCTCGGCCGTGGTCGAGAATGTGAAGGGACGCGGCGCCGACGTCGGGCTGATGGCAAGGCCGACACCTGCGCCATCCAGAGCCGAGGCCGTGGCTGCGGCGGTCACGGCCATCGACACAGCGTCCTGTCGCGGGAACAGCGAGTACCACGCACCAACAGAGCGATCGAGATCCAGCTCGATCAGCGGAATCGTCACCTCGCCGAGGAAGCGCTCCTGGCCGTCGTCCATGACGTCGACCATGGTGACAAACAGCGTGGCCGAGTCGTCCCACGAGCCAAAATCGTTTTCGGCCAGCTCAAAGGTAAAGTAAGACGAGTTCCAGTTCGGGCACAACGTGTTGAGGCAGACGGTGCTCGTCTGCTCGACCAGGCTCGTTTCGCCCTCGACCTGCACGCACATGCGCACGCACGGGTTGGCGAGCACGCGTCCGTTTGCAACACTGGATGCCGCGTGGTTGCCCGATGCGGCGCGCTTGTCGTCATCGCGCGACGGCAAACCGCGCGCCTCCACCACCGTGACGACGACCTCGTACGGCGACTCCCGGCTCTTGCCCTTGGTGCGGTCCGAGACAAACCCGCGATGGTGCAGCCGCAAATCCAGGTAGAGCTCTCCGCGCACGTCGTCGACGCGGTCTGCCGGGCTCAGCGGGTACCACTGTTCGATCGTGTGTCCGCGCACGCTGAGCAGATTTTTGCGGTTGAGTGTGATTTTTCCTGTTTTGTTTGTTTGTTTTTGCCACAACAAACGTCCGATTGAAAAACAAGGAGCATTCGAGATTGAGAGTGAGAATTTGGTAAGTCGTAGTGTCCGGTAGTATCTCTTTTTGTTTGCGGTTGGTTGAAACAAATCGCGCTACTGTGTTGTTCACTAATCGTTCCTTGACAACCACCAGCAAATCCCTTCCAATCCGACTCTGCACCGCCCAAACCTCGGCAACTTGGCGCGCTCTCTCTCGCTCATCTCATCTCATCTCATCTCACCTAGCACAACCGTGCCCTTGCTGTCGAAGGTCGTCTGGTCGAGGCAGTAGATGGAGAGCTCCTTCCAGTCCAGCGGCAGGCTCACGTCGTACTCTTCGCCCCAGAACGGGAACTGCGTCTTCCACGCCGTCGCAGTCCGCACCACTTCCTCATGGTTGACCTTGATGATGCAGTACGGATCCACCTTCGGCGATCTGGGCACAGGGGGTTTCAATGGAACAGCAACAGTAAGCAAAAAGCAAAAAAAAAAAAAAAAAAAAAAAAAAACCGCAACAAAAGCCATTGGAAACCATTGAGAAAATGCACTCGGCAGTAAGAAACAAATCGCGGGCGGCGTGCAAACAAATCCGGATACGGCGGTCTAACAAAATCGACCCCAGAGTCGCTACCCCCCGGCTTCTTCTTTTCTTTGCTTTTGCAAAACAAAAAACCCTCACCCAAAGCGCTCGCCGAGATTCTTGCCCTCGCCAATGCGCAAATGGACCGAGGCCTCTTTGTTGAAGCGGCGCGCCATGGCGAGCGACAGACAGAGGTTGAGAAGAAGGGGAAACGAAAAAAAGAAAAAGAAAAAGAAGACTGAGAAACAAGGCGAATTTGGATCCATCCGCCAAGGCTGAAGCAACACGCAGTCACCGCGCGGATGGTGCAAAGCGATGGGAAATATCATTGGAACATCCAAGCAGCGGGTTGAAGGGATGGGAATAAAAGCGGAAGGGGTGCAAAATGAATGCGAAAAGAGAAGCATGGACGGCGAGGTGCCGCTCAGACTGCCAGGAACCCCGATTCGAGCCTGTTGCAAGGCCGTTAGTTTGTCAGCATGTACTATCGCTGATGAATGCATGAGACTGCGCTTTTGCAGACTTGCCTGCAAATTCAAACACAAACCAAACAACGCAACATATTTGCAAGTCATTCAACTTTAGCACAAAATGACACAACTGGAGCCGCAGAGCCTTCAGATTTTGCCAAACACTAAACAGTAGCATGTCATTGATGATTTAGTACTAAAAATGCAGAAAGGGGCTGCCAATGCGCATTCTCGCATCGGCGAACCAGACGTCACCTGGCCAATTGCTCGAAAGGTCGACCCGAAATCCCACCCCCAATCCTACCGCAACGTATCTCATGAGTGCATCTGTCATCATCCAAGAGAAGCGTCCTCATCACTCCCAGTCCTGATTCACTTCTTCAAAACCCCTCCAAATCTGCAAATCTGAGCCAAAACCAAATTGCAGGTCCAAGTAAAAATGTCGTCGCCTTCGCCGCTGCCGCCGGTGATGGTGACCTTTCCAGATCTCAAGCACGAGTACATCAAGACCTCGAAGAACGTCTTCCGACGGACGGACGTGGTGACGGTCGATGTCGATGTCGGAGTCGAAGCGCTCCCTCAGGCTGCTGCTGCTGCTCGGCTGGGGCTGCGGGTGCTCGTGCGCCGCGTCCTGGATCACGCACTCACGACCATCGTCACCCTCTCAGAGCAGGCCGCAGCGGGACTGAGCCCGCCGTTCTGCCTGCTGGGCGAGCTCGACGCGGCCGGTTTAACCTCCGCGTTCGCTGAGGAACCCTCGGCGCCCATCTTCAGTGCGGCTGCGTCTGCCGCTGCCACTGTGAAAGGCAGCAGTGCGCATGCCAACACTACGGAACCATCGAGCGGAGGAGGTGGCGGAGCATCGGGCCCGTCGCGCCACCGCTTTGTAACCACCTGCACGCTCAACCTGAACGACGCCCGCTCAAAGCTCGTCTATGAGCTCGACAAGCACTTTGCACACCGCAATCGATGCGAACTGCTCGTGCAGATCTTCCTCATCAATGCTAGCGCTGGTGCACAGTCGGTGCTCTTGGCGTCGGTGGTCTCGCAGCCGTTTGCCATTCGCGGCCAAGAGCATTCACGGAGATTTCAAAAGCAAGGCCGAGCGACCGCCCGTGCTCCGGCAGGCATGGACAATGGCACGTCAGGCAATGCAATCCACGAGGCATCGCCACCGGCGCAGCAGCGCAAGCGGGTGGCCCTGAATCCGGGTTTGGCGAGCGGCGAGGACGAGGACGAATTTGACACACTGCCCCCGCTCGCGGGAGACGCGCACTTTGGCTTGACGCCGTCGGAGCACGATGAGTTGCTGGATTTGCCCGAACTACGCACGTTGAACAGCATGCCGCCCTCGAGGAAGCGATTGCTCGAGTTTGATCCTGAATTGGCCGACTTGCTTCAGATGCAGCAGGGCACCGAATCGCTGAATGAGTTCTTGATCTCCGTCCACCAAACACACGAGCCACTGGTGGCCGAGATGCAGCACTTGTCAACCGAGCCAGTGACACTCTCGAGCCTGACCCCACAGCTCGGCACGGCCACATTGAGTTTGCTGCACCCAGTCCAGTCGTTTGACATCATGTCCCTGGCCGATCTGAACGCTCTGCTACCCTTCCCCAACGTCGACGCGGCCACTGATATGAGCTGTGATGGCGACAAGCTTCTGTCCGAGTTGACATCCCCTTTGCACTCGTCGAACTGGTCTTCGCCAGGCAGCTCGCACACCACGTTGGTCTCCCCTCCCTTGCTGCCGAGCGGCGGCTCGGACACAAACTTGCTCCTTGCGCCCGTTTCGCCAGTGTCGGCTTGCACTACCAGCAGCGCCCGTTCGTCGAGCTTGGGTGCTTGTGCGCCATTATTGGTCGACGCGTTGCCTTTTTCGCCAGGTGTGTTCCGGTCAACACCCAGCGAACAATGCGATCCTACCTCGGACCTCGCTGAAGCTGCACGACCGAGGCTTCTTCTCGCAGACATGGGCTCTCGCTTGATTGGCCGCGACGCCGACCGTGCTGCGGTCGTCGAGTTGATGCGGACTCACCCCATTGTCGTCCTGTCTGGTGATGCAGGCGTCGGCAAGTCGGCACTCGCCAAGGCAGTCTGCAACGACGCGTATGCCATAGGTCTTGTGGAAAAGGCGACGTGGAACTGCCTCACGATCGAGCAGTTCTGCACTGTGCGGTTTACCGACCGTCTCTCATTTTACGAGTCGGTCGCCAAACAGCTCGGCTTGCAGCCCTCCCAAATTGCACCATCTGAAATCGAGGCCAAAGTCCGGCTGCACCTTCGCGACCATCCGACTGTGCTTGTGATTGACAACTTTTCGCTGGGCGAGGCCTTCGAAGCCAAGAGCCTTAAAGCCGTTACGGGCCAGACTTCTGCGCTGTCGAATGGACCTGCGCATCTCGCCCGGCTAGAGTTGTGGTCCTCGCTCCAGTTTCTGCCCGCCTCAACGCGCGTGATTGTCACCAGTCGCGAGCGTGGCGTCTTTGGCTCGCTGCTGCGCGCTGTTCCGCACGCCGTCTACACGGTGGGCGCTCTCACCCCCGACAGTGCATTCCGAGTGTTTGCCAACACGGCGCTTTCGGCTGCAGAGCTCACCTTGACCCCGCAAGACGAACCGCTCGTTCGCCGGATTTGCGAGCGAGTCTGTTACTTGCCGCTTGCCATTGAGATTCTTGCCGGCCAGCTCATTACAAACTCGCTCTCCCAGCTTCTCGACGACTTGCAAACATCACCCCTTGCCACGCTGGACGTCGCTGGACCCGCATCTGGCACCAACGCGTACGGGTTTTATGCATCGCTCGGCGTCACGTACGACGCGCTCGACTCTGAAGCCGCCACGCTCTTCTCCATCATTGGCATGATCGAGGGCCGTTTCACCCTCGATTTACTTCGCGAGTGTGTTGGTGAGCAAAAGACTTTTACCGAAATGCTCGATGTGCAACTCGCCGTCGAGCGACAACAGCAGCAGTCACAGCAGCAAAAGCACGAGCAGCAACAGCAGCAGTATCAGCAAGACATGCAAGCGCGATTTTACAACATTAGCCCCGAAGAGCAGGGTTTGACTGCGCCCCACGGTGGGGCTCGCCTGCTCAGCTCACGGTACGCTGCCTGCCGGCTTGCGCTCACGAGCGCCATCAATGAAGGCTGCAAGTCCTTGGTGCCGTGCTCGGCCTTATTTGCTCATTCCGTCCGCAGCTTGCTCGAGCGTCTCATCCGATTTGGCCTGGTCAAGCGCGACTCGTCCAGCTCCGCCTTCTACTTTATGACGGCGATTCTTCGCCCGTTCGCTCGTTCGAAACTGCCGACGGCCGTGCATGTGTCCGTGTTGACTCGCTTGCTCTTCTTGTACCGATACAAGCACGCCGCCCCGCCCGTTCCTTTCAAATCGCTGGGCTCGAGGCGCGAGTTTGGCTGGAACCTGGGCGAGCCAGACAACCACTACATGCGAGTGGTGCTGGCGAGTGTCAAGGAGGCGACGCTGGAGATGAACAACGAGAGTCCCTCGTGTTCAACGAGTGCCGGGTCGTCTCCTGCCGTCGGTACGCCGCACTCTGCATCTGAAGGCTGTGTTGGCAACGGAGAGCCATGCGCAGTGGACCAGCCGCGTCGCCCAATCATCACCGCGATGGACGGGACTATTGTGCCCAACTACGGAGCAGCGTTTGTCGAAATTGCGGCAGATCAGTCCAATATTCTCCTGATCAAACAGCAGGTTCCGGCCGCCATGGAGATTTACAGCTCCATTTTCCAGACCTTTGTGACTGCGCGCTCTCGCTTGTGCTCGCAATCGTTCGTCAGTGCCACGCAACTTGATGCCGTGCTCAGCTTGTACGAGGACCGAGCAGTCCTTGTGGTGCGGTCTTGTCTTCGCCTCATTTTCATGCATGCGTCCTGCGGCGAATGGACTGAGTTTGCGCGCTTGGTATCGTGCATCTGGGAGCTGCTCTTTCACGCTGTTTCATCTGGCTTTGTCTCCAAGAACGAGCTGGACCATTTGGACACACTCAAAACTTGGTACGAGGGTCAACTTGCTGATGTTTCGACGCCACAAGCCTCGCCAGCCGCAGTCGGGTCTCTTACGGATGCCGTTCTTCACCGGATGGCGCAAGACGACCCCATGATCCGCACCGCCATCGGATCTCTTCAGATGTGTCTGGGCTTCCCGCTGTCGGTCAAGTTTTGATCTCCAGTGTGACTTGCTTTGGCTTTATTGTGTTAGTTCTTGTTGTTTCAATTTTAGGGTACAGTAACTTTCAGTTTTTTTGGTGTTGTTCACAAAGACAGTACAATCCGCCACTACAATGCGCCCCACGTAAGCTTGGAGACGTGATCGGTCTTGCGAGAGGTGGCCTTGATAAAGCCCATAAATTGCAGTTCGGAGACTGCTCGAATGAACCGCGCGCTGGCAATTTGGCAAAAGACAGACAGAATACAAATCAGGCAACACCAGTGAATTCGGGCAGCTGTGGAATATCCTCCCTTCTCCTCTTCCCTTCTCCTAAATTGGAGGAACTTACTGAATTTCGGGAGAAATACTGGCCGTCGACTCTCCTTCAGCAGGTTCCGCAGCATTCTCGGGATCGTCTTCGGCCATCTCAGCCTCGCCGTCTTCGGTGGCTTCTTTCGAGCGTTCCGGGTCGCTTTTCGATTTACGACCACGCCGCTTCCGTGTCAATAATGCCGAAGCCACAGCCTGTGAGGTTGCTTTGGCTGTGTCATTGTCGGACGTTGTTTGCACGACAGCGTTGCTCACATTGTCGACGACAACGGCGAACGCTTGAAGCCAATCGTACAAGTTGATGAGTCGGCCGCACTCTCGGTACAATTGATAGACAATGCAGGTATCCGGAATGGTTGAAATCCTGTTCCCAGGTGTTTCAGAGTGAGTGGGTTTTTTGTCACTTCAACAGCAACCAAACACAAGTAACACAATACAACAACCAACAAACTTACACTCGGCTACGGTGCTCCTGACCCAAGACTCGGCGGATAAACCGAGAAGGTCGCGCTAACGCTGCGTGTACCGAGTTGCGTGCTCTTCCGCTAAAGGAGCGCACCAAGTTGGCACTCGACTGGTGATAGAAGGCTTCGTGCAGCGGCAAGGACAACGGGGATACTAGAATACGGCGTAAAATCTCATCCAGCCCGTCGACAATCTTTGTCCGGAGGCGCTCGAAGCGGGAAAACACCTTACGTTTGCGCTGCACCAACGCGGTCTGCAACAGGGCCATGCGGCGTTTGGTGGCTTCGTTGGGCAAACCGGAGCGAACGTGCGGCGAGGACACGCCGGAGGCTGCTGCCATGACCTTCATTGAGGCCAAGACGGGAAGGTCGGCGGCAGATGCGGCAATCGCAGCCGACGGCAGTGCCGGGACCACGCCGGTCTTGGTGAGGGTCGCGACGGCGTGCTTGGCAAGCGCTGCTGCCGCGCGTTTGGACGATCCACGACGGTTGGGAGTAGAAGCAATGTCAGTGGTCTCATCAACAACATTACTGCTATCAGTTTTGGCGGGTGAGGAGGCGGCGGCGGACGATGAAGCCCCAGGCGTGGATTCCGTCTCATCTTCCTCTTCGTCGGAAGATGCCGTGAGATCGCCCTCATCCAGTGCGACGAGCTCGTCGCGTAGCGCGGAAAGCCTCGAAATGTCCTCGCCCAGCAGTTTGCGATGCATGGCCGCCTCGGCCGCACTCATCCACGGCGGGACATCAAGAGCGGAGAGAATCGCCGTCAAGCACGCAGTGAAGGCCTCTTGTGACATGATGCGGCAAATGGACAGAGCCAGGGCGTACGCCTCTGCCAAGGAAATATCATCTGCCTCGCGACCTTCGCCATTGCAGAGCGCTCGAGACTCAAACATGCCGTCGGCGGACGACATCAGGCTCACCAAAAGCTCACGCAGCTGGGTTCCGATGGGCCACCGCGGCACATGCTGTGAAATGGCATGCATCATCCGGACGCCGGCATGGAAGCGCACCTGCGCGCGTTGAACGGCATCCAGCATGTCCGAGGCAACGTGGTCGAGGTAGTCGTCAACCAACAAGAGGCGACGCTGCTCATCCCGATCTTGCTGGGCCTCCACAAGGGCCTGGAAGGATGGAAAGCAGCGCAGTTGCTCGAGCACGTCAGCAGGCAAGCCAAGCCGGTGCTCCTCCGGAGATATATTGGCGTCAGGAGCTGCCGGAGCAGAACTCTCTGATCGAGCACGTTTGGCGACGTGACGAGGAGAGCTCGTCGGCGCAGCTTCCTCCGATGGGCCATCCGCATAAAAGCCGTGGAGAAAGCGCCGTTTGGCAACCAGACACAGGCCGCTCAGCGGGTTGCCAGCAAAGTGCTCCATCATGGCAAACTGCAGCCCGCGCACAAACGAGTTGATGCTGAAATTGACAAACAAAAAGTTTTCCAAAAGCGCCACCAGCGGCCGGTACCCGAGTTGAAAGGGGTGTCTTGGCGACAAGAGCACTCGGCTCAAGATTTCAGTCAAGTTGACGGACGAATGGAGCAGGTAGAACTTTTCCATCTTGAGACGCGAAAACACAACTTGCGGCAAGAGTCGGTGAATCTGATTGTCAGAGGGTCACAAAGGGTCAGCAGCCAAATCTTTCTCTCACTCTCTCTCGCTGAATTTTCAGTCCAATTGCAATCGTTGACTCACCGCTTCGGCGGACGTCGAAATACCAAGCAGCAACACAATGGGAAGTGTGCGACGACTGTTGCTGCACATCAGTACAAAGTCCTGCACCGCCTTGGGTTGGAAGCTCTCAAAGTCGGAAAAGACAAGGACCAGCGGAGGTCGAGCACCGAAGGCAGCAGAGCCCTCCTCTTCAGCAGGACGTTTCCGGCCTCGACTAGAAGCAGAGCTGTTCTGGTCCGACAGTGTCGCACCGGTACGTTGGTACTTGTCATCATACCAGCTTTGAACAGTCTCCATGGTGTGGTTGGGAACTTTGCGTTTGCTGCGCAGCAGTGTGCTAAATGCTGGACCGGAAACGGTTGATTGACGGGCAGTTTTAGGCTGTTCTTCCGTATCGCTGTCGTCTGAAAGGTCGTCATCGTCCACACAGAGCTCTTCCGGCAATTCGGTGAACTGCAGGAAACACGACAAATTAGATTCGTGATTGGTTTGGTTTCCTCCAAATCAATCACCATCCAACACAAAAAAAAATCATACCTCATCGCCAGTTCCGCTCACAAGCGCTTGCTCGACAAAGGCGCGCATGAGACTGCGCAGGTTTGGACAGTCTTTGGACTGGAGCAGAATGACGTGTGGAGACACACTCCGCTTGACTTGATGAATGAGCTCTGCAAACATGTCAGAATGGTCCATCACGTTCACTCCGGCATAAAGGAGTGCTGTAGGGACTTCCTCGAACGGTTTGACGAGATCAGCCAGCCACGCGTGGGCCGATGGGACGGGCGGCGCTGGCTCCGATCGTGGAACAGTTCCTCCACTCTGTTGCAGAAAGCTCGTGATTTCGTCAAACACGCGCTGATTAAGGCTGGAGAGTAGATTTTGAACTGTCACGAGAAATGAACAAGTAAAGGGGAGAGAGAAGAGAGAGAGAAGAGTGAGTAGCAGGCGGAGGCAGAGCGCGCGAAACGAGGATTGCAGAGAAGTACCACAGGCAATTTCCTTACTATCGCTCTGAACATCCGTCCAGCAGGTCTGGAATGCCTCGTAGCGCAGAGAGATGGATGCGAGGGATTCGTTTGGAAAGCTCTCGCCGAAATTTGCGCCGGCCTCTTCCTGGTGACGCTGTTGCAAGTCGGACAGCCCCGTCTCTGATACTTCGTCCTTCTTGTTGAGACGTGATGACTTGCGGCGAAGTTGTGTCGAGCCAACGGCAAGCGATCCTGGCAGAAGCAACACAAAAGCGAAACAAGAGATTTTTGTCAGGAATCGACACACACCCATCCCCAACCTTCGACATCCGGTACAACTGCTAGCTGGTGCGAGAATGGCTTTCTCATTGTCCGTCGTACCATAGGCCTGCTTTGTCTTCCGTCGTCCTTCAGCAAGACTGCTGCTCGATGCGCTCGCTTGCTGGCTCGAGCTTGACGCTGCTGCCTCCGCGGCACTCGGTCCACTCCCGCCCTTCGAAGCAGAAGATGCCACTCTTGAGCTCGACGGTGCATTGAACAGGAAGCATGCCTCTGTGATGGACTCGAGCGTTCCGCTTCTCAGCAGCTCGTCCTCATCGTCCTCATCCTCGTCCAGATCGCCGTCGTGCCTGCGTCGCTGTCGTCGTCGTTGCAGTCCACTTTGATGGCGATGCGACGATGACGACGCAGCACTGCCCAGGTTGATCAGCTCGCTCTCGAGGTCCTCGTCCTCGTCCTCGTCCACTTGCTGCTGGTCCTGACGCGTGGTGGTCCGTTCGTCGTCCTCGACCTCGTCTTCCTCGACGTCGTCGTCCGGCACTACAAAGTCGTCGTCGTCATCTGCTGCATGGAGTCGTCGTCCTGCTGCAGTCCGCGTCGCAGTCGCCTTCCGCGTTGTAGAACGAGCTCGCTTGATCATTGTTGTGAAACGAAGTGTTTCAGAACTGAGACCGGCAGATTGGGAAATTGACAAAACAAAATTGAGACTGGGCAATGAAAAGTGAACAAGTCAAAATCAACAAATACACTTGATCGCAGTTCATCAGAGTAGCACAGAGCACTCGTCCGAAGCTGTAAAACTTGCAGCAGGTGCTGCTTTGTGCTCAGAGAACTGGCGCTCCAAGGACAACTAAATGCGCAAGTAAATTCGACAAAATTATCTTTGATGAATTGAGTCGTGTGGTGCTACCATTCGATTCGATCCCAGTCTCAGTTTCGTTGCATTGTCACACAGAGTCACACTTTGGCATTGAAGGATGCTTCTACTACGGCTGACTGCTCAGACTCCGAACGCCGCGCTGCTGTTCCAACACTGCTTCACTCGCAAATCTATTCATTGCACAAGTCTGCTGCATCGACGGACAACTGCTGCTGCTGCGGTGAGCTTGACATTGCCCGCGTCGAGCAGCGCAAGACCAAGTCCAGCAAGCTTCACTCTGGCTGCTGCTGCTGTTAGACACTATCACATCTCAAGACCAAGCTCATCCTCAGTGCAGTCGAAGAATGCCGACTCGCAGTCCGCGGCTCAGTCCGCTGCTGCTCAGTCATCATCATCCTCGTCGCGTGAATCCGTCAACGACCCAATACTCTACATGTGGCGCCCGCCATCGCCATTGTACATTCTCTACATTCGGTTGAAACGGCAATTGCTGATGACGCAGCGTGGCCGGATGGTACTTGCGTTCGTGGTCGGAGTGACCGTCTTGTACATGGTCGAGCATCCCGGACGCTTTGACTTTAACTTTGTCAAGCTCAAGCCAGACGTCTGGGTATGGCATGCATGCTGTGCATGTTGTGCAGTACTGTGCATCATGGCCGTGATTGCAGTACCAGTCCGTGTTCTTGCCGAGGACTCACCACCATTTTTTCGTAATTTTCGCAGAGCGACAAGACGCGAAAGCCCATGTTCTCGGATCCCGCCCCCATGCCATTCCCAGGCGACGAGGAGGCCATGCTCAAGTTTATCGAGGTGAGGGCGAGAGATGGAGCACGGATAGCAAGCGATCGCGTTGACGCATCTGACCTTCATCGTTGGTTTTTTATGTTTTGGAGGAAACAGCGCGAGAGGAATTTCACGCACGTCTCCTCGCGCGAAGGAAGCGGTGATCACACGATGGCGAAAGAATCGCAAGAAGACTGGGAGCGAACTGTGCGCGATATTGCCCAGCACATGGTGAGATCTTTCGGACACAGTTGTGATTTTGTGATCCAGATTTCGATATTTGTTGCTCATCGTGTCACCGTTGCATGCGCAGGTTGCCGTGGGGGCATACAACTCGATAGAGGGTGCGCTCGGTGACAAGGGCTGGAATAACAAGCAATCTTCTGTTGTGAATAGTAGCAGTTGATCATGTTCCATTAAACTTCACCATTCGTTGCTCTTTCAAATTTTGAAACCAATGTTAAAACGAGGGGGTAAAAGTACATTTTGGTAAAAAAACTGAAGGCGGGGGGGGGCATTAACAACACAAAGCAATCTTCACATATCAGCAATATTGACAGCCAACTAGAAAAGTATAAATCGATGAAAACGGTCATAGCCATAGAGCAAATCCACACTCTAAGCATCAGGAAGAAAAGAAAATAAAGGTTTTACATGGCAATCAGCGGGACATTGCTGGCCGGAGTCGCCACGTCGAGCGAGCTGATGGCCAGCTCCATCTCGGGATCGGTGCAGGTGCGGTGGTGGCGCAGAAGCGCGTTCTTGAGGACAATGATGGTCTGGCGCAGCTGAGTGGCGCTGCTGAGGAGCTGCGCGTTGTCGCGGGTGAGCATGCCGACACGGTCCTTGAGATCCGCCTCGTTGCGCTGCTTGCGCTGGCGGCAAACGACAGCGGCAACGCGGTTGCGCTCGCGACGGCGCGACTGGCGCTCCTCCTCGGTGGTGGCGGGACGGCGGCGCTTGCGAGGGGCCATGGGCTCGTTGTCGTACTCCTGGGGGCTCGAGTAGGCAATGTACGAGTGCGAGTCGCCGGCAATCACGCCCGAGATGGTGCTGGCAGAGGAGGCGAGCGCAGAGTTGGCCTGGCTGAGCACGGCGTTGAGCGACGGCAGCTCGCCCAGATCGCACTCGCTCGACGGGGGCGAGTAGAAGGGCACCGTGCCGGCAGTGATGGGGGCGGGGCAGAAGGACACCTGCGCCGCCGAGATGTGGTTCATCATGGCGGGGTTGAACGCCGTGGCCGACGCCTTGATGCCGTTCGCAGCCATCAGCGATACAAAGCCCTCTTGCGCATCCTCAAACACGGACGAGGCAGAGTCAGTGTCGTCGGCAGAATCGGCCTCGTTGTCGTTGTCGTTGTCGTCGTCGTCGTTGCCAGCAGCGGTTCCGGAAACTTGAACGCGGACACGCTTGCTCTGAGCAGCCAGCTCGTCGTTGTCGTCCTGCTGCGCGCGGCGTCGTCGCTGGTTGGTTGTGCTGCTGTTGCTGCTCGTGGCCACCGACTCCTCCGAGTCCGAGGAGTGGTGGTCGTATGCGGCGGTCTTCGGGGGCGACAGAGCGGAGGTTTTCGCGGTAAAATGCATCATCAACGCCGCCGTCTGCTGGTGGGGATGCGGGGTGACCACGGCCGACTTGAGCAGCGACGACATGGCAGCAGTATTGGTATTGTTAGCAGTGTTTTCGGGCAAGACCGAGACGTTCAGAATGTCCTCCGAGTTGAGCGAGTGGTCGTTGAGCCACTTTGCGAGCTCGGGCGTCTGCGCGCCGTCTGCCATATTATTCAAAGCGAACGACGCAAACGACGGCGTGTTCATCGACAACATCGAGGTGTTGTTCAGGGACGGCGCGACGAGCTTGACGCTGGGTGCGTTTGCCATGATTCGCTTGGTTTGCATGGTTGTTGTTGTTGTTGTTGTTGTTGTTTTGATATCTAAGATAAGAATAAAACGAGAAGGTTTGTCGTTATTGTTCGTGTTTCGTTTTTTTTTTTTTGGAATCGTTGATGCTTTGATCCAACAAAACAAAGACTGAAGTGAAGTTGAAAAAATGACAACAAAATGACTATTTAAACGGAAATGTAAACGAAAAAAACGAAAAGAAATGAAAAACGAAAGGCTATAAAAAGATTCAAACACCAAATTAGGACACGACGTAATGCTGACGTCGGCGGTCGTCTCATTCTGGCACGCTTTGCTATGACCTTCTAACGCCTTCGATTGTGCTGGCATTTTGATAAATTGCATTCGAGTTGGGGGGTTGTTGGGGTTGTTGGGGGTTTTGGTCTCGAATGGGGGCGAACTTGGCTTGGTTGAAGGAAAAAGCGTTGATGGGCACAGCTGGATTGTTTGAAACAAAACTCGCCATCGTGCACACAGCAGACCAGCCCGACCACAGCTCTTCATCTCAGCTCAATAAAATATGCTGGATTTTATAACACCAAAGCAGCTGGATAGAGATGCACAGCTGGGGGAAAGCGAGCACCGCGTGTGAATTGACTTTTCGTTTTTTGTTTTTTCCTGCAATTCGTTTCGTTTTCGCTCACTCGCTCTCATCTCCGTGTTTCAGCATTGTCGTTGAGCTGTTTCTTCTCCACGAACAAGTTCTGATTCGATTGCTAGTTCAGCATGTTTCAAGTGCAATCAGGGAGCAGAGCTCAAACAAAAAAATGTAAACACAAATGACATCATTTTGCCATTCATGTTGCTTTTCGCTGAAAATGCCATCATTCCATGAAATCAACAGAAATCAAAATTCAACGAAAACAGAAAAAAAAAAAAAAAAAAAAAAAAAAAGGCAGAAACAACAAAACTCTTGGCAGTTGCGCGCCAAGTGCAAACCAAACCATCGGTGAACCCATACAATCGACCACACAGAAAATGCGAAATCCGAAATGTTCAAGAAGCAATCGCGAGGCTTCAAAAGGGGGAACCGACAGCTTGTTGCAGTGCACAGTGCTCAACGCTGACAGCATAAAACGCTTCAGCACAGGTTTTCTCTCTCTCTCTCTCAAAAGGCCACGAAGTTGACACGAAGACACTCTGACAATACAGCATATAGCTGCGAAATGCGAAAAAACGCAGCCTCCTCTCTCCTCTCTCTCGGTGATGCAATGGTTCTAGCGTTGCTGGCGGCTCAGGACCTCATGTGTTCCATGCCAACCGCCTTTTCCCCCCATTCGCTTTCTCTCGCTTTCTCTCGCTTTCTCTCTTCTTCGCTGTTGGTTACCTTTGCTCTCAGAACTACTGAAAAAGCAATGGAAATACACACAAATAAAATGAAGAGTGAAAACGTTGCAACTTTTCCCTTCCTTTTTGCGTTTTTTGCAACGATTGCAGCAAACAAGCTGAACTTTTTTTTTGTGAACGACGGATTTCACAATCGCAAAAAAACAAAAGAACGCCAACAAAAAAGACCGCGCAAAGTGAAACATTTTTTTGCCACGACGACAAGTGTTTGACTGTTTTGCTTGTTCGGCGTTTGTTCGGTCTTTTTGTCACTCTTTTGGTTGTGGGATTTCTCGTGGATGAGGGGTGCTGGGGTTGCGCGGGGTGGACGAGTGACGGCTGGTGCTGGGGCGGCGTTGCTCGTCGTCCTGCTCGTTCTGCTCGTGCCAGCGGGTGCCACGCCGACCACCGACAACCACGCGTTGGATGCCTGTGCAGCAAGGACGAGCGCTGACGACGACAGAGACGCATGCGCGGGAGCGGCGTCGTGCTACATGGCTGCGCTGCCGACCCAGACCGCCACACCGCAGCAGCCGACTCCCAGCTCGCCAGACACGGATCGCAACGCAGCAGCAGCAGCAGCAGCAGCAACAGCAGAACAGCAGGAGCAGGAGAACGCCGCAACGTGGCGATCGGGTCCGCCTGGGTTTGACGGCGAGCTAGCCGCGTGCAACATTGCGCGTGTGGACGCAGGGCAAATCACACGAGCACAGTTTCTGAGCATGTCAGTTTGGATTGCTTATTTTGGTACTTGTTGTTGTTGAAGAAGAAAACTCAGACCCGATGGAAATCCAACTTGTCGAACATGACGAGCTCACCCGTTTCATCCTTGTGCATCTTGGCTCAAAAAACAGATACCACGAAAAGACCCCAGTCATCCTGACCAACCTCGAGACAAACACCCGCTTCCGAGAACTCACCGAGCGACAGGCGCTGGTCGAGTCGCACGGCGACCGGACGGTGACCTTGTCGTCGGCCAACACGTACTCGTACGACAAGCGCAAGATTTCGTTCAAGACGTACGTCGACACCATGCTGGGCGAGCAGAGTCGCACCATGCTTGGCAACGAGACGTTCTACATGTTTGGCGACCACGACTGGGCCGACTGGCAGGACCTGTTCCAGTTCTACGTCGAGCCGCCATTCACGCCCGACGGCATGCTCTCCGCCCTGAGCTTTGGTGTGGCGGGCCCCCTCTCTGGAGTGCCCATGCACCACCACGGCTGTGGGTTTAGCGAGTCTATTCATGGGAGGAAGCGGTGAGCATTGTTGTTTTGGTTGTAGTCGTAAACAAAGTCGACGATGCTGACTTTGTGCAAATCGACGGTTGCGTTTCACAGATGGTTTCTATATCCACCGCACACTGTTCCCAACTTTCATCCAGACCAGACCACGCTGCGATGGGTGCTTGATGTCTACCCGCAACTCAAGGCCAGCGGTGATCCCGACCTTTACGAGTGCGTTGTGCACCCCAACGAAGCCATCTACTTTCCCTCCAACTGGTGGCATGCGACGTTCAATCTCGACGAGTGCGTGTTCATGTCCACCTTCCTGGCGTTCTAACGTCGCTTGAAAATGAAAGCGGCAATTCTCGTTTATTCCAAGTTGTCCTTGTTTTTGATCTAACTTCCCTGTACTGTATCCCATTCCTACATTTTAATATATTCGAATTGCCTTTGAGCCTCAGTCCTGAATATTCACTCATCTTACTGTGCGCAATGGACTGGACGGCACTCTTGCAACAGGCACTGCCCGAGCTCGCGGCGAACGTCGCGTCAATCGTCCACACAGACCTGACTGCCGCTGCTGCCGGCGGCATGAGCGCCCAGCTGGATCGCCTGCAGCTCGTCTACAAGCAGCCCGACCACGCGGGCCCTGCGTCGCTGATTGTCAAGCGGACGTCGGCGCACGGCGCTGAGCAGTCGCGCGCGCTCGGGCTCGCCCGCGAGGCTGACTTTTACACGCTGTTGGCGCCGGCGATCGATCCCGAGTGCGCATTCATTCCGCGCGTCTACTACGCATCGGGCGACCGCGATGCCACGGGGCTCAAGACCATCGTCATGGAGGACTTGGCGCTCAAGGGCGGCGTCCAGTCGGGCTACTTTTTCGGAAACAACTCGATGCTCAACTGGGGCAAGGATCTGGCGACATTGACGCTGCCATTCCCGACGGTGACTGAGCGCGAGGTGACCATCCGGGCGTTCGAGCAGGCCGCCGATCTGCACGCGTCGTTCTGGTGCGATTCCGACCGGCTGTTGCGTAACCAGTCGCCCGAGCGCCAATTTCTCCGCGCCGCGCCTTGGATTGCCGGCAGCAACGAGCCTGCAGACCGCGAGAGCTTTGCGACGAGCGTTCAGACCGCGCGCGCGGGCTGGGACAAGTTTATGGCCGAGGAGCCGCGGCCGTTCACCCCGCACCCGCTCGTCGTGCGACTGATGGAGCACTGCCTCGGTGCTGCCAACTATGATGTGTACACGCGCATGTGGAAGTCGTCGTCATCTTTGTCGTCGTCGTCGTCCGGAGGCCTTCCATTCACCGTCGTCCAGGGAGACGCGCATCCCGCCAACATGATGGTCGTGCGAGCGCCTCAGCGCGCTTCGGGCTGGGATTTGGTGATGCTTGACTGGGAGGTCGTCGGCGTTGGCAGCGGGCCCCAAGACCTGGGCCAGTTTGCCATTTCGCACGCAGCGCCCGCCCTTCGCCGGTCGTACGAGCGCGAGGCCGTTGCAGTGTACCACGCCCGCTTGAATTCTCAGCTCGAGCACAAGGCTGCCGCTGCTGGTCTGCCGCACACCTCAGTTTCAGCCGATTTCGTATGGCGCGAGTACGTTGAGGGCGGCTTGTGTCGGTGGGTTTGGCTGCTCGGCCTTCTTGTTGGGTTTCCGCTCCCCGCACCGGCGCGGCAATACTTCCACGACCAAGTGCTTGCCTTCTGCCAAGACCACGCGCCCGATCCGACTGTGCTCGGCATGATCCGGCCCTAAGTTTTTGCTGGGGAAATGTACAAAAAGTGTTTTTTGGTGGTTTCTGTTTCGATAGTATCGTGTGCATACAATTCAGTGCTTTTGGTTTGCATTTATCATTCCCATTCATTCTTTTTTTATTTGTTCGTAGTCATGAGTGTCATTGAGAAGATCAGTGCGATTGAGAAGGAAATCTCCATCAGTAAGCCACACAATGCAATCCCAATAGCAGCAGCATTCGAGCCGTGTTCCTGACCCCCCTCCTCCTCCTGTTGTGTGATTCTTGCAGCCCAGAAGAACAAGGCGACGTCCTACCATCTCGGTCAGCTCAAGGTAAACCCCCCTCAACTCAGCTCACAGCAGCGACAGCCACATGAGTGGAGTGGAAAAGCAATGGAGCTTGCATTGGACGCCAGCGCAACAGCCCCGCTCTTCCGCTGTTTGTGGCACCGTTGGGAGTGTTCCCCAATGCTGAGCTTTGCATCTTGATCAAGCCAAGAAGAAGAAGCTCGCTTTGAACGAAAGGCAACACAGCAGGAAAAAAAAAAAAAAGTGGGATCTTTTTTTTTTTTTTTTTTCTTTCGTCGTTCTGCTTTTTCAATGGAAAGTCGAGTCAAACGAAACAAACACGGAAACGACTTGTCAACGTTCGATGATTGTCTGGCAAGCAAACAACAAAGTGAGGTGTTTTGTGGCTTGGAGAGCAAAAAGCCGGCGTCTCAAAGCACAGACAGCGTTTCGCATTGGACTTTCCACGAGGCTCATACAATACTGATGGCTGGAACGGCTCACACAATGGCATGCTGAGCATCGCAAATGCAGAAAGCACCTTGACATTCAAAAAAGTGGCTGGCTGTGTTTTGGAACGACTTGTACTGATCATCCGCCCCCGTTCACAGAGTCGTCTGTCCATTCTGCGCAAGCAACTGCTCGAGCCGAAGGGATCGTCGGGCCCGGCTGTTCAAGGCTTCGAAGTCCGCAAGAACGGTGATGCCACGATTGGGTAGGGCGCTTCGATCGAGTCAACTGCAGACAAAGAGTTGGTTTGTTTTGGTTGGCTGACTTGTTTTGGGTTTCATTGTGCAACGCAGTTTCCTGGGCTTCCCGTCGGTCGGCAAGGTAAATATTGCTTACGTTGATGTCCCTGTGACGAGACCATCCATCGCCATCTCCGACACTTAACCATCCGTTTGTTTGTTCTTCCCGTTTTCGCGTTTCGACAGTCTACATTGCTCAGCAACCTGGCTGGCGTTCACTCGGAGGTTGCTGCGTACGAGTTCACCACTCTTACGACCGTTCCCGGCATGGTGGACTACAAGGGCGCTCGCATCCAAATGCTCGATTTGCCTGGATAAGTCTTTCTTCTTCTCGCTCGTTTTTGTTGATCTTAAATTGTGTTGACACCGCCCCTTGGCTCATCTTTGCCCACCCTCGGTTTCTCCTTTTCTCCTCTCTTCGTTTCTTGCGCGTTCAACCAAGCACAATCATCTCCGGTGCCGCGGATAACAAGGGTCGCGGTCGTCAAGTCATTGCCGTCGCGCGAAGCTGCGATCTGATCTTCTTTGTGCTCGACGTGTTGCGGCCGCTCAACCAAAAGGCGTTGCTGGAAAAGGAACTCGACTCGTTCGGCATCCGGCTGAACAAGAGCCCGCCAAACATTTACTACAAGAAGAAGGACAAGGGCGGCATCAACCTCACAGCCACGTGCACTCTCACCAACCTTGATCTCGACATGGTCAAATCTGTTCTTGGCGAGTACAAGATTCACAACGCCGATGTCATTCTGCGATACGACGCGACCGTCGACGATTTGATTGACGTTGTCGAAGGCAACCGCGTTTACCTGCCCGCTATTTACTGCCTGAACAAGATAGATCAGATTTCCATCGAGGTGAGATGGGGGATGGTGATACGTATGCTTCTTATTCTTGTTGGGAGATGCTAACTTTTGTGTTTTTTATTATTTTTTGTTTCTGCTTGCTGTGACTCTCAGGAACTCGACGTCATTTACAAGATTCCGCACTGCGTGCCAATCTCTGCACACCACAAGTGGAATTACGACGATTTGCTCGAGAAGATGTGGGATTATCTGTCACTTGTCCGAGTGTACGTCGTCGATAGTGTTTTTTTGGGGCACTTTTGTTTTTGTTTGGTTTCTCGGCAGAGAGTGGTTTCCGATGCTCACAACCATGTCTCGCCCTGTTGCAGTTACACCAAGCCAAAGGGCCAGCTGCCCGACTATGAGGCTCCTGTTGTCTTGAAGCGGGGCAAGTGCACCATTGAGCATTTCTGCAACCGATTGCACAAGAGCATTATGGCACAATTCAAGTAGTAAGTTGATGTCCTTTCGTTCAGTCTCGCCCTATGCTCTGTTGCTGGTAACGCTGGCATTAACTATTCCCCTGTTACCTTCTGCACCTCGCAGCGCGCTCGTGTGGGGTTCCTCCGTCAAGCACAACCCGCAAAAATGCGGCAAGGAGCACATTCTAGCTGACGAAGATGTCGTGCAGATTGTCAAGAAGATTTAAACAGACTTGTGTGTATGCATTGGTTTGGTTGTTCAAATTGATATTCATCACCTCCCTTCTCACTGGGCTCATTTTTAAAGTCCAAACTATCAAGTAAAATCTAATTCCTAAGAGTTTTGACAACACGACAATTCAAGAAAGAGAGAGAGAGACAACATAATCCATCAAGCTTTTCAGTCATCCAACGCATCTTCCCAAAACCAGATGCGGTACTGCGCCTGAAGAATGGCGACGGCGAGCAGCTGGTTGCAGCAAATGATCATGAGCACAATGCCAATGTACGTGGGGCCGAGGAAGACGGTTCTCACGATCGCGGAAATGTCGGCAAACACGCGCGGGATGCGACGCTTGATAAAGTAGTAGCCAGCCACGCCGGAAAAGAGGAACATGAAGAACAGTGCAGTCACAAAATACAAGCAATTTCTAAACTGGCTACTGGTCAGCACCGTGACAGACCCTGCGGCTTGTGTGACATGCTCCGAGAATGGATAGAACGAGTTGTTCAACCCGAATCTCAGACCGGGCGCAACAGAGAGAAAGAAAATGCACGAGTGCAGCTGGCTCAGCACTTTCCACATGAAAAACTGGACCTGGCGACGATGGTAGCCTGGCTTGACGTTCGAATGACCACGATCCTCAATGTCGTCCTTCTCAATGGGCACTTGCGACTTATCCGTCCCGCGGCACGTGAAAACGCCTTTGAGAAACGCCTTAATCCAAACTCGGAAGCGGAACCATCTGCCATACAAGGGAGTGAGGGCGAGGGCGAGACGGAACAGGATGTAAGTATTCAGAGTCACAGTCATGTCACCAAGTGTCGCTGGTGAGATTGAAGAAAAAAAATAAAACATACACGTCGGTCAAAAACAGCAAGTATGCCATGTTTTGAATAAACTTGCTTGCAGCGACTGCGAAAAACGTGGCGCTTTCGGGATTCTCCACTTGTGGGTAAGCGACAATCGCAAACTACAAGATCGAAGAATGGTCAAGTTAGCCGCGTACTCCAGCAGCAACAACAACCAACCGAACAACCAACCAACCGACCAACCAACGAAAAACACAAAAAAGGCGTGCAGTACCGTATCATCGAGGTGCTCCATCCACAATCCAGCAATCAGCATCGAAATCTCAATCGGGAAAACATCGGTGATGGACAGCAGGATCTTTTTGAAGATGAACGTGACGATAAACAGGACAAAGGATAGAATACTTTGAACGGAGCTGCTGCCAACGCGGAAGGCGATCGTGTAGAGCGTCAGGAGACCCATCAAAATCAGCAGACAAATTTCCACCTTGAGGAAGACCTTGAGGCGGAAAAAGTACAATGCGGGGCTTTGCGGATAGATGATAGCTTGGCTAAAGTACAAGCCTAGAGATCCCCCCACCCCGTGAGAGCGAGGAGAAGCATGAAAACAAACCATCGCAATGGAGTGAGGAATCGAAGGCCACAACACACAAAATCCAAACAACAACAACAACCAACAAAGCAAAAGCGTCCATCTTACCGCCCATCGTACAAATCATCGCTACTAGCAAAGCGACCAGGCCCATTGCATGCCAGGACTCGAACAATCCGTAAAAGATGAGGAAAAACACCGATTCTCCCAGATAGGTGCCCACACAAATGTGGATGAACGAGGTCAACGGTCGCCACGGGACAGAGTCATCCAGGCACGCGCAAAACACGATGCAATTCAGGTACGAGAACAAGGAAAAGGTGACTGGGTTGACAACGAAAATCCACACGAGCTTGTCAGACAGGGCTCCATCGACATCGCCCAGCGGAATGACATTGTAGAAGAGGACAATCAATGCGATGGGTACCAAGAAGGTCAGTAGAACCAACACTGGATTGTGATATGGAATCCATGTCGGTGCATGCACACGTGCAATTGGCGCTGGAGGGGGCATCTCTTCGCCAAAACCATCATCCTCTCCATCGCCACCAATGCTCTTCTGGTGATCGAACGATCGCAGGTGGGGATGCTCCGAGCCTGGCAACAGCAAGTTTTCCGAAAGGGCAGCAATGTCCTCTTCCGACTGGGCGTTGCTAGCGTCGTGGTCGACTGAGGGGACTGACAGGCCGACAGTAGTCAAGCGAATGTCAGAAGAAGCCGACGACGACGAGGTAACTGAGCGGTCGTCAGAGCGTGTCGAATCTCGGGCCGGGCCATCAATAACAATCGCGACATCGACAGACTTTGGCCGCGAGCTCTTTGGCGGATTTGACAGTCGTTGGCTGGCATTGTCTTCTTGAGAGATCTCGGAGGCTGTGACAGACCCGGATTGTTGTGTGGACGTAGAAACGACCGAATTCGTGTTGTGGTTGTGGTGATTGTGGCGGCCCTCTGGCCGGTGGTGCTTGTATTTTGCGTGGAGCTTTTCCTGGATCACGCTGGCAAAGGTAATGTTGTCCGTGTTGGTCACCAATGTCCAGTCATCATTCTCTTCGCCAAGCTCCACCGTGCCAAACAGATGGACGTCCGGGGAGCGCGTCAGGTTGGCATCGGACTTGTTGAACGCCTGTGGCGACACTGTCTGATTCCGATCGGGCAGCGCGCCCGTTGAGTGTGAGCGGTGTGTTTCCAGGGTAGTGAATTCCGAAGATGCAAGTCTTCCAGGCGCGACAGATGCGGCGTGGATGGGCGCTGCAAGTGCCAGACCAGCAAGGGTGAGTGCGCCGCCGCCGGGCTTGGAGAACGAGGAGGGAGCAGTTAGAGCCTTTTGGGTCGTCTCTGGAAGCAGCAACCTGGCCTGAAGGGGCGCCGAAGCAATGCGGTCAGCGTGGCCTACTTGTGTTTCAGTCATCACTGCACCACTGAGGTCGATGGCCATGGCAGCAGCAGCTTTAGGAGTGCCAGCAGCACTTGGACTTGGAGCAGCGCTGCCGATACGTATGATCTTGGGTGACGCGCTCGCCAACATTGCATCCTCGCTTGCATGACTTGGTACATCCACAGCGATCTTAAGTTCGCTTGTCTGAGCCACGGCGACAGAGTCACCGATCGCTGGAGTGGCTGGGATTGGCATTGAAGGAGTGGTTTCAGGAGCCTGCTCCGGCGCTCCGACCAACGTTCCGGCCTCAGTTGCAGCAGCAGTATCACCGTTCGTGGTGCCTGCATCTGCTTGTGTCGTCGTCGTCTGCGGCTGCTGGCCATCCATGAGAAGGACTTGGGCAGGCGGTTCGGGGACCGTGTGGGCTCGCTCTGCCGCTGCTGCTGGTACTGGTGCTGGTGCAACGGCGCCGGCTCCGTCACTGTCGGCTGGCTGCCCCTGTGGCTCAGACTCGGCCAGAGTGTCAGCGGGAGCGGCTGCAGCAAGTGCATCGGCGGGTTCCGCGAAACCGCAGCTCGAGCTCGAGTTCGCTGCGTTTCCGTCGTTCTGTTCAGCCGCCGCTTCAACAGCAGCCACTGGATCGGATGCTGGGGATGTGGACGATGGCGGTGGTATTGGCGAGGCGGACGGGTCGGGGTCGACCTCGCGAGGATGATCGCTGTCAGGCAGCGAATCCATTAAAAAAAAAAAATAAAAAAAAACACGGAAAATAACTGAGCGGCTCAGACAAGAACGAAAAATATACAAATAAAATTGCATTTTCAAATGTAGATCGACCTTTTTGTTTGCATAGTGGTTTGTGGGTCAGGTAAAGTCGTGTGGAACGACGCGGATTTGGACGGGGCGGTCCTTGTACGTCAGAATCGCAGTGGTCTCGGAATCAAAGACAACCGACTTGCCGAGCTCAATGCAGAGCGCGGATCGCAGCAACCCAGGCGTCTCGAACGGCGCCGGGTGGTAGATGCGCGCAGTCTCGGCGGACATGACAATTTGTTCCGGATGAAAGTCGACGGCGAGTTTGCCTCCGTACAAGAGTTTGTCTGCTTGTTTGAATTGTGGGATGGTGTTGCGGAGGATTGAGAATTGCAGTAGTAGAGAGAGATAAGTGAGATCAACATAGAAGGGGAACAGGGCGCAAGTGGTTCTTTGGTAAACTTTACGCAAAACTGATTTTCCGACGCTTCTCAACCTGAAAGCAGCACACTCACCATCATCCGTGATCGAATGAAAGACGATCGGTCTATCCTCTACTCGTACAAAGTTCTGTTGAGACAAGATGGGGTGAGCGCACATAATTTCGATGGACAAAAGAGGCGTTTTCACCGATACTTATCAAAGCCATCAGCAAACAAAACGTACCACCTCCCGCCCACACATGGACACGTAGGGAAAGACCTCAGTGTATAGCCCAGTTGTGTTTCGCCGCAATCGTCGAAAGAAAAAGTCCAAAAACACCTTGTCCTGCACATTCGGAAGGCAAAAAGGTGAGCGTTGGAGCATTTTAACTGCATGCTGCAGGCAACACTGCTTGTGCATCACGATGGCACATCAGTATCGCACCTTGAAACATGTGACAAAGTTTTTAATCTTGACGTCGTCCAGGAAGAGTTGACCGTGGTGGTCGACAAAGTAAAAGTACTGCCGCGTGAACTTGGATTCGGATTCACCAGCCACAGGCGGCGGTTTTGCTCCTTGTTCGTATGGATAGCTCGAGTTTGAATTGGATCCAACGAGGGACGACGGAGACAGTGGGCTTTTGTGCTTGTCGTTTGCAGATGTAGAATTCGTGGTTGCTGGGTCAAGATAGCCAGCACTGTTCGTTGGCGGCGATCCAGACCCGGCGTTGGCATCCGATCGCAGAGTGACTAGTGAGGTCGTGAATGCTCGGGCGATGGTGGCTGTCGGCGGCCGTGGAGCAGAGGTGGCTGCAGCAGATTGAACGCACGTCAATCTGGGCCATGCTGCTGCTGATGATTGGCTTGAGGGTGCCGTTGTCGTTGCAGCAGCATTCTGGTGTACTCTACTAAGTCGCTGCAAGAACCCTCGCGTTGTCAGCGCTGAAGCGACGCGTGTGAGCATCTTGTGAAAATTGGAGTTGAAATTGGAGTTGAAATTGGAGTGAACTTGGAGTGCCTGGTTCGTGTCTCACGCAATCGCCCCGTTTTCCATCAGATCCATGTACAATGATCATATGCGAGTGAGCTTGTCGACACGGCGGGGCTTAACGAGCCTCCTGAGCCGATCTGCCAATCCGGCTCCGTTCGTTGAATTTTCGAGCCCCATTTCCATGAATGCCTCGGTGTCCAGTCCAGTCCAGGCCACTGATTCTCTCTCTCCTATCTTTGACGCTAAACATCACTCTCTCAGAATTCCAGTCTTAGTTTCACTCCTTCATTTTTTCAGAAATGGCTTCGTTCTTTGAAACTGTAACGAAAATTCAAACTCAATAGAAAAATCCAATGCAAAAAACAAAAAAAAAAAAAAAAAAATTATTTGGTTTCAAATTTTGAGCCTTTTTTTTTTTTTTTCTTTTTGCGCTTCTCTTTTTCCTCGCTTTCTTCGTCATTCTGGTTGTTGAAGTTGATGATTCTTGTTTTGCTTGGACGGGGACGACCGGGACGTCCGAGGGAAGGGCGGGCAACTGAGAGTCAAGGGAGAAGAAGGGGGTCATCCATTTGACTTTATCAATTCCAAAACTGCTCCTCCTTCCCTTCCTTCTGCTTCTCCCACCACCCCCCACCACCACCCCGCGGCTTTCCTGATCCTTAAGTTCTTCCTGTTCCTCTCCTTCTCTCTCTATCTCTCACTCTCTCTCTGACGATGAGCCGCCTTGCGTGATCCTTCGCTTGTGATTTTGAACCTTCTGTTTATGGTAGTCTCCCGTTTTTTTTTTTTTTTTTGATTTTTCCCCTTTCCCTCTCACTCACACTGCATCTGTCCTCCAAATGTTGCGTTGATACTTTTGGGAACAAAAAACAACAACAACCAGGGATCGTGGGTCTGGCTGCGGCAGAACGCCAAGGACGCCAGCGCGCCACTGGAAGCCGCTCGCGTCGTTGCCAACAGTCCGGCAGAGACGACCTTCCAGCTCGAGCTGTCTCAGGTGAGACCAGTGGATTTTGAAGTTGTGATGATGATGATGATGATTGCAGATAGCACGTTTTTGCATGGGCGGGCGGGGGGCAAAGCGGTGGGACATGCTCTTCCACACTGAGCCGACCGCCTCACCACAGTTCACTCACTGCCCTCCATTCAATTTGCACATTCATACTAATTGTAGACCCAAGTCAAGCTCGCGAATGCACAGCTCACGCGTGATATTGTCACGCCAATGCATTCGACAAGCGTCGAGTCGGTGGAAGACATGTCCACACTCAGCGATTTGCACGAAGGAGCGATTCTGCACAACATTCGCCAGCGCTACGCCAACAGCAATGTCTATGTACGAACAAGGAGGGAGGGAGGAGGAGGAGGATGAGCTTTGGTATATATGCTTCCATGTGCTATGCGGCGATGCTCATTTGGCGCCAAAATCGCCGCCATCCCCTTCTCTTTAGACCTTTATCGGATCCATCCTTGCTGCAGTCAACCCGTACAAGGCGCTTCCGATCTACGGCGACGAGGTTTTGCAAAAGTACAACCGATCTGTGCTTGGTGATCTGCCTCCGCACATTTACGCCATTGCCAACGAGGCCTTTTATGCCATGCTGAATGACAAGCGCAACCAATGCGTCTTGATCAGGTAAACGCGCGCCCCCTCCCTTTCTCCTTCCCCCCCCACCCTTCTCTTTCTTGAAAACATGCTCACTTCTTCATCTTCTTCTTCAGTGGAGAGTCTGGCGCCGGCAAAACAGAGTCGACAAAGTTCATTCTCAAGTTCCTGAGCGCCCTCAGCTCGAAAGACTCGGTCGTGGAGCAGCAAATCTTGCAAAGCAGTGCGATTCTCGAGGCGTTCGGCAATGCCAAAACCGTGTACAACAACAACTCATCGCGGTTCGGCAAGTACATTTCCGTCCAGTTCTCCGAGAACGGCTCGATCGAAGGTGCCAAGTTGACCGACTACCTGCTGGAAAAGTCGCGTGTTGTTCGTCAAAATCCGCAAGAGCGCAACTATCACATCTTTTACCAACTGTTTGCTGGTCTGGATGCTTCCGAGAAGGGTATGCTTTCGTTTGTTTCACGCATTCTCAGCGCTTGACGAGCGCTAACTTGAAATGCTTGTTTTCCATTTCTGTTCATCACGACAGAGCTGTTCAAGCTCACTGGTGCCCCCGACAAGTTCCACTACATGAATCAGAGCGGCTGCATCACAGATCCGTCCATCGACGACAAGACGGACTTTGAGCGCGTTCGGGTGAGTGACTGCTTGGTTGTGGGTTTGAATTCGTCACACTGAAAAATCCCGTTGACTCACAACCCCTTTTCCCTTCCCCTTTCCCCTTCTTCCCCGTCAACGCAGTCTGCCATGCAAGTGATGGCATTCACCAAGGAGCAAACGCAAGATCTGCTCAAGGCGCTCGCCGGTATTTTGCATTTGGGCAACCTGAAGTTTGCTCAGGAAGAAGGCCAGCCCGTCAAGATTGCCAACGCCGCTGGTAACAACGCTTGTTGAAAGAAATTTAGTTTTTGAAATGGGAAGAAGAAGTGCCAACCACATGCGGACTCACTTCACCACTGCGACAGATGCGGCCCTTGCTGCCGAGTTTTTCGGCATCGAAAACCAGCTCTTCCACGAGTCCATGTGCTCCAAAAAGATCACCATGCGCGGAGAGAGCATTTCCACTCCTCTCGAGCTTCCGGCTGCCCAGGACTCTCGCGACTCGCTGTCGATGAACATTTACGTCCGCCTGTTCGAGTGGATTATCAACCGCATCAACCGCATTATTCGCGCCAAGGACACGCTGGCCTACATTGGCGTGCTCGACATTTTCGGCTTTGAAAACTTCAAGGTCAACTCGTTTGAGCAGTTTTGCATCAACTATGCCAACGAAAAGCTCCAAATGTACTTTAACCAGCACATTTTCTCGCTGGAGCAAGCCGAGTATGCCAAGGAGAACATTAACTGGTCCAGCATCAAATGGGTTGACAACCAGGCCTGCATTGACATGATTGAGAGGGTGAGTAGCACAGCTTGCGCGTGGTTTTTGTGATTTTCTGTTTCATTCATCTCACTGTTTGTTTTGTTGCTTTGTGGCTTGTTTTCCCCACTCTTGTTGTTGTTTTGTTTTTTGCACCTCCAGCATCTCGGTCTGCTCGATTTGCTCGATGAGGAGGCCCGCTTCCCCAAGGGCACGGACGAAACAATGCTTGGCAAGTTCAACGAGCAGCACGGCACTGGTGCGTTTTACCTCAAGCCGCGCATGGCAGCCAAGGCTTTCGGTATCAAGCACTATGCTGGCGATGTGCAGTACGAGGTGGCAGGATTCCTCGACAAAAACCGCGACACCTTCCGCGAAGATCTTGTCGCAATGCTCCAGGAGAGCTCGTCTGATTTCATCTACGATCTGTTCGAGAAGGTGGCCGTGTCGGACAAGGGCGCGAAAGGCGGCCGCAAGAAGCCCACAGTCTCGTCCCAATTCAAGGATTCGCTCGGTGCACTCATGCAGGCGTTGGGAGCCGCCCACCCGTTCTTTGTGCGCTGCATCAAGCCAAACATGCAAAAGGTGAAGGATTCCTTCGACGCCACCGTGGTGATGAATCAGCTGCGCTACTCGGGCATGCTCGAAACGGTGCGCATTCGCCGCACGGGCTTCCCTGTGCGACGCGCCTTTGCCGACTTTCTGTACCGCTACAAGGTGCTGTGCGTGACGCTTGGTGGCGCTGCGGCCGACCCGAAGGGAGACGCCAAGGCGCGATGCCAGCTCGTCCTCGCATCTGTCGACAAGGCCAACGAAAATTGGCAACTCGGCACGACCAAGGTGTTTTTGCGCGAGGCGCTCGAGGCCGTGCTCGAAAAGCAGCGTCAGGAGACGCTCAAGGCTGTCGCCAACAAGATCAAGGCCCGCATCATGGGCTACCTTCAGCGAAAGCGCTTTATCAAGATCCGCCGTCAAGTCGTCATTGTGCAAAAGCTTGTGCGCCGTTACTTGGCGCGCCGCCGATTCCGCAAGGCCGTCAAGTCTGCCATTCTCATCCAGTCCATCTTCCGCGGATTCCGAGCCCGCCGTCTGCGTGCGCGCCTCATGGAGGCCAAGCGCAAGGAGGAAGAGCGCCGCCGCGAGGAGGAGCGTCGCAAGGCCGAGGAGCGTCGCAAGGAGATGGAGCGCCTTGAGCGTGAAAACAAGCTGCGCGAGCTCGAGGAGATGCGCCGCAAGGCCGAGGAAGAGGCCAAGCGCGCCGCCGAAGAGGAGGCCCGCAAGAAGGAGGCCGAAGCCAAGCGCCAGGCCGAGGATGCTGCCAAGGCGCGCGCACTCACCGAGCGCCTGGACAACGAGGAACGCGAGCGCAAGCGCCTTGAGGCGGAGCGCCTGGAGGCGATTGCTGCCGAAGAGCGTCGCAAGCAGGAAGAGGCTCGCTTCTTGTCCGAGCGCGATGCTGTTCTGGACGAGCTGAACGACCTTGGCAACGAGCTTGACGACGCGGACGTCCAGTCGCTCAGCATTGGGTCGACTGCTGGCGGCAGCACTGGCGGTGGCGATGCATCCGGACTTGGCGGTGACGACGACGACGACAACGACAATGCCGGCGGTGGCGGCGACGATGAAGACGAAGGCGGCGAGTCGGCCGACATTGAGTACGAGGCGCTCAAGCTCTTGCGCGAAGGCTATATTCTGCGCCACGACACTGGCAAGTCTGCGGGCAAGAAGGCTTGGAAGCGAAAGTGGGCCGTGCTGCGCGAGGGCTACCTGGTGCTGTTTGGCCAAAAGCCGAATGCCCTCAAGTCTGGCTGGGTCATCAAGCAGAGTGGCACGCTCAAGAACTGGACGCGCCACTACCTTGTGCTCACCAACGGCACGCTGGCCTACTACAAGTCGTCCGACGAGGGCGAGGAGGCCATCAACGTGCTCGCCCTCAACAAGTGCAGCGGCGTGTTTGAGGCGACGGGCTCCATCAACAAGGACAACGCGTTCGGCATCATTATGCCAAAGAAGACGTACTACTTTTGCACAGACACGATTGAGGAGCGCGCGCTCTGGGTAGACATTGTCCGCAAAGTCCACACGGGCATGACCGACCGCTCGCAGCTGCGCAAGCTGGAGACGGAAAAGCTCGACTACAAGAATGCCCAGGAGATTATCGAGACCCGCTACGTTGTCTCGATCGCTCCCACCATGCCTCTTGACGAGCAAAAGAATGTGTTTGTGCTGCAAACACACACGCACGCGTACACGCTGGCGATCGAGAAGCACGAAGACATGATTGAGTGGAACTTGCTCTTGTTGCCCAAGGTGTCCAAGATTGAGCAAAAGATGGCTGGCTCCGTCATGGAGGGCTACCTCATGAAAAAGACGCGCACCGTCAACCGCCGTCGCTACGTGGTGCTCAAGGAAGACTCTATTCGCTACTACAAGAAGCAGGATGACCAGTTTGCCGTGGACTCCATCGAGCTCAACAGCCTCTGCACTGTTGTCCCGCCTGTGGACATTGTTGGTCAGATGACGCACCAGTGGACGTTCAAGGTGAACTCGCGCCGTCGCACCCTCGTCTTTACCTCCAAGTCGTCGGAAGATGCCTACGCTTGGATTGACGCCATCCGCGAAATTATTGATTCCAAGCCCGTGATTGAGAGCAAGACTCAAAAGCTCATCACCGAGATCAAGGCCGTGAAGGCGAGTCATGTGGGTGCCATCTACGCCGCATACCCGATTCTCACGTACACGCCGCTGCACATTTCGGCATCGCTCTTGGCCCTGCCATACGGCTGCCTGCACCACGACACGCGCACGCTCCACACCGAAGCGCTGTCCATCTTCCGCACGCTGCTCGAGATGGAGAAGGCACAGGATTGGATTCCACACGCACAGAACGTGCTGCAGTTTGCCATTTCCATCGCTGTGCTGCGCAGCGAGATTTTCATGCAGGCGGTCAAGCAGACCATCAACCACCCCAAGCCTGGCAGCCAGCAGCACATGCGCTACTGGTACCTGCTCGCCGCCCTCTGCAACGTCACGACGCCCGAGCGCAAGTACCAGCGCTACCTGCGCTTCTACCTAAAGCGCGTCATTGATCAGACATCGACCACCTCGACGGTGATGGCGCCCGTTTTGGTTCTTGCGCGCTCGTGCCTGCGGGCGCTCGATGAGCGCAAGAAGCGCGAGTTCCCCTCCAGCCGCTTGGAGCTCGAGGCCATCCAGCAGGGTACGGACGTCTCGTTGCCCATCTACTGCCTGGGAGAACGCTCGTGCAAGGTCAGCGTGTCGACTGCCACGACCGTCAAGGACATTCTCGGCGATATTGCCAAAGCGCTCGGCCTGTCCAACGCACGCAACCGCTTTGCGCTGTTTGAGGAGACGGAGGATCATGAGAACTCGCATTTCGTGGGCGAGTCCATGCTCGTGCTGGACATTTTGGCAAAGTGGGACATGCTCACGGCGGAGCAACGCCAGCAGCAACAGCTGCAGTACTTGGCGGTCGAGCAGCAGGAGCAACTGCGCCAGCAAGCCGTTCAGCTGCAGCACCAGAAGGAAAAGCTCACACCCGCCCAACAGCAGCAACTTCAGCAGCAAGAGCTGGCCAAGAAGCAAAAGGAAGAAGCTGCCGCCGCGGCCGCCGCGGCCGCCGCAGCGCCTCCATCTGCTGCCAGCCTGTACGAGACTGCGCTGCGCAAGTCGTCCATGTCCAACGATTCTTCATCAGCACCACCACCACCCGGTGTTACCATTATTGTCGACAAGTGGCGTTTGGTTTACCGCGTGCACTGCTTCATGGAGACTGACTTTAAGCGCATCGACAATCCGATCGAGCAAGACTGCTTGTTTGAGCAAACGCATGTTGACCTGGTCCAGTTCCGTGTGCCCATGTCGGACGAGCAGCGCATCAAACTCGCCGCCCTCCGACTCCAAGCCAAACTTGGCGATTGCGATGTTTCCAAGGACATGTAAGGAGAAAGCGAGTGCCAGCGAGTGCCAGCGAGTGCCAGCGAGTTGATTGATGTTTGGAATGGTTGTATGCTGTTCATGTGGTGGCTGAATTTGCAGTGTTTTCCTTGGTTGTTTCTTTTGTTTTGCTTGTCTTCGTTTGCCAGCCCCGACATTCGCCCATTCTACCCAATCTTCCTGACGCAGACGGCCAAGCAAAGCGAAAAGGCCGGAACAGCTGGAATTGGATCGCCCGCTGGTTCGAGCAAAATGGGAACATTCCGAAAGACATTGGGAACGCTTCGTCGCGGCAAGAAGGACGACCCCATGTTTGCGTCCGAGTCCCCGGCACCCGTGCTGCCTGGAAGCGCAAGCAGCTCGCCCATGAAGATCAAGCGTGGCCAGAGCGCATCGAGCTTGCACGGCGTGGATGTTGGCGAGGACAGCGAGGCGTCGCACATGTCATCTTCCCCCGGTGCCGATGAAAAGAAAGCCGGCAAGTTTGGCACGCTCATGAAGGGCGTCAAGAGTCTTGCCAAGACCACCTCGTCCTCGGCGCTCGTGTCGTCCTCGACGAGTGCAGCCGGTCCGCGTCGGGATGACGATCTCCGCGTTGATCCATTCGACTTGATTGACGTCAAGGCGGTCACTGCAGCCATCGACGAGGCATGGATCAACCTGGCCGGCACCAGCAAGCCCGAAGCGATGCGCCAGTACATGGCGATCGTGGCCTTTGAGTGGCCGTACTATGGCTCTGCGATTTTCGAATGCGAGGTATGCAAATGACATAGGTTTTGGTTTGAGTCCCTTTTTTTTTTTTTTGTTTTGAACATGAGCTGACTGTGTTGTCGTTGATCGGATCGGTCAGAATGTGGCAATCGAGTCCTGGCCAAAGGATATCCTGCTCATTGTCAACCAGAAGGGCATCACCGTCTGCAAGCAGCCAGCGGGCGCAGGCGCGCTTTCGCCTGCTGATCGTCTGGGCACGTACCCGTACTTTGGCATTCTGTCTTACAGCGCACCCAACGTCAACTCGCTCAAGTTTGTGGTCGACAGCCCTGGGAAGATTTCGCTCACCACGCCAAAGGTAACGCACGAAGAAAAGAGCCTTGATCTTGTGTTTGTGATCTCGGTTGACTCAATTCATTCTGCATTGGTTTGGTTTGCGAATCTAGGCTGTTCTCATCACCACCATCATCAAGTCGTATATCGAGGAGCTAGTCAAGCAAAAGCAAGGTGCCAAGTGATTCTTCTTGTTCTTGACATCCGGAATCCTCCATGTTTTGTCGTTCGTTTTGATTTATTTTTGCTCGTTGTCACGTACTTTTGTGTCAGTTAATCCATGCTTTTTTTCTTTGTTGCATCACATTGACAAGTTACAAATGCGACAACATTACTGCAGGACCAGCACTTCCATGCCAAAAACCAAAAATGCCACAAAGAAGAGCACCTCCTTAGCAACGCGTCGCATCGTAAATGTTGGCGGTGCTCCACAAATCACTCTTGCATCCTCCCTGGACGAGCAAGAACGAGCTCGATCTCTTGCAGCGGAGCTAGCCTTGCAACATCGGAATCCTTGCGAATCAACGTGTTGGGCAGCTTGTGAATGGCTGCGACGTGATCAGGTTGAATGCCGAGTTCGTGCGAGCAGGCTTCGAGCAAGCTGGCATATGTGAGATGGTCGGTGGGAAGTTCGAGTTCTACGAAGTGGAAATCGCCTGCGACTCGAGTCTTCACCACGAGTCGGTTGTGTTGGTCACGCAATACGAGTGCAGAAATTGCTTCGGCAACGGCGGTGGATGCAACGCCATGAGGCAGCTGGGAGAGGGCAGCCATGTTGGGCGACAATGGCGGGTCGCGGTCTGCAAAGGAGGAGGAGGAGGCTCGTCGCACGGACTGCTGCAAGTTATCGAGCTGCGACTGCAACGAGCGCAGCGTTTGGTACTGGCTTGGCGTGAATCCTCCCGGTGCTGTGGTGGAAGGGTGTGGGAAGGCATTGGGCGAGCGCGGGGCCTCGTCCTCCCCTCGTGTCGCAATCCCAGCATGACTGCTGCTGCTATTGCCGCTATTGTAACTGCTTTGGGCAAAGTACCCGCTCCCAGTGGTCGTGCGCGAAGGCGACGGCGGCGCAAGCGACTGCTGCAAAGCTGTTGACGATGGATTCTGGTACGACGACGAGGACGACGACACAGTCGAGCTCATCGCTTGCAAATGTTGCGCACTACTCGGCACAGGCGTTGTATACGGGAATTCCGGATGTCGCAGGTAGTTTGGCACAAACTCGTGGTGCGACCCCGTGGACGAGGTGGACGCCGTGGAGCCGGTTCGCTCGCGTCCTGCTGCGTCTGCCGCTGTGCCCGAGAGCGACAGTCCACCATGATGTGACAACGACGACGACGACGACGGCGTGCCAGGTGCAGCACCCGCGCTGGCAGGCAGGAGCGGCAGTCCGAGCGCAGTGCGCAGCTCGTCGCTCGTCGCCATGTCGCCCGGCGTCTTGCCAGATGCGTTCTGGATGGTCGTCTGTGCGCCGCGCGAGACGAGGAATGCGGCAATAGTGACGTGGTTGCGATGCACGGCCCAATGCAACGCCGTCCTGCTCAGACGCAATGCGAAAACAATACATCATTGACAGGTAGCAACGTTAATCCCACTCAACTTGGCACACAAATAGCACATCGATAGACAACCATAACGCAGGAAATAGATACGGTGACTCACCACTTGTTCATCAGGTGCTGGGAGTTGACATTCGCGCCGCCAGAAACAAGCGACCGAACGCCGAGCTCGTCTCCTTTGCAGGCGGCCTCGCGCAGCGACTCTTCGATATTGAATGCTGCGCCGTATGCCATTGGTGCTGAATTGGTACGAGGCAAGCTGGAGTTCAAGGCGAAACTGTTGAGAAAAATAAAAACTAGCAAAAAAATGAAAAACTGAGCCGGTTTCCAAAAAAGGAGTTGGTTTGACAGGTGCATGTCAATACAATCGAAAGCACAATATGCAACAAGCTTGGAACAATGGACTTTAAAAGCGGCTCAAGGGAGTAGCATGCTGATGTTACAGAGAAAAACAACAAACACAATCGCACACAAACAGAAGACACATTTCACAACCACAACAACGCTCTTGTGACGCTCACAACGATACCAACTTTGTACATCTGCTAATGGTCAAGGTTTTTTTTTCATTTCCCCCATCATTCGTTTGGTTTACACGTGCTCGAGAATGGTCACGAGCTGCTTGGCAATTTTGGCAATCTCGTACGCGAGCGTAATCATGTTCTGGACGCTCTCGTCGTCGCCACCGCTGGCCTTGGCAGCAATAACGTTGAGCTTGCGCGACGCGTTGATCAGAATCGTCAAGCCGGCACGGAATTTCACGCGGTACGGCTCGTTGCCGACGCAGAGGTTGGACATGGACGTCAGCGACGAGGAAAGCAAATCCATCACCTGCTCGTAGCGATCGTGGGCGTTCACCTTGGCAGCCATCATGAGCGCCTGCATGGCCTTGTGCACGTTGTCAGCCTGCTCTTGGATGTCGCCCTCCCAGTCGCTGCGGGCCTTGTCGACCACGCCGCTCTCTGCCAGCGAGTCGTCCTCTGTGAATGCTGCAAACGGATCGGGGCGTTTGGTTGTCGTTGGTACAGCATACGTAGGAATTGTCGGCGTGGAAGCACCCGACGACGACGACGATGACGAGTGTGCCGTGGCCGCTGTGGCAGACCCAGCACGAGCACGACCACCGGCGCCAGAGTCAAACACTGCCTTGGCGGCAACAGCAGCGGATCCCGACATCGAGCTGGTCGAATTGGACCGTAGGCGTTCGTTCTCGGTGAGCATTGTGGTGAGCTTGCGCTGCAGCGTCGACTGCTGTGCTTGGTGCTCGTTGAGTTGACGCTGGAGATCCTCACAGCGCGCAGCCCACTGGTCGCGCTCGTCGGCGAGATTCGAGTTGACCGAGCGCAGGCTGGCACACGCGTCAACGAGCGACTGAATCTTGGTCTGGTCGATGCTTCCGGAAAAGCCAGCCTCGTGCGAGCTCAGCTCACGTCGCAGGCGTTGATTGTCGGCCTGGAGCTCATCCACTCGAGCCTGCAGCTGCACAGCGATATCATGGGCGGCCTCGCTCTTTTGCTTGAGCGCCTCGAGCTGCTCTGTAAAGTTCTGCAGAAGAGGGACGGGAAAAAAAAAACGAATGAAAAAAAAAAGAGTGAGTGCGCAATGACAGTCTGAAGTTATCAACGCATGCAACGACGCATACCACATCGGGCTTGAGCGATCGCAGGTGCTTTTCAAGCATCTCGGCCCTCTCGCGCTCGCTCTTGAGCAACAGATCGTGCTGGGAGGCGAGCTCGCGCAGCGCACCGTCACTTTGAGAATTGGCCTAATCGGAGTTGGAAAAAAAAACCACATGCAGTCAGATACATCCAAGGCGATCGATCACACAGTCGAGCAAATTCGCAACCAACCTTAACGAGCTGCATCTCAAGCTGCCGGATTTTTGCTCGCTCCGCCTCGATTTCGGCACGATGCGTTGCTTTCAGCTGAAAAGTGGATTACATTTTGCAAGTGAGCGAAATCCCATAGGATAGCGAAAGAGACAGGGCTGTATCACAAACCTGTTCGAGAGCAGCCGAGCCGCCAGTGGAGCTCTTGACCTGTGCCTCTTGCAGCATTTGGGTGGTAACTGCGAGCTCTGCTTTCAACGAATCAACAACCTCGCGCGACTGTCCGGCGAAGGAGCTCTGATTCAGGGGAGTGGGGAAGAAGCAGACACGTCAGCAAACAAGCAAGCCAATCGAACAAAAACAAAACCCCAAACGCAAAAACACCCACTCGGTTGATAAGTCCAGCAGCGGTCGCCGATTGCTCGTCAAACACAGAGTCGTAAATATGGGCATCGTCTTGCCAGTGCGCGTGATTTTTCAGGCTGCCGGCAGGAACACTCAGATCCGGTTGAGAGCCAAACGCGCTGTGCGGATCGTGCGGCTTGCGACGCGGGATTTTGCGACGGTTGGACTCGAAGAGAATGTCGGAAACGAGATCGACAAACTGGGCATTGTTCAGGGTGGAGAGCTTTTGGCGCGATTGGTTGCGCTGCGTGTGGAAGACTGGGTTTTCGGGCAAGTGGGGCACAGTGACGTGCTCGCCGCGCTTGTGGTCTGCAGAGCGGCGGTAGGAGCGCTCCGAGTCGCGACGGTCAATTTCGTCGTACACGTCCGAAGCGAGGCGCTCAAACTGCTGCACGCTGAGCAAGCCGAGGCGTTGACGAGCAGCGTCGCGCTCGGGCTCAAGACGGGCCTCGAGGCCCTTGGATTCGAGCACGACGGGGTGGGACTCGGGCAGGTTGCCGGATTCTTCAACAAAGACGGAGAGGTGACGGGAGAGCGAGTCGGTGAGCTCAAACCGCGCCTCGCGCAAAAAGTTGGCAATCTTGACCTGGCCGCACATGCGCGCGCACATTTCGGGCGTCATGCCAGCCGAGTCCTTGAGGTTGCTGTCGGCGCCGTTGCTCAGCAAGAGCTGCAGCTGCAGGGCTTGGCCCGCGAGGGCAGCGGCGTGCAGCGGCGTCTTCATGCCGTCGCGATCGAGCGGGCTGGCACGGCTGGGATCGGCATTCGACGCAAGCAAGTGCAGCGTGCGCGAGAGGTCTGCCGTGGAGACAAACGAGTACAGCTGCAGCGCGAGGTAGGCCTCGTTCTCGAGGTTGGGATCGACGCGCAGGAAGGATCGCTGGCGGTACTTTGTGTTGATAAAGGACTGCTTGATCTGGTTGGCGTCCTCCGGGCCTGGCTTGGTGACGCCCATGTTGTGCATTTCGGCCTCCCAGACGCTGTTTGCCTCCTTGTTGCCGAGCGTTCGGAGCAGATCGACGGCAAGCATGCTCCAGTCGTTGTGCTGGATGGCGCGGATCTTGGAGACGTGCGAGCCGAACGACTGGTGCACAATCGCGCAGTTCAAGCACACCACAACGGCCAGGTTGGTCGACGCCCAGTCCGGGTTGGGCGTGCTGCAGTCGGCGCACTTGAGGTTGGCCGGGTTTTCGCGGATGAGACGGAGCGCGTCCGAGCCCGAGCACCGCGCTGCAGGGTTTGCGCCCGGTGGCAGTCCACCCATCAGCACCGACGATGAGTGCGGAACGCTCGCGCCTGCGTTCGCGAGGTGGTGGTTGGACCCGACGACGCGCGCTGGCGAGGCGCTTCCGGATGTCGCTGGCTGCGAAGGCGAGCGGAGGGGGGTGGGGGGCAAGCAGAATAGTCACAACAACAACAACAGCAACAATCAAAAGTGAGAGAGGAATCGAAGGTCTTCGTCTGGGTGGGGAAGAGGGAATGAGAGGGAGATGAGTGGAGATTGCATTGGGATTGAAGTGTGATCTGCTGCTCTCGACTGTGCAACCATCCACATCTACATGCAGACTCTGTGCATTCAGCTGAGATGAATCTCGAGTGTTTGATGAGCGAGAGTGCGTTTGGAGAGAGAGAGAGAGATTGAGTGGAGATTGCATTGGGGATTGATTCTGTTGCTGTTGCTCTCTCTCTCTCTCTCTCTCGCTCTCTCTCTCCAACGCGCTCTCCAAGGCACACCTCTGGTCATCGATGACTTGGTTGCCACACAGTCCCCAATTGCGGTCTTCCCCAAGCAAGCCAACCAAAGCCGCAGAACTGACAAAAAGTGCGCAAAAAGCAAAAGAGCACTTTTCTAGTGCACTCTTTGTTGCGCTTGGAGCACAGCAAAAGTCATCACTTTGAGTTCAAAGTTCGATGATCAGATGCTCAAAAAGCGAACGAAGAAGAAGCGAAAGAAAGAAAGCAAAGAAGCGAAAGAAAGCAAAGGGGAGCTTTTTTATTTTTTTTTTATTTTTTTTATTTTTTATTTTTTTTATTATTTTTTATTTTTTTTTATTTTATTGTTCCCACTTTTGGCCAGTGTCACATCCCCCCCTCTCTCTCACAAATGGCGGAAGAGTCACTCAGCGCCGCAGAGTGTGCATTGCGTAGACACGGACGGTTTTTGCAATGCCGCTGATTGTTGGATTCAACCTCAAAACAAAAAAAAAAAAAAAAAAAAAAAAAAAAAAAAAGGTTGCCGTTTTCAGCGTTTCTTGTATGGATTGTTTTTTTTTTTTTTTTTTTGTATGGATTTTCCATTGAGTTTTTTTTTTTCTTTATTTTTTTCTTGTTCTTGTTCTTCTTCATTTCGTTTTCATTCAGTCAATGAAGATCACTTCTTCTTCTTCTTTTCATTTGTCATCTCGCTTCAGTTGTGTTTGAGCAGAAGTGCAAACAACCAAAGTCAGTCAGTCAGTCAGTCACCTTGCTTTCCGATCCACGCCGAAACATTTGGTTTGTGTGATGGTGAAGAAAGTGAGTGGGTGGCTGCCTAAATAAGAAAGGGATCAACAAACTCAGATTAAAAAAAAAAGAAAAAACAAGCCAAAAATCATGACAAAACTAAATCAAAACAAAGCAAAGGCAAAAAAACGAAATGCAGACTCAATGAAAATCCGGAGCGAAAAACTGAAGCGGAGGAAACATGTTCAACCAAAAAGTTGTGTCAAAAGGGGCGTTTGTTCAATACATCAGTGACAGCACATGGTACACAAAAGTACAAGAGCGAGCAGACAAAAGCGAGCCACGGCGCCTTCAGCGGCCAAGCGACGAGTAGCTCGAGCTCACGGAAGTATCCGAGAGGAAATCGCCCAGGTCGGGACCGCCGTCGCCAGGACTGGACTGGAGCACATTGGTGGCAGGGCGACGCATGGACAGAGATGGAGACGGCCTTGCAATCGGAGGGGTTGAAATCACATCCGGAGGTCGAATGGTTGGCAAGGTGCTTCGCCGTTGGAGCGCTGCAACACCTGCATTGGGAGATGCGTACGTTCGATAACTGCTGCTGCCGCTGTTGCTGCTACTGCTATAATTGCTACTGCTACTGCTGCTACTACTGATGCTGCTACTGCCGAGCAAATCGCTCAAGGCGTCTTCCGGCAGGGCGACTGCGGGATGGGTGCTGTTTGCGCGAGAGAGCGACGAGAGCGAACGGCCTGGGCCTCTTGCGGAGCTACCAGCCAGGTCTGCCCGTCGACCGCTGGCCGGTGAACCCGAGCCTGCCGGTTCCGAGTTCGACCAAAGCTCACTGACATCGCGCACAGCAGTCACGGATGCGCCACGCGACAATCGCGGCATTTCTGGTGAGGTTGCTTTCAGCCCCGCAGTCATCTTCAAGAGTGGCGGACTTTGCAAAAACGAGTGTGCTGCTAGACACGAGACCATCGCGAAACTGTGACGTGGTAGGCCAGAAGGGGAATTTGTCAAATTGTTTTTTTTTTTTTTTGTTTTTTGGCGGGGTTGTTCCCAAAGTCAAACTCAACTCCAACTCCACTTACTTTAAATCTGGCACAGATGCACCGGTAAATTGAAAGTGCTGGATGTACTCGACGTTTGCCTGCCAGTGCATCGGCGCTGAAAAGGCAATGGCACGGGCCAGAAGCGGAATGAGTTCATCCGCAGTTACAACCGCTTCACCTGTATATGCGGTTCAAAGATGATCAGAAATCTCAATCATCAAGTTTTTCAAAGCAGCAGCAGCAACGTGAACGTACTCGCACTCCGACCCTTGGCTGCGAAATGCTCGGCAACCCCGTTGGCGATTTTCTGGGTCGTGTCTTTGAGACACCAGAGCTTTTCGGTCGGCGTGCGAAGCGTATCCAACCGCGATAGCTCCTTGAGAGCATCTGGCAGGTCGCACATGAACTGGGGCTTAATCCCCAGATGATCTGGGCGCAGCAAGGGGCCCAGCGCTGCCAAACGGTGATGCAGCTGCAGGTCGGCTTCTTCGTCAATCGCGCAAAGTGCTGAAAATAGCTTGGTGTGGATTCCGTCCAATATAAAGCTGTTGCACCAGGAACAGTGGTGAGTTTCGGGCTTTAACAATCACAGCGGCGTCAGTCAAAGTCAAGTCACCTCTCTGCTGCAAGTCGGATGGCATCTTGCACTTTGCTATCATCTCTTGAGGAGCTGAATAACTGGTTTCCATCCAATAAATCCTACAAGGTGATCCAATGAGTTTTTTGAGTTTGCGCACGTAACTCAGATCGCCAGCAGCCGTACAAAGACACCTACCGCATAAAACTGCTCGCACAGCATCTCAACCTTCCGCGATGCATGCTCAAGATACCCCTTGACAAGAACATAGCCTCGATTGAAGGCTTGGATGGCGTTGGTTGCTGACGCAATGGCGGACGCGTTCTCTGGAAATGCCTCGAGAAACTCTGCGTGCGCTGCTGGTGTTTTCCGCACAATCAGGGGGTCACGAGCTCCGCCCGAGTTGATAAACTCATGAACGCGCGACATGCGCTTGCTCTTGTCGGCGGACGACGCGGAAGACCCGAGTCCGTTCTGCTGTCGAAACGCGGCAACCTCGACGGGGCTCAGCGTATCCTGCAGCACCAGCACACGGAATTGCTTGTACTGAGCATTATAGAAGAGCTCCTCGGACATGATCTTGGCCTTGAACGGCTCGACGGATTGAGCAGCGGTGAACTTGACGTTCGCAGCAGTGAGTGCAGCTTTGCCGTCCAGCCCAGCCGGCGACTGCACGACGACATGTCCGTCTTCAATAGAGATTTCAATGTGCTCCTTTCCGCGCGCCGAGCTGTGGAACGTTCCGTGAAAGTACGGCGATGGCTTGAGAATGTGCGATTCAATGATTGGCTTTGGCACGGCGACGGTCAGCGGCAGGCCCGCCCAGACAGCAGTGCACGGCACGCAAATCACGTAGCAGTTGGTCTGTTACCAGAAGAGAAAGTCAAGTCGGAGGCCCAAGGAGGGTGAGAACAAGTCAGTTTGTGCAGCGAGCGAAACCATTTTGCGTCGCTCGCTCGGTTCCCTTCCACCTTGTGCTTCATATGGATTGCTAACATTTAGTCCAACGTCGCCATGAGACCTGAGAAGTCCCTCAGACCCATGGGGGGGTGGGTGGCTGCCCCAATTCCTCGCTCCTCATTCTCACACGCTGTTGAACGTGTGTCACACGTCTCAAAATGTTACGCTTGTCGCTGCAGTCCTCGCTCACCTGGGCAACATCGTAGAGTGCGCCGTGCTGATGTTGGAGCTGCTGCCAGAACAAGTTGTAGTCGAGATCGTCGCTCATTCAAAATCGAAAGAAGTGAAACAGTGATGGCAGAAAACGTCAAAAATCTCAGAAAATGAAAACAGCGGAACAAAGAAAAGAGTGGAAAAGAAACCTAAAACCAAATCAATAAGAGATTGCTCAACAAGTGGGAATTGGCACGCACGCAAGCAAGCAAACGAAACAAAGTGGATTGTCAAGCGAAAACTCTCTCTCTCTCTCTCTCTCGCTTGCCACTGCTTGATCATTGCTTGAAGTGACTGATAAAGTTGTGAGTCAAAACAGACGTTCACCATTCACACTGTAATGCAAACGCAAATCTGTCAATCTCAGAGCCCTCGATTTGGATGTTCGTCTCAGTCTCTTTTTTTTTTTTTTTCCTTCTTTTTTTTTCCTTGCTTTCCGTTCTTTCTCGTTCTTTCTCGTTTCTCTGTCTGCAGTTTCCAGCACGCCATGGGCGCCAAGCAAAGCACCTACGACGATGCCAGCCGTCGATGTACGCTGCTGCTGCTCCTGCTGCAGAATCTCAATCTCAATCTCAATCCGCGCGTCCTTCTTCCCTCTTGTTTCCTATTGTTGCGACTGTGATTCGATCGCGACTCCGTCTCTTCAACAAGAAACAATGTCCGACTCACAGAACGAAAAGCGAGCAAAAAAACGACGTTCGATATACTTTTGCTGGAAAAGACAGCCAAAAAAGACAGCGAAAACAACCAGAAATTCAGATTGAATTTTGCTCTTTTTTTTTTTTTTTTTTTTTGTATGGCTTTTGCATTGGGGGAGGCTTTTTTTTTTTTTTTTTTTGTTCGTTTTTTTAAGCTGAATGTGCGATTTCAACCACTGGCTTCCATTTCCACTTTCCCCTTCGCCTCGCTCATGATGTGAATGTGTATCACTCACTCCCTTGTTGTTCTTGTTATTGGTGCTTGTGTGTGGGGCGAGCGCAGTGCTGCAGAGTCGCCAGGACTTGCGAGTGATTCGCGCGGCCTTCCGTCGAGCAGCGGCACTCAACCCGTCGAGCGGCGGCGCATCACCGCGCAGTGTTGGCAGTAGTAGCAGTAGTAGCACGAGTGGCGAGCTGGGACTCGTCGGGGGCATTCCCGTCGAGGAAGAGCCGTTCGGGCCTGGAGCGGTGACGAAGGCGTCCAGCCAGCCAGCCATCCAGAGCGCCCTCGCCGTCATGGCACAGCCGCTGCCTGGGTACATTGACCGCGAGACATTCATCCAGGAAGTGCTGGGCGATGCAATCCCGCCGCCACTCGCAGACCGCATCTTCAAGGTCCTCGGTGGGCGGCGCAATGTCGGCATTGGCTACAAGGACTACATTGTCGGGCGCTTCTTGTTCACCGAGGCCGAGGCGCCGCACAGAGACAAGCTCGTGTTTGACATTTACAACATTGATGGAAACGACCTCCTCACGCGCAAGAGCATCCTCGAGGTCCTGCACACCCTCGAAGGCGTCACGGTGCCGTCACCCGAGCTGCTCGCCTGGCTCGACGAGGTTTTGCCGGTCGTCGTTCCACCGCCACAGCAGCTGCTGCTACAACCATCGCAGGCGCAAACAACCGCTCAGCATTCGTCCAGCAATCTCTCGTCTTCCGGCGCTCCCGTCAACGGCTCGTCGGAAAAGCTACTCGGAGACGAACTGAACGCTTCTTCCGACAAGCCGACGCGGCGAAGCAGCTCGTCGACGCGCCACAGCTCGAACTCATCCTCGGCCACTCCTCTCCCCGAAGTTGCCGCATCATCTGTAGCAGCGGCTGCCGGCAGTGGTGACGACGAGTTGGATGAAGAAGCGCTGCCTCCGCGCTCGCACCTCACCAAGTCCGCCAGCAACACCAGCCACCCGACTCCCCTTGATGCGCAAAGTGCGTCCCACAATACCCGTGCATCCACTGGCGCCTTGTCATCATCGGCGGGTGCTCAACCTGCTGCTGCTGCTGCTGGGGTGCGCATCGGCCAGTTTAGCGCGTTTGTGTCTGAGCCGAAAAACCGGCACGCAACTCCACTCATCAGCTGGCTCAATCAAGTGTCGTCGTCGTCCTCCTCCTCCTCCTCCTCGTCAGACACCTCTCTCTCAACCACCTTCTCTTCACCGTCAGATTCAACACCGCTACCTCTCGTTCCCACACTCTACCAGAGCCTTGCCGCAGTGACAAAGTTCAGCGAGCCTGCCATCAGAGAGCTCGAGCGCCGCTTTTATGACTGCTGCACGCGGTTTGGCCGAATGGACGCTGCAACATTCCGCTCGGTTTTATCGCCGCCATTGCCAGAACCACTGTGCAACTCTCTGTTCCGCCTCCTCGATGACAACAAGGACAACTTGATCAATTTCCGCGATCTCGTATGCGGACTGAGCGTGTGCTGCCGTGGATCTCCGAGCGCAAAGCTCGAGTTTCTCTTCAAAATGTTTGATCTTGATGGGGACGGCCGATTGTCGCGCAACGAATTTGTCGAACTCGTCAAGACTGTGGAAACGATGGAAGATCGCGTTATTGACGTGAAACCGGATGGTGCGATGCGTCTCGGTCTGGAAGGCCCTCCGCAGCTCGAGGTCGACCTTGTTGCGTATGGCGCGTCGGCCATCAAGGCGGCCACTTCCATCGTTAGCTTGTCCACCGCCGACAACCAACCAGTCTCAGCCTCCACATCCGAGTCTCACGGCGGAGAAGCGACGACGGCCGCCACTTCAGCGTCACTGTCCGAGTCAATATCGCAGTCTGCCTCCGACCCGAATGCCGGCTCGGGTGTTGAAGCGATTGGCGAAGCTGCTGACAGGATTGTTCGCCGAGCCGAACACGAGTTTGCCGAGAGCGATGCTGATCACGACGGCTATTTGACGATAGCCGACTTTGTGGCCTGGGCGGAGCACAATCCGCTCGCCACGCAGTGTCTCGACACAGTCTGGCAGGTGAGCCACTTGTCGCTCGGCTTGCGACCTGACTCGCGCGAGCAGGAAGCGCAGCTCATGGTGCAATGGATGGCGCAAGAACGGTCTCGGCCACTCGTGCCTGGCGCTCGCGTGTACCTCATCCCTCGGTCCTGGTGGCTTGCTTGGAAACGCTATGTGGGATGCGAACTCCCCGATTCGCTGTTGCTGGTGGAAAATCTCGTCCCCTTGGCCCAGCAGGCTCCAGCAACACACGGCAGCAGCAATGTGAGCAGCGCCATCGCCACCGCCACCGCAACGACCGCCAGCACGCCGGCACCCACCACCATCAGCACCCTGAACACGCCTGGGTTGGGCCTAGCAGATCCATTTTCAGTCTCCACCACCTCGCTCAACGCCCAAAGTGGCGGTGGTGCTGGCGCTAACGCCTCCTCGTCTTCTCGTACATCCAGCATGTCCAGCAACAATACAGTCCGGTCGTCGCGCACTTCCAGCGTTGCCGGCGCACTGTCGCCCGCTGTGCACGTTGCCAGCGGCCCGGCGCCGCCTCCAGGACCCATTGATTGCTTGCCTCTGGTGATTTCAAGCGACAGCCGCAAAAATGCACACTCCATGTTTGGCCCGCTTCTCAAGCCCGGCCTCGTCAAGAATCGCCAGTTTGTTTACCTCACCGAGAAAATTTGGAACTTGTTCTCGAGCTGGTACACGTGCCCCACCGAAGTGGCACGCCCGATCGTTGCAGATCCGAGTGGCCAAGGTGTCCGAGTCGACCTGTACCCCATCAGCATTCAGTTCTTCAAGCACCAGCTCTCGCAACCTTGGACTCAGACTCTGCTCTCGTCCATGCCCAGCGTCTCGCCTTCTTCGATCGGCAGCAGCAGCAGCAGCAGCAGCTACAACCATGCCAATCACAACCCCTCCAACGCAGACTATCGACGCCGGCATGCCTTCCATCTCGCAGTCAATCGCACCATGTCTGTCAAAGAGCTTATCGAGTACCTTGGTTCGAAACTTCGCTCGGTCACGTTCAAAGATTGTCGGCTGCCTACGTTGATGGATGCCACCGACATTCGTCTCTGGCTTGTTCCTCCAGCCAGTGTCAACTCGCTGGCATCATCCAGTGCGTCACAGCGACCTGCCACCACCGCTTCCGGACAGCCGCTTCTGACTGCGCTCCCGTCAGCAGACCCCTCCTCCACCTCTGGTGACCAACCTGACGGCCAAGCCACGACCTCGGCAGCTTCCCCAGATGATGGCACTGCGGATGACACTGCGGCGGATGATGAGCCATCACAATCTGCCGATGACACCTCTGTGGCCAAAGCCGACGAGCGAGCCGAGCCCGCTGACAGCATTTCCAATTCAGCCCCAACCCCAGCACCCGTGGCTGTGGCTCCTGCACCATCTCCACGAGCTCTTCCGCTCGCGTATGCCAACGCTCCGCTTGTGGTTGCTCCTCCGCTCCCGCTCGCCAGCCAGAACGGCATGATCTTTCTGGACGATACGGCCATGACGCTCGACCAGCTCGGTGTTGCAGACGGTGCCACGCTTGTCGTGGAAATTCGTGCTTCCGACAAGAGCTGGCCAGAGGATGTCATGGCTCGCAAGGCCGCGGCGACGGGCGACGCATCTCGAGCTTCCGGGTCTACCTCCTCCTCCTCGGCGACTGCCTCCTCGACAGCAGCCGCCTCGTCGAAACTGCCAGAGGAGAAGGGCTTGACAGGCCTGCACAACTTGGGCAACACTTGCTTCCTCAACTCTGCCCTGCAGTGTGTCAACAACACCCAGCCGCTGACGCAGTACTTTTTGAATGGGCTGCACACGTACGAGTTCAATGTCAACAACCCGATTGGCATGAAAGGAGAGGTGGCCAAACAGTATGCAGCGCTCGTCCAGCAAGTGTGGGCGGGCACATCGACCAGCGTTTCTCCCGCCAAGCTGCGCTCGACGATCGCCAAGTACGAGCCCCGGTTTAGCTCCTTCCAACAGCACGATGCACAAGAGTTCCTCGCGTTTTTGCTGGACGGCTTGCACGAGGATCTCAACCGCGTGCTCAGCAAGCCGTACGTGGAGCTCAAGGACTGCGAAGACGGCACGCCCGACGAAATTGTGGCCGCCCAATGGTGGGACAACCACTTCAAGCGGAATCGCTCCATCATTGTGGATCTCTTCCATGGTCAACTCAAATCGCAAGTGCGGTGCCAGACATGCAACCACATTTCGGTCAGCTTTGACCCGTTCACCTTCCTGTCTCTGCCTCTGCCTGTCGAGCATGACATTTTCATGGAAACGGTGCTGCTTCGTGCTGACGGCTCGCCGCCATCCCGCTACGGCATCACCCTTGATTCCGGCAATCAATACAGCCATCTCAAGGCCAGTCTGGCCAAGCTCGCCAACATTGAGGAAGTAGAGTCGATCGCTCTCGCTGAAGTTTCCAACTCTGCCGTTCTTCGCTTCCTCAACGACTCGGACGAAATCCGGCCCATCAACCGTGGTCAACTGGTTGCCTACCATGTGCCAGGCATTCGCATGACGTCCGCCATCCCCGTGTTCAAGCTGCGTAGCCGTCCTTCATCGATTGTGATCGAGGGGCCGTCGTCTCTTGCCGCCGCAGCCGATGACCAGAAGCGTGCGAGTGGGTCTGAGAGCAATGAGGGTGGTGATGTCGAGGAACCGACGGCTGATGAAGCCTCTGTGAGTCATCCAGTCGTAGCCGGTTCCGGCATATTCGATGAAGCGCTTGCGGACACTGCTGCATTGCTGCCGGAGGAGCGGCCTACAACTGGGGAGGACACACTCACACCTCCACAACAGCAACATGCCAGCACAGAGCCTGCCGCTCCGGCGCCTGCCACCCCAGCTGCTCCTGTCGTGCCTGTGCGCTCCCACTCGAACAGTCGACCGTCTTCGCAGGGCAAATCCCAAGGAATTATCTCGAGGATTCTGAATGCATTTGGCGGTGGGTCGGACAATGGACGCACAAGCGACACCAACACACTAAAGCCTGGGATGGGCCTTCACTTCCCGCTCTTCCCTCCAGTGCTCCCCTCGCAGCACTGCATCGTCATTGTGCATCGACGGGTGCTGCCGTCCAAGCTGTTTTATCTGCAACCTCTGCGCGCCACCTTGTTCAACCTCCCGTCGATCATCAAACGCGACGCAGGCATGACTGTCGGCGACTTGTACCAACGCGTGCACTCGCTGGTGAAGCGCTTCATCCTGCGCACATCCATGGCCGCGTCCCTCGTGGCAGACTTTCGTGGCAAGCAGTCTTCAACGGCCGAAGGCTCGTCGTCCACCAGTGCCGCCGTTTTGGGTGATGGTTTATTTGTGTTGCGCCGCGTTGATCACACTGGCCTGGTGTGTGGTCGCTGCCCCTGGTATCAGTTCTGCACTGGCTGCGACTTGACCGACCCAGACCAACCGATGTTTGGCATCAATTACGTAGCGATTGACTGGAATCCTGTGGCTCTGCATCTCGTGTATTCCAACGAGGAGGAGATGGTATGGAGTTGTGATTTGGTTCTGTGTGTGGGGGTGTGTGGGGGTGTTTTTTTTTTCTTTTTGTGGTCGTCCACTCCTCTCATGCTCTAATTCGTCCATTCTACAGAAATGCTTGGATCATCCATCCATTGCTGAGCACAAACGGTCTCAGGACGAAACCATCAGTCTTGACGACTGTCTGAAGGCCTTCACGAAAGAAGAAGACTTGGGTGCCAACGACTTGTGGTATGCCTCGCTTGTCTGGGCGGGGAATGTACAGTAAGTGATGGGTCTGGCGCTTATTGCCCAGCTTGCTCCGTTGTCATTCGTTGCGTAGGTACTGTCCCAAGTGCAAGGATTTCCGCAAAGCATCCAAAAAGATGGACATTTTCAAGTTGCCTCCCATTCTGGTGTGTTTTTGTCGAAGAGACATGACTCTCTTGCCTCTTTTACGTTTGCTTGCCGTCGTGTCTCACGCGCCGTTTTGATTCGCGTTTCCTTCACCTCCCCCCCCCTTTTGCAGGTCATCCACCTCAAGCGGTTCCAGTTCGTCAGCGGCCGGTGGTCAAAGTCTCAAAAGCTCGTCCAGTTCCCCGAGCACAACTTTGACGCTGGCAGCCTGGCTGTGTCGAGTGCGCCGTTCGTCTCGACGTTTGTCGCGCGAGATTCGTCTGCGGCGGCAGCGGCAACAACGGCTCCTCCCAAAACTGCCACACCAGAAGGAGCTGCTGAGCCTGCACAGTCCTCGGACACTTTCCAACCGTCGCCTGAATCGAACGGCGATGCCACCCCAGCGAACAAGGCACTTCATGCAGAGGCCAGTACGCTCGATAGCCCTTCAGCAACCTTGACGCCAACGAATGGACACCACCACAGTAACGGACACCTTCCTTCTTCGGCTGCGTCCTCCACTCCTCCGCCCGAAGCCCCATCGAGATACGACCTCTATGCCGTCTCGGTAAGAACTGGACATTTGTTTTTGGCAAATGCTAGCTTCCTTCCCTTCTTCTTGCTGACGTAGCCTCTTGCACCTGCTTCCCAATCAGAATCATATGGGCGCGCTTGGGGGTGGCCACTATATTGCGAATGCAAAACACTCCAATGGCAAATGGTACACGTTCAACGACAGCATTTGCAAACCTGCTGCTCAGGAATCCATTCATTCGCCCGCAGCCTACGTCCTGTTCTACCAGCGCCAGGGTCTTGACATTTCGAGCTTTTTGCCTGTCATTGAGAACGGCCGCGCTGTTGTCCAAGTGGATGATGGCGAGGAAGTTGTGCCAAGGCCTCAAAACCGTTGCACAATTTCTTGAGTTGCTGATTTTTGATTGTGGGGGGGTGGGAGGGCAGGTCCCCTCCCCTCTCCTTGGGAACTTGTTCGTTTGGCTCACTGCTTCGGGTCTACCTTTTGTTTCTTTTTTTGTTTGTTTTGCCCTTCGTGCACAGTGCTGTTGTTTTCGCTTCCAATGTACACTATTTCGATATCAATTGTATGGGTTTGGATTTTCGAGCAACCATCCAATTCTATACATGTTTACAGGGCCGAAAAGTGTGACACCCGCTGAAAAAAAAATATGCAGCTGCAGAATCAAATCAATACAACCCCAACTCGGATTGCTAGTTTCAAAACTAGAACGGAGCCGACAACACTTCGTGGCAAGCGTCGCAGACACGAGCCGGCTTCTTCTCGTCAAACTTGGCCAGCAAAACTTCCTTGTCCGATGGACAGCACTTGCTGCACAGCACGCGGGCGCAGTGTCGGCTGGAAAGCGTGTACAAACAAAACAAGAACCAAGAAAGTCAGGAATTCAGCCAACAACTCGGCACGCGTTTGATTTGGCAACCCACCAGTGATGTTTTCGCTTGCTAACAGAGAATTTGTCGTTGCAGTTCTGACATGCTTTGCCATCAAGCCAGGTCAACACGGCGGGAACGGCATCTGTGATGTGTGTTTGCAGGCACAACACAAAGTCAGAGAAACGACAAAAACCAAACAAAAAACAAATTCAAAAAAAAAAAAAAAACGGTCAAATCATGAACAGCTCGCTGGAAAAAATGTAAAATAAACAAAAACTAACCAATAATCTTGCGTTGGATGCGGCCCTTGTTCGCCTCGTCCATCACCGACTTGCCAGCCTTGTTCTGCAGTCCGATTTGGGCTCCAGCCTTGACGAGCGCCACGCAAAGAAGCTCATGACCAACACCGAACGCATAGAAGAGAGGGGTGTTGCCGTCAATGTCGACCGCATTAATGTCGAGCGATCCGCCGGCAAACTGCAGGAGCACATCCAGCAGCGCGATGGCATTTTGAGCCGCACCAGCCGCAAGCACGTGCAGCACTGTTTGCGACTTGGCGTCGCGCGCGTTCAGGTCCACAGCGCTTTCCTTGACGAGGCGGCGCACCACGTTGATGTGCTGGTTGGCCACTGCGAGATGTAAGGCGGTCCGGCGATCCGAATCAACGGCGGTGAGATCAGCGCCAGCTTCCACGAGCAAGTTGACCACCGTTGCGAGGTTGAGCGAACAGGCAACATGCAGCGCGTCTGAATCGTGTCCGTCGCGAGCGTTGACATCGGCGCCGGCTTGGATCAAGTGCTTGCAGATGGCCTCGGCGCCGAGCCGAACTGCCAGGAACAAGGGTGTGAGGTGCTCGGCGTCTTGGACGCGCGAGTTGACGTCCACCTTGAGCTCAATCAAAAAGAGAACCCGATCCACGTCGTTTTCAGCGATCGCCTGATGCAAAAAGTTGCGGCCACGGTCGTCCGCCTGCTCGGCCACCGACGCGTCAACCGACAAGATCAAGGCGGAAATATCGAGGTCCTTGGTGTTCAAGGCAGTCGCAAAGGGAGTGGCCCCGAGCCCATCAACGATGGTGAGGTCCACGCCGTTCTGGTGCAAGAGACACTGCACAATGGTCGGGTGGCGGCTTTCGACCGCAACGTGCAAGGGAGTCAGACCTTGCGATTCCTGCGCGTTGATGTCAGCGCCGTTCTGCAGCAAAAACACGCAGACATCCTCCAGGCCTTGTTCAGCCGCCAGGTGCAGAGGAGTGCATTGGCCCTTGGACGAGCGAGCGTTCACCTTGGCGCCATTGCCAATGAGGAAGGTTGCGATAAAGCTGTCTCGCTTTCGGATGGCGGAATGCAAGAGCGCTTCGCCCTGTGCGTTCATCGCGTCGACATCGGCACGATACTTGACGAGCGTGGACGCGACATCGGCCTGACGCAGTGTCAGAGCCGTCCACAAGGCAGTGTTGCCAGCATTGTCAAATCCGTTGGGATCGGCGCCCATCGAGCAGAGCACTTCGACAACCGGCCCAATCTCGTTGGTAATGGCCAGCATGAGCGGCGACTGGTTTGAGCCAGTCTTTGAGTTGATCGAGCTTCCAGCCTCGAGCAGGAAGCGCGCGGCACCGGCATCTTTGCGGAGAATGGCCTGGTGCAGCAGAGTGTAGCCACCCTGGGCAGAAACGCACTCCTTGTCGGCCCCAGCTTCCACAAGCGCCGTGGCGATCGTTTTGGCTTGGAGCAGGAGGGCAAGTCCGAGTGGCGTGTTGTCCTCCTCGTCACGTGCATTCAAATCAACACCAGCATGGCGGATGAGGCGTCGCGCGACATCTTCGGAAGCAGGGTTGGTGGGTCCAGTGGCGCGGCGAGGGGCATCCGAGACATGGACTGGCGTGGCCGGGAAGCCCAACGGCTGAGAACCATTGTCTCCGCGAATGGCGTTGTGGAGCGGCGTGCGGCCTTTGCTGTCGCGCACGTTGACCTTGGCACCCGCGTTCAGCAAGGTCGTGGCCAATTCCGCGTAGGCAAACAAGGCAGCCAAGTGGAGTGGAGTGGTTCCGGCTGCGTTCGCCGCGTCAACAGATGCGCCGTTGCTGATGAGAAACAAGGCAGCGGCCGTGTACTGGCATTGAATGGCATGGTGAAGAAGCGTGTTGCGAAGATTGTCGGGGGCGTTCGTATCGCAGCCTGCAGCCACCAGTGTCGACGCAAGCTGTTCGTTGCGCTGAACCAATGCCAGCCACAGAGTGGTGCGCTCGAGGTTGTCCTTCAGACTGAGATCAATGGCCGGGGCCGCGAGCAGCGCGTTGACAATCTCGGCAAAGCCGGCGCCAATCGAAACGTGGAGTGCGGTCGCACCAGATGCATCCTGTGCATTCACGTTGGCAGCAGAGTTGATGAGCAGCTTTGCAGTCACGGGAAGATTGAGCTTGGACGCAATGTGCAGCGGGGTGGTGCTACCGGTGGCCGCAGAGGTGACGGCATTCACGCTCGCGCCGTGCGAGACGAGGAAGGCTGCGGTAGTCTCGTCCTTGCGCTCGAGCGCGCGATGGAGCAGTGTCTTGTTGGTGGTGGCTTGCGGCGAGTCCACGTCGCAGCCATGATCAACGAGCGTCTCTGCAATGCTCTCGTGGCGACCGAGCAGCGCAAGATGCAGGGCAACATCGCCCTTCTCGTCAACCTCGTTGATCTTTTCGACAACATTCGTGTCATTCTCAATCAAAAAGAGAAAGACGACATCTTCACGACCACGAGACACGGCCAGGTGCAGGGTGAAGGCGGTGATTTGCTTGAACACTTCAAACAGCAAGGGCGCGGGCATTGTGTCAAACTGGGCGGGGTCGATTTGCGTCCAGTACGTGAGAATCAGCTGCAAGCAAGTTCGGCGGAGGTCCTGGGCACCCGCTTCGTCCGCGTAGCGGAAGAGCGATGTGCAGTTCGAGACGTTCGCGAGAGCCATGAGGGCGTGCTCACAGCTGCGGGGGGAGTTGAGGAAAGAGGCGGATCAGCTTCGAGTTCACATCCAAAAATGGTCGCCAAACGCGTGCTTTGAACGTTACCGGATTTTCAGCGGCTCGAGCCGGAAGCGATGGGCAGCTCGCATCACCTCGATGGTAAAGTTAATGTCTGGGCGAATGTCGACGCGGTCGGTGTAGACCCACTTGAGCAGGGCCCATCCGACTTCGTGGGGCAGATCCGCGAGCGTGAGTTCAGTGACCTGGGCGAGGTCCGTCACGCCCCAATTGCCACCGCGTGCAGCCAGCACAAGTCGATGACCGGGGATGATTCGACCAGCCAAGTTGATTTTGATGTCACTTTGGGTTCCAACGCAAGGGACGCAAGGGACGCAAAGGGTAATCAAGTGAGTATCATCAATGTGAGCAACAAATCGGCCTTTTTCGACCCTCGCTCCGCTTTTCTCTGCAAAGTTGGTCCTTCGGTCCTTTTGTGAGCACGTTGCTCTTGCATCCATCAGGGCATCAGGGGGAGCGGAGTGTCTGTGTCCCTTTTGTAAATGGAGGTAGAGACAGAGATTGACCGTTCAGGTTCCAGCCGTCATCCCCTTCCCCTCGATCCTTTGTGATCATTTTTTTGTTTCGTCCTGCATCATCCATCAGGGAAGAGCAGGGGTTTGACTGTCGGAGGTCGGACCGCAGCGAGATCAACAGAGCGACCGTTTCCAAGGGTTGATCGCTCGAGCTGGCTGCAGCTCCCCACTCCCACCCTCTCTGTCTCTGTCTCTTGCATGTCAGTACGTCCGTCCTTTTACCTGTACGTGTCCTTGTCGAAGAGCTCCTCGACGGTGCGCAGGAGCCGCGGCACAAAGTGGTCGACGCCAATCTGCCCTGCAGCGGTGGACGCAGCCGCGTGCGCCTTCTCGACCTCGGCCAGCCGCGCCTGCAGCTTGACATACTGCTCACGAAGCAGCGACAAGTGCTTCTGAAGCTTGCCGACCTCTGTCAACAATCAATGGACAAAACGGACAGACATTCAAAAAGTCAATGCAAACTCAATACAAAAAAAAAAAAAAAAAATCAAAGATCTATTTTTTTTTTTTTTCGTTTCCATCATTGGATTTTTTTCAAAGTCAACAAGATCGCAATGAATTTTTCTGCTTGTAGTGGAAACGATTTGAATGTGTTTTTTGAATGTCTGTTTGAGAATCGCGATGCAGGAATGAAACAGGGAAGGACAAACCACTCCTCATTCGCATTGCTACCCTCTCTCTCTCTCTCTCTGTCTCTCCCGCTGAGCAGAATTACACAAACACTCAACAAAGCGCATCGCAGGTCCCCCCCCCCATACCAGAGTCGCCTCCACTGCTGGCCGCCATGGGCGACGGTGACTGTGGGGTTGCCATTGAACAAAAACAAAAAAGTAAACGAAACAAAGACTGATTCCAAATCGAGTGCGGCTCAGTCTCGCATTTTGACATTGAATCCCCGCAGTGCCAATGGACACGGAGATCAACCAAAACCTCGCAAAGGACATCCTGGGCAATGACGCATACATCCAGCAGGGCGCAGACGCCATCCGCACGCGCCAAAACCTCGTCAAATCGCTGCTCGCACAAGTAAACCCCGAAAAAAAAAAAACCGCGAAATTCTCAGAGTTGACGCCAAAAGAAAAACAACTCGGCAGACTGACCCGCCCTTTGTCTTTGCTTTGTTTGCTCGTGCTTGTCACGCCAGCGCAAATGGCCAGAGCTAGGCTGGGACGAAATGTCCATTGAGCTGCTGTTGAGCGATCTCGCGCAGATGGACAGCAACAACTTTCCAGGTAGATCGAGCTCTTGGTTTTGCATCAACAATGTTGGCAAATTCAACTCAAACCACACTGCTATTGCTTGATTTTAGCAAACATTGGCGCTGGCGAACGCGAGGCGCGCGTGTACTCGGACTTGGTTGCGCGCAGGCACTTTCGGTGAGGGACAGCAGCGGCGTAGACCAGGGCCATATCCCCCCCCCTGCGCGCGCCTCTGGCAGACTTGATTGCCATGGCGAGCTGAGATCTCGGGGTTGTCGAGTGTGGTAGGCTCACCCTTGCGCGCTTGCTTTGGGGGGCAGAATGGCGCACGGCATTGGTCGCTCGGGTGACATTGCAGCAATCCAGCCAAAGGCAGCTGGTTCGTCACTCATCATGAAACTCGTCAACATTATGTGCCTGGACGTGATTCGATTAGCCGGTATGATTTTGTGTCACACAGTATGGCAACATGAGGATCAAAGCGAGATTCGGAGGAAGTGGACGAGCTTTTTGACAACATCACAACAACCAACCCACAACCTCAAACAGCTCACCATTCAGTGATCACATTGGACAGGTGTTCATGCAGCTAATGCATGCATCGCTCTACCTCTGGCAACGGGAATGGCAATGGTCATGACATTGTTGACGTTAGCTCAAACACGACCACCGTCGGCAAGAAAGGTGCTCTGGCTCCGCATTGATCAAAAGTCCTGCATCAAGGCAATCACCGCTTGTGGATTCGAAGTTGTTGTTGTTGATAATGCCATCGAGGGCGACGAAGTGCGCACGGATTTGTCTGCGCTCCAACATCAGGTGAACACTGTCGGAAAGGACAACATTTTGTGCATCGTTTCGACGACGAGCTGCTTTGCACCACGGTGTCCAGATCGGTAAGGCTTGCCGAAACGATCTACCTGGATGTTTCGACTCGTGGTCGAGGTCGGGGCGATGCATCAGCACTTTACTCACCACACTCTGACGCAGCATTGTCGAGATTGCAAAAATCTGTGCGACAGAGAGCATCCCGCATGTCATCAACAATGCCTACGGTATCCAGAGCTCTAAAATCACGGCGCTCATACAAGACGCGCACAAGGCGGGACGAGTCGACGCGTTCGTGCAGTCCTCCGATAAGAACTTGATGGTACCTGTGGGTGGCGCGCTCGTAGCTGGTCACGATCGTGCATTCATCAAACGCATCGGTGAAATGTACCCTGGTCGAGCGTCTGCCGCCCCTTCCGTGGATATTTTCATCACACTGCTGTCCATGGGTCAGCAAGGCTTTCGTTCCCTGTTGAAGCAACGAAAGGTAACGTGGATTTTGGCACTTGAATTTTGTGGTTTCATCCTTCACACCTCCGCCCAGCTGATCTATGAATGTTGAATCGTATTGTACAGGTTGTGTTTGAACAGCTTCGAGCAAAACTCGGCGCGTTTGCCGTCAGCCAAGGTGAACGGCTGCTGGAAACCCCTCACAATCCCATTTCACTCGGTATGATTCAAACCGCCTCTAGTGGCATAAACTTTACGTTGCAAGTCGCCTCACTTGTGCTTCCGACCAATAGCCATCACGCTGTCGACGTTCGGATCGGACGCAACAAGGCTCGGGTCGTTCTTGTTTACGCGATGCGTGTCTGGAACTCGGTGCGCAGTTGCTCTTGCCCCTGGTATTGTTCTTGCGTCGTGTCTTTGATTCTCTTTCACTCATTTTCACCTTGAATTTTGCATCTACTGTAGCGTGGTTGCCGCAGACCGCGCAGCAGCAACAACATCGGTTGGTCCCGTTTCCCTGTCCAATTTCGGCGCTCACCACAGTGCCTACCACGGTGCCTACCTGACAGCAGCTGCCGCGATCGGCATGACCGAACAAGAAGTGGACGCATTGATTGATCGGCTGACTGCTGCCTTCAAGGATTTACGCGCGGCGATGAACCAGCCATAGCAAAGTTCCCAACCTCACGTGTTGATTTCGATTTCTTTGCGTGTACTGTTGATTTGTAGATTGTAGATTGTAGATTTTTTTAATTCAAGGATTAACAAGAAGCAAAGCAAAAAAAAATGTGCAAAAAGTGTGTTAGAAAATGTGACCGACCTACAAAATAGACCAGTCAGGTAGTAGTCACGCAAATCGCTTGGGCGACAAGGGCTGCTGGTCGCCCATAGCTGTCGAAATCGCTTGCGTGCCAATCGGCATGAGCTGCGGGGTCAGCACCAACCGAGCAGGCGACGTCACTCCGTCCCCTGCGCCCTTTTCGGAGGCCGGCACAGCATGCTGCTGCTGTGACTGAGGTGGTCGTTGATGATGATGCTGCTGCTGCTGTTGCTGAAGCAAAGGCCAACGTGCGCTCGCCTGGCCTTGTTGCTGGGCCATGTTTAGTGGTCGCACGCGCACACGGGAGGGGCCGGTGTACCCCGTTTCGGTAATCGCGTGTTGGATTTGCGCTTGAACAGAGTCGGGGAGCGAGATTCCTGCAGTGCGCAAGAAGCTCTTCAAAATGGCATTCTCCTGGCGAAGGAAGGCCACTTCGACGTGAAGGCCCGACATGCGATCGCGAATGACGCCAGTTTCCTTGCGCTTGCGCTGTCGGCAGCGTGCGGCTGCATTGCGGTTTTTCATCTTGCGACGCAAGTCCTTGAGATCGCGAATGTAGTCGAGCGAGATGCCTGCCCCGCGGAGCTTGCGGTTCAGGGTCTTGACGGGCATCGTCAGCACTTCCGCCACAGTCAGGCCAGCATCCAGGGCAGCTTGCAGCGGGGCTTCGGCAACAGGGAGATTCTTCAAACTCGCAGCACTGATCGAGTGAGCACGCAACAGGCTCAGACTCTCGGCGTCGAGAGACCCGCTGCGGCCGCGAGGCGAATGCGGCGATTCCGATGTCGGTTCGGTAAAGTTGCCCGCAGCGCTCGAAATCGACGACATGCGGCGCCGCGACTGGGCATGCGACTTGCGACCGACACGAATGGGACCACCAGTGTGCTGCGAGCTATTGCGAGACAACTCGTCGCCACCTCGGCGGCGGCGGCGGCTCTGCGAACTGGGAACAAAGGAGCGATCGTCGTCGTCGTCCTCGTCGTCATCATCGTCCTCGTCGTCGTCGTCGTCGTCATTGTCAAAATCGTCATCATCAAATTCAGTGTCGTCATCGTCATACTCGGCATCATCCAGACTGTCGGAGGCGTCCTCGAACGAAGCGTCCTCAATCGAGCCAGACGTCGGCGTTTGCATGGCGCTGCCGTTGGGACCAACAATCAGATTTCCTGTGGCAGTCCGACCCCAAGCACCGGTAACAGCCCTACTGCCAGGAGAGACTTTGGAGGCGGAGCTGGTAGGAGCGTTCTTGTCTCGTGATGCCGCTTTGCGTGTCCTGGGCCTCGCATTGGCCGGCGATGCCGCCCGAGCGGAAGCATGGTCGAGCGACAGTGCGGCCGGAGGGTTGCCACGCCGCCGAGAGTTGGTGCCAGTGCGCAGAGAGCCGCGTGTCGACGAGGACATGCTGGTTGAGGAGGTGGAGGATCCAAGGGCGTCGGCATGGTGCGCCGTCTGCAAAGTTGGCATGGTGACCCCGGCAGCCTGCAGACCAGCTTCGGTGGGGAGGAGGTGGCCAGTGCTGAGCGCCGTGATGAGAGGGTGGGTTGCGACCAGCCCAGCGGGCGGCAAACTGGTGAATGAGGCAGTGGAAAACCCAGAGCCATGATCGGACGGCGTGACGCTCGAGGTTGAGGTACCAGCAGAAAGCGACGACATGAGCATGGATGTCGTGTCCATCGAGAATGAGGTGAGGGGAGAAGCGGAGACGCCAGGGATGGAAACAAATCCGAGGTTTGTCTGCTGTGGTGGGATGGTGAGCATTGGAACGGACATGAGCGAGTTCATAGCCAGCGACTGCATGGGGTGTGAATTTGGGGCTTGCGGTGAGAGCTGTTGTTGCTGTTGCTGCTGTTGTTGCTGTTGCTGCTGTTGTTGCTGTTGTTGTTGTTGCTGCTGTTGTTGCAGCTGCTCTTGTTGGTGGAAATGAATCAGTTGCTGCTGCTGCTGTTGCTGTTGGTGCTCGTGTTGTTGCTGCTGAGCAACAAGCGACAGCAGATGAGTATCGGACGGGATGGGCCGCCCGACCACATTGGCAAGCTGCTGGTTGTGTTGCTGTTGCAGCCTGTGCTGCTGCTGCAAATGCACAAGTTGCTGTGTCTCCAACTCCTGTTGCTGCAAGAGCATTTCATGCTGATGGTGCTGAACGAGAAGGAGTTGGTGGGTCTGCGCAGCCTGCTCATCTTGTTGTTGTTGTTGTTGTTGTTGTTGTTGCTGTTGCTGTTGTTGCTGTTGCTGTTGCTGTTGTTGCTGCTGTTGCTGTTGTTGTTGCTGTTGTTGTTGCTGCTGCGGCTGTGGCTGAGCTGCTGCTGGGTGCTGACCTTGTTGCAGGTCAGCTGATTGCGGCTGCTGCTGTTGGAGCGCCGCTGGCAAGCTTGACGAGTGCACGAGCAGTGGGAGAGGCATGGGCGCAGCGCCTGGAGGCGAAACGTGTTGTTGTAGCTGTTGTTGCTGTTGCTGCTGTTGCTGAAGCTGCTGTCTCTCGTCTGGCAAGGCGTTCAAGTGCAGGTGCAGAATTTGATCGTGCAGATCAATGCTCGAAGCAAACATTTGCTGCTGCTGCTGCTGCTGCTGCTGCTGCTGCTGCTGCTGCTGGTGCTGGTGCTGGTGGTGTTGTGCACTGGGAACCAGCGAAGACGACAGGGTCATGAGCACGTCCGCCATCTGGGTGGATGGCTTTTGGGCATCCGTCTGTCCGGCCAGAACGGCCGAAGGCACCGACAGCAGCGCTGACTTTGCAAGGTCCGCCGGCGCCATCGCTGCCGCAGAAGTGTGGAGACCTGCTTCTGGCGCGTGCATCGGTGGCAACGAGACGGCGCTGGAAATTGTCTCTGTGTGCTGCGCAAGAAGCTGCGTCAGCGAGTTGGTCGACGACGAGGCAGTCATGCACTCGACGATCGGAGCCATCAAGGCGCCATTGTGCGCAGACGGGGTTGCAGCCGGTGTGTCAACACCGTGCATGGCGCTCGCAGTGTGCGCGCCAAAGCCGTGAATCAGATGGGCAGGCAGGGTGGCTGCAGCGTTTGCGAGCGAGATTGGGAGCACCAGGCTGTGATCTTCGTGGTGATGGGACGACGATCCTCCGACTGCTGCTTCAATGAACAAGCTGCTCGACGACATGGCGGCGGTAGCGGCAGCTTCAGCGACGGCTTCGCGCGCAGCGGCCATCGAGTCACTAGCATCACTGCCGTACACTCCAAAGTCGGCCAAGCTGTGCTCGAGCATCGGGGATGGTTGTTTTTGGTGGGTTTTTGTCTTGGAGGTCTTTGGATGTTGGAGAAAAAGGTTTTTGGTCTCGATGGAAAGGCAGCAGGGTTACCCAGGTCGAGATCAAGACGGGAAGCTGTAGACAACGGGATGCAAGGAGATGCGAAGTGAGTCAAGTTGCATTCAAGGTCTGTCGTTCAACGGTCTTGGTGTCATTCTCCATCTCTCGTATATACGAGTATCCTACGGCCCATCTCCAATGCACTCTGATCTCGAATCCTCGCTCGAAACACCAAAACACGGGAACAAAACAACGTTTTTGATGTTTATTCGAATCCGGCAAAAACTGTAAACAACACCGAAAAAGTGCCACGAAAACCACTTCATCAATGCCAATGAACAATAACGAATTCGCCTCAGTGTACTGCATATTGTTACGTAGCTAGTTGTTTGTGTGTGTCAGAGACGCTCAGAGTGAACTTGTCGCCTTCCTTCGTTCTGTTTTCTCTCATCACCTCGCCTTCCACTCCTCGGAGTCATACTCTCACCAGCGACAAGCAGCTGTTTTTTTGTTTTTTTTTTTTTTTTTTTGTTTTTTCGCAGTTGTGTGACTCGTTCATCACTTGACAACCATCGTCACCCATCACACACAGCTCCGGTTGTCGCATCAAACTGACCGACCCACTCTTCGTCCGCTCTTCAACACTCGCTCGTTCTGACGCAGAGCAACAAGTCGAACAGAAATGACGAACGATGTTGTTTTTTTGTTGTTTTTTTTGTCATACCGCAAAAAACAAACAATCAAAAGTAAATTTAAGAAATGAAGTAAACATTGAATCAAACACTCGAATAAACAAAACGAAATTGAAACGAAATTGAAATCAAAAAAAAAAGCCATACGAGTTTGCTTTTTTACATGACGCTCGAGATGTCCGTCATGGATTTTTTTCGTTGATTTTTTTTTTTTTTTTTTTTTTGAGAAAGCTCTTGTCTCTCGCTCTCGCTCTCCCCTGTTGGCAGTCCGGCGATTTTGCCCTTGAGGATGTGTTGCCAAACCCTCCTTGCTCTATACCAAACCAGACCCGAGCAGCCTGAATCGATAGGAAGATCGAGAAGCAAAGAGAGACGGGGAAAAACCAAAAAAACCAAAAAACGAAAAAAAATCCTTCCATTTCATTTCATTCTCTGTCGCTAACATGTGTCTGATGACGGAGCGCGTTTCACGGGCAAAATGCAGACCGTCCACCGCCGCGCCGCCTTCCCCTCGCGTCTGACTCTGGCGTTGGCACAACCACACAGCCCGAGAAGAGAAGCGGACGGACGACGAGGGAAGGCCCATGCAAAGTGACGCGTTGGCTTGGCATTTCAAACAAAAAAAAAAAAAAATCTCCCGCGCTTCCTCACTCGCTTGCAATCCCGTTTGGACAGGTTGGAAGGGTGTCGAAAATTGCTCCCCAAGCATTCACTTCTGCGGCGTGCTCAATCCGCTCCAGTTGGTGTGATGACAACGCACCTACCTTGGAAAGAGAGAAAAACAAGCAAACAAACGGGAAAAAAAAAAAAAAAAAACGACTGACCCTTTTTCAATGGAAAAGAAGCTTGAGTGACGCGCGCTGCTTGTGTCCGTCTTGAGGCTTCCGCTTCCGCGTTGGCTGATGAGAGAGCGAGGAATGAGCGGCAAGCATCAGGGGCATTGCGCAGGACAGAGGCGCAAGACAGCGACGTCCCGTCACGCCCGCCGTAAGAAGGAACTTGCGGGTTTTTGGTTTGGGCGCCGTATGTACACTGGACTTGTTCCGCAGGAGCGCGCACGCATCCTCGCTTGCAGGGTGGTGTGAACTAGGCACCCGTCGCTCTCAGTACAGTAGCATGAGCAGGTGGGGCTTGGACTCGGGAGATGGAGACAAAGGGGAAAGAAAAAGGGATGTCGTTTTGAGGTTTGGGCGCCGTATGCAGAGCCTTGCTCGAGCAGGACACGCACGCACCTCGCCTGCAGGTGCAGGTGCAGGTGGGTGGGAAGTGAGATCTCATCACAGCAGCATGAGCGAGTGGGGCTTGAGAGGGGCCGGGAAAGGGGGGAAAAGGGAAGATGATGATGAACGGCCGAGCCCATTGCTGTTTGGCCACACGTCCGTCCGTTCGTTGTTGGATACATCGGAACATCGGAAGGCTCGGGGGAAATGCATCTCGTCACGCGAGGTGTTGTTAAACGAGTTAGTTTGATAGTAACAGGGCGAGCTTTTGGTTGGAAAATGGGGAAAAGCCAAGGATAAAAATTGGTGATCTGGCCTTGTCCAGATCCACTCAGATTCAATAGCGAAACCCTTTTGGAAAGCACATTGACGTGATTGTTGATCGTATGGACGCATTGGCAGGACGGGCAAGAAAGTGATGACCGACAATGGATGACCAACAATGGATGACCAATGCAAAGGATGAATCCCATCCCAAACCACCAACTTGTCGCCGTTTCAAGTGCTGAAACAAAAATTGTTCACTGGTCGCTGATTGGCAACAAAGTAAAAGGCAGGGAGATGGGTCCAATACGAAGGGAAAGGGGGGAAGGGTTTGGCGAGCGACGTGAAACACACCAACTTCCTGCCACCATCCCAACGTTGTTGGTGGTCCCATCCCCCTTCACCTCTCACTTCACAATCAGTCTGCAAATCAGGTAGAGCAGAAATGCCATCCATGCGAGACGGGCGCGCAAAGCATCCATTTCTCTCTCTCTCTCTGGATGGGAACACGATTCTCTGAGACGATGACACGCTACAACGCATGGTGCTGCGGGACACAACCGAGTCCTCTCCCTCTGCCGCCGAAACGTGCATACGACGTAGAGTGGCACGTCTCTCATTCAGACACGAGCGAGCGCGCGCACGTCTGCCGCCGCAATTGCACAGTCGCAAACGCAATGGGAAGACAGCAAACTCAAAAACCGGATTGGAGCCAAGTTTTTGGTTTTCCGTTGTCCTTTTTCATAGTGTTGGATGCTGCTGTTGAGCGGACGTCTCCAATGCGAGGCGAATGAGGAAGGGTGAGAAGCCGTGTGGTATTCGCTATGATAATACTGAAGCGCTGGAAGCAGAGATTGAGAAGATAGGGGAAGAGGGAGGGAGAGGTTGATTTGCATTGAAAATCGCATTGGAAAATGAAAAAAAAAAAAAAAAAAAAAAAAAAAGAGTGAAAATGTTCGACATTGAAACAAAGTCCATTTCGGAGAGAATTCGGGATTCTGGCGATCGATGCGTGTTCCATACTCGGTGAGTGAAGAGAAGGGGGGAAGAAATCGACATGCATGGGGAATTTCCGTGTGGAAGCAGATCAGCGTCTGTCGCTGAAAATTTCACTTTGTCCCATTTTTGACAGAATACCTGCATGATAAGACTCGCAACTATCAACACAACCAACAAGCAAAAAAAAAGAGAAAAAGAGAGAAACAGCTTCAGGCCGACGCTTGACGGGCGGCAAACGAAAACTTGTGCTGTTGAATGTACAAAATCACACTTTGGTAAATCATTTCTTGCAACCGCGATTCGGTCGGAGAGCTCGTCGGCATATGCCGAATCATAGTCCTGGAAGATCAAAAGCAAAGCCCAGTTCAAATCCCAAGTGAGAAGAGCGGGCTCGCTTTCCAACCAAACAACCCCAAGACGCATTACCCTCGATCTTGGAAATCGCTAAACGCTTGCATGACCTGCTTTCTGAGCGCCTTCTTGCTTTGACTCAGCGAATCCAACAGTGTGGGCGGTGCGGCCGACTGTGGCTCTGCTGGAACGACACCAAAGTCTAACGGGTCGATGCTGGACATGTTAACGCCGAAATTGCCATCCGAAACGGCATTTCCGATGGTGCTCAACCCATTCTGACGATCCAGCGAGGCAAAGAAGGCCTGCTCCTCTTCCTCGCGCGAGATGTTTTGAATGTCATTGTCAAGCTCGTCCCATTGGAAGAGCAGCTGCTCGACATGCACCCGATCTGCCGTCAGCTGGTCGTACGCCTCCAAAATTGGCATGCACTCCATGACTTTTTGACGCTCTTGCCAGTCCATGCGCCGCCGTCGATAGTCGCAGTACCACATGCAATCGCCACACGTTAAAAGCTTCATGGAGGGCATGGGTGGTGTTCCGTTCGCCGAGGGCAGCAGCAGTCGCATCGCATCCCGGTCGGGCTCTCGACCGTCAAGCGTCATAAACCTGGCGTCCAGTTTGTGCACAACGTCCCGCGAGCACCCTTTGCCCGTACACACCACTCGACCGCATAGTCTGCAGTGGTGTCGCCGGGTAAAGAACATGCCGAACGCTTCCCCGCAGAACGGGCACTTGATGGCAGAAATGTCTGGCATCCAGCGCACAATAGATGCCTGTTCCTTGTCCAAGTCTGCCGAAGGTGTGGCATTCTAGCTCCAACGAAACACACATGCGGACAAGTTGAGTGATTGGTTTCACTCAAAACCGAAAAAGCAAAGTCAAAGTTCAAACCTTCAAAACGGCCAGCCGCTCAACCACCGTCACGATGCGATCAATCGAGTTGGCCCGCAAATCAAGCCTTCGTTGGCGCTCGCCAATATATGCGCGTGTGAGCGATCGTGTCTGGCCCGGCTCTTGCTGGTGACCTGCGCGCGTTTGGAAGCAGAACTGGCAGACGGAGCAGAGCACTCCGCGCTGTGGATCGGGCTTTGCTTGCGCGTTCAGACGCATCTCGAACTTGACGTGCTTCTCGCAGTAAATGTCGCCGCACTTGCGGCAGTGGTGGCGTCGCTCGAGCAGCGAGAACGACACGCCACAACCCGGCTGCGGGCAACGTGTGGCCAGCGCGTCGGGCTTCCAGTGCGCCTTCGTCACCACGGGCATCGAGTCCTGTTGTTGTTGAAGGGCAACATGCGCCTGAGGTGCCTGACCCGGCGCCCTGGTGGTGCTTGGGGTCGACGATGTCAGTATTCCGTTCAGCGTGGCGCTGTTCCCGCCACCTGCGCCGCTCGAGACAGAGTTTGGTCGGTTGCCTGCAGTGCCGGCAGACCTCGCAAGCTGCTGCTGGTCGTATGTGGTGGCCGCTGGCTGCGACAGGCGCGCAGAGAGTGCATTCTGAGGCGGTCCGGCTGTGGGTCAAAATGGAGGTGGATGTGAGCGGCTCAGACGTCATCAATCAAAAATCTCAGACCCCCAAACAAACCAAAACCAAAAAAACAAAATAAAAAAATTCGGAAGACAACACACGTCGTTGAGTTGTTACATTTGCCAAACATTGCATCAAGAATCAGGACTGAAAACAAAATAAAGTAACGTTACTTGAAACAACAGCAACATCAGACAGCACAAAGAGAGAAAAAAAAAACCCTCAGAGCGAAAACTACACAAGAGAGATCGCTAAACATGAAATTCGCGAAAACAAAATAAAAGTGTAAAGCCAGAGACGGAAACCCCCCCCCCCAAAAAAAAAAGAGCGATGTTGTTTTAAAAAATGTCCGGCACGTTCGTCCAGTTCTTGGCTTCCTTGGCCTCCCAGTAGCCTCCGCTGTAGACAAACTCGTCCGCATCGGTCAAGGGCTGGTAGCGCCGAGCAAACCAGCGCGGCTGGACAGTCTCGCCGGAGGCCTCGCGCTGTTTCCGCACTGCGCGCTGCTTCTCTTCCAGTCGTAGCTTTTCCGTGTCTGCCTCTTCAAACATGCCATTTTCCATCTTGCGCTGATCGGGCCGCAACCGCGAGTCGGTCGGGCAGACATTCTGCTCTGGCTCGTTGAGCAGGCAGGCAAACTTTGTGTAGCCGTACATCTTGGCCGAGTCCACCGGCAGCGTGCCGCGCTTCCACAACTGCTTGCCAGGCAAGTTGGTGCCCGGCGGACGCGACTCGAGAGACTCGTCCCATGTGCCCAGGAGCTCGATTTTGCATTTGCCCGTCTCATCCATGACCTCGCCAGTGACCTTGCGCGGCTTCTCGCTTGAAAAGTAGCTGTAAGCGTAGTACTTCATCGAGCAGCGCTCCTTGGTTGTGTGGTTGACAATTTCCATCTCGCCGTGCTGTGGGGTGATGCGGAGTCAGCGTGAGTTTGTTCACCAGAAACCAAACAAGCACACCCCGCCAGCAACCAAACCAACGACAAAAACAGCCACTTCTCGAAACTACAAACCTGATCAATCCACAACTTGCCAACAATAATGTTGTGAACAGTGGTCGTGACTTTGCGCCATGTATAGTGGTCGCCATTTTCAAAGGTGAGATGCGTGATGCCGACAGGGACAATTTGCAGGTACTTGCCGCGGAACTTTGAAATCATGCCAAAGTCCTGCCACAGCGTCCAGCCGCGGCCTTCAGTGTGCATGGCGCTGATTGGCGGGTGGTGCGATACTTGCTCGGTAATGACGCGCCAGCCCTTCTCGGCACGCATGTCCAGCTCGTACGTCTCGCCGAGAAGCGGGTTGAAGGGCTTTCCCGTGCGCGTCGTTGTGTTGGCGTACGAGCTCATCGTGTACGCGGCGACAAAGGCCATGCGCTCCGTGGAGGAGGTGGCCTTGGCAGCAGAGTCGAGCAAGTCTGCGTACTCGAGATCTTCGCACAAACGTTGCAAAAAGGAGAGGGGCTCGTTGAAAAAGACTGGCATCGGGATTTTGGACAAGTCCTTGCCGATGCAGTCTTTCATGACACCCCACAGGCTGGCCGACGTCTGCGGTCGGTAGGGAATGCGCTCGCGGCGGCGACGTGCGGTGGGCACGACTGCAGCAGTGGGCGCAGCGGTACTGGGCGCACGTGAGTTTGCGGCGGCGGTGGATGCGAGCGTTGACGCTGCTGCTGGTGAGGTGTGGGTGGCGGTTGTGTGGGTGGCGGTTGTGGTGGCGGGGGCAGCAGTGGCAGTCGTGGTGGTAGCAGGTGCATCCTCATCCTCGGCAGCAAAGAACTCGTCTTCATCGTCGGCTGCGTCGAAGAAGACCTCTTCGTCGTCCATTTCGACGTGGGTGTGGAAGGTTTTGCCAGATGCCACAAGAGTGGCACGTCGCTCGAGCACATTGTGCTGCTTGGCCAAAGTCTCGACCGTTTCGGCGAGCGACGTGAAACGCGAGCGCTCTGCCAGCAGAATTTTCGTCCACTCCCCGTGATGCTGCTCGATATTGTGGACATAGCTCGAGCAGGCGTCAACCATCGCCGCGGCGGTGATTTTGAACATGGCGGCATCCTCCTGCAGCTGACGAATGTGGGCAACAGCGTCGGCTGGCGCCACCGCGCCGTTGAGGAGCAGCTCTGGGGTGTGTGGCCGGGCGGCACTGGCAGCGGTCGCCAAGGTGGGTGACGAGGCGGTCGGCAGGGAAGCGTTGGACGAGGATTTGCGCGACGCCTCGATCGACGCGTCCGACACGGCACCGAGCGATGCCTCGACAGTGGTGCAACTCCTTTGCAAGCCGATAGCCTGCTTGAAGAGCAGCTCGCTCCGCAGCTTGACTTCGCTGAAGGCCTGCTTGACGCTCTGCAGGAAGGCAGCCTCGTCAATGGAAGTGCTGGCTGCGCCTTCGTCCTCTTCGTCCGACTCGTAGTCAATCTGCTGGCCAACCAAGCCGACGATGCGCGGCCTGCTCGCCAATGACGACGATGCTGCTCCAAGAATGGTGGCGGGCTTACCGCCAGCAGCGCCACCCGACAGCGAGAAGGCTGGCGGTGCGGGGACGTGTGAACTGCTGCTGCTGCTGCTGTTGCTGCTGTTGCTGCCGTGGGCGCCGTTGCTGGAACGACGGGGACTTGCCGTGAGCCCACCACTCGCACCAGCAGCACCAGCGCCGTGGTGGTGCTTGCCGGCGGCACGAGATTGGGCCTTGACCTTGGCCAGCTCGAGGGCCATAATCCACCGTGCGCGCTCTGGCTCGGAGTGAGCGCGGCAGTGGAAGTGCTGGGTGCTGGTTGCCACGTCAATGCCTAGGCGATCGTCTGGCGTGATTTGAGCACCCACCAGACTGACCGTGCCGCGACACGTCTCTGTCACTTCCTCCTTGGAGCGGTAGTACGACAGCGCGCCGCCCTTGAGAATAAACCAGCGCTCACGCCAGCCAGACATGTAGTTGGTCCACTTGAGCAGCCATCCCGAGAACTCGTCGCCGTCGAGCGGCTGGTCGGGCGGCAGTTGGACGACGTTTCCGTCAAATCCGCGCAGCAGCGGCGATTCCGGTGCGCTGCTCATCCGCGTGATGTGAGATTGACTTGACTGCAGCGAGGGGGTGGGTGGTGGTAGTGAGGAGCAGGGGGGGTCAATGACCAAAGATGGGGTGGCGAACCTTGAGAGACTAGCGGGGGGTTGGGGTGTGTCCTTGGGTCTGCAACATGAATAGAAGAGAACCAATGAGTTGTTACACAGCTGGCATCGAACGCAAGAGTCTGAGTGTGAGTGTGAGTGTGAGAGGGGGAGTTGCAGTGTGAAGGCGTTCAAAGCAAACGCTTGAGACTGCGTTTCTTCAGAGTCGATCATGACGGCGTTTTGGTTGTGTTTGTGGATGCAATTGCGCTGGAGATGTGCTGGTGTGTGGCGTCGCGATAGAAGGAGTTGAGCGAGGAGGTGACGTAGGAGAGGAAGAAACAAGAGGGGGGAACAAGGGGAAAAAAAAAAAAAAAAAAAAAGTTGCGTTGTCGTCGTTTGTGCCTGAGACGAACGACGGGGACAGACGATGGAGGGAGACGATGGAGAGGAGGTGAATGATGAAGACGGGGGCAATGGTAGAGGGCGGGAGGACGGGGGGGGAAGAGAGGCGAAGAGAGGAGAATGGGGAAGGAAAGGGGGCGAACGAGTACAAAAGTGCAAAAGGGAAAAAAAAAAAAAAAAAAAAAAAAAAAAAAGCAGGACTTAGGTCGCCGCCACGCGGTTTCTTCGATTTGACTCGAGCTTTCGGTGTTTGGTTCCACGTTTGCGATTCGTTTGAAACGCGTTGCTTTGTAAAATCTCAGTGTCAATTCTCTTTTTCGGATGTTCGTAAGGTGCGTCAGATTTCAGAAAGGAGGTTGGTGGGAGTCAGTTTTGACTCAAGTTCGATCGCTGCTTTAAGTTCGATCGATGAGAACCCTCGAGACGATCCGCTACGCAGCCACATCGGATCTCTGCGACCACATGACTCAGCTACCAATAACAACTCAGACATGTCTTGGTGGTTGGTTGCTGGACGTCTGTGGGGGTCGGCAGCTAGGCCTGTTCTTAGTCCCACGCCTCATCTTTCACCGCTTCGAAGCGGAAGTCTCCATTATCAATCACAAACAACACGGTGACAGCAACGAGAAGACGGCAGATGTCACTTTGAGACTGGGACGCATTTGCCATGTACGACAAATTTCCGACGGTTGTGGTTTTTAGTCCTTTTTTGTTTTGCTTTGCTTTTGTTTTTCTTCTTTTTCTTCTTTTGCTGATTTGGATTTTTTTGTTGTTTTTTTTTGGACGGTGAGTTTCAAGTGAAGGCAACACTGAACACAGCCAGATTCGTCGCATCTCATCTCTCGCAGCGCGTACAACTTGAGTCCTGAGATCGATTCGCCCGTGTCTACGGGGCAGCGAAAGAGAGCGGCACAGGAGTCAGCCGAAGCGATGGTTTATTGTTTTGAATTATTTTTTTCTTTTTTTTTTCTTTTGTGCTATTTCGCTCTGCTCAAAGGCGCGCCACGCTGTGTGCTTTGGAGTGCACATGCACGTCTCTCTTTGCCATGCAACGAGCGAAGGCACACGTGTGGACCCTGAGGGACACTGGCAAGGCGGTGGTTGAAAGCGCGCCACAGTCGAGTTCAGGACAAGAAGAGAACCATCGCAAGCATGGAAGCATTTGAACAAAAATGAGCACGATCGTGTCAATGGTCAAGCCCTCTTTTGATGTGCATGAAGCAGCCCCCTCCATCAGCGCGAGATGAGAGAGAGAGAGAGACAGAGAGACAGAGAGATGAGTGTGAGTGTGAGTGAATTCGCCTTGTCTCGCTCATTGGGATTGGGCGGGCACTGACGCTCGCTAATGATCATTTTTGCGGGTTTTTTGTTATGATGCTTGTTTTGTTTTTTTATTTTGATTTCATGTTTTTGGTCGTTTTTTATTTTTGTGTTGTTTTTTTTTTTTTTGTGTGTGTTTTTTTTCGGCCTTTTTTGCTGTTTTCGGGCTTGCTTGACTTGGATACAATCTCGATTCACCCTCACTTCGACCTGTCGTCCAACTCAAGCTCGAGTCGCAGTGGAGGTCGCTTTGTGCGCGTTCTATTGTTTGACGACGTGTTTAAGATTTCTCGCGTTATTTTGAGCGTCGACTCAAAACTCAACGGCATCGACGTCGGACGGATAAATCGTGATGAGCGGTGTGGCGGCCGGGAAGGGGGAGGGGAAAGAGAGGCAGAAAGCAGGGGATGGAGGGGAGGCCAGAGTGAAAAAGAGCAGACGCATGGCGGTGATCCCTGTGTGCTTTTGCAAACGCACAAAATGCGGGTGAGGAACCATCGCTCATGATTTGATCTTGGTTGCTTGCTGTTGTTTCTATGGGATTCAGATATCGTTGAACACCTGCAAGCAAATGACTGCGGCGCGTTCGCTCGTCGTCGTCGGTGCTCTCCTCGCGGTCGTCGCGCTGACTGCACATGCAGACATCCACAATCTGCCAACCAAGTGGGTCAACACTGCCAGTTCAACTGCCCCGCAGCTGTCCACCAAGAATGTCGTCCTGTCACCCGCGCTGGGTTGGCTGACTTGCTCTGGGTCAACCGGAGGCTACCGCTCCACTGGTTCTAGTTACTTCAGTCAAGAATCGCTCCTGCAAGACCTCTACACAAACGAGATCAGCATTCGCTACGTTCAAGAGTATCTGGCCAATGCTGGCGCCAGCGTCCATTCCACTCGAGAGCGCTGGTTTGAGACTCCCACAGAAGTCATTATCAACGACTTTGACACCGCAGCTGCCAAGAAAGTGACATACACAGGCGGCACATGGTCCTCTGCAACAAGCGTACTAGGGTATGGTTCCGACCAACATTGGTTTGCAGCAGCGGCTACGGAAACTGCCACAGCCACATTTACGGCCACAATTTCCACGGATGGGTACTACCCCGTCTACATGACTTCGCCTGCCTTGAACTCCAACCGAGGCTCCCCAGATGTTCGCATTACACATTCTGGAGGCATCCAGACACTGTCAGTCCCGCAGTATCAACAGGGTGCCATCTTTGTGTATCTTGGTCGCTACTACTTTACTGCTGCGGCGGGAATCAAGGTTGAGATTACCAACAAAATGCCCGTGTATTCGGGCAAATCTGCGATGGTTGATGCAGTTCGCGTCGGATGCGGAGCGTCAACAGCTGGCATTCCACGCTGGAAGCTGTCGGCCCAGGACTTTCTGTACTTTCAGAGCCAAAACCAGAATGCAGGGTCGGGCCTTCAAATAGCAGCCAACGGAGCGCCCACCATTGACACCGACTACAATGCCAGGGCGACTTTCTCCAACTTCATGTACAACCAGAAGGTGGATATGGATCTTGTCAACAGGCAAAATGGTGCTGACTGGCTGTACGCAGGTATTGGTGCAAGTGGAGGCGCTGGATCTGGTGTCTCAACTGTAACACCCAACACCGTAAGTAGGCGATGCTTGTTGTGATTCACAGATTGCTGCACTCGAGTGAATTGTGCTTATTCTGCCCCCTCCGGTCTCAGTGCAACGCTCTACACGGCGTGCAGCACCGCGGCAACTAGCGTGCGCGTGAACGTTCAGCAAGCAACCGGACAAAACAACCAAGGAGGCTCCCTCGATGCGTCCAAAACGGAATTGACCCAAAACGCATACATGCCGTCGTTCATTACATACACCATTGATGTGTTCAACGGCACTGAAATGGCGCTGATGGCGAAAGAATCCTACCGCGAAACGGTAAAGCTGATGTGGTGGGAGTTTGATGAATGCACTCTGAAGGACTCTCATCGAATGATAACTCACAATAATTCTCCCAATAACAGCTTGGTCGTGCCATCTACAAGGGCATCCACAAGTACTTTGTTCCATCGTCTCCTACCATCATCCCGTTGCCGGTCACCAACCTTTACACTGTCTCAAGGACCGACAGCGTTGCCCTCTGCTGGGTTCAGCCGACTGACCCTCTTGAATCAAGTGCAACTCCAACAGCGTACAAGCTGTACACCTCTACTGACGGTCGCGGCTGGGATGCAGGTGTCATTTTCGGGCCTACGGGTGCTAATGTCGCGCTTGAAGGGAACTTTGGCAACAGCGTGTGTGGTGGCACGAGATTGGTCGCGGTCGACACGCAGTACTACTTCAAAGTTGTTGGTGTCAATGCTGGAGGAGAGGCTCTTACAAAGCTTACAGTCGCTGGGTACCGCAACTCTGGAAGCAGTCCGCGCATTCTCGTGGTTGATGCTTTTGACGCCGACTTTGTCCACGCGAGCGACAATATCGAGGGCCGCTACACACGCGAGTACGTGTACGAGTATGCTAGTGCGCTACAGGCTGCAGGCTACCGCTGCGACTCGGCCACCAAGAACACTTTGCTCGACGCAACATGGGTGAATGCCTATTTGGTGAACTACGATACTGTCATCTGGTTTGCAGGCGAGAACACTGGAATCAACGTGTTCCCTGCCGCGCATCAAGCTGTCATCAACACTTGGATTGCTGCTGCCAACATTACCAAACCGCGCTCTTTGGTTGTCAGCGGCTCGCACGTCGCATCGGGTCTTGCGGCTGCTGGTGGAGCCAGTGCGACCTTCCTCGCCAACAACCTGGGTGCTGGTTACGCCGGTTCCACTGCTAGCGCGCCATTCGTTGCTCGCCAGGCTGTCGATCCGGGCTTTACGATGAGCGGCACCGTGACGTTCAACTCGGTCATCGCGCTTGGCAACCCCTACCTTGTTCAAACCCCTGACATCCTGACTACCGTCGGAAACGGCATGGCTGCACTGTACTATGGCGCTTCTTCTGGAACCAACATTGCTGGTGTGAGCACTGTGGGAGGCAGCTACTCGTCGTTTTTGCTCGCCATGCCATTCGAGACAATCAAGTCGAGCACTGAGCGCACTACGCTGATGACGTCGATTGTGAAGAGCGTGATTCAACGTCGTGCCAGCTCTGCCATCTCTGCAGCAACTGCGAGCGCTGCAACTGTTGCGTCTACGTCACAAGCATCAGTGGCGACACTGTTGGCAGCTACGGCTTCAGCGATGTCGTCGTCTGTTGCCTCGTTCGCTTCCAAGGCGTCTGATGCCAGTGTTGCCTCGACGTCGGTTGCGTACGTGACGAGTGTTGCTTCCTTTGCATCTGTCGCATCTGACGCATCTGCTGCTTCCGATGCATCTGTCGCATCTGTGGCATCCACCTCTGTTGCATCCGACGCATCTGTCGCATCCGACGCATCTGTCGCATCCACATCCGACGCATCTGTCGCATCCACTTCCATTGAATTCGTGACCAGCGTGGCTTCTGCCGTATCCGGCGCAAGTGCCGCCTCCGCGGCGACGACAGCCTCTGCATCTGCTGCGACGCTCGCCTCCGAAGCGTCTGGCGCCTCTACCGCAGCAGCTTCTGCCGCCTCTGCGTCTATCGAAGCTGCGAACGCTTCCAGCTTCCCAGTCGGCCCAGTGGTTGGTGGCGTCGTTGGTGGCCTGCTTCTCCTGCTCCTTTTGGTCATTCTGCTTGTGATTCTGCTCCGCCGCCGACGACACACCAAGAAAGAACAGGGACCCGGCTCAGCGGAGCGCAACAATGTTGTTCACAATCCTGTCGCGGACGATTCGGTTGGAACTTTTGCCAATCCTCTGTTCCATCAGCAGCAGGACGACGGGCTGTATGATGCCTTGACACCTGTTGCTGAACCTCGGCCAACAGCCTCGAAACAGGAAGAATCTGGGCTGTACGATCAACTCGGGCATGCGTCTGGCCTCGCCTCTGGTGCTGATGAAACCTACTCAACTCTGACTGGTGGAGATCTGAGCTCGAAGACGGAGTACGCTTCCATGCGCGCTATGTAACCGAGCAGGACTTGTGTTTCCACTGTCAGATTTTGGTTTTTGTGCTTTGGGTTCCTGTGTTTGTTTCGTGTTTGCGATTCGTTTGCGATGCGTTTCTTTGTGACAATTTGAAGCCTCTTTTTCGGTGTTGATCAAGTGTGCCATACAATCACGTCCGTGGTCTCGCAGCGTGCTAGTCGCCATCATTTTCGTTTTCAATTCCGTTGTGTTCTGGTGGTACATTGTGCTCACGCCGTTCAATCAACAAATGCGTTGCCGAGGTATCGTTTGAAAAACCGCCGTATTTCGATGCTCTCGCAACGCGTTTCCTGGCTGCTCAGCACACAAATCGGGCAACTGTCGTGTGTACGAGAACGTGCCTCACTCCGCAGGTCTCATTTCACCAATGCCGCGTTGTGTCCAAGCTGTACTTGTCATGGTAAAGCTACACCGAGGATTTTGCGAGCTGCAAACAGGAGATGAGAACAGAAAGCTCACTGAAGTCCTCCCCGCTCGTCGGCTTCCAGGGCGACTCTGACTGGCTTCAGTTGGAGTGACTATTGCGAGTATTGGTCGAACGACGACGACTCCAGGGCGGTGATTGCTCGTGTGCCTGGACGCCGACTTTTTTTTTTTTTTTTTTTTTTCGAAATTCTCCAACGCTCACCCCCTTGTTCCATGATTTTCTGGGCTCTTAATTCTTTTCACTGATTGCCTGTACTTGTGCTAGTATGACATCATTTCTTTTCTTCCTCCAACAACACAACGTCGATTAGGCAACGTTTCGCTCATTCGTCTTTTTATTTTTTTATTTCAATACAACTGTAAGTATGGCTCGTACCAAGCAGACCGCGCGCAAGTCCACCGGTGGCAAGGCGCCCCGCAAGCAACTCGCCACCAAGGCCGCCCGCAAGACCGCCGTCACCTCCGGCGGTGTCAAGGTAAAGCACTTTCTCTGTGCTCTTGTCGCTGTGCAGACGCAGACGCAGACGCAGACGCAGACGCCGAAGCAAAACGAAAGCGTCACCGATTTCTCATTTTTTTGCTTCTTTTTTCTCTTTTTTTTTTTCCCCCCCCTTCCCCCTCGTCCCCTCGTCCCCTTCCCTTGCCCCCCCGCGCGCGAGCAGAAGCCCCACCGCTACCGCCCCGGCACCGTCGCCCTCCGCGAGATCCGTCGCTACCAGAAGTCGACCGAGCTGCTCATCCGCAAGCTCCCTTTCCAGCGCCTCGTTCGTGAGATCGCTCAAGACTTCAAGACCGACCTCCGCTTCCAGTCCGCCGCCGTCCACGCCCTTCAGGAGGCTGCTGAGGTCAGTGTCGAGATGTTTGCTTCGGGTGTTGTGGTGGTGCAGGGAGGAGGCGACGCGAGGGCAAGAAAAGGCCTTGCAACACAACAAGAAAAAAAAAATTGAAAAAATTGAAAAAAAAAACATGAGGGGAAACAGTCTAAAATCAAAAAGCGCGCGAAAAATTCAAATTTCATCCTCACCTTATTTTGCTTATTTTGGGAATGCTCGCAGGCGTACCTTGTTGGCCTGTTTGAGGACTCCAACCTCTGCGCCATCCACGCTCGCCGCGTCACCATCATGCCCAAGGACATCCAGCTTGCCCGCCGCATCCGTGGCGAGCGCGCTTAAGCGACTTGTGTGCTTTGAGCCTTTTCCAAGCGCCTCTCCTTTTCCCTCTCTCTTTCTCTTTTCTCTTGTGATGGCGAGTTTTGAATTTGCTGCATCGACGTGATGTTTGTTCTTTCTAGCTTGCCTCACTCTCAAAAATCCAAATAACAAAACAAAAATCAAAAAATTTACCTGGTGTTTTTCAACGCCACCAATCCTCAAACCCTTCGAGAGAAACTTTTTCTTCTTTCTGCATCTCATGCTTTGTTGATCTAGTTCATTGTTGTCTGAGCTTTTCCATTTGTATAAAGTGCTGCCTGCACCTTTGTGATTTCCACCGACACTTCTGAAAGAAGCCCGACTTTTTTCCATTTCAAAATGCTCATACAAAATGCGTTTGACATACTGTAGTCCAGAATCAATTTCTCAGGTGTGCCTCAAACAGCTCAGTCCCTTTTATCTATTGATCTTCAAGCCATGCAAACAAGCGCAGCGCTGCCATTGCACATTGAGACTGCCTGCATCCACAGCATCCCGCTGTCCCGCCTGCTGCCCGCCGAGGTCCAGGGCCAGCAGCGCCCAGTCTACCTCAAGCTTGAGAATACGCAGCCGTCCAACTCGTTCAAGCTCCGAGCGATTGGCAATCTGTGCGCCAAAGCAGTCGCGCGCGGCGGCTGCGTGCGATTCGTCTCATCTTCAGGTTTGTCTAACACAGAGAACACAAGGTATCAGCAAACACCTCAGAATGATTGATACTCATAGGTGTATGATGATGGGTGTGAATTCGGGGCACCACAGGTGGCAATGCAGGGTACGCAGCCGCAGTCGCCGCTCGCATGCTTGGACTGCCCGTGCACGTCGTGCTCCCCACATCAACGCCAGGATTTATGCGCGAGTTGATCGAGTCGGAAGGAGCTATTGTGACGGTATATGGCTCTGTAAGTGAATGTCAATGTGTGAATGTGAATGAATCCGAAATTTGCTGCCGACGAAAGCATACGGTTGATTCTGAAGCGGTTTTTATGTGTTTGTCGCAGGCTTGGGATGAGGCGCATGCGCATGCATTGGAACTCGCTGCAGAGCCAGGTATGGTTGTGTCCTTCATGATCGTGTGAGCTGGTAACGGTTGGTTTCAGCACTTCTTTACTCATGTTTTGTTCATCCAACAGGCTCTGTTTATATTCCTCCATTCGACCACCCTGATTTATGGTAGGCATCATCGTGTGAACATTCCTGCTCTCCTTCTCGATGCGTGTGTCTGTCTGTGAAATGCTCACTTTATGGCGCAGGGAAGGGACGTCGACGTTGGTCGACGAGCTCTTCCGACAACTGCCAGAAAAGCCGGCTGTAATTGCCGTTGCAGTCGGAGGCGGAGGACTCTTGGCTGGCGTGGTTGAAGGGCTGCATCGGGTGGGCAATGCCGCATGGAAGGATGTCCCGGTCATTGCTGTTGAAACCGCGGGCGCAGACTCGCTCGCCAAGTCCGTCGAGGCTGGAGAACTCGTCACACTGCCCGCCATCACAAGCATAGCCAAGAGTCTCGGGGCCAAGCGAGTTGCAGAACGAGCGTTTCAACTTGCTCGGGAGCATCCCGTCATTTGTCAAGTCGTGCCAGACGCCAGCGCAACTCGAGCAGTCGTCCAGTTTGCAGGTACCTGAAGTGCGACTTCCTCCCTTCTGACCTGCCTATTGTTTGATTGACTTTTTTTTGGCTCTTTCGTTCTGGGCAGAGCATCATCACATGGTGGTTGAGCCAGCCTGCGGTGCAGCCCTCGCAGCACTGTACGACTCACTGCTGGCCTCCGATTCCGTTCAAAAGGCCATCTCTAACGTCTCTGGGATTTCCGCATCGGCGCCTATTGTCGTGGTCGTTTGCGGTGGCAATGTCGTGACCTTGGACATGCTTGCGAGCTGGCGCACTGCTGCATGTTCGCCTCCCTCCTGAGCACACCAAAACCTTCTCTCAATCTTTTTTTTGTTTTGTTTTGTTTTTGTTCAGTCTATTCGCTTTGCCTTGCGTTTCATTGTGTTTCAATTGACTCTCTGTATCATTTTATTCTTCTCTCTGTATTACAACCTGGCTCATTCTTTATTCATTCTTTCATGTCGTCTGCATCCAAGCGAGCGCATTCGCCTGAGCGAGGTTTGGCCTTCTTCCAATGCTCATCCCAGCCAAAATCCCAATGCTAGTTCCATTCTTTGCACTTGTTCAAATATCCATCCAATTGCATTTTACCAAATCCATCACTGAAAAAATCTCGTCTCTTTGTCTGAGAAATCTGAGCGTTGACTGACTTAGTATTGGCTTCTTTGGCTTTTTGCACTCAATGGCAGAGATTGTCGCTGGCGGCGCTGCGTCCAAGCATGCACGACTTGACGACGACGTTGCCGCTGATGTGCGATCTGATCACTCGCGAGCCGTGGACGGAGCACGAGGGCGGCAACGACGATCGAACGACGCAGACGAGGGCGAGCACCAAGACGAGAGCGCAGGCGCAGAGCCCAGGTCGAACGGACACGCTGCTGGGGCGCAGGACGATGCCCAGAGCATGGCCATGGACGCTGATACCGCAACGGCGGCGACGGCGGCGGCGGCGGAGGAGGAGGAGCAGAAGCTCGCCCAGCAGCGCAGGATGCGCCGACTCGAGCGAATCCACTTGGCTGCACTGCCAACGAGCAACCTGTATGAACGGAGCTACATGCACCGCGACGTCGTCACGCATGTCGTGGCAACGAGAACAGATTTCGTCATCACGGCGAGCCTCGACGGGCATATCAAGTTTTGGAAAAAGCTCGAGGCCGGGCTGGAGTTTGTCAAGACCTTCCGCTCGCATCTCACGGGCATGACGGACGTGGCGGCGAGCCACGACGGCATGTTCTTGGCGACAACATCGTCGGACAAGATGCTCAAGATTTACGACGTGGTGAACTTTGACATGATGAACATTATCAATCTCGGCGACGACGAAGCAACCTGCTGCGAGTGGCTCCACCAACCCGGAGACGCCCTTGCCAGGGTGGCGGTCGCCTGTCAGTCCAGCCCCGCGATTCGCATCTACGACGCTCGTGGCGACGGCAAGCCCTTGAAGACAGTGTCCATGCACGTCAAACCCGTCGTAGCCATGGCGCTGAACGTGAAATTTGACACGGTCATTTCCGTGGATACTGCTGGTCTTGTCGAGTACTGGCGCGCGGCAGACAACTCGGACCACACCTTCCCTTCTGATCGCGTCCATTTTTCTTCCAAGCTGGACACGGACTTGTTTGATTTTGTGCGCGCCAAAACGGTCGTCACCTCGATTGACGTCTCGCCGGATGGCTCCAAGTTTGTAACCATGTCCAGCGATCGCAAAGTGCGTGTCTTCCGCTTCCTCACAGGCAAGCTCGCGCGCAAGTACGACGAGTCGCTCCAGGTCATTGCCAACCAGTCGCAGCTCGCCTCGCACATCGACAACATTGAGTATGCTCGACGGCTCGCCGTCGAAAAGGACATTGATCAACAGCCCGTGTCCGTCGCCGGCATGAACGCAGTCTTTGATGAGTCGGGTCTCTTTGTCATCTATCCTTCCCTGCTCGGCATCAAGGTTGTGAGCATCCACGACAATCGATGCGTGCGCATCATTGGCAAAGTCGAGTCCAACATTCGTATTTTGCGTGTCGCGGTCCATCCTGGCAAGCTGCGCAAGGCCATCGGTATGACATTGGTAAGTGTGCGTATGTGTGGGTGTGGAGGTGCGGGGGAGGAGAGCAAAGCGAAGCTGGGATGTCCAATTCAGATTGTTTGATCGCTACATGTGGTTTCTTCCGTCCAGGACTCGCAAACTGCCGACAACCCGCTTCTCGCGGCTGCCATTGCCGATCCGAGTGTCTTTTGCACAGCATTGAAGCGACAGCGCTTTTACATTTTCTCGAATCGCGAGCCCAAGGAGGACGGCAGGTGAGGGCTGTTTTGCTTGAGATTGTTTTCGCTTGATGTCCGGGATTGTGCTTCTGCTTTTTGTCCAGGATGCTGACTGTTGTTCGGGGCTCGCCTTTTGTTGAATCCCATGAATTGTTTTGCTTTGGTAGTGACGTGGGCCGAGATATTCTCAACGAAAAGCCAACCCGTGAAGAACAACTCGCTTCATTGGAAAGCGTTAGTAAGCCTGTGCTTCCCGACTTGGCAATCATCCATACGACCAAAGGCGATATTCATATTCGTCTGTTCCCGCAAGAGTGAGTTTGACTTGAGCTGGTGGGTGCTCGAGTTGTCTGGCCCTGCGTGCGCTCACGACGATGCGGCTGTTGCACCATTCTCTCGGCTCATGCAGGTGTCCGAAGACGGTCGAGAACTTTGTGACGCATGCACGAAATGGATACTACAACCAGCACCTGTTCCACCGCGTCATCAAAGGCTTTATGAATCAAACTGGCGATCCCAAAGGTATGTGAATGAACTCAGCCAAAACCTTCTCTGTTTCCGTGGCTGCGGACGTGATTCTCATCGTGCTGATTTCTCGCATTGGTGTCGTAGGCGATGGTACTGGTGGCGAGTCCATCTGGGGAGGCAACTTTGAAGATGAGTTCCACAAGTCGCTCAAACACGATCGACCGTTCACGGTGAGCTCGGCCAACGCTGGCAAGGACACGAACGGCTCGCAGTTCTTTATTACCGTTGTCCCCACGGTAAGATTTTCGAGCTGGGCAGCGGTGCTTGAAGAGGGTTGCTGTGCAACCTCGGAGATGCAACGCCGATGCGCGCAAGTGCTCTAACCTTGAGGCATTTGCACTTTGTAGCCGTGGCTCGATAACAAGCACACCGTCTTTGGACGCGTCATCAAGGGCATGGAGATTGTCTCGGCCATTAACAACGTCAAGGTGGACAAATCAGATCGTCCTTTGGAAGATGTTCGCATGGTCTCCATCACCCTCAAGCAATCATAAGACAATGAGACCGCGCCATTACTCCGCCCCTCCTCGGTCACCCTTTGTGAAGTTGCTCGTTTCAAATTCATTCGGATGATTGCAAGCTTTCAAATATCCAATTCTCTCGTTTTGACACTGAAAAAGTCGCGTTATCGCCACTTTCGCAGAATTGCTGGTGTCGCATACTCGTTGGTCACTAAAGCATCGCGAAAGTTGGCTCCAAACCCACCACCATCGTAAAAGCTATAACGGCCAGGGAATCGGTCCAAGTAGGCGGGATTCTCCTTGCGACTTGGGAAGCGATCATGCTCCCAAGTCGTGACGTTGGTCGCAATGAGATAGAGGTGATAGATGAGCATCCCGGCAGTAAACAGAATCATTGCACTGGCAATCGCTAGCATGGTTGTCATGCTAGGGTTTTCACGAAAAATAAACTGACGAGAAAAAACGTCAAGTCAAAGTGAGGCAAAGCATCGAAGCACATTTGCACTCGAACACCAAGGCTAGACGCCCCGCGAGCTTACCCGCACAATCCCATGCCATACAATGGGCACTGGGTTGTTGTTGTCCGAACCGTCAACAATCCACATGCTCCAAAGATTCATGTGCTGGACGAGCGCGGACAGCGACCACGCTGAATGTGCGGCGGCAGCTATGCACAGTCCCGTGTTGGCGAGCAAGAACAGCAGGAATTGACCAATATTGTTACCACCAACGCAATTGTTAATCCAGATGCAGTGGTGGTCAAATCGGTGAACGCAGAGATTGCATGCGCGGCAGTGCTTGGAGCGTGCTGGTTTGAGGCGGTGCCCGCCGGCGTCCGTCAGACCCGCCTTCGCTCCTGGCATCGGTGGGCATTGCAAGCATGCCACTCCAGAGCAGTAAAAGTAGTTGTCGAACGGGTAGGAGCGCAACCGAGCGGCCAAATTGGTTGGGGTGATTCGCCCGGGATTCGACCAGGACAGGCGCCAGAACAGCACAATGCAGATGCCAACTAGTGCATGAACAGCTTGTGCGAGATTGCCCGGGATCAGATGGGCAGGCAGCACGACGATCGGCGGCCCGGATTCCAACTGAGCACTGTTTGGTGATCTCGCCTTGGCTGAGATCGTCGGAGCAACGCCAGCAGGCGTGTACAGGCTTGGAACAGCCAGAAAAGCAGCCCATGTTAATAACAACACGTACAGGACCTGTACAATCGGATGGCTTGGTTGTTTGTTCCCAATTTGAGTGAGATGACAAGTTCAACCACCAAGCCCGCGACTACCCTTGACATGCCGTAGTCAGAGTCTAGCACAGTCGAAAACAACTTATGAACAATAACCGATAGAAAACGATGGCCTACCTGGCGTGCGAAAACCAAAACCAGGCTCGCCGAAGCATGGTCTCGCAGATTCCCACCAGAAATGACGACTGAGAGACTTTGAACCATCGGTTTGAGCTTCTTCTCTCAATTTAAATGATGTTAAAATGTTACAAAGTCATCGCTTGGGCGAAATGCATGCGCGAAGTGAGTTGTAGATCATCTTGCAGTACCGTGTCACTTTTCACAAGCGGTTGCGAGCTCAATTCGCGCCAATCTCTTTCCTCCTTCTCTCAAATGCACGCACAAAGACATAGAAGTACATTAAAAGTGCAGCAGAGGTCGAGAAAGACAATATAACGGTGCTGTGGCATGTGCAACTGGGGATTGTAACGGCAACCTGCCCGACTTTCATGCCCTAATTTTTCGGAGATCATTGGTATCTAATGTATGCTAACATGAAACTGTGACCGAAGACAAGAATTCACATTGCGACTTTACGACGCGTCCCGAACAAATCACAAACAGGCAAACAAATGCAAAAGACGCACAAATCACACAAAACAAAAACACAACAGCACGGTGGTGGCTCACGTCCTGCTCATTTCTATGCGTCCACGAACGCGTGCTGCAATTTCGAGCAAAATTCGACAGTAGTCAGTGCAGGAGGAAGAATAGTAGAATCAGAGTTGACTCTACTCGCGCAGCCCAGATTCTTCCAGCTTCGAAGCGGCCAGCTGGGAGTCCGCGGCCGGGGTCGAAGCGTCACCCAAATTGTCGTCCATTTGCTGGAAGAGAGGATTGGCAAACGTTCCAACCGAATCGTCCGCGACAGGATCGGGAAGGGAATTGCGCTCCACCGAACCTGGACCCTGTTCTTTTTTGGTGTTTCGGCGGCGACGGAGCAGGGTGACCAGGAGAATGACAACAAGGATCAGGAGAATCAAACCACCAACGACGCCACCGACCACTGGGCCAATCGGGAAGCTGGAAGCATTTGCGGGTTCGAGAGATGCAGAAGCTGGAGAAGCTGCAGAGGAGGCGATCGTCGCAAGTGATGCAGGGACTGTCGTCGCTGCAGAGCTAATGCTGGCTCCAGAAGCGCTGACATCCGCTGTCGTTATATGAGCGCTTGAAGTCGAGGCAAAGTGAGCAGTGGCCTTCGAGGTTGATGCAGAATGAGACGAACTCGTCGAATGCGCAAATGCCGTCGAGGCAACACTTGCGACAGATGCTTTCGTGGACGATGCAACAGCAGCAGAAGTCACGCTGGTGACGAATGCAATGGACGTGGATGCCACATATGCGTCGGACGCGATCGAAGCAGCAGAGACAGTAGCAACAGATGCCGCGCTGGTGACAAACTCGACGGATGTGGATGCGATAGATGCGTCAGAGGCGACAGAAGCAACAGAAGCCGTAGCAACAGATGCCGCGCTGGTGACAAACTCAATGGACGTGGATGCTGCAGATGCGTCTGAGGCGACAGAAGCAACAGAAGCCGTAGCAACAGATGCCGCGCTGGTGACAAACTCAATGGACGTGGATGCTGCAGATGCGTCTGAGGCGACAGAAGCAACAGAAGCCGTAGCAACAGATGCCGCGCTGGTGACAAACTCAATGGACGTGGATGCTGCAGATGCGTCTGAGGCGACAGAAGCGACAGAAGCAGTAGCAACGGAAGCGGCACTTGTAACGAATGCAATGGACGTGGATGCCACAAATGCGTCGGATGAGACTGAGGCAACAGAAGCAACAGAAGCGAACGAGGCAACCGACGTCGAGATCGCTGAAGCCGAAGCGGCTGACAACTGACTTGCTACTGATGCCTTGGAAGCGAACGAGGCAACAGACGACGACATCGCGGAAGCCGAAGCGGCTGACAACTGACTTGCTACTGATGCCTTGGAAGCGAACGAGGCAACAGACGACGACATCGCGGAAGCCGAAGCGGCTGACAACTGACTTGCCACTGACGCCCGAGATGTCGACACGACCGTTGCGGCGCTCGCAGTCGCTGCAGAGATGGCAGAGCTGGCACGACGTTGAATCACGCTCTTCACAATCGACGTCATCAGCGTAGTGCGCTCGGTGCTCGACTTGATTGTCTCGAATGGCATGGCGAGCAAAAACGACGAGTAGCTGCCTCCCACAGTGCTCACACCAGCAATGTTGGTTCCAGAAGAAGCGCCATAGTACAGTGCAGCCATGCCGTTTCCAACGGTAGTCAGGATGTCAGGGGTTTGAACAAGGTAGGGGTTGCCAAGCGCGATGACCGAGTTGAATGTCACAGTGCCGCTCATCGTAAAGCCCGGATCAACAGCCTGGCGGGCAACGAATGGCGCGCTAGCAGTGGAACCAGCGTAACCAGCACCCAGGTTGTTGGCGAGGAAGGTTGCACTTGCTCCACCAGCAGCCGCAAGACCCGATGCGACGTGCGACCCGCTGACAACCAAAGAGCGCGGTTTGGTAATGTTGGCAGCAGCAATCCAGGTGTTGATGACAGCTTGATGCGCGGCAGGCAACACGTTGATACCAGTGTTCTCGCCAGCAAACCAAATCACAGTATCAAAGTTCATGAAGTAGTCAGCCACCCAGGTCGTGTCGAGCAGAGAGTTCTTGGTCGCTGTTTCGCAGCGGTAGCCTGCAGCCTGGAGCGCACTGACATACTCGTACACGTACTCGCGTGTGTAGCGGCCCTCAATGTTGTCGCTCGTGTGGATAAAGTCGGCGTCGAATGCATCAATCACGACAACCCGGGGTCTGGCTCCAGTGTAGCGGTAACCAGCTGCTGTCAGCTTGGTAAGGGCTTCACCGCCGGCATTGACACCAGCCACTTTGAAGTAGTACTGCGTGTCGACCGCGACCGTGGTTGTGATGCCACATATGCTGTTGCCGTACGTTCCATCGAAGTAAACCGAAGAGCTAGAAGTAGGCCCGAAGATGACACCGGCATCCCAGCCGCGACCGTCAGTAGAGGTGTACAGCTTGTACGCTGTTGGAGTTGCACTTGATTCAAGAGGGTCAGTCGGCTGAACCCAGCAGAGGGCAACGCCGTCGGTCATTGAGACAGTGTAAAGGTTGGTGACTGGCAGAGGGATAATGATTGCAGACGAATTGAAATACTTGTGGATGCCCTTGTAGATGGCACGACCCAGCTGTTATTGGGAGAGTCATCGGATAGCTATCAAATGAGCCAAAGAACAAATTCCGAGCGCATTCGCACACAACAACAATCTGATTACCGTTTCGCGGTAGGATTCTTTCGCCATCAGCGCCATTTCAGTGCCGTTGAACACATCAATGGTGTATGTAATGAACGACGGCATGTATGCGTTTCGGGTCAATTCCGTTTTGGACGAATCCAGGACGCCTCCTTTGTTGTTTTGTCCGGTCGCTTGCTGAATGTTCACGCGCACGCTGTCTGCCACGGTGCTGCACGCCGTGTAGAGCGCTGCACTGAGACCGCCAGGGTTCTATGAAGGGTGAGGCAGAATAAGCACAATTCACTCGAGTGCAGCAATCTGTGAGTGCAATAAGCATCGCCTCCTTACCGAGTCGGGTGTCACAGTTGAGACACCCGATCCTCCGGGGACTCCACTTGCGCCGATAGCTGCGTAGAGCCAGTCAGCACCATTTTGCCTGTTGACAAGATCCATATCCACCTTCTGGTTGTACATGAAGTTGCAAACCAGATGACAGTATCGTAGTTCACCAAATAGGCATTCACCCATGTTGCGTCGAGCAAAGTGTTCTTGGTGGCCGAGTCGCAGCGGTAGCCTGCAGCCTGTAGCGCACTAGCATACTCGTACACGTACTCGCGTGTGTAGCGGCCCTCGATATTGTCGCTCGCGTGGACAAAGTCGGCGTCAAAAGCATCAACCACGAGAATGCGCGGACTGCTTCCAGAGTTGCGGTACCCAGCGACTGTAAGCTTTGTAAGAGCCTCTCCTCCAGCATTGACACCAACAACTTTGAAGTAGTACTGCGTGTCGACCGCGACCAATCTCGTGCCACCACACACGCTGTTGCCAAAGTTCCCTTCAAGCGCGACATTAGCACCCGTAGGCCCGAAAATGACACCTGCATCCCAGCCGCGACCGTCAGTAGAGGTGTACAGCTTGTACGCTGTTGGAGTTGCACTTGATTCAAGAGGGTCAGTCGGCTGAACCCAGCAGAGGGCAACGCTGTCGGTTCTTGAGACAGTGTAAAGGTTGGTGACCGGCAACGGGATGATGGTAGGAGACGATGGAACAAAGTACTTGTGGATGCCCTTGTAGATGGCACGACCAAGCTGTTATTGGGAGAATTATTGTGAGTTATCATTCGATGAGAGTCCTTCAGAGTGCATTCATCAAACTCCCACCACATCAGCTTTACCGTTTCGCGGTAGGATTCTTTCGCCATCAGCCCCATTTCCGTGCTGTTGAACACATCAATGGTGTATGTGATGAACGACGGCATCTTGGTGTTTTGGGTCAATTCCGTTTTGGACGCATCGAGGGAGCCTCCTTGGTTGTTTTGTCCGGTTGCTTGCTGAACGTTCACGCGCACGCTAGTTGCCGCGGTGCTGCACGCCGTGTAGAGCGTTGCACTGAGACCGGAGGGGTTCTACAGAGGTCATGGAACAATCAGCACAATTCTCGAGAGAGAAATCACAAATCACAACAAGCATCGCCTACTTACCGTGTTGGGTGTCACAGTTGAGACACCAGATCCAGAGCCTCCACTTGCACCAATACCTGCGTAGAGCCAGTCGCTTCCAACTTGCGTGTTGGCAAAATTTATATCCAGCTTCTGGTTGAACATGTAGGTCGAAAACTTTGCCCTGGCCAGGTAGTCGGTATCAAGGGTGGGCGCTGAGTTGGCTGCCACTTGAAGACCCAGGGTTGAATACTGGCCTTGACTCATGTAGTACAGAAAGTCCTGGGCTGACAGCTTCCAGCGTGGAATGCCAGCTGTTGACGCTCCGCATCCGACGCGAACCGCATCAACCATCGCAAACTTGCCCGAAATGACCGTCATTTTGTTGGTAATCTCGACCTTGATTCCCGCCGCAGCAGTAAAGTAGTAGCGACCAAGATACACAAAGATCGAGTCAAATTGATACATTGGAACCGACACTGTCTGTATGCCGCCGGAATGCGTAATGCGAATATCTGGAGAGCCTCGGTTTGACGTGGCAGGCCAAGTCATGTACACGGGGTAGTAGCCAGACGTGGTAAGTGTAGCGGTAAACGTGGCTTGGGCAGATTCCGAAGTAGATCCTGGGACCCAGTGTTGATTGGAGCCATATCCTGCAACGCTTGTTGCAGAATCCCATCCGCTGCCTGTGTACGTCACTTTCTTAGCAGTCGCGGTGTCAACGTCGTTGATGATGACTTCTGTGGGAGTATCAAACCAGCGCTCTCGAGTGGAATGGACGCTGGCGCCAGCATTGGCAAGGTACTCTTGAACGTAGCGAATGCTGATCTCGTTTGTGTAGAGGTCTTGCAGAAGCGACTCCTGACTAAAGTAACTAGAACCAGTGGAGCGGTAGCCTCCGGTTGACCCAGAGCAAGTCAGCCAACCCAGCGCAGGTGACAGGACGACATTCTTGGTGGACAGCTGGGGGGCAGTCGAGCTGGTAACGTCGACCCACTTGGTTGGCAGATTGTGGATGTCTGCATGTGCAGTCAGCGCGACGACCGCGAGGAGAGCACCGACGACGACGAGCGAACGCGCCGCAGTCATTTGCTTGCAGGTGTTCAACGATATCTGAATCCCATAGAAACAACAGCAAGCAACCAAGATCAAATCATGAGCGATGGTTCCTCGAGCAGCCAAGTCAATGTGCACTTGGTATCACTCCGGGAAGGCGTTTTGGTCCCAGTGCAGTGACGCGATTTTTGCTCTTTTGGCTTTTGTTTTTTTTTTTTTTTTGTGGTGGTGGTTTTTTTTGTTTTATTTCCTTCACTGCTGTCACACATGCGACGATCGTCTTGCTTTCCGTTCTCGCTCTCTCGCGCCCCGGGCCAGAGTCACTCCATGTCCAATCATGTGCCTGTCACTTTGTTGTATGGTAAAAAGCGCAGCATGTGGAATCGTTTGCCTTTGAACAACACCTTAAAACCATGTTGTTTCCCTTCTTATTTTTCATCCTATCTTTCTGTTCGCTGCTGTCACAGACAAGACACCCCACTCGCCTTTGCCGCTCCCTTCCATATGGCCAATTGATGGATATCAGGAGTGTCGTGTTGCAAGTTGTGAGAGTTGAGATGCGTGAATCTGGCAGTGTTCAAAGTAACCGCAAAAAAAACAAAAAAAAAAAAAACATGTACACCAAAATGAACAAACGAACAAAAAAGACTAAACCGAAAACCACGAATCACCGCAATCGATTTTTCAGTGTGCACGCCCAAACCTCAAAGTGGCGTCCAGCCTCCAAACACAATGGTGTTCATGAGCGATAATGCAGACATCCGCCGTGAGCTGGTAGCGGAGGGGGGGGGAGGAGACAAAACAAGCGAAAACAAATGCGCTGCCGTGAGTGCCAGAAGCGCAGAGCCGCAAAACGGCAATCCCAATCTTGTGGCAGGACCCATGTGGCGTTCGTCCAGCCGGCAATGGTAGCCGGTGGTGGCTCATGAGAATTTAGCGTATTCGTGAGAATTAAGCGTATTTCTAGTGTATTGGGATGCTTTTTGGATCGTTGTCCTTGCGCATTTTGTCCGAATCATTTGACGTTGCAGTTGCATGTAGCGATAAGTCCCAACCCGTGGGATCCCGGAGTCTCACAGTTTAACCATGTGTGTCAGCGTTGATAATCGTTGATACCCAACCAGGGTCGAGAATACAAACACCTCGAAGGCGCGGTTGTTGTGGAAATTGTGGAGGAGACTTTGCGTCGGTGCTTCCGCTCGCCTCCCTCGCCCAATCTACTCACTCGCTTCGCGCCAAAATCGCACTGTGTGTTGTATGTATAATCTAGTTTGTGTTTTGCTTGTAATGGAGCGATGGGGCGATAAATTGACTTTTGCTTTCGGTGTTTATACAATTATGCGGTTTTTTAGGTGCTGGTTTGTAGTTTTCCCTGTAGAACCGGTTGGTACGACACTCAAGCGCCCAAAGCACTCCATTCAGCATCAAACAATTACAACACATGATTGCACAGCTCGATATACCAAAAAATGGAGTGATATGAGCTGCGACCCCTGCGAAATCAAGCCGACCAACTTGAGTTTATGTGACATGCTGAATCTTTGGCTTGACAGCCGTAGTGCAACTCACAGATCTGGCGCAATTGTGGGACAAGGGAATTTTTACACCAGTCTGAGCTGGAGGGGTGGGCAATGCGACCACCTCTTTTCTTGGGCGTGCGAGCAAAGTTGGTATTCTGAATCGACAATTCAATCACACTCAATGTTTCGTATCTCGAATTGAGTTTCTCTTGCCGATCTCCGTTGGTGGTTTTAATTGGTGACTGTCAATCCATTGAATCAACTCCAACCTAGAGGGGCTGAACAGAGACCACTCACTCCTTGGTTTCCTTTCCAGCACAAGCACAAAAACCAAGAAATGGCTGCGAATGCATCGTCACTGTCGTCGGCGTCGTACCTGAGCTTGTATCCGCTGCACGTCGCAGTGTGGCGCGACGCTGTCGACCGTCTCCGCGAGCTGCTTGATGCGCACCGCGAAGAGCGCGCGGCTGGCTGGACGAGCATTACGCATCGCGACACGGGCGACGACGCGGCGAACGCTGACGCTGAGGCCGCTGCGAACAGTGCGAACGCAGACACTGGACTCCTCGTCGACCTCGGCCCAGCCAGCGACGCCAGCGATGTCTCTGTGACGCCAGACACGCACGACCCTGCCGCCGCCGCCGCCGCCGCCGCCGCCTCTTCTGTTGCTGCAGGAGCATCGCAGCGTACTACTCACTCGGTACGCCAACTAACTTGCTGTTTCTTTTTTTTTTTTTTTTTTTTTTGATGACCGCCTCGCTTGAGCAGCGTTTATTGTCGTTTTGGGGGTTGTTTTGTGCTGCGCTTCGATTGGAGTACTTGTTGGTTTGACATTGACCACAGCGTTGATGGTGATGAGGCTGGTGTGTTGGGTTAGGGTTAGGTTACGTGTTGCGGAGGCGGAGAAGGGGATGAGCGTTCGGCCGCCAAATAGTCTGTGTATAGCGCGATGACACCCGGGGGCGGCACGACACCCACAGTGATTGTGCACAATAGCACACAAAGTTTCAGTGCAATTTCAAATGCACTTACTCGGAGTGCTGAGCGGACGGCCAGGTCATGCTTTGGCTATTTTTGGGACGACAAACCCCTCCATTTGACTATCATCATTGTTGTCAATGCGTGCCTGTCCGATTTTCCCCCCTCACTTATCGACTCGGTTGCATACTTGCGCATCTGTTCTCTCATTCAGAACGCGGAAGATTCGGAAGATCCGTGGCTCAACGCCAAAGATCCGCACGGACGCACTGCGCTGCTTTTGGCAATCACTCTCGATCGCGCAGAGTGCGTCAAGCTTCTGCTCAACGCCAATGCGGATGCAACTGGCAAATCGCCGCTTGGGTTTGCGTACGTCAAGGAGGCGATTAGCACTGCTGATCGCGCACTGCTCCGAGACGTGTGTGTTGCTCGCAAGCATCAGATGGCCCACAAGCTGCGTGCTCGCGTGCCACAGCTGCTACGACTGCTCGAGACGGTACGGTTTCCAGCCTTGTGTGTGGTTGGAGTTTGTTGGTGCTTGTTGGAAAATGCGTTTTGGCTGACTTTTTTTTTTTGACTCGAACTTTCTTGTTCCAACATTTTGTTTTGCCGTTTTCAGACTGGCGACTTTTATGTCGAAATGAACTGGGAGTTTACGTCGTGGGGTATGTATTGACGTGTCTCAACCACACTCGGCACGCGGCAAGCTTTTGAAAAAGCCACAAAGCTTGTGTTTGTGTTTTCTCATGCATTTGGTTTTGATTCCTTGCAATCGCAGTCCCGCTCTTGTCTCGCATGTGCCCATCCGACACGTATCGCATTTGGAAACGCGGAGCGTGCGTGCGTCTCGACACCAGCCTGGTCGGGTTTGAAGACATGAAGTGGATTCGAGGCAACCTGAGTTTCATCTTCCGTGCTACTGGCGAAGGTCAGTGCATGTTCAGCATTAGTTTCTGCTCGTTTCGATCTATTAGTAGTGCTTGCATGTACTAATCTCGTCCTCCCCTTCCCCCGGGCTTCCTGCCGCGGTTGTTCTTGGATACTGTTTTTTTTTGTTTTACCACAAAACCCCAGCTGGTAGCATGACTGGCATTCTCTTCCAGATCAACCACGATGAGCAGCGGGTCATCTATGACGAAGTCCAAGCGGGTGAATGCGACATTGCGGGGGCGCCTAGCGTCGATGAGGACGATTTCGACGACGATGTTCTTGACGCGTTGTTGTCGGCGCCCATCACCTCGACCGACATGGGCGATGACAAGATTGCCTTCTCTCGCATGAAGAGTGGCCTCTGGGGATTCCAGAGCGAGAAGACCGACATGATTGGTGACTACGAAGCAAAGGCGTACGCTTTGAGCGGCGTGGAAGTGCGTACTCGCCATCGTACCGAGCACCTGCCGGTCGAGCTGCGCGACAAGGCAAAACAGCAAGGCACGTTCAGCTCGCTCATGAAGCTGACCTCAGCCCAAAAGGAGGAGGATCTTGAGCAGCTGGGTCGCGATAGCGAGCTCGGCGAGCGCTCTCTGACCCCTGTTGGTCCCGTTCCCAAGCCCGCAATCTCAGAGGAGCTGTACTTTTCGGGTAAAGTCACCTCCAGCACAACCCACGATTTTACTTCCGAGGTTGTCGACCACCACCATGCTGCTGCCGAGCACGGTGATGACCATGACGACGGCGATGATTCGGAGCTCATCAACGTCGAGCCGGAGAGCAAGTCGGGCGCCTCATCGCTGCTTTCCATTGCAGGGTGGCGTTCCGGCGCCAAAAAGCTGTTGCACAACGTGTCGAGCGCTGCATCCACGGCGTATGCGAGCGTTTCCGCGGCCGCTCACAACACTTCGGCGTCGAGTGGCTCGCCTGCAGATTACCAGTCCCTGGGCCGCGAGTCGGCTGCGTCGGCTCCCTCGGGCTCTGGCGCCGCCGCATCTTGCCACATAGGTCGCCCGCTGGTCATGTCCGAGCAAGTGCAAAAGTTCAAGGGCACGGTTTGGATGAGTGAGGCCTTCCCGCTTTCGCTTCAGCGTCAAGTTCTTCCAATCATTGATTTGATGGTGAGTCGGGGGTGTTGCGCAACGTCAGTTTCAGTGTCAGTTCTATGCGAGCCCGTCTTTCTCGAACTGGTTTTGCTTGTGTGTTGCTCTTGTTTTCTCCCGCTTGTTCCCCGCTAGTCGCCCAACAATGCCCACTTTGCCAAGCTGCGTGACTTTATCGACATCTCCTTGCCATCCGGGTTCCCCGTCAAGATCGGTAGGACGATGATTGTGTCAGTTGTTTAGCGTTTTGGGCTTGTTGATGTGTTTGCCAACCTTTTTTTTCTCCTTTGCTTTTGTTGCTGTGGTCGCTTGTACTTTGTTTTCCCCTCCCGTCAGAGCTTCCTCTGTTCCGTGTGATTAGCGCCCGAGTCACATTCGCCAACTGCTCGGATGGTCCAGTTCTTCCAGAGCTGTTTGAAGTCCCTGCAGGCTACGATCAGCAGCTTGCTGACGGCTTTAGCGGAACCATCGAGGTCAGCTTGCCCAGCGCTGTCAGCGGCGCAAAGCGGGCTGATCGTCGTCGTCGTGCTGCTCGTCGCGGCATGAACGGCAACGCCTTTGACGACGAAATGATGCTGCAAATGGCCCTCCGAGAGAGTCTGACCGATGCGCGTCGCGACGGTGCACAGGCAGAAGCGGATGGCGTGCTTTCAGACGAGGAGATTGAGCTTCAAGAGGCGCTCATGGCTTCGATGATGATGTCCACGGGCGCATCGCAAGAGGACATTGACGCAGCTATTGCCTCGTACAAGCAAGATCAAGAACAACGCCGCCAGGAGGCCATTGCTGCCCGTTCTCGTCCAGTTCCGTCGCAAGCGTCCGCCGAGCAGCAAGTAGCACCTTCTCCAAGTGACAGCGACCTGGCATTGGCTCTGCAGCTTTCCCAGCAGCAGGCCCTCGAAGACGAGCAAGCGCGCAATCGCCGCGAGGAAGAGGAGCTCGAGATGGTGCTTCGCATGTCTCTTGAGCAGCAGTGACGCGTTTTTTTTTTGTGCGACATTCACTTGTTTGGATGCAGTGTGCAGTGAGCTGTTGTTTCCATTTCACGTTGATGCCTTTTGTTGTTGAGCCTGGGTTTGTCGTGGCTTTTGGTTGTAGATACTTTTCAACTTGTGCGAACAATGAAGAAAATCGGCTAGAACACAAGTCCCAACGCTCCTCTTGATAATCTTGTTTGCGCTTTCAAAAGTCAATAAGTCAGCTCCTCAGTTTTGACCCCCTCCGTTTTTCTGAGTTTGTTCCCGTAGTTTCTGAGTTTGCAGCGATTTCAATGTTTCGGTGTTTGGGTGTTTTTTTTTTTTTTGTTTCCAATCCTATCTATTGTTTCATTTCGATTCAATGCGATTCTCCAGTCATTTTATTATTATTCTTATTTTTTCAGATTGTCCCACGTTTCTCAGACCAGAATGGAGATTGACGATCTGGACTTGTACGCGGACTCGACGACTTCGTTGACTGCCGCGACCGCCGCGCCGACCTCGAAGGTGAACCCACTTCATTCCCAATTGAGACGGGAGACCTGTTGGAAGTGGAGATGGGCGCGGGGGGGGGAGGGGACGATGCTTGCTTGTATGGGGATTTGCATTGGGGAAACAGAGATCGCTAGATTTCCAGCCCGTAGACCGTCCATTGCACTTTGGCGCTTTGAACTTGATTGTGCTTTGTTTGGCTGACCTTGATGTAACGCTTCATCTGTCTGTGTGGCAGGGCGATGAGGACGCGCTGTACGACGATCTGTGGGCGTCGAACGAGTACTCTGATGCGACTGCAGCCAACGCTCATGCTGGCAATGCAAATGCTGCAAGTGGAGCAGCACCAGGATCAGGATCAGGCATCGTCGGATCGGCCGCTGGTGCTGGAACGGGCGCTGGGAGCAGTGGCGCGAGCACTGCAGGCACAAGCAGCTCAATGGCGAGCGCAATGGACACGACAACGACGAATTCTGCCGCTGCTGACAATGGATTTACTCATCACGCGCATGCTGCTGGTGGTGGTGCTGGCGCTGGTGCTGGTGCTGGTGCTGGTGCAATCCACGCTGGAGGCAATCGCCCGTCCTCAATGCCGAGCTTTGCCGCTCAGACGTTCGACAGCACGTTCAACCACACGCAGATGCTGCGAGCGTCGTTGCCAGCAGGCTCGGGGAAGAAGGGCAGCATTTACATTGGTGGCATGACGTGGTGGACGACAGACAAGGACATTATCGATGCTCTGGCCGCGCTGGGCATTGTCGATGTCATGAGCACGCGCTTTTACGAAGAGCGCTCGAGCGGCAAGTCCCGCGGCGTTGCATACATTGAGTTCGCGTCAGAAGAGTCTGCGCGAAGCGCCATCGAGCGGCTACCGTCCCATCCCGTGCACGGCAAGAATCTTGGCACCCAACTAGCGACAGACGGAGGCGCAGGTGGCGCCAACATGGCACCGCCGTCGGCAACCAGCAACCGCCCTTACGCCCGTGGGTACCAACAATCGGCAGCATTCTCATCGCATCCCGGAGGTGCGGCTCCTGCATCAGCCGCACCCGCTGCTGCCCCACTTCCAGTCGCTGCTGCGCCCAATCCAGCCTCCGTCCCTCCACTGATTCCAAGCGCCGCAAATATGCCCCCTGTGTCTGTGCCACCGCCTGGGCTTCTCGGTCAGACCCCATCCGCATCAGGTGCACAGCAGCCTCCCCCAGGTACAGCTAGAGAATTGTCAAACGCCTGAACTTCTCGTTTTTTTTTTGTGTGTGGTTGCATGCTCACTCATTATGCCTCGCTTTGCAACATCTCGTCATGTAGCTGCCGCTGCCGGCTACCATCCTTACGGGCCACCTCCTCCAGGCGCACAGCGGCGCGGTGCAGGGCCGCGCCCGGGAATGCCACCACCACCGCCGCCCGGAATGTTCCCAGGAATGCCATTCCCCCCGCCGTATTACTTTGCGCCGGGCATGGAGTACGGCATGCCAGGCTTTGGCTATCCGTTTGCCCCTCCTCCGCACGCACTTCCATCAAAGTCCGTCCATGCTTCTGTTTTTCTTTTTTCTTTGTTTTTTTTTTTTTGTTGGCTCGTTTGTCAATTGTTGTTTCTCCCGGTGTCGTTTTCTAACTCGATTCATCCATCATTGTGTTTCTATGGCACAGATCCTCGTCAGGTGATGACGAAAAGCGACGGGGTCGGAGTCGAAGCCCAGTCGATCGGCGAAGCCGCAGTCGCAGCCGAAGCCGCAGTAAGAGCCCCGACGCAGCCTCGTCCGAGAAAGAGTCTCGACGATCTGCGTCGTCCAGCAACAGTGAAGATCGGCATCGCGGCCGTAGCAGCGGGCGGGACGACAGCCGAGATCGCCATGACCGAGACGGCCGGGATAACCGAGACAGCCGAGACAGCCGCGACAGCCGAGAGCGCGATCGAGGCAAAGAGCGCGACAGGGATCGCGAGTCATCATCGTCTTCATCCTCTTCAAGAAGCAGAAGCGACCGGCGACGCGAATAGTCAAAACAAACAAAAACCCTCGTTTTTTTTTTTTGTTGTTGTTGTTGTTGTGTCGCAACGTTTGGTGGAAAACTTTTGTTTTTTGTTTGTTTTTTTAGTTATTCATTTTTGTTCACCCAAATACAACTGGTGCGTCAATGAAAAATCACGACATTGAACTCGGCATACACAGAATGAAACACAATTTTTTTGCCACATCGACAAACATTGTCTTGTTTACAGACCCTTGCTCTTGAGGAAGGCGGCATCGTTGGGCTCGCGACCCAAAAACTCGACAACCATGTCCCAGGCGTCGCGGCTGCCGCCAGGCTGCAGAATGCTCGTGCGGTAGGCGCGGCCCGTTTCGCTGTTGAGAATGCCCTCGGGCTGGAAGCGCGAAAAGAAAATGTCTGCAGAGTAGACCTCGCTCCACAGATAGCCATAGTACTGACTGTCGTAGCCGCCAACCAGGTGCTCAAAGGAGGCCGGCATGGATGTTCCGGGGGTGACTTCGATGCCCCAGATGCTCTTGGCGAGTTCGGCAAACACGTTCGCCACATCGATCGTCTGACCGCCCATGACCGTGTGGATGGTCTGGTCGAAGGTGGCCAGCAGGACTTGGCGCTTGTTGAAGAGACCCGCGTTCGCCTTCCTGCTGGCCAGCAGACGGTCGAGCAGCGCCTCGGGGATTTTCGCGCCAGTCTGGTGGTGCTGGCTCATCATGTGCAGCGACTCCTTTTCCCAGCACCAGTTCTCGAGAATCTGGGAGGGGCACTCAACAAAGTCGCGCTCCACACGCGTGCCGCTGAACATGGCGTACTTGGTGCGCGCCAAAAGTTGGTGCAGAACGTGACCAAGCTCGTGGAAGTACGTTTCCACCTCGTCGTGCAGCATGAGTGCGGGCTGGTCCTTGGTCGGTGCCGTAAAGTTGGCGAGCATGGCCGCGACCGCAATCTGACGTTGGCCGCCGGGGAGCTCGCAGCCGGGCTGCAGGCCAAAGCAGGCAGCATGGCCGTACTTGCCCTCACGAGGGTGCAAATCGAGGAAGAATTGACCAAAGATTTCCTGGGTGGCAGTGTCGCGCACGTTGTACACCAGCACCTCTGGGTGCCAAATCCCGTTGGCAGGCGGGATGTCCGCAGAGTTGGCGTCGGCAGCAGCGGATGCGGCCGCAGTCGCAGCAGGAACATTGACCTTTTCAAACGTGATGGAGAACACCTTCTCGTAGATGGCAAGCAGGCCCTTGGTGACCACCGGCATGGGGAAGTACTGCATCAGCTCGTTGTGATCGACCTGGAAGCGCTTCTCTTCAATCTGCTGGGCATAGTAGCGAAAGTCCCAGCCGTTGATGCGGCTGTCAAACTCGTAGCCGCGACGCGCGCATTCCTCCTTTTTGAGCGTGAGCAGCTCTTGCAGCTCTGCCTGGGCCAGAGGAGTGAGCTTTTCGTTGAGCGAGGTCAGAAACTCGCGAACGCGCTCGGGAGACTTGGCCATGCGCGTCTCGGTAATGTAATGCGCGTGCGTCTTGTAGCCGAGGATTTCGGCCTGGCGCTGTCGCAAAATCAGGATGCGCTGCATCAGCGGGGTGTTTTCGACAATGCCGCGCGACTGGAAGGCAGCCTCGAGCGTCTTGCGCGTTTCGGGACGGACTGCCTTCTTCATGCACGGGAAGTAGTGCGGGTAGGACAGCGAGATGAGCAGGTGCGTGCCGTCCTCGGATTTGGTCAGGCTGTTGATAAAGTCCTCGTCCAAGCCTTCCAGTTGCTCCTTGGTGAATGGCAGCTTGGTCTTGATCTCTGTCAGGTTGGTTGAGAACTTGATTGCGAGCTCTGAGATTTCCTCTTGGATTTTCTGCCAAAAGCGTCGACAAGAAACAAAAGCGTTCGGAGGATGAGTGTGTTGGTCCAACCCCCTGCTCCCTGCTCCCTGCCCTTCCTCTGTTCAGGTGCGTTGTTGCCAGTTGGAAATAGCAGCATGCATAGTGGTGCCTTTCTCTCTTCTCTCCACCCCCCTTCTTTCTTATGCGTCTACCTTGATCTCTGCGCGCTGATCCTCGGGCAAGTGAAGACCGTTGCGGCGGAAGTCGCGCAGCATTCGGTCGAGATAGCGACGCTGCTCCGGCTCGAGCGCCTCGTTCTTCTTGGAGACTGCAAGCACAGCGTTGTAGACGTCGACGCGCATGCCCAGCTCGACGTTGAGCGCCGAGAGCATCTTGCAGGCCTCTGCGCTTGCGTCACGAACGGCCTTGATCGGCGACATGTGCCTGGGGAACTGGCAGTACTCGGACGCCGCGGACAGCGAAGCCCATCTGCACACACACACACACACATACACACACACACACACACACACACACACATACGAGAGCAAGTTTACCCAGCAAAGGTCAGTCAGAGCGGCAGTGTGTGAGAGTGGTAGGAAGGACTGCCGATCGAGAGTCACGTCGGTCATCACTGTCCTCAACCACAACTACTACTATTACTACTCCTACTGCTGCTGCCACACAGTTTAGAAACAAAAGAGTCACAAAACGCAGCGTCAGAGAGCGAACGCGCGCAGTATGTTTTGGCTTGTTGTGCTTTCTAAGCGTTTAGGCAGCCACCGCACGGCTTGTTGTTGGTTTGACTTACGCATCGCCAATGGGCTGGATGACAGTCGCAAAGGTCGCCTTGTCAGCCTGTGTGGGGAATGAAGTGTGTTGGGTGCGCAGGGATGACCGTTAGAAGGGAGAGGGAGGGGAAAGGGGAAGTGAGGATTTGCTCAGACAGTCTCAGACAAGAGCGCCTCTCGGACTGACAGGAACGGACGCAGCGACGTCGTAGACATTGCGGAACTTGGCGGCAACGTCGGCAGCAAGCGCAGTGATTTCAGGCGCAGAGTGCGTGAAACGAAGCAGCAGCGAACTCATTGTAGGAAGGGAGGAAAAGAATGGTGTTTTGTCAGAAACGAAAAAAGACTGAGCCAAACATGACATGCCATGAAAGCCCCAAACATGACATGCCAAAAATAAGAAAGAGAATCTAGGTGTATTATTCGACAACACAATGAAGAGACCCAAAAGAAGACGACAAAGAAGACGAAACAACAGCACATTCACTGCTTTCACTTTCGTCGCTTGTGGATCTTGCCGCCCTGCTCAAGAGCCATGATCTTGGGCTTGGCTTGACGAATGGCCTACAAATGCGCCAATTGCATGATGAGTGGGGAGCATGATGAGCACAATGACAAGCCACAAAATGGATCGCCTTTCTGCCTACCTTATTCTCGTTCAAGAGAGACTCCTTGCCGGTAATTCGGCTGAGAATCGTCAGCGAGCGTTGCTTCTCGGTGCCGGCTTGCATAACGGCAGAGTCGTACTGACGCTTCTTGCCGGGGGTCTTGATCTTGGGCTCCTTGCCAATCGACTTGTCAAACCGACCGAGGGAGGCTGTTGAGGTTTTGGTGCGCTTGAGCTGTTCCTTGAGCAGTTGCTTCTTGGCGTCGTTGCTTGTTGACGGGGCGGCAAGGCCTTGCTTGACGGGGTTTGCCTTGGCAATGTTGCGCGCCTGCTGCATCTCGTTTTTGGCGACGCGGCCCTTCTTGAGCTCGTTGCGCTTGGCGAAATAGTCCACAAACGGATCTGTCAGGAGGGAGGGAGGGAGGGAGGGAGGGGGTGGTGAGGAGGGGACGGGTACGATCGGCCATGGCAATCATTCGAGCGAGCGAGCGCGCGATCGACGCAACACAACCACACACCTGCTTGATCGGGAAGCTCGATAATCCAGTCCTTGTCGTCTTGGTTCTTGCGGTGCTCGTAGCCGTGGCGGCGAACAAATTCCTGCTTGGTGTCGTCGAAGACGCGAGTGTCGCGCTTCGAGTTCTTCTTGATGCCCTTCTTGAGAGCAAACTGCTCCCACTTTGTAAGTTGCTTGGGTTTTGGTACCTGCAGATTGTCAAGTGGGATTTGGGGAAGGGGTTGGTGGGTTTGGTGAGCGACCGTAGCAATCCACACTACACCACAATGGAGAGCATTTTTCATTCCGAAAAAAACGCGTACGGGCTTTTCGCGTGGAATGGCATAGGTCGGGTTGGGCAGCGAGGCAAGGACGACTTCGTCTGCGCGGGTGGTAGGCAGCTCCCAGATGGCATTGAACAAGACTTGGACACCATCGCGAGCAAGTGCGCGAATGTACTCGCCACGGCGCGCCGCAGTGAGCTCTGACGGCAGCAGCGGGACTGTATCAACGACCATGAGGTTGCCTGTGATTTTGTATGCATGAAGTTAGTGAAAGGGACACCTTTTTGGGCGTGTTGTTGTTGTTGAGCAGGTTTTCTCAGACTATTGCGACCATCATGCTGATCTCACTCGTGCAATGGACTGCTCGTTACATTGATCCTTTCCCTTTTGCTTTGTTTTTTGTTTTGTATTTGTTCTTGTTCCAGGTTTCTCAGACTCTCAGACAAAAGGACTGATCGGCCTTCCTCGCGCCTGCTTTCGCGCGACTCCTCCCCGTGCATGCCTTCATCCACTCAATGGGCTCATGATGAAGCCCTTCTTGCATCATGATGTATCGTTCGAAGTGGGGTAGTGGTGGTGGTGGTGGTGGTTCCAATCGTGCAACTCGCTCGCTCACAGTCTCGCTCACTGTTCTCCATGTGGCGCAGTCGCAGTACCCTCCTCAATGGATGAGGCGCTTCTGATCCCTTGCCCTAACCCGCCCGTTCGCCCACTTGCAACGCATCTGAGCCTTGATCCACGTTCACTCCATACAAATGTGACGGGCGGCAGACGAAGAGCGACTTGAGCGACCCGAGAGTGGAGCCGCTCCACGAGGAAACAATCCCAGTCCTCAACGTCAGCCCCACACAGCCCTAACCCACCCAACCCCCCCCCCCAATCCACTATGAGAGCGAGATGCGATAGTCATGCAAGAGCAAAGCACAAAGCAGAGTGCTGCAGCGAGCGACGGTGGCTGGGGCTTTTACAACAAAACCGCTGCTCAACCCTTCCCCTTCTCCCCATCCTCCCCATTCCCAGCATTTCAATTGGGATTCAACTGGCAAACAAAAAGCAACAAAACAGATTCGGTTGTTACCGGCATCGACGTCGTGCGGCTGCTCGCGATCGACAGTGACCGCGCGGCGCTTGGCGTCTTCAGCCGCTTTGGCAGCATTCAGCAAGCCCGAAACGTCCATTTTGCGAAAAAGATAAAGTGATCCAGCAAGCTCCTTGTAGATTTGTAGATGGGGCAGAAATGCACATGACAAGAATATAGACCAAAATCAGAAGCGTTTGTATTCGACAGTAAACATGAGTAACAACAAGCTTAAAAGTACAAAAAACTACAAGTACAGTACAAAGTCCCCACATCCCCCCCCTTAGAGGAGCAACGCAGGCGCAATCAGTTGCGAGGCCGACTTCCAAGAGCTCGACTCTTGCTCAAGTGCAGCCAGCTTGTCGCTGAGGGGAATTGCGGTCCGGTCCGTGTTGTTGCCGATGAGATTGCCAAGACCGATCGATGTTTGCTCGGGAGTCAGGAAGGGATAGTCAGTGTAGCCCTTCTCAGAGCCGCCGTAGAAGCTGCTGCGGTCGTAAGGGTTGAGCTCGGTGCCCAAGAGAAGACGCAGGGGCAAATCCGGGTTGGCGATAAAGTGGCGACCAAAGGCAATTGCCTCAAAGGAGCCATTCTTCACCGCCGCAGCTGCAGTGTCGCGATCAAAGCCGTCGGCACCAATGACCGGGCTGGTGGACAAGCGGGAAAGGGTGTGGATGAGCTGGGAGATGCCAGACTCGGGCAGCAGCTCGGATTGCTTCCGGGGATCAATCAGGTGAAGATAGGCCAGCTTGTACTGGTTGAGGCGCGCAATGATGGGCGAGAATGTTTCGAGGGGAGTCGGGTGAAGAACGTCGCCAAACACACCGGCGGGGCTGAGACGGAGGCCGACGCGGGCGCTGGGCCATTCTTGCAGGACGGCCTCGACCACCTCAAACAGGAAGCGCGCGCGGTTTTCGTCCGAGCCGCCGTACTGGTCTGTGCGAATGTTGGACTTGGGTGACAAGAACTGCTCAATGAGATAGCCATTGGCGCCATGGAGCTCGATGCCATCAAAGCCGGCCTCACGGGCAAGCTTGGCTGCATTGCGGTACTGCTCGACAACTTCGGCGATTTCCTCGACAGTCAGCGCGTGCGGGACCTCGGGATCGAACGTGCCCTTGGGGGTAGAAATCTTGGTGCCGTCGGCGATCGCAATGGCCGAAGGGGCGACACCGGGCACGCCGGTGAAGCCGGAATGGCCGACGCGACCCGTGTGCCAAAGCTGGGTGACAATGAGGCCCTGCTTGGCGTGGACGGCGTCGGTGACCTTGCGCCACCCAGCCACCTGCTTGGCAGTAAACAGACCGGGTGTCTGTGGGTAGCCCTGAGCGCGGGCAGAGATGACGGTTGCCTCGCTGATCAGCAAACCGCCGTGGGAGGCGCGCTGGGCGTAGTACTCGACCGCAATGTCCTGCGGAACATTGTCAATCGAGTTGCGGCAGCGCGTCAGAGGCGCGAGAACGACGCGGTGAGCGAGATTCAAAGCGCCGAGCTTGACTGGGGTGAAGAGGGCGTTGGGAGTTGCGGACATGGTTGTGTGTGGGTTTCGGTTTGGGTTTGGCGTTCTTCTTTGTTTTTTTGGCTTTGCGTGTGCTGAGCGTTGGCGCAGTGTTGCTAGCTTGGCTGCTGGTGGTTGCTTTGCCTGTGTTTGAAGCAAAGTGCAAAATGAAGAGTGAATGCTCGATTGCCCACAATTTCCGCGGCGTTTAAAAAGGGGCGGAAAACGGGGATTTCTGAGAACGGAGCAAAGAAATCTCCGTGATGGATCGAACTCTGAGCCGCGCTTTTGCAAACTTCCGCATCTCCGTGCATCGCCGCTCACACGAAAATAAGCATTAAGCACGCTTGTCGGAAATTGGAGGTAGTGGGTCGAATGGCGCCAAGAGGGAGGGGTGTCCGAAGAAGCGGCAGCGAGAGAGAGAGAGGCAGAGGTGTATTGAGTTGTTTGGTGGTCCACGACGGTGCCGCATGGCGCGCGTCCAACCACACCAGCTCACTCATCTCACCGATGCGAATGCGAAAAACAACCACAAAAATCACAAACATATACCGCCAAGAACTGAGGATGAGGCAATGGTTTGGGGATGATGGAAGCGAGGGCTGCACGGAAACTTTTGATTCAGACCTCAATGGAGATTCGCACGGAGAGATTCCCGTTTCACTCTTGCGAATTCAACCCCCATTGGTTGAAACTGTCGCTACTAGTTGTAATCTATTTCTGGCTTGGAGGCGCTGCGGGAACGGCGAGAATTGGATTCAATAGCCACGAACTCCGGTCATCATCAATAAGCATCAAGCATCCATCAGCATCGTCATCGTTACGAGTATAACTGTTGCTTTTGCCATTGTACTAAGATTGTACTAAATGGTTGTTGTTTTTTTGTATGTGATGAGAGCTGTCAGTCTCCAATCTCTCAATGACAGACTCAGACTCGCAACACCAGGAGCACCTCCCTCGAATGCCAAGTCGATCGCCAGTCGAGCCGGTCATTGCGAATATCAGCATGCATGACTATCGCGCACTCATCCAGCGTTACGAGGCCGCAGCCGCTGATCCAGCGCAACGCGATGCAACGACTGCAGCAGGTCATCAGCAAGACTTTGACAGGTCGACGTTGGCCAATGCAATCCGAGCGTACGCGCTGCGGCTGCACACCGCCATGACCACAGGCAACGAGATCCTGATGGCTCAAGTGCTCCCATGCATGCACCGCGAGCTAACGCCGCCGCCGCCGCCGCCGCTGCTCGAGCGCGATTTGAGCGAGGACGCTGCTGCTGCTGCTGCTGCCGCGGCCACCATTGATAGTACTGCAACCGATGCGACTCATGCTACTACGACTGCTGCTCCTGCTGCGAAACTGACCCCGAGGAAGCGGCAGGCGATGGAGGCGTTTGACTTTGGCGACCTCGGCGACGGCGCTGAACAGCCAGCCGCCGCATTGTCATCATCCATGTCAAAGTTGCAAGGTGCCGAGCCGAGTCCAGCTCGGTATCAATCACCGAGAAAGTTTGCACGAATGGACAATGCGGCGGCGGCGGCGGGTGGCACTCCATCTCCGAAATCTGGCCGTGCCAAGCGATCCTTTGGCAGCTCGGACGCGTCGCTCGGTCGCGTTCTGCAGCAACTTCACCACGAGCACGCTGCAGAACGACAGTCGCTCGAAGGCAGTGCTCAGCACGAGGGGCAAGAAGCTGCCGCACAAGAAGAGCCGCCCGCCGTTGTGCAAGCGGCAAATGCGACCATCGCGCATTACCAAGAGCTGGATGCACATCACCAAGATCGGCAGGCACATCACCAAGAGCTAGAGGCGTTCAATTTGAGCACTCTTTCAGGCGAGACGTTTGACTCTCGATCTGTTCCGTCGTCGCACATTGATTCCGGCATTGTGTCGTCGTCTCTGGCAGCCTCTCCTGCGGTACGACGCGACTTTCCACGGCGGCCAGTAGCAATGCTGCAGCAGCCACTGCCAGGCTCTACGAACAATGCCCTCCTTCGGGGCGTGGCAAATCAAGCACCTTTGGATTTATCACCTCCAGTGCTTTCTTCAACCGGTTCCAGTCGAGATCGCGCTGTGGCCAGCCCACTTGCGACAGAATCTAGCTATGCACAGAGTCAAGGCAATCTACAAGCAGCAGTGCACCATCATCCAAGCCTCGACTTCTCGCCGCCCATTCTGTCGGAGGCTGATGCGTCGCAACGACACGCCGCCACCCCGTTTCCGAACAATTTCAGCACGCCCAGCTCTGCTCAGCCTGCATTTTCAGAGGCAATCATTTTGATGTCTGCACCCGACAACTCCGAGATTGTGTTTGTCCAGGACTCGCTTCAACGTGCGACACCTGCGTCGTCCGTCTCCAACCACCCCAACGGCACTGCTGGGTCCGTCTCGGCAATTGATCGTTTACAGCAGTATCAGAGCCTGCCAAGCTCGTTGCCATGATGCCGAGTTGGAATGCGTTGCTTGTATAATAGCGTATTATTTGTATTGTTTTTTTTTTCAAAGTTAATTTTGTCTTCGCTTGACCATGTGTCACAAAAGAACCGCACTGACATCAAATCTAGCAAACGACAGGTTAACGAAACACTGGCAAATGGAGTGTGTGTGGCCGCTTGGTTAGTGCAATAACGTCGTACAGACCTAAGAAGAAGAGCAGAGAGTGAGTCACCACACAAGTCCATCCAGTTCCTTGCAAAAACAATCAACTCTTTTTCACTGACCAACGACATCCCATTCGTCCTGCGACAGCGGAAGAACCTTGTTCTTGACCAGAAGGTCGCCATGACGGTCCTTGTTGCGCTCAAAGAACTGATGGAAGGACTCGACCAGGTTGACCTCAAGACCGTACTCGGCAGCCAGCTCGTACAGGGTACCGAGGTGGACGAGGAACTCGGGGCAGTCCTCAATCGCCTCCTGAAGACTGAAAGTGTACTTGGCGCCAAAGATCGGGAAGGTCTCCTTGTCCGTGTACTGCGAAGGGTTGAACTTGATGGAAAAGACGGGGTTGGAAAATTCCCAGCCCTCGACGGCACGCAGACGATCGACAATGCGGTCGGCGCTCGGGGTGGTGATCAGCAGCTTGCCGCCTTCGACAAGACGCTCCGAGGCGTTCAGCAAAAAGGTGCGGGCCTTCGCCTCCGTCTCGAACGAGTAGTGGAAGGCAAACTGGCAGTTGGTCACGTCAAACCACTGGGCGGCAGTGCCCTGGCGGCGCGGATGCTGCTGCGGCGGAGGCGGGTAGTAGTCCCGCAATCGCACGGAAAAGCAGTCGGCGACAAAGAACTGGTACGTGTAGGGCAAGTTGTTAATGTTGGCTGCGCGCTGACGGCACTCTGCGATGGCATTCTCGGCCACGTCGGCTCCAATCACACGTTTGACGCCAGCGACACGGTACTTTTGCAGATCGCCGCCCTTTCCGCAGCACAAGTCGAGGACGTGGTCGCCTCGTGAGACGTACGTGAGGTTCATGACGCTGTCAAAAAGGTGAATACAAGGCAGAAGGATGAGGATTGAGCGTGATTTGGTGCCTTGGCTGTCATACACACGAGAGACAGAGAGAGAGAGCAAAACACACAAACCGAGACAAAATTACCTCTTGACCCAGTTGTTGAACTGGCGAAGGTGGAAAATCTCACTCGTGTCGCGATTCTCATAGCCCAGGATGGGGCGAGCGTTGTAATGTGACGCGACCATCTGAGTTGTTGCGTCCGTCGGGTTTCGCGGCACGTCGACTGTCCAAAATGAACAAAGCGGGGGGATTGAGTGATGATTTCAACCCCCCCCCCGCCATACGGTACAATTAGACCAATTCCAACCATCCTAGATGCTGCTGCTGTTACCTTGCTGGTGGTGCTGGCGATGCCCATTGCCAAACTGGTGGTTGCGCTGGTGTTGCTGCTGGAACTGAGGCTGTGGCAACAGTTTGCTGGCATCGGGTCGCGGCAGCAGTCCGCCCGACCGTCCTGCGGGGTAGTGCACTGTGCGCACCGACTCTGGGCTTGTGTGCTGAGTGGTGTCCTGGTGCTGGTGCTGGTGGTGGTCATCGGTGCCAGAGCGAGCGGCTCCAGACTGGTCCGCAGATGCACTGCCACCTCGCGATCGGTCGGCGCCCGAGCTCCCTGGGCGACTCGCGCTGGCTGCGTTGTTCACATCTGCGTCATCTGCGCTGCGTCTGCTGCTACTGCTGCGGTAGTCGCCGTCGTCGCGGCCTGCATGTGGATTGCGCGACTCGCCGCGGTCGTGCTGAGCTCCTCCAGCCAGTGCTCCTGCTCCTGATCCTGATCCTGATCCTGATCCTAATCCTGATGCTGGTCTTGATCCTGGTCCCGGTGGGTGGCTCGCGTCGCCGTCCCTGTCCCGCCGCTGCTCGTACTCGTCCCTCGCAAGTCGCTCCCGCTCGCGCTCGTTCGCACGGGCAGGCGCCTCTGCAGAATAACTGCTGCTACTCGAGTCGCTCATATTTGTCTCGTTACTCTTGCGATGTTTGTTGTCGCGTTCGATCAAACGAACGGTACGTTTCAATGGCACGACAAAAAGGACTGCCAATACAATAATCAAGTCCTCATCCAAGGTCATAGGCGATGCATTACAGTTGTAAGTTGTAACAAAGCTTTGCCATGTTCTATGTTCTCATGATCACACACGCACACTGGACTCGGACTCTGTGCATTTGTAATGGAAGCTGAAGAAGGCTCCTTTGAAACGAGGCTTTTTTGTTGCAATGCTGTGAGTTCATCCTCCCCTTTCATACAATGCTTTGTTTATGTTCTTGTTCAATAATACAATCCACTCTCCATTCAGACTCACCACCACCTCATTGTAGAGAATGGCGTCGGTGGCGATGAGCACGGTGGGCGTCGGTCGCTACATCCCACAGCTGCGCAAACTGACGCTGCACTACTGCCGCAACAGCCCCAGCAGCATCGGCATGCGGTAATGCCAGTCACTCTCTCTGTCTCACCGCGTGTTGAAGTTGAGTGTTGCGAGTTGAGCGCGGGAAGGAGCCGAGAAAGCACGAAAGGTGGAGAGATCTCTCTCTTCCTGTCGATCACTCTGGTCATTTCCCCCCTCCCCCAAACCCATCTCAACTCACAATCTGCAGTGAAAATGTCGGACAGTCGACGGGCGGGTGTGTGTGGGGCAATGGAATGGGGGGAAAGTGGGTCAAGTGAAAGCGTGTGGCGAGATCTCTCGTTTCCCCCTTCTCCCTTCTCTCCACACTCGTCACTCGTCCACACACTCATCGCTCGTCCTATTGGTCGAAGACGGCTTCAGTATTGCTGTTCTTGTTGCGCGCCTGGAATCCCCCCCCCCTTCTTTGTCGCGCGCTCCACTCTCAAAAGCCCAACTCGTCCTCGTGTCCCTCTCCCTCTCTTTCATCCAATGCAAATCCACTCACCATCCAGTTTGTCCGGGTCTCGTTTCGTCTTCTGTGCAGAGAGTACATTGATCGCAACGTCGTCAAGCTCGCGCAGGACAACCCTGCCATTGTCATTCAAGTCCTCCAGCGCAAGGGCAAGCATCCCTACATTGAAGCCGACTTTTGTAAGTCGAGAGCACAGAATCTTCACGGGAAAGGGGTACCATTGACTAGTACTACTACTAGTACAGCTACTAGGGCTACGAGCGCAATATTGACAACAAAGCGGTCGTTGCAGTTGAAGTTGGAAACGTTGCCGACTCGTTTCCCCCCACTCTCGCCTCGCCAATCGACACCATTTCTTGCTGTGCCTCACGCTCTCCGTTGTTTCATTGGTTTTCTCTTTGCAGTGGCTGGCGCTTCCCGCACTGTCGGTGCTCGCAACCTGACGGCAAACGAAGTCGAGCAATCCGTCGAACGCTTGCGAGGCCTGTTGGGCCGCAAGAACATCCACCTCTTCAACCGCCAAAGCACACAAAACCCGTCCGTGCAGGGCACCTGGCAACCCTTCCTCAACCGCCTCGCCTTCCAGCCTTTGGAGGCGGTTGGTCGACTGGACCGCGTACGAACATTTGCGCGCAACCCCCACACCAAGTCACAGATGCCATCACGTCTGCAGCGTGATATCATGCTCGGCCAGGGCGAGGAGACTGAAAAGCTGCTCATTGCAGAGCGTGCGGCCTACGACGCCGATCCCAACCTCATCAAGCGCCAATACCCCGAGGGCGGTTTCGGTACCATCACCTCCACATTCTCATCCGATCGCCCACTGCGACGCACGCTTCCTGCATACATTGTCAAGGCCACTGGCATGGAATCACCTTCGCCAGTGCGCTCGCCCGCCCAAATTCAAGAGCTGCTTGCCAAGGCCAGGGCATCTGCAGGGTCTGCCAAGCCAGCAGCACCTGCAGCAGCAAAGCCTGCTGGCGGCGCAGATCCCAAGAAGGCTCCGGCCAAGCCCCCAGCAGCTGGCAAGCGATGATGAGGTTTTGGGTTCTTGTTGGTGTGTTGTCTGTTTCTCAATGTACACTTATATTTCCTTTCGGTCACTGTCGGCAATGTATTTGAATGCACGAGACGCGCATAGTGCGTCCCTGAAACAAACAAACAAACAAAAACCCAAACAGAGCTAAGAATTGAGGGGTTTTCAAAGAGTTGTTTTTTTCATTCGTCGTCCAGCTTTGCGTCCAGGTTGGCTGTGTCTGTCGGGGTGACGTCGGGAGCCTCCCACTCGCCATCTAACGTGACATTGGTTGAAATGAGAAAGGCGCATCAAGTGAGCAAACAAGATACAAAAAGCACGGTTTGATCAATTCTTTTCCGCTGTCATCGGGCAGCGGCAATGCGTTCGCCTCGACTGGCGCTATCTTCAAAATGTCTCTCAGTTCAAGCACGATCAAAAACCACAAGACTTTTCCACGATGATGATCTCATCCAACAAACAAACTCCAAGTTTTCCAGTCGCCGAGCCCAACTATGCCGGCAACCACTCCAAACGCGACTGCAATCGACACACTTGATGCAGCCAAAAATGCCATCAGCATCATCATCATCATCATCATCATCATCATCACCATCATCATTATCGTTCCATTGTCGTGGACTGCATTTCGAGGACGAGGCGTGACTGAACTGCAACCCAAACTCGCTGAGATCACTGATGGCTGATGGCTGAGCCTTTGCTGAGGGGTTTGCGTTTCTTTGAGTTTCTTTTGCATCCTCATCATCATCACACCATTGTTCCATTGTCGTTGTAGACTGACGAGGACGACGAGGCGTGACCGAACTCTGATCGCCTTTGCATTGCTGAGACCTCCATTGCTTGAGGACCAGCGTTTCCTCTTCGTTTTTGCTCGTTGCTTTCTTCTTTGGTTGGTGCTCTGCAAATGCGTTTACCTGCTTGCTTGTAGACGAGGACGACCTGGTCGTCGTTCGCGAGCCGGTTGAGCTCGACCGTCTTGCTGTCGTCGAGGACCTGCTGGTCAAACAGCAGGCGCATGTTCGCGGGCTCCATCTGCACAATGCGGCCAAGCTTCTGCTTCAGCACGCCAACAGTGTCGCTGAGCGAGCACTCGAGGAAGACGGTCAGCTTCTTGCGCTTGATGCGAATGTACATTGAGCCAGTCTGAATGAAAAAACAATAAAAAAATTATAATAGTATGAGACATGGAAACAGGTAGGGCGAGTTAGTGAGCAATTGGTAGCGGAACAACTTACAACTCACCATTGTATCGAATCTACGTAAGCGTTTCAAATAGGAAAACTGAATCCCATGCCAAATCAATGCAATGGCAATCAGTAAATCCAAACAGCAATAAATCCATTGTTTCTTGGTAGAGGACAGCGTTTGTGGTTTGGTCACTCTTTGTTCTGTTCTGCTGCTCCTTTGACGTCAAAGTAAGCCAGCTCGCATCACCGAAACCCCAAGACCAAGCCAATCCACTGTCTCTTGGTTCAATGCTCTCTGCGTCTCGTTTGCAGCCATGTCTGCATCTACCGCACCTGCAGCCTGCAGCCTGCAGCGACCAACCGGCGGAGCATTTCCCACGACAAGTACGGCAAATACCACAAAGAAACAAAGAAAACAAAAAAGGCAAATTCACACAAAACCGACAGCTGACCACTGCTGGCCGCTGTTATGGATTGATGTGTATCTGTATTTGGAGTGTGTTCACTCGTCGCTTTGTATAAGTGAAGTCTCTAGTTTCCCTAACGTCATTCTCAACATCAACCCATTACTCGTATCTTCGTGGAACGATCTTTGATCATAACAGCCGCTGCTTTTTTTATTTATTTTTATTACGTTTATTGGAGAGTGGAAAAGCTTCTAAAGCTCAAAGAGGAGGATCATGGTCAGGGGCAAAAGGAGTAAGTGAAAAGGGCAACGTGTTTACACTTATTCTTGCAGTGCCAGCGTCCTGCGCCGCTTGGTGACTCGGTTTGCTCGTGCTCACCGAGTTTCGGGGGTAGAAGCGAAATGGTGGTCTTCTCTTCTGACCTGACGATGCACTTTTCCCACATCTCCGACGTAGGAGAGTCAGCGGGCGGGGCTCGCGGCACAATGTCTTGTAGGGCGCGGGAGTGGACGAGTTTGATGAAGGTGGTGTGGCTGGGTGTGAATGTGTTGTTGATTTTTGCTTCGCAGCGGGTGCGCCAGATTGCCCAGCGTCCGAGGTGGTACAGGATCGTGGCAAGCGCTCGCATTTCCTTTTGACGCGCAAGCGTGGTGGGGAAGGGGCCGAACAGGAGGGCTTTGTCGAACGCTGGGGGCCCAATTCAACGTCGACTGTCATGCGAAAACTCGAGCACTATCGCTGAAGAATGGCGGGAGGGGGGGGGGCTTGGGAATGGTCGTCTTTAGCACAGAATCGACCGCAGCTCGCACACCACACGACTACACGTCGCGAATGTCACGCAGCCTGCTTTCCCACTTCACATTCCACCTCCTCCCCCACTTCTCTGTCTCCTGCACTCTGGGCCTCGGATGCAAACTGTTGCGACAAACTATAGGAGTATCAAGCAGAAGAGGCGACAGAGTGACTGGCAGTGAAAGCGCGCCATGTTGAACAAACCACAGAAAAGCAAAAACAAAATCCTCCGCATGACCAAAACCACATCAGCCGATAAGGACTCGAGCGCGTCGCCTCGTTTTCCCCACCTCCATCTCTTGGAGGCGCCGCTTGTCAACGATCACAGTGGGTGCGACGACTAAAATAGGCCCGCGTGGGAAGGGCCGGAGCGACAGGCGACAGGCGACAGGCTGCGTTGCGGTGGTGTGAGGCAGGACCGACTCTCCAACCACAAAGCGTCGGTGCGACAAGAGCTCCACACTCGAAGCCATCCATCCATCCACCCATCCAACCCATCCATCCATCCACACACAACTGGCGCTCAGCAATGTGAAAGTGAATTCGCGGACGAGGCGTCTTTTGAAACACTGCGAGCTCACCTTTGTCAACGTCTCTGCAGATGACACCAAAAGGGCTTGCTTTTGGTCTGCTGCTGCTGCTGCTGTTTGGCGTGATGTGTCACGTCCAGCTGGCTCAAGCAGCCGATGCGTGTGGCACTGGCGGCGTGTGCTTCTGCGGGGGATCCACTGTCAATTGCCAAAGCAGAAATCTCACTGAGATTCCAAGCGCAATCCCAGTTGGCACCACGAGCCTGTACGTGCAGCCGATGAGTTGACCTTGAATTGAAGCATTGCCCTCCCTCATAATTGGCATACGGTCGACAGGAGTCTATATGACAACCAAATCACCAGCCTTCCCGCCTCTGCTTTCACAGGCCTGACTCTGTTGAGTGGCCTGTACGTAAGCAAGAACCGTGCGTGATTCAGCACAAACCGCTCACCTCGTTCGCACCGCGATCTGTAGGTATTTGCAAAACAACCAGATTACTGCCGTTCCCGCCTCTACCTTCACGGGCCTGACTACCCTGAAACGATTGTAAGCAACCAAAGTCGTACACAATCCCGCACACAAGCAACTAACATATTGGGACACGATCTGCAGGCACTTGGGCTCCAACCAACTCGACAGCATTTCAACCGACACATTCGCAGGTAGGCAAGCAGAGACAGGAAAACTCAATCGCAAACGACTCATTCGCTTTGCGACTTTTATCTGTAGATATCTGCTAAACAACCAGATCACCAGCATTCCCGAAAACGCATTCACAGACCTCACTGCACTGATTAACCTGTAAGTAAACAACAACCTTGGCAGATTCAACACGAGTTACTCACGGTCGCCCCGCGATCGGCAGGGAGCTGTCCACCAACCAGATTACTGCCATTCCCGCCTCGACCTTCACAAACTTGACTGCCCTGAAAACCTTGTACGCAGGCAAAATCATTAGCAAAATCACGCACAATGTTAAGGTCGCGATACTGCATACACACAAACGGCTTACTCGTCCGCTACTGTATCTGCAGGAGCCTGAATAACAACCAAATCACCCTCCTGGCAGCCAACGCATTCACAGGCCTAACCGCCCTGACCGAATTGTAAGCAAGCCAAAAGCCCGAAAAATCAAACACCAACGGCTCACTCTCATTCGCGACTCGATCTGCAGGTATCTTTACAGCAACGCGATCAGCAGCATTTCTGCAAACGCGTTCACGGGCCTGATTGCACTGACCACGTTGTAAGCAACCAAAAGACTTGCAGAATGCCACACAAACAGTTAAAGTACTCACTCGTATTGCAACACATTATCCAGGCACCTACAGATGAACCAAATAACCAGCATTCCTGGGAACACATTCACAAGCTTGACTGCGCTGGCTTTTCTGTAAGCAAGCACAGCCATGAAGAATCGAGCACATGAAACTCACTAGTTCACTGCAATCTGAAGTGCTCTAAGCGACAACCGCATCACCAGCATTTTTGCCGACGCATTCACAGGCCTGACTGAACTAACCTTACTGTAAAGCAAAGCATCGACATGTAGAATCTCACACAAACGGCTCACTCGTTTGCGACTCCACCTGTGTAGAGCTCTAACCAACAACCAGATCACCAGCATTTCTGCCGCTGCACTCACAGGCATGCCTGCACTGCTACAATTGTAAGCCAGCAGAAGTCACGAACAATCGCACACAAAATGGCTCACTCGCTTTGCTACTACTCGATCTGCAGGCGACTCGATGGCAACCAGATGACCAGCATTTCTGCCTCTGCGCTTACAGGCCTGCCTGGACTGTCGCAATTGTAAGCAAGCAAAACTCCATGAAGAATCACGCGCACATGGCTCACTGGCTTTGCTGTTCGATCTGTAGGCTACTCCATGGCAACCAGATGACCAGCATTCCCGCTAACGCATTCACAAGTCTCACGGCGCTGATGTTCTTGTAAATTGGCAACTCGCATTGCACGTATTTGATTCACTTCTCACTTCCAGTTGCTCTGAGGACTTTGAGTGGCAATCCCTTCACCACTTTGCCGCCCGGGCTGTTTAAGGGCCTGCCCAATAACATGGACTTGTCGTTTGACGGCCAATTCTTCCAATATCTGAGCCCCAACAACTTTACCTTTGGTGGGAACACTGTCGCTCCGCCCAGCACATACGGCAATGCATCCTACCCATACCGTAAGATTTGAGAGGCCCTGCAATCCCCATGCGATCATTCTCACTGACTTTTGAAACGCAGAGTGTGATACATTCTGTGCCACCTGCTATGCCGCAGGGCCCGGGTCGTGTTGCGCGACCAACTGTCTGACATGCACTTCATCCACTGTGTGCACTCAGTGCTCTGAAGACTACGGCGTCATGGAAGGGTCCTGCGTTCCCCTGTCCGTCATTGCCTCCTCCGCTTCAGTCGCGTCCACGCAATCTGCGTCGGTTGCGTCTCTCGTTTCCGCTACTTCGGCGCTCTCGGCATCCTTTGCTTCCCTCGCTTCTGCGTCCTCGGCGTCAATTGCCTCACAGATGTCTGCATCCGCCGCCAGTGCTTCATCCGTCTGGCAGACTTCGGCTGCATCTGCCGCGTCCAATGCGCCAAAGGGTTCAAGTGACTCAGATTCATGGCCTATTATTCTCGGAGTGATTCTTGGCCTGTTAGCTCTCATTTTGTTGGTTGCGCTGGCTGTGGCTCTTCGGCGTCGTCGCTCTCCAGCCGCACTGGCAACCACTGCATCGGCTACCAAACTACGCGAGCCAACATCTAACTCATCCGACCCGACCTACCAGACCGTCGGCACTGTGCTGAACGCTGTGAATCCAGCCTACGACATTCTGTCGGCCAATCCGACCTATGAATCTGCGAATCCAACCTACACCACTTTGTCTCATACTGGCAACCACGCCTTGTACGAACACGTTGACACAAAGCCCCAGGCTCCTGCGTCGGAGCAGGTGTATGCTGAGGCATCCGTGTCTGCATCCGGTGAAACGAAAGCCTCAGGCAGCAGCGGTGTCGAGTACGCCGATCCCTCGCTGCCCAATGCCTCGTCTGTCCGTGTGCCGCCCACGTCCACACCAACCTCTTACTATGACTATGGAATGCGTGTGCAGTTACAACGCTTCATACTGTAAATGAGGTCGACAGTGCTTAATTTCGCAAAATTTGTGCGTCCTGCTGCTCGCATGCGTTCTTCATTTTTGTCTGTCATGGTCGCTCATCAATCCTGCTCTAGCATTCTCACGCTTGTCAGCATTTTTGGTCCATTGCATCCGCTTTTCTCGATTTGCATTTTGATAATTTGACGCAAACGAGTCCAAAACTTGAGGTTGTTGAAACGTAGTTGCCGTTGTGTGGTGCGGACGCTGTTTTGCATGAGTTCCGGTGGGGTTGGGGTTGACTGCAGAGTGAGTCGTTGGTTGCCAATGCATCACTGGCCGCCAAGGAAGGGTGGCAATTTGCCAAAAGAAAGACCCGAAAGCGATTGTGATGTTCACTCTTTTGTTTTTTGTCTCTTTCTGTCCCGCCCACCTTTTGCTCTTTTTTCTTTCACCCAAGTAAGCCAAACGCGCATCACCCTACTCAGGGGCAGCAATCCATCTTGTTCCTTGTTGATAGTCTCGCTTCTTTTGAGAGTGCTCGATGCCCCGCGTTGCAGAATGGAGCACAACAGCCCAACAGCCCAACAGAGCGGGGCATTTTGCACTTCTCGCACCCAAACAAAAGAAAAGGTGATAACGACACCAAAAGAAGCCGCTTGGCGATGGAAAAGCGAGCAGCATTGGAAGCACATGTCAAACAAAGAGTCGAGTATTCCTGATCAAGACTGAACTTGACGGGGGGGGGGCTTTATCAGCAGAAGAGCACGCTGGAGAAGCGCAAAATAGCGAACAACCAGAAACAAGCAGCACCAGAAAAAAAAAAAAAAAAAAAGGGCCACCCGTTATCTGGCTCTGTTTGTTCCCTCCCACCCACAGCCCCACCACCACCACCACGTCGCGCTGATCCTCAACTGCGTACTACTGCAACAACTTCATCAAAGCGAGCAAAGGGGAGCGCTGCGATCGACCTCGAACGAACAACAAGACACTCCACTCAACAACCACCACAAAACAACGACGAAACAAACAACAAACCAACCATAGCATCACAAGGCAACAATCCTCCGCAAAAGCAGATGCGTTGTCGCGTCGCGTGCTCTTCCCCGAAACCCCATTTGCCCCCTTCGATCTCGTGAAATACGCGTCGAGTCACACAAAAGCAGCGGGATGCCAACTGTGAAGCGCGCGCCGCTGGAAGGAAAGAGCGACCGGAGAACAAAAACCTGCTTCAGACTGATTGGTGCGGAGGAAAACCGCGAATGGGGTGACACACGCACAGCACACTTGCCGTCTCTCTCTCTCTCGTCTCTCTCTCTCTCTCTCGTACAGATACAACTGACTGGCAGCACTTGTTGCATTGTACCTGTTGGTTGAGGAAGAAAAGTCGCGGGACTCACTGATCATCCTCCTTAAACTTACAGAATGGCAACAAGAGGGCTTGCCTTGCTCCTTCTGCTGCTCTGCGTGATTCATCACGTCCAGTTGGCTCAAGCAGCCGTTGCATGTGGCACGGGCGCCGTGTGCGTTTGCTTCGGAACCAGCGTCAATTGCGGTGGCAGATCTCTCACCGAGATGCCGACCGGAGTCCCTGCCACCACCACGGTTCTGTAAGGCTTTTGCTGCCAGAGGCTGATGACTTGAGTTGAAGCAACTGCCCCCCCCCTCTCTCCTGATATGCTGATATGGCACTCGGTCGATAGGAATCTGCAGAACAATCAAATCACCAGCATTTCCGCAACCGCACTCACAGGCCTGACTTCGCTGACACAACTGTAAGCAAAAAACAACACAACGACGTTCAAGGAAACAAGAAACGCACTCCAAGTTGCTCATTCATTGACGACTCCATCTGTAGGCTTCTGCCACGCAACAACATCAGCAGCATAGCTGCAAACGCATTCACGGGCTTGAGCGCGCTGACTTACATGTTAGTCAACTAAGCTAGCAAATGAGATACAGTAGGAAGAAATCACCTCAACCCTAACGGCTCACTTGTTTGCGACTCTATCTGCAGAAGTTTGGACTCCAACAAGCTCACAAGCATTCCCACTCACGCATTCACGGGCCTGACTGCGCTGCAGCACTTGTAAGCAAGCAACAACAACAACAATTTGTTTCAACCAAAAACTACAAAACAAAAGGAAGAATCAAGCTCAAAATGGCTCCTCGTTTGCCATTGGATACGTAGGCTGATGCAAAACAACCCGGTCACCAGCATTCCCGCAGACGCATTCGCAGGCTTGACTGCGTTGAATAGTTTGTAAGCAAGCAAAACACGGGAAGAATGGTCGACAGGCGACTCAATTTTGCGACTCATTTTGCGACTCTTTTCCGAAGGGTTCTGTTTAACAACCAGATCACCAGCATTTCTACAAACGCATTCGCAAGCCTGAATGCGCTGACGACCTTGTATGCAAGATGAAGATGAACATGGAGGATCACGCACAAACGACTCACTCGTTGTGCCACTGTTCTTCTCTGTAGACAATTGCAACAAAACTTGATCGACAGCATTCCCGCAGACGCATTCGCAGGCCTGACTGCCCTTACTAATTTGTAAGCACACAATGACAAGAGGCGTTCCACACAAATGAAGCTCACACGCTTTGCGACCACTATCGGTAGGCGAATGGATAACAACCAGATCACCACCATTCCTGCAGGAGCATTTGCAGGCCTGACTGCGCTAAACTACTTGTAAGCGAGAAGTCACAGAATGAAGCAGGAAGAAACAAACGACTCAGGCGTTCGACCTTGTGTGGCGGTAGACACCTGTCCAACAACCAGATCACCAGCATTTCTGCAACCGCATTCACAGGCCTGACTGCTCTGAGTGGCTTGTAAGCAAGCAAACGAACATGCCGAGTTGACAACAAACTCAACTGTGACTCCACCTGCAGGCAATTGCACAGCAACTACATCACCAGCATTCCCGCCTCTGCTTTCACAAGCCTGACTGCGCTCATTCAATTGTAAGAAGAGCAAAGTCGTGAAGAATCACATACACAAACGGCTCACTCGTTGGCGACTAGGAAACTGGGTACGAACCAGATCACCAGCATTCCCTCAAACGCCTTCACGGGTCTCACAGCGCTGCAAGACTTGTAAGCAAGCAAAGACAGTGCACAGTTTCACACAAACGGCTCACGCGTCTGAGACTCTATTTGTAGGGAGCTCCACAGTAACCAGATCACCAGCCTTTCTACAGATGCATTCCAAGGCCTGACTGGGTTGGTTAAATTGTAAGTAAGATGCTGCGAGTGCATGTGCTTGATTCGTCACTTATTTTGCGCTGTACTTGCAGGCTTTTGAATAGTAATCCCTTGACTACTCTGCCGCCCGGTCTGTTTCAGGGCCTGTCCAATAACTTGGTTATAGCGGAGTCGTACTCATATCTGAGCCCCAACAACTTTACCAATGGCGGAAACACCCGTGCTCCGCCCAGCACATTCGGCTCTGCATCCTATCCGAACAGTAAGTTCCGAGATGATTGGAATCCCCCCGTATGGTCATTTCGCTGACATTATGTTTTGTATTTTGCAGAGTGTAATACAGCCTGTGCCACCTGCTATGCAACTGGGTCTGCTGCGTGCTGCGCGACCGACTGTCTGTACTGCACTTCATCCGCCGTGTGCACTCAGTGCTATGACGGCTATGGCATGTTGAGCGGATCATGCGTTCCGCTCGCTTCCATCGCTTCTGCTTCCGTAGCCTCTGTCGCATCTGCGTCGGACGCTTCCATCGCCTCTGCGTCAACCGCGTCCGCTGCGTCTGTTTCGACCGCCTCAGCTCTGTCGGCGACCTTTGCTTCCATTGCTACTGCATCTTCAGCCTCGCAAGCATCCGCGTCTGCCGCATCTGATGCTTCTGCTGCCTCGGCATCCTTTGCTTCAATTGAATCTGCTGCAAGCGCGTCATCCGCATCGGCCGCATCTGATGTTTCCACCGCCTCGGCATCCTTTGCTTCCCTCGCTTCTGCGTCCTCGGCGTCAATTGCCTCACAGATGTCTGCGTCAGCCGCCAGTGCCTCATCTGTGTGGCAGACGTCAGCTGCATCTGCAGCGTCCAATGCACCAACAGGCTCAAGTGACTCAGATTCGTGGCCCATTATTCTCGGAGTCATTCTTGGCCTGTTGGCACTCCTCGTGCTGGCTGCACTGGCCATGGCCCTTCGGCGTCGTCGCTCACCAAAGGCATTGGCAACCACCGTCTCGGCGACCAAACTACGCGCATCACCTTCCGGCTCAGAATCGGCCTACCAGACTGTCGGCACGGTGCTAAACGCGTTGCATCCAGCCAATGACATGTTGTCCGTCAATCCAACCTACGCAGCTTTGTCCGACACTGCTAACCACGCCTTGTACGAAGATGTTGGCTCAACGTCCCAGGCCCCTGCGTCGGAACAGGTGTATGCTGAGGCCTCCGTGTCTGCATACAGTGCAGCGCAGGCGTCAAGCAGTAGTGGCGTCCAGTACGCCGATCCTTCGCTTCCCAATGCCTCGTCTGTGCGTGTGCCGGCCGCAGCCTCACCAACCACTTACTCGGCGGTCACCGCTGTGCCACACCAGCAAAACTATGAAACTCCTGGTACCCATGCCTTGTACGAAGATGTTGGTTCAAAGACCCATGCGCCTGTGGGTTTGTATGCCGAGACGGCTGTACCTGCATCCGGTGTCGAGTACGCCGATCCTTCGCTGCCTAACGCCTCGTCTGTTCGCGTGCCATCTGCATCCTCACCAACCGCTTACTCGACGATCGCTGTTGCACCTTCCCCGCAGTCCGGGACTGTCGAGTACACGTCGATTAAAAACTAGCAGGCATGCCTTTGACACGGTTTTTTACTGTTTTGTATGTCCTGTGCTCTGCTGCTCTGTCATCATTCAATACTCACTTTGACAATTCGACCCAATCAGACTTGTGTTTGTTTCAACTTTGTTTGTCCTGATCCGGAGCACAATCTGCTGTACTGTTGATCAGAAATGAGGAGGGGGTGGAAGTAGCGTGTGCTTCATAATAATAATTGTGAAGAGTATGGTCAAGCGGAGGCCCGCGTGGGAGCCGCGACTGTGAGCGAGGCAGTGAGGGGGTGGGGGAAAACGCTCCTCCCAACAAAATTTTTGGGAGACACGCGGACGGACGTTCAACTTCACTTGTTCATTGTTCATTTTTTTTTTTCGCATTTTTTGGTCTTTTCTCTCTCTCTTTCTCCCTCTCTCTGTCCCTTTTCCCTGTCCCCAAGTAAGTCCAACGCGCGTCGTCATGCTCAAGGCCAGCAAAATCCGCTGTTCTTGTTTGATATTCTCGCTTCGTTTGGAAGTGATCTGTGCCATACTGTGGAAGTCTGACAATGAGCAAAAGTGGACCAGTTTTCGCATTAAAAAGAACAAACAACTGTCAAAAATGAACAAAAAGGAACGAAGAAGAAGCCATCGGACGGGTTCTGTTCGAAATCAAACTGTCACACCGAGACAAGAGCATTGCTGATGAAGAGTGGAGCACGCAGCGCGCATCAGAGCATGCAGGAGAAACGGAGAACAACGGGAAGCAATAAAAAAAAGGGAACAAAACAAAAAGGGAAAAACCACACACATGATAGCAGCAGCCGACAACAATACCCATTCGACTCGCCTCGCTGCTCTGATCCTCAGATGCGTTACTCTGCAGCAAGTCAATCAAGCAGAAGACGTGATTGTGGATGACGGGGAACAGCGGGCCCTTGCGACTTGCAATCCACCCCCCCAAAAAACCACAAACAACAAAACCACCGATCAAACGATCAGCTGTCGCGTCGCGAGCTGCGCCCTCCCCTTGCCTCGCCTCCCGCTCTTGTAAACGCGCATGCTGTGAATGAAAGCAGAGGAAGCCATCGTGAAGCGTGATGAAGAGAGAGAGCGAAAGAGGGGAAGAGGCAGGCAGAGTAGTGTGTGAAAAGAGTGCTCGGCCGACACCGTCTCTTCCCCTTCTTGCTCAGCTGTGGCAAATGGCAAATGCTTGAATCCCATCCATCAACGTACAATGGACTTTCAGCACTGTACTATTGTGACTGTTTGCCGGAACGCTCCGGGCTCACCTTGTTCTTCTGAAAATGGCTGCTCGTAGATGGCATCGAAAGGGTGTGCTTTCGGTCCGCTGCTCCTTCTGCTGCTGCTATTCTGCGTGATTCATTATGTCCAGCCGGCACAAGCAGCCAACGCATGTGGCACTGACGCCGTGTGCACTTGCACAGGAACCAGCGTCAATTGCGGTGGCAGATCTCTCACGGAGATTCCAACTGCAGTCCCAGTCAATACAACCTCGCTGTACGGTTTGGCCCTCTGAATTGACCTTGAGTTGAAAACAATCGCCCTTCCTGATGTGGCATACGGTTGATAGGGAGCTGAACAACAACCAGATCACCAGCATTTCCGCAGGCGCATTCACTGGCCTGACTGCACTGACATATCTGTAAGTACACACTGACAGCACACAGGACAAGAAGCAAGAACAAACGACTCACCCCGTTGGCGGCTCGCTCTGTAGGAATCTGAACAGCAACAGCATCCGCAGCATTTCGGCAAACGCATTCACAGGGCTGACCGCGCTCAAGCACTTGTAAGCGAGCAAAGATAAGAAGAAATCACAACAAACGGCTCACGCGTTGGTGAATCTCTAATCTGTAGACCTCTGGGTTACAACGAGCTCGCCGACATTTCGGCAACTGCATTCGCAGGCTTAACTGCGCTGAATGCATTGTAAGCAAGCAAAACCATGAGGAAATCACACACCACCGGCTCACTCGTGGCCGATCTTTCGATCTCTAGACATTTGCAATCCAACCAGATTACCAGCATTTCTGCATCCGCATTCGCAAGTCTGACAACGCTGACTTACCTGTAAGTAAAACAAGACATCATGAAGCAAGAACTGAACAAACAGCTCACTTGTTTGCCACTCTCTCTGTAGGCGGCTCGACAGCAACCAGCTCACCAACTTTGCGGCGAACGTATTCGCAGGCTTGAGTGCGCTGGCACTGTTGTAAGCAAGGAAAGGCTTGAAGAATCACGCACAGACAGCTCACTAACATGCGACACTGTAGAAATCTCGAAAGCAACCAGATCACCAGCATTTCCGCAAACGCATTTACAGACCTGACTGCGCTGACTCTATTGTAAGCAAACAAATACAAACGACGCAAGATTACACAGCTCACTCGTTTTGAGACTGTATCTGCAGGTATTTGCAACGAAACCAGATCACCAGCATTCCCACATCTGCATTCACAGGCCTCACAGCGCTGAAAGACTTGTAAGAAGGCCAAGTTATGAAGAATCACCAAGGCCTTACTCGTCCGCGACTCTATTTGTAGGGAGCTCTTCAATAACCAGATCACCGCCATTGCTGCAAACACATTTTCAGGCCTGAGTGCGCTGACGCAATTGTAAGAAAGCCAAGTTATGAAGAATCACCAAGGCCTCACTAATTTTGTTTTTTCGCTATGAATTCTGTAGATACTTGTTCAGCAACCAGATCACCAGCATTGCTGCCAACGCATTCACCGGTCTGCCTGCGCTCACTGCACTGTAAGCAGAAATCTCTGTATACACATTCGAAACGCCTCTCACGACGCGGTGATTGCAGGGCTTTGGATGGCAATCGCTTCACCACTCTGCCACCTGGTCTGTTTACGACCTTGCCAAATGGCTTGTACTTGTCGTCCGGATCCCAATATCTGAGCCCCAACAACTTTACCTTTGGGGGTAACACTGTCGCTCCGCCCAGCACCTATGGCAGTGCATCCCAACCATCCCGTAAGTTCCGAGATGATTGGAATCCTCTGCATGATCATTTCGCTGACATTACTGTTTTTATCTTGCAGAGTGTGACACAGCCTGTGCCACCTGCTATGCCGCCGGGTCCAGTGCGTGCTGCGAGGCCAATTGCCTGTACTGCGCTTCATCTTCTGTGTGCACTCAGTGCTATGAAGGCTATGGCATCATGAGCGGATCCTGTGTTCCACTCTCTGTCATTGCATCTGCCTCAGTCGCTTCTGTCGCTTCTGCTTCGGTCGCATCCATCGACTCTGCTTCAGCCGCGTCTGTCGCTTCTGACGTGTCTGCTACCTCGGCATCCTTTGCTTCAATTGTTGCTGCCTCTTCAGCTTCCATTGCAGCTGCTGCAAGCGTTTCATCGGCATCTCTCGCTTCGGTTGCTTCGGATGCTTCCGCTACCTCGGCTTCTGCTGCTTCCCTTGCTGCTGCCTCTTCAGCATCCCTTGTATCGCAGATGTCTGCTTCAGCGGCCAGCGCTTCATCTGCATGGCAAACATCGGCTGCATCTGCTGCGTCCGACTCTCCAAACGAGTCCAGCGATCCTTCGACCCTGCCTCTGATTCTCGGAGTCACTTTTGGCTTGTTGGCTCTCCTGCTATTGACTGCGCTGGTTGTGGCCCTTTGGTGTCGACGCTCACCAAAGCCGGTGACTTCCGGCTCAGAACCGACTTACCCGTTTGTCAGCACAATGTCAAACGTTGTGAATCCAACCTATGAAATTTTGGCCATTGCCGACAACCAAGCTGTCTACGAACATGTTGGCTCAACGCCTCAGGCCCCTGTGGGCTCGTCGGAACCGCTCTACACTGAAGCATCTGCATCCAGTGTCCAGTACGCGAATCCTTCGCTGCCCGATGCCTCGTCTGTTCGCGTGCCAACCGCGTCCTCGGCAACCGCTTACTCGACAATCGCTGTTGCAACATCCTCGCAGGCCGAGAATGTTGACTACACGTCTATCGCAAACTAGCAACCTGTCATCCCTTCTTCATTTTGTGTTTCGGTGCATCTCTTTGATCTCTGTTCGTGCATTTTCATTCTGGTGTCTGCCTGTTTCAAGAAAGCACGTTGAATGAAATTGTGCCCTTCGCAGCCTTCCAACAATGCATCGTGGTCCTCGTTTGAGTGTTTTTTTTTTTTTTTTTTTTTTTTTTTTTTTTTTTTGGAGGAAAGCCAACTGCATGATAATCGCATCAGCACCAGTTACTTTTGTTCTTGCCTCTCGAGGTCTTCATTATTGTTGAATTACTACAAAAACACATTCAAGTGGAAAGGAGACGGCTTCTACGCTCGCTGCAGAACGCGGAGAACTAGACCTGCGGGAAGAGGCAGGTCCGTCACACTGATCGGCTCGGCTTGCTCGTCGAAAGGGATGCGCAGGACTGGAACTGCTACACTTTGCAACAAGGACGACTCGGTAATATCGTCCAGGCCGGAAGTGTTCCCAGCGAGCACGGCGGCAAAGGGCGACACTCCACGGTCGCGAGACTCCGAAAATGCTCCGGGCATACGAGGAGACGAGGTCAGCTCGCCTTCCTCGTCGCTGCTTTCATGAATGTGCGAAGCATTCAGCGCCTCTTCGTCAACCGAAAACGAGTCGCCTTCGCTGAACGGCCGCGAATGATGCCGGCGGGGAGAAGTAGGCAGATTGTGCGAGTTGTCCGTCGGAAGCACGGGGGTTGCGGCGATCGAATCGGCATGAGCCAGCTCGGCCTCGCTCTCGCCAGATGTGCGAGTCATGCCCATGTCCAAACAGCAGCCTCGGATGAGCAGCTCTGCTTGAACAAACTTGAGCCGCGGGCAAATATCGCGGACAGCATCGCGTGCAGACAGCCCTGGTTGCGCCACTTGCAGGAGACTGGCAGCTTGGACGATGGGTGCGAGAGCGTCCAACGCCAGTTTGCTATCTGTTTTGCGGCACCACTCCTCCAGTTGAGACAGGTTTTGCCGAATGTAGATGCCATTCATCGGAGTGCACAGTTCCGAACGGGACAGCAGAGCGTTCAGTGCGATGGTGCCAATGTACTCGGCCATGCACTGCGCAAACTGCGATGCAATGGAGGCATGTACGCGGCAATCGCGCAAGCAAAGGCGGAACAGCTCGAGCTGACTAAGCAGCTGGGTAAGCTTCAGCACGCGGTTTGACGACGACGACGACGACGACGACGATGTGGACGACGCAGAATAGTTGGTCTGGTCTGGAGAACTGGAAAAGGCCGCAGTCCAAAAGTCGTCGTGAGCCAAGTTGGAGGGCCGCACGTCGGATTGCTCAGTCAGAATACCCTCCAACAAAACGCCGCTGATGGCAGCGCGACAGCGTTCGACGAACGCCCGGAAGAACATGTTGATGGCAGATCCAAGCGCAAGAGTCTGCCGTGCAATGAGCTGTGAGCGTTGCTGAACTGGCCTCACGCGGCACTGCGTGTACAAGTAGTGAGCATTGCTCATCCAAAAAGCGAGGGCCAACGGGGGCAGAGTTGCGCCAGATCGGTTGAACAGCGCAACAAACCGATTGTGAGCGGCTTGCAACAACCCAATGTAGGGATTGGACGGCGACTCGAAATCGGCATCCAAAACCCAGGCGTCATGTGCCTTCTCTCGATCGTGGAGTGTGAGGTTGTGGTTGTTATCGGCGGGAAGCTGCAGCGCATCGGGCGATTTTGGTGTGCCAGGACTTGCGGGCCCCAAAGCCGTGGCCATGAGATCGTCTGTTGTAAGTCCAGAATGCTCAATGCTGTCGCCACGCGATGGGAGGCGGACGGGCGTGGAGGGCAGCGAGGCTTCGTTCTGCTCCAGCGTCGTCTGCTTTTGCCTCTCTTCCTGCTCTTTCTTGTCCAGCACTTGCTGCAACATGCACTGGCGTTCGATTTGGTCGAGGCAGTGCAAAAGCAGATGAGCGGGAAGCAAGGTGTACTGAGGAATGTTGCTGGCCCCAGTGCTGCTTCCGGAGGTTGGAGGCCCGCTGCTTGCCGAGGTTTTGAGAGGGTTGAAGCTCGAGTGAGGTGCGGGCCCTGGGAAGGACGATTTAACATCCCAGGCGGTGATGAGCTCATCTACTAGCTCGCTGTGGTCGATCTGCGACACTGATCGTGCAGGCACGGGTGGAAGTGCGCCAATGTGGTTGAACGATCGCGATCGAACTCGAGTGACCTCCCAAGGCTGCGTCTGCAAAGAGTAAACTAGATTGCCGACAAGCACTTCTGGCGCCTTGTTCGATAACGAGGTTGCTGCTGCTGCCGAGAAAAACGTGCTGGGCGCTTGCCCTGCTCGAGGAGAGAGAATGGCACCGCTCGGGTCATCAGCGCCCCCAGGTCCGTCCAATGCAATGCTTCCTAACGTCAGCACGCCGCGAGTCGGCTCGGAAGATGATGGCAACGATGGCGAGGCACTTGTTCCTCGAGGAGAAGAAGCAGCCTGGGTGGGGACGGCTTGCGCCAGCATCATCCGACTCGGAGAATCAGCGCGTGTGCTCAATGTTGGGGGCAGACGCAACGTTGCTGGACGATCAGACAGGTTGACAGGAGCTGGCGCGGGAATCATTGCGAGGGGCGAATCGGGGACGCCAGGAATGCTGTCCGGCGCCAAAAACCACTCAAACTCTAGCGCCGCCACCGCTGTCGGGCGCGCATTTGCTTCGGCTTGCAGAAGTTGCTGAATCAAAAATTTGAGCGGCGGGGAAAGCGCAGCCCACCGTTCGTCGCGAACAAAGAGCGCGCCAGAAATGGATGCGACCATCTCGTTTTCCGTTTCGCCTGGAAACGGGTATTGTCCGCAGACCATGCGGTACAACATGACGCCGAGGCACCAAATGTCAACAGCCGAATCATAGCTCTTGTTGGACAGCAGCTCTGGCGCAAAGTACTTGAAGGTGCCGCACGCTCCGGAGAGCAAGCGCGACTTGCCAAGAAACTGCGCAAACCCAAAATCAACAATCTTGACGGGAGAATTCCTGGCGTGCGAAGCAAACAGCACATTGTTGGGCTTGAGGTCTCGGTGCACAATGCCGAGCGAATGCAGGTAGGCTGCTCCGCGAATGACCTGACGCATGACTTGCCGCGCACGGCCCTCCGAAAAGACTGCGCCCGTCTGCTCGTTCAACGTGATGCGCTGCAGCAAATCGCCGCCCTCCATGAGCTCCATGACAATGTGCATGGTGGATGGCGTGACAAAGACGTTTTGGAAGCGGATGGTGCTGGGGTGGTGCAACAGCTTCATGATGGCAATCTCTGACAAGAGAGCCTCGCGCTCGTCATCCTCCATGTCGCGACGGTCGATAATTTTGACTGCATACCGCTGGCGCGAATGGCGATGCACGGCTGCACAGACGGTGGAGAAGCGTCCGTGCCCGACGGCCTGGTCGTCCAAGATTTCGTACTCGTCCTCGACGGTTTGCATGCGAGCAGCAGCCGAAATGGCATTGCACCACTCGATGCGCGAGCGCTCAGAGTCGGCTGCAAGTTGCTCTGCGAGACGACCGTCCTGCAAGACAAGCGTGAAGGGAAAGCGCGACCCGGACGAGATGGCGGGTGCGTTCTGGTTGACCACACGAACGTGCTGACCGCTGACAAAGACGACGCCTTGCGGGATTTCGTCCTGGGGAGTCTCGTAAAAGTAGCATGTCGTGTCGCGCAACACGTAGTAGTGCTTGACCCATGGCTTGAACACGTTGCCTTCGTGCGCGAAGAGATAGCCTCGCTTGACGGTGCGATAGGACGCATCGCCAGAGGTTGGCGCAGCAGCGGCGGTTGCTGCGTTGGACGCTGTTGCGGAGGCAACAGCAGACTCTTCCGCAGTAAGCATGCCGTGCATTGGCGGTAAATGAGCGCTGCTGTTGCTGCTGCTAAAGCCGCTACCGCCGCTGCTGGAAAAGCCGCCCAGAGAGTCGCTGTATGAGGCAGAGCTGACGGAAGACTCGACGGCAAATGTCGCGAGAGCATCGTCGCTCACCTCCGCGCCGTGCAGATGAGCAACATGCGCGGCCGCGGCGGCTGCTGCTGCGGCGTTGGCTGCATTCAGGGTTGCGTTGCTAGTGTTGGGTGCCACCGTCTCATTGTCATACGCAGTGAGTCGCTTGTTGCGGAAGGGATCCGTCAGCGTCATGTGTGCCAGGTGCTTGTTGAAAAACACGGCAGACGCGACAGAGGGGTGTCGGCCTGCCCATTGCTTGAATCGGTCGTAAGCAAGATAGCGCGACGCTGCGAGCGAGGTTAGAGGCACAATGCTGGATGCTGGCGGTGTGGTTGTAGTTGTAGTTGTGGCGATTGGGAGGGCACTGCCGCTACCGCGACCACTCAAGCTGCTCGGTTGCTGTTTGAGGGCAGGAGGCGCGGGGAAGGCATCTGCAACCATGTCCTCGACAGTCTGGGAGATGGTCGCGTCGTCGGCACCAGCAAGGCCAAACTCGTGTGCGGCAGTTATGATGATGGCCAGCAAGACAGAGCGCAAGTCTTCCTGGCGAATGCCGAGCGGGTGCTCGGAAATGTCAAACAGACGGTAAATCAGGGCGTACTTGTCTTCGTCCGAGCCGCGCGCAAACACGGCAAAGAAGGCAATAAAGTCCTCGCATGAAATGCCAGTGTGCAGTCTCCGTCGATCCATCACCGAGAAGAGACGCTCGCCAAACACGCCCGGCAGCTGGAAGAAGCTGAAAAAGGTTTCCTTGTCCCAGAAGATGCGAGCATCGTTGCTCGCGGCACTCAAAAGGCTTGAGGCGATGGGCTGGAAGATGTGCTTGTTGAGCAGTGCAGCTGCGGAGGATCCTGCCAACGATGGATTTGCAACAACGGCGGTGGGCGTCGAGTTCTGAGCAAAACCACCAAGACACAAAACAAACGTCAGGTGAGCTTTTTTTTTTTGTGGGTTTTGTTTTTATGCGTTTGATTGTTCTGAGAAAGGGTGAGGTTTTTTGTGTTTTTGTTGGTTTGTTCTGAGAAGCAACCCAAGTTTGGCAACGTTTTTGGCTTATTGTTTGTGTGTTGTTCTAGAAATCGGTGTGTTTTTGTTTTTTTTTTTTTGTTTGTTTGTTGTTTGACTGGCTTTTTCATTGCAGCCATGATCAGCAACGCGAGACCGACGACGGGCGACGCGTTAGACGAGGGTTGAATGGACGCTTTGGCATTGACAATGGCATTGAGTGAGGTAGGTTGAAGTGAGAGTGAGCCAAACCTGGATGGTCGCGTTCACAGCATTGTCTCCGGATCCACTCGCAGTAGTACTGGTACTCGTACTGGCAGTCGCAGCAGCAGTGGTCGTAGTCGTAGTAGGAGTCGAGGCGGGGTAGGCGGGGTCGGGCGCGTCAGCAGCAGCAGCAGCGGCAGCGGCAGATTGAAGCTGCTCTGCACCACCACCACCACTGCTACCACCACTGCTACCACCACTGCTGCTACTACTACTGTTGCTGCTGGACGACGCGGGCGGAGGAGCGAGTCGGCGGAAGGTCCTCCGTAGAAAGTTGCGCTCGCCCGGTCCCAATGCATCGACAGCGGCTGCGAACGAGGCGGGCGGCAGCACTCCCGAGCCAACAGTGGTGGTGGTGGAAGTAGTAGTAGTAGTAGCAGGAGCAAGAGTCGGAGTCAACGTGGTCGTCAAAGTGGCTGCGGGCGACTGAGTTGACATTGTTCAGTGGGTCTGGTCTGTCTGAGCGGATCCGACAATAAGGAAGATTGACCGCCAAATAAAATGCAACGCAAGGTCAATGGAAAAAAAACAATGCAAATCTCAATGGAAAGCGCCAGTCAATGATTCAGTTTGGGTGAGAGACAGGACTCCAATGCAATTCTCAATGCAATGCTCAATGAGAGCCTCAGTCACAAAAGCGGATCCATTGTTCATCAGCAACGATGGACAAGAATATGCTCAGTGCAGACAAGTCACCCCCCGTTCGTATTCGGATTTCTGAGATTTTTCTGAGATTTGCCGTTTTCGCTCAGTCCTCACATTGTGATCTGTTTGTTTCGCAAAAAAGCTCAGTAGACGATGGATTCATCATCATCGTCATCAATACGAGTACCACGGACAAGTAGATCCAATGCTGAGAACGACAGCAATGGTGCTGAAGCTGCGGATCTGAGAACTCGAAGGCAACGCAAGCGGATCAACCAGCGACTGCGACGCAAGCAAGCACGAGCTGAACAAGCTGAACAAACAGAACAAGCTGAACAAGCTGAACAAGTAGAACAAGCTGAACAAGCAGACAAGCGCGCGATCGTGGACGACGCAGTGCTGGATCGTCGAGAAGGAGCACTCAAGTCAAGCCAAGCAAACCTCACACAAGTAGATCATGCGCGTACCACACGACAACCAGCTATCAGTGTGGTCAAACCAACGTCAGAATCACGCCAGAGTGCAAGCGCCGCTGCATCCGGCTCTGTGGCACCGGGAAACAAGCCATTTATCAATCGGACAAGTCCGTCCTTCCACCCTTCTTTATCATCGTCAAGCACGTCGCCGAGCAAGAACCAATCCAATGCATCAACAAGCACTGGCACGACCAACGGACCAGTCGACGCTGGTCAGACGGGACTGCACCCGAACGTGCAGTGGCGTGCAGTGACCAAAGCCGAATTGCGAATGGACGCTCGAATGCTCGCGCTGCCGCCGCCAGATCGGCTCGCCAGTGTCGGCCCGGCGCTTCAGGATTATCGCTTTGTAAGGCAGGACACCGAGCTGTGGAAGGCACTCCATCATGGCGTCGTTACATCGAGCGGCATTGCGACCATGGCTGGCTTGAGGGAACGGCAAGCAGTTGGGCTTCTCGGCTTGGCAAAGCACTATGTCAAGCACGACGCCATCCGCGAAATTGTACAATCGTTGCGCGAGGCCCGATTGCATGACAGCGACCTTCATCATCAACAGGAAGATGCCATTGCCGTGGCATTGCGAGCGATGCACTTGTCTGGCTCGCCAAAGAACCCGCAAGCCAGTCCGACCAACGACCACGTGCTCACAGCATACAATTCGCCATCAACCAAGGAACTGGGCTCCAAAATCCATGTCGGAGAATCGCTGCCACACAGGCCAGTGGCGTCGGCCTTAAGCGAGTTTCCCGACGCCACTGCCGCCCGCCTCCGCTGGGGCTCTGCACAAGAGCCCAGCAGCGTTCTTTCCCTGCTGGACATTTTCCCAGCCCCGAACTATCGTGTGGCCGAGTGCGGCATGTTTTTGCTCGACTGGGATGCAGAAGGCGTGACGAGCAGAATGAACCAGCTGGGCTTTACAAGAGACATGCTCCCGCCCCTTGGCGCGTCGCCAGACGGTCTGCTCTTTCACCGGCCTGTCACAGAGCATCATGCCAACAATGCGGATTGTGTCGTGGATCCAGATACCGCCAAGTACGTGCCGTTTGACGTCTCTCTCGCCACCATGTCTCCGAGAGCGGAGATTCTCGAAATCAAAAACACCTGCCCATTCGTCGAGGCCAAGGGCCAAGGGAAGCATAAATTCCGGTGGTTGGCCATGCAGCCACAAGAGCAGATTGCCTCAATGAACATTCCCCAGCTGCAACTGCAAATGTTTGTGGCCAATGTGCAGTCCGCCCTGTACATCTCCGTCTCTGCGACACGAGGGCTCAACATATTCCGGGTTATGCGCGATGATGAATACGTGCGACTTTTGCTGCGGTTGGTGCACTTCACCTACAAGCATTGCGTTGTCGACGGGAATGAGCCGGTTGAGGATTTGCACGCAGGTCGTCCAGAGCTTCGGCAGCTTGTTCAGCGCACACTCGCAATATCTCGCAGCACTCCAATTCTTGAGCATGTTTCAGGGTCGCATGTGCAGCGCATTCCCGACAACTCGGCCACATTCTTGTCCTGAGTTCAATAAAACTGTATCGTTTGCGGGGAAAGTATTGGAATTGGCTTTCAATGGGGAAAAAAATCTACAGATCTCAGTGCTGTTTGCTATGCGGACGGCGGGATGCGCTGCGGGAGCACGTGGCAACGACCAGACCCAACACGGCGAAACAACCAACGCCAGCGTAGATGGCGACGGTGGATGTAGACGAGTGCTGGAGCGGTTCCTGAGCCAATTGCACACCAGTCCAGAAAAAACAAGTGAGGGTTGGGTGAGAGCAAGCTCAAAGTTGGTAGATGCGTTGACTTACAACCACATAAATGCGAATGTTCGTGACGATTGCATGTTGCAGTTTGTGCCTGTTGCCACCCATCGAAAATCAAGACACGCATTGTCATCAGCAGGTTGAACGACGAATGTGCACGTTGTTCATCGCAAAAGAAACGGCGTACAGCATGGATGGCGGTTCTGGGATGACAAACTGAGCGGCGCTCGCATAATGTTTCGTGGCAAAGTCAACGAGCGCGTCTGCTTCCATCTTGCCACGGTACCGGAACGCGCGACCAAATCGAAGCCTGTAGAGTCGCAGAAAGAGACCAGCATCCAGAATGAGTCCAAGTGGTCGCACATGGAATGGGTGCACCAACAAAATCACAATGTCGTTTGTCTTTGCGAGCGCCTGTACAAGAGCACTTGGTGACTGCCTGCGGTGTGTTGGAGCCGTGCGGCCGTCTCTGCAATGGTTTAAAATCCAAACGGCATCCATCAGCCTTTTTGCAATTGCAGACAACAACGAAACGCCTGTCAAAATCTCAGACAATTTGGCCAAACCTGGCATTTCGTCTGCAGCGACTGTCGCGACGTTGATGCGTTGCCAAAGGCGCGAAGCGACGTCCTGCCAGAGCGTCTGGATGTGCTTGGACTGGATGGCCTCGTTCGATGCACTAACGTCAGAGTCAAGAATGGCTCAGATTTGGTTAGAATCTCAGAATTTTCTGCAACCCCCCCCCCTCCTCCCACCGCCTCCCAAGTTCAGCAAACACTCGCTGTCTCAATAACCCAAAACAACACGACTCTGCGCACAGTAGAACGAGCCAGTCGCCGGTGGTTGCGCCGGACGTCGCCTGCGTGCGGTCCTCAAACGCGCCACTCGCGTCATCGGCGCCGCGGAAGGCAATCAGCGCATCGGCAACATGCTCGTGGTGGTGTTGTTGCTGTCCGTCACTATCATGCCCATGCTGCGGCTGTGCGATGGCGCCGCTTCCAGCGAGCAGCAGCAGACCAACAACAGCAGCAACCAGAAGGCTCAGAATGGCAGGATTCAATCTCATTTCTCAGAGCAAGAACACAAAAAGCAAAGAATAATAAGACTGATAACAAAAAAACGGGGATGATTTCTGAGTTGCATTCAAAATCGGACAACTTGAATTTGAGAATCACGATTTTGAACATATCATTGGCTCAAAGCATGAATGGTGATCACGCTTGGGCGCACAGTCTCACATTCAGCTGTTGGCTTCGATATTCCATATCAATGGAAATACGGAGCAAAGCAGCCAATGCAGCGGGTTTGAGATCAAAGTGAGCCAAAGCGAATCTTCAGTTTGACTGAGTTGCCATTACGATTTGCGTTGCATTCGGCATTCAGTCTGAATCTTGTCAGTTAAAGTTTGAGTTTCAGTCTGAGTTTGTCAGTCTTTTATTGTTGTAGTTTTGGTCGCCGGTCTGAGAAGCAGCGAAAATCCAAAGCCAACAACAATAATGTCGATGCACTTTGGCGATGAGAGGTAAACGCCAAGTCTGCACTCGACTGGATTGTAAATTGCAGCGTGTTTTGGCGTGAGTGACAGTGGAAGTGACAGTGAAAGTGACAGTGAAAGTGACAGTGGAAGTGGAAGTGGAAGATTTTGAGAGGTCAAAGGAAGCTGCATTGAATTCGAATTCATAGGAAGTTGTTGTTGTTTGCATTGGGATTTTGAAGCTGACTCTGCACTCTGAACCGACCTCACTCTGAAACTGACCCTCACTTTTGTCCCCATCAGTGTGGGACTGAGCTGGGACAGGCAGCAGCAGCACCAGCACCAGCAGCAGTCGCACCTCAGCAACCGCGCGTCCGCTGCGAGCGACCTCGAGCAAGAGCCAGAGGAGGTCGTCCTCGACTCGCGCAGGACATTCTACGTCCACGACACACTCGCATGCCCGCGCGAGGAGGACCCGAAGGAAGACCAGATCCTCTTCTTCCATCCAGCAGAGGTGAGTGAATGAGTGAAGTAGAGTCAAGTCTGAGAAAACAGCGAGATGTGTCTGAGACATTGTCAGAGACATGCGATTGTGCATGAAACATTGTCTGAGAGAAGTGCAATTGTCTGAGAATGGAGAACATTTGAGAAATGGCGAGGTTGTGTCAGAGCACTTTGTTCTCAGAATCGTCGTCAAAGCGTCCATGATCACCAGCCAAACCGTTAGCCATCACTCACATCTGACTCTTGGGACGCTGCTGCTTAGCTGCCAATGATGAAGCAGGTTGCGCTGATGGACGGAATCGAGGGATTTTCAACATTCGTCAAGGAGTTTGGCATGTCACCGCCCAAAGTCATCACGCTGGAGCACGAGAAGGCTGCATGCATGCACGTCGGGCAATACACTCTGGTGAGTGTTGCCAGCGAGATGGTTGGCATAATCAGACTCAACCTCCACTCCAGAAGCGCTGACTTGGTGCTGTTGTTGCTGATCTCGACAAAACTTAGAGCCTGTGCGCTCCCCCAGAAGAACCAGACACTTCGCTGATCAACCAGTTGCACAACTTGTACTCTGCATTCGTGTTTCTGCATGGATCGTTTGATCGCGTTTTAAAAGTGAGTCCGTCGTCGCCTGAATGTGACTGAACTTGAGTGCTCACACTCATCTGCTGTGCCCTCTATCTCGGGTGCTTGTATCTTGGGTTGCGTGAATGCCGCAGAAAGCGAAAAACGACAAGTTGAAATTCCGTGAAGACATTCGCAACATTTGGAAGCGCTTGACTCCGTTGATTCGACGAACGGACACCATGAGCTTTACCTTCCAGCCAGTTCGCTTTACCGAGCTGAAGCGGGTAAGCTCGTGATCCAGCACAAAGCTTTCGATCCAGTCCACAATCGTTCCACATCTGACCGTTTGCGTGCTTGCTGTTTCGTTTTTCGGTGTTCTGTTCAGAGCGCAAACCGACACTTTATCGCTGCTTCGCAAATTCTGCAAATGGTCAAGCATCGCTCTGGCGTGCTCTCTGGCTGCATCTTTTTCAACAAAACGTATGTCATGAGCGTAAACTCTCCATTGTGAGCACAACTAACTTTTTTTATTCTGTTTTTAATTAGAATTCTTTGCTCTCACTTGGACCCCGCCACCACCTTCTGGATTCACTTACTCTATGATATTATTGTAAGGCGATTCGTGCGATGAGGAACTGGGAATACTGCTTGCGATCCACTCACACTTTTGTTTGTTTTTCTTTTTTGCTTTCTGCCTCGCTCAAAGCATCCCTACGCATCGCTTGGTATGTTCTGCTCAAACCTGAACCCCCTTGAATCTGAAACCCCTTGTAATGCCCCGGCGTCTCATGTACCTTTGCTTCATTTGTTGGATGATAGGGGACGTCGAGTCCACACACCAGCTCATGCCCGTGTATCTCAAGAAAGACATCATGACTCAATTGCGAGTGGGAGCAAGAAAGACTCCTGAAGCCAAAGCAGGGTCGACACGCATCCCAGAGGTAACCAAGGAGCTGAAAAACGACTCCGCACATCTCCAAAACCCACTTTTTCTCACTTGCATCGCCCCTCGCTTCGTCTCAGGATTTCGCGCCCGACGAACATGGCGAGTACGTTGGCTTGTACCTCCAGGTGCTTCCTCGATCGACCTTGGTTGTGGTGATGGAGCTGGCCGCGATCTATGACCTGGATTTGATCCACGACATGACTGAATCGTTCGTTCCACGCCTCAAACGTCTCGAAGAGCAAGTCTCGAAGGCCACGGAAGCAGGAAATGTATGAGGAGAGCTTGTTGTGCGGAGAGTTCAAAAATTTCACGCGTACTAATGTTTCTGATGTTGGAAAAAAACAATCCCTGGTCGGAAGCAGATCGACGCCGTTGACTGGCAAAGCTTCATGGTGTTCGACCGAGTGGATCGTTCCATTCACTGTAGGTCATCTTTGAACGTGAATGAGGCGTGCTCGCAAAAGTCTTACATTGTTTGTTTCTTTCTCAGTGCCTCCTCCTGCTCCGACGGAAGAGCTTCAGCTGGCCTTCCAATCCGGCGTGAGCTTGTTGCACGAGTCTTTTGAGAACAACGACAAGATTACAGCTCAAATTCTCTGGTGAGTAGCAGCGGTTGCTTTGGTTTTGCTTTTTTTTTTTCGTTTGTTTGCCTTTATTTTGCCTTGTCTTCCTTGTCTAACTGAACGTGTCCGCAGCAATCCTGTTGGAGCCATGTACAGCAGCAAGTGCTTTGGTCGCGAAACCTATCTTCAAATCCCTGGCGGCGAGTTTACGATCGGACCAGAGTTGCTGGACATGTCTCGGTTGGAGCCAGCCGTGGCCCATCGCCTGTCCAGTGAGCATCAAATCTCTCTGCCTTAGACGAGCACTTTGTTGCTACTATGCAGTGGAGAGTGATTTGCACAGAAACCAAGCCTTCAATTCCTGCAATACATATTTTTTTTGTTTGCTTGTTTTCTGCATCAAGTGACCACCACCCCGTTGAATACCTTGAGGTGTGGACGAAACGTACTCGATGAATGTCAATATGAACGTCCAACAACTCGAAAGAATAGATCACAGAATTTTGGACAAAAAACAACCAGACACAAAAACCACACAATTCAACAACAACACCCAAAAAATTTCGACGTAGCTCTACAACAAAAGTCAGGCAACAAGTACAGAGGGGTTTTCGCGGTTTAGCGATACAGGTACTCGCTCTGGAGGTTTGCAGCGAGCTCGGGCTCCCACTTGTCGCCGTTGGAGAGCAGCTTGTCCTTGTTGGCGAGCAATTCTTCGTGGGTTTCGGTGGCATACTCAAAGTTGGGACCCTCGACGATGGCGTCGACGGGGCAGGCCTCCTGGCAGAAGCCGCAGTAGATGCACTTGGTCAAGTCAATGTCGTAGCGCGTCGTGCGTCTGCTGCCGTCCGCGCGCGGCTCGGCCTCGATCGTGATGGCCATGGCAGGGCAGATGGCTTCGCAGAGCTTGCAGGCAATGCAGCGCTCCTCGCCGGAAGGGTAGCGGCGCAGGGCGTGCTCGCCACGGAAGCGCGGTGAGAGCGGTCCCTTCTCAAAGGGGTAGTGGAGGGTCGCCTTTGGGCGGAAAAAGTAGTCGAGCGTCAGCCGCATGCCGCCAAACAGCTCCGAGAAGAATAGCGTGCTAGCATTGTTGTCGACAATCTGGCGCCACGACGTCGGCTCTGGGATCGGGGTGGCGTAGGTCGTGCTGACTTCCTCGCGGTCTAGAGCAAGAAGAAGGGGAGCAGGAGGACGATTAGAATGGAGCACGGTGGTGTTGGTTAGTACAAGTAGCCATTGGTGATGATTGATGATTGATGATTGGTGATTGGGGATGCGGGTGAATGGGATGAGCGTTGTATGGGTTTTGCATTGCGCTGTCTGTCTCTCTTTCCATTTCGTTTCCCTCTCTTCCCATTTCGCCTCCACTCGCGAATCGTGCGATTGTTGCATTGTGTTGCTCTCCACGTGTGAGTGGGTGATGATGATGATGGCGCTCTCTCTCTGTCGCTCTCTCTCTGTCGCTCTCTCTCTGTCTCTGTCTGTCTCAATGTCGCATGGCGTCTCTCGTTTCGTTTCGCTTTTCCATTCGTCGTTTTGCTCCTTTTGCGATTCTCGTTCATTCATTCATTCATTGCATGTTCTGATTGTAATCCTCATTTCAGATCCAACCAACCAAAAGCACAACCAAAGGACAAACCAAAGCTGGACAAACGGAAGCAAAGGGAACAAAAAAAAAAAAAAAAAACGACATCGCGCTGTTTTTTTTTTTTTTTTTTTTCCTTTGGATTTTGCATTGACCTTTTTTTTTTTTTTTTGTTTGTTTGCTTTGCAACGACGCAAAGTCAGACCACACACAGAACTGGTTTGGAAAATCCCAGCGTAGTAGCGATGCACATTATGCGTGACTGTGTTTGCTGGTGCGCTTGCATTGCGGCAAGAGCAGCTGCTGGCTGACGATCAACAACAAAAACTGTTCCAAAAAAAAAAAAAAAAAAAAAACGTTGCTCTTTGCTGCTTACGAGCGGATGGCCGGAGCGACCGCGCAGAGTACGAACGAATGGCAGCGACGGATGGTGCTGCTGCTGATGATGCCGACGTTGGTGCTGCGGCGGCCGGGCGGGCGGCGATCGCAACGGAAGCCCGCGCGAGCAAACGACTGGCAAGCATTGTGTTGAAAAAACGAAAAGAAAAAAAGACTGCGCAAAAAAAAAAGCAAGTTAAGCGATTGATAGGCCAAAGTGGGTGGTTTAGTAACAATGAATCAACCAACGCGAAACAATTGCCTAACTGAACAAACACTGCCAAACGAACGCTTCGATCGCCACCTAAAAGCAAGAAAATCCAGCCGCCAATTGCAGAAGCGCACTGGAAAAGTCATTGATTGCAATATTCTGACGCGCGGGGAGGGCCAAGCGGGGTCACACACGAGGGTATCAAGGCCGACAAATTGGCCAGCGTTTGAGGCTCGACTTTCGCGCAACCAACGCACGCTATCGTTCGCGACACAATTCGAAACGTTAGCAGGTGCTGTAATGCATCTATTAGTGGTAATGTTGGTGGCAAAACGCCGAGTGTCTACCAAATTCACCCAGATTGGGTCTTGCAAACCCCTTGTTTGGCTAGAATGACTTTGTCAATTTTTTCTTCCTTTTTTTTTTTTTTTTTTTTTTTTTTTTTTTTTTTTGGATTTGCACACAAACGTTCACCAACGATTGCTAGATCAGAATCGTGTGAGACAAACATTGGACGACAAGTTTGCCAGATGTACAAAGCGAATGACTGGAGTTTGGGCAAGGACGGACACTAATCGGATAATAGATGTGCACGATTACGACGAAAACAACAAACACACAACACACACACACACACACACACAACACACACACACACACACACACACACACACACACACACACACACACATACACACAATCAAAAGATCCGCCCGATTCAACAGCCGGGCCAAATACCGCAAATCAACAAGAACAGCCCTGGACACACAACACGCTATTGAGCGATGGGGAAGACGCTCACGACCTCGGCAAGCGGAGGGCCACGTCGTTGTGGTGCTGGGCTGGCGTTCGGCGAGGCGAATGCCGCGCAAGAAGCAACGCCGACAGCACTCAGCAGCATGCGCTGACTGTCATGTCCGATAAGGCGACCGTCGGCCAGATCGATTGTCTGGAGCAAGGGGCTCTCGCTCGTTCCTTGCTCTGCCAATCGGCGCACCTGCGTGCCCTTTGAGGTGAACACAAAGAGCAGAGACTTGACCATGGCTGTGGAGGTGAAGCGCAACAAGAGTGAGGAAACAAAAACTCGTCTTGCCACTGTCAAACGATTCGACCAGCACTTACCAACTTGCATGGCCGACGCATTCCACCGGAGCTCCCCTTGTCGAGAGCGGCGTCCATTGTGCGAGACAAACACCGCAACATCTACGACGCCGCAAAGAAAAAAACAACAACAGACCCCCACAATTCAATCAGAAAAACAACCTGCTTCCACAGCTCGCCGAAATCAACAAAAAGATAACTCACCGTTGTAGCACAGCAGGTACTCCTTGGGCAGCACAATGATACCAACAGTGGTGACAGCAGCGTGCTTGGCACCAGTTATCAAGTAGGCGAGAGTGCTGTCCGTAGCGTCCAGCAGGCCTATTCAACGCGCAGAGAAAGGAGATATCAAGTGAGCAAGCAATCGCTCGTGCTGGGCCCGAAGAGCGCCGCCACCACCACCACCAAAATACTCACTCGTCACGGTCTTGAGGTCTTGAACGCTGACGGCTTGGAAGGCGTCGGTTCCGAACAGGAAGCGGCCCTCATGGAAGGTGACGAATGTGCATGGCGTGCTGGTATCCATTTCCTAAGAAAAAATGCGACAAGCAAGCAAAACAAGTTGCAGATGAGTTGCGAAATTTCGATCAATTGCGAGGGCAAAAAATCGCATGCGTGAGGACGTACAAAGATGGTCTTCTCAAACATGGACTTGCTGTCATTGTACTTGTAAATGATAATGTCCTTCTGCATGGCGGCAAACAGGTAGTGCGAGCCCTGGTGGCTTCCCAAGGCGAACATGTAGCAGGTCGCAGAGTGGTCCACACGCTTGGCCATCAATGCTCCATAGTCCATCATTTCGAGCGGCAAAACGTGCAAATAGTTGTCTGTTCCAAAGGGAGGAGAGAAAAAAAAATGGCACCGAGAATGAGTAACAGTAACACGCAAATCACCAAGACCTCGCTCCATCCAAAATCACTCTTAGCAGCAGACGCTTACCAGCAATGAAAACCATCGCGCGAATCTCGGGCAAGACCTCAACTTGAAGCAAGGTGGGCTTGTCCACAATCAGCTTGCCTTCCGTCGGAGGTTTGGCACCGGCGTGGCGGGTGACGTCGTCAAAGGCGAATAATCCGTCCTCAGTGCCGACAAGCATCCGGCCCTCGTGCGTGGTTGCGCACAGTGCCGAGAATCCAACGTCGACCGGCTGGTACAGGACGCGATGAGCAACCACCTTGGGCGTTTCGCTGGACGCCGACCAGAGCTCGGCCAGACCCTCGAACGCGGTAATCCACTCGTCCTTGAGCTCGATGGAGGGCGCAAGCATGAGCAACGAGTCCTTTTGGTTGGAGATTTTGAAAATGAAGGGCAAGTCGCTACCAGCCGCATGGATGAGCTCGCTGGCGTTAATCTCCGATTGGACGGTAAATCCAGGCACGCGCGCGTCAATGGTCTGGATCGGGTCGTCGGAGGGATCGACGCTCAAATCCGAGTTGCTGGCGGACGTGGGCGCCTCCTTGCCAGAAGGATCCTTGTCAAAGACCATGATCTCGCCCTCGTTGATGAGGATAAACTTTTTAATCCAGCCGGCACGCACACCGCGCGGCTTGGGAACCTTGAGCCAGCCAGAAACGCGGCTTCCAGAGCTGGAATGGCTCGCGTCACCGGGGGACGGAGGGGCATTGGACGCGGCGCCACCGCCGCTGCCGCCAGTTCGACGCTCGGGAGTGCCCGGTGCAGCCGCAGCAGCCTCGCGCGATTGCATGAGAGCCGTGGCCGCGGCAATCTGGCGCAGCGCGTCTTCGGAAATGCCGCACGTTGCCGGGGCAGATTCGCCGCACTTGGCGTGGAAGATGGCGTGACAATCGCTGCACTTGACAGAGCCGCGCGTCAGACCAACGTTCTTGTTGCACACGGTGCACTTGCACGACTTGACGTTAAAGTGCGGCTGGAAGCGATGGGGAATGCTGTGGCCGACACGCTTGGTGGGGTCGTGCACCTCCTTGGCAGGTGACAAGCCCGAGGCCATGGATTGGCGACGCATGGTCTTGTCGAGCATAGGGGAGCCACCGGCAGCAGCAGCAGCAGCAGCAGTGGACGCACCGCCAGAGTGCACGAGGGTGGACGACGACGACGAGGTCGACATCTTGCGACCGGCAGCAAGAAGGGCGGCGTCCGCATGGCTGTCCATGTTATGGGTGGTGTGCGCCGGGGACGAAGGGCCAGAGCTGTTGGAGCCGGCATGCAGGAGGTTGTTGCTGCTCAAGCTGAGCGGATTGATCGGACGGTCGCCTTCAGCGACCGAGTCTGGCCTGCGCTTGTTGAGTTCGTTCTTTGCGTCACGATTGATGTTAACGAGATGCGTCACCTTGTCCTTGAAGCTGGACTTGAGCTTGGAGTCCTTGTCCTTGTTCTTGCCAACATCGGACGTGGACGGAGACATGTTGCTCTTGGTGGGCTTGGCCACCTTGTCCGACACGAGATCGGCGTACTGCTGCTTCCACTTGACAGCTTCTTGTTGGACCACTTCGAGCTCGGCCTCCAAGCCTTGCGCGCGCGCGGTGAGTTCGGCAAGCTGCTCCTTGAGCTCGTTCTTGGCGGTACGCTCGAGCTTGACCTCGTATTGCAGCTGGCGCAGTTCCTGCGCTTGCTGCTTGGCTTCCTTCTTGTTGCGCCAGTCGTTGGCGTTGGGCGAGCCGGGGATGGCGTTCAGATTGGTCATGGAGCCGGACTGCGTCGCTTGCAGCTCCATCGACGACTGGCCCTTGCGGAGCTTGGCGTTGCCACCGCGGTCCACGTTGGCAATGTACTGCTGCAGCGAGTCAATGACGGCGGCCTGCTGCTGCTTGGCGTCGAGCAGCTTTTGGATTTCGGCTGCAGAGCCGTGCACGCGAAGCTGTTCCATCTCGGCAACAATCGATCCGCGCTCTTCTTCGAGCGCAGCCACGCGCTTGGAGAGAAGCGCGCTGCGTGCAACTTCGTCCTTGGTCTCGCCGCGCATCTTGACCATTTCGACACGGTCGTTCTCGAGGGCAACACGCAGGTCGTCCAGCTCCTTGGAAATGGTAATCTTCTGCTTGGTGAGCTCGTCGAGCTGCGTCTGGACGCTCTTGAGTTCGAGGTCGACCACGGCCTTGGACTTTTGCAGCTCCAGCTTGGCCTTGTGCGACTTTTTGGCGCGCTCCTTCTCGCCCTCCAGCTGGGTGTGGAGATCGGCAATGAGCAGCTCGTTCTTGGCCACGAGCGCCGTCAACTCCTCCACCTTGCGTGAAATGGCAGCCTGGTCGGCCTTGGCCTCTTCGTCCGTCTTGCCAACCTCGTTGAGAGAGCTGGTTGAAGCGTTGCGATTGTGGTTGGATGAGGACGACGATGGTGACGACGGGGCGGCGGGCGAGGCAGCTGAAGCGGGCGACAGCGTGTTGGTGCTGCCGAGCGAGCCAGAGGCGGCAGGTGCGGCAGAGCCGCCGCTTGCGGCCGCAGCCTCCTTTTCGCGCTTCTTTTCGTCAATCTTGCCCTGGATCTTGGCCAAGCGGGCCTCGGCCTTCTCCTTGGACTTGATCTCGGTCTCAAGCTTGGCCTGCAAGTCTTTGAGCTCTTGGGCATGGCGCTGTCGCAGCGTCTCGAGATTGCCCGACTCGCTTTCTGCAGCCTTGCGCTCCTTTTGGAGCGACTTGAGCTCGAGGTCTTGGACGGCCTTGTTCTTTTCGAGTTCCACCACTGTCTGCTCCAGCTTGGTTTTGGCCTTGGTGGTCTCGTCCAGCTGTGTTTTGGAGCTGTCGAGCTGCCCTTGCAGACGCGCCGCAGAGACGTTCATGCTGTTGATTTCGAGCTCCTTTTCGGTGAGCATTTCTTCCATGGTCTGTAGCCGATCCTTGAGCGACTCGTTGTCGGACGAGAGTTTGGCGATGAGTTCCTTGTCGGCCGCAGAAGTCGCCGAGGACGCTGCAGCAGCGGCAACGGCGGCCTTCTCTGCCAGGGAGATGGAGGACTCCGACATGCTGATGCGCGACGAGGCGTTGGCGCTGGATTGGCGGTTGTGGACCTTGTCCATCGAGTACACACCTTCCTCGGACTGCAGCAGAGGGCGAGTGTAGGTAAAGCCAATGAAGGGGAATTGCCGCCCAGAGATGCCGTCGCTGGAGGAGCCACCGCGGAAATTGCCAGAGCCGGGACCGCCAGCGCCGGGAATGATGCGCTCGGCGCCGTCGTCCTCAAAGTCCTCAAAGGCGCTAGTGTCTTCCATGCTCTTGATGATTGGGACGTACGGCGGCGTGCTGGTGTGCAAGTTGTCAAAGTCAACGCTCTTAAAGAAGGGATGCGCCTTGATGTCGGCAAACTTGAGGCGAATCTTGCGATCAACCAGCAGCTTTTTGATGAGCGACTGGGCGTCGTTCGACATTTCGACGTCATCCGGGAAGGTGAGCTCGTCTTTGCAGTTCATAATCTTGCCATAGACGGCAACGAGCGACTCGGCGTAGAAGGGCGTCGAGCCCGTCAACAGCTCGTACATGACAACACCGAGCGACCACCAGTCGCACTCGCGGCCGTACTTGCCGTTGCCGTCCGTCGAGGTCAGCACTTCGGGGGCAATGTAATCTGGCGTGCCGACAGCCATGCGCGAGGTGACCATTTCGTTCTTGTCCAGGCGCGCGCTCGAGCCGAAATCGACGAGCTTGATGTGACCCAGACGATCAATCAGCACGTTGTCCGGCTTGATGTCGCGGTGGACGCAGCCGATCGCGTGCAAGGACTCGATGGCGAGCACCAGCTCCGAGAGGTAAAACCGCGCCATGGGCTCCTCAAACACGTCGTCGTGCTTGGCAAGCAGCGTCAACAGGTCACCGCCCTGGTGGTACTCCATCACCAAGTACAGGTTTTCTGCGTCCTGGAAGGCGTACTTGAGCATGGTAATCCAGCGGCTGTCTGCCGCCGCCATGATATCACGCTCCTCGCTGAAAAAGGCCGTCTCTTCCTGCGCGAGCATTTCGTCCTTTTTCAGGGTCTTCATTGCGAGAACTTCCTTTGTGAGCTTTGACTTGACGACTTGGACCTGCAGGTGAGAAGGGGCGCAAAGAAAAATGCAATGTGAGTGATTGAACGGAGCGAAGAGAAACGAAACGAAACGAAGCGAAACGAAACGAAACGAAACGAGGTCGAACAACTTACATCGCCGAAAGCGCCCTTGCCAATCTTCTTGATGACCTCAAAGTCGGACTTTGACAGGCGGAGTGTGCGCAGGGAAGCGACCGTTTCGCGATCTGAAAAAGGAGAAGAGGAGATGCAAAAGCGACAAAAGAAAAAGGGGGAAAAAACGAAAAAAGCGACAAGCGGCAAAGCACAAGGACGTGAGCAACGAAGGTGGAGGGGGGGGGGGCGGCTGGTCTTTGTGCAGTAAGACCACGTGTGAGTGCATGCCAGTGGACGAGTGAGTTGTGTGTGAGTGAGTGGAAGGGAAAGGGCTTCATGAAGGGATGAAGGGGGGTTTGGTTGATTCATTCAGCAATGCTGGTCTGGTCACCCGCTGCTGCGTGATCGGTCGGCCGTCCGCTCAACCACGTCCGAACGCCAACGTCCGTTCCATCACGCTCACACTCTTTCATTCACTCTCTCACACTCGCGACTGCGTCTTCAACAGACACATGCGTGAAAAGCAAAGGAAAACGAAAGAAAGAATCGATTTTTTTTTTTTTTTTTTTTTTTTTTTTTTTTTTTTGCTTTTTGAGATTCGCACCACAAATTGTAACAAAAAGGCACATGCGCCATTTGGAACGGTGGGGTGGCAAAGCGCACACACACACCACACGAGTGCTCCCCGTCGCAAGGGGACTGGCACTGCAATGGCGCGAGTGTCATGCACCGTGAGTCGCAGGGGTGGCGGGGAACAGATCGAGAACAACAGCGGTCGATCTGCGGATCTAAACATGGATCTGAATTGAAAGAAATCAAAAAAAAAAAAAAAAAAAAAAAAGGAGCAAAATGCTGCTGTCACATTGGGAGTGCCTCACAGAGAGAACCAGTGAGCGCGCCAGGCCACGGACAGACGACACATCACAGAGCGGGGCGAGATGGGGGTGTGGCTGATACACAAACCAAGCACCGTCCCGCAAAAAACCCACACACGCGTGCATTGACGAAAAAAAGTGACGGAAGCCCAAAAAAAAAAAAAAAAAAAAAAGCAAAAAAAAAGCAACGAAAAAAAAAAAATGAAACAAAATGCTTCGTTTTTGTTGAGGCATTTTTGATGGCCAAGCAACAGAGACGAGAGGGCGGAAGGGGAGGAGGGTGCGAGGCCAAGGGAAATGTGGCGATGGAGTGTGGGCAGAGTGAGGAGTGATCGCGGTGGCGAGAAGAGGAAGGGGAAAAAAAGGGGGAAAACGAATCGCTCGCGGAAAAAAAAAAGAAAAAAAAAAAAAAAAAAGAAAGGTCTTTTTGACAGGAAATCGCATTGAAAATGGCCTCTGCAATTGTCGCTTCAATGAAGAGGGGGGTCGGGGTCACGGAGAGACGCGAGAGACACCGGCGCGTCTCAACACATAGACTGCCCAGAGACTCACAGGACTCAATGAAGGCGGCAATGTACTTGTCGCGTCGGAGCTTGGCCGTGTTGCACTCGTCAAAGAGCAGGATGAGCGCATCCACAAGCGCGTCGATCGCAGTCGTGTGCTTGTGGATGGTCACGTTGTCCACCAAGAACAGCTTCCGCAGCTCGGCGATGCGCTCGTGCACCGTCTTTGTGCGGCCGCTCATGGCAGAAGGAAGACGAAAAAAAAAAAAAAAAAAGATGAAAAAAAAAAAAAAAGAAATAAAAAAAAAAAAGACAAATGCAGAAAAAGAGGAATGAATGCAGCGACTGAGAAGCAAAAGAGCAAAGTCGGCGATACTGAGATTGGAAGACTTTCAGGGAACACAAAAAAGAGGAAGAGGACGAGCGGGAAAAGTGAAAGAGAGAAACGGAAGCGGCGAAAAAAGTGCGCAAGTTTAGGCTCAATTGGAAAAGGAATGCAATGCGACCGCTGCCTGCTAGACTGTTCTGAGCACGCTGAGCAAACGAGCAGAGTGGCTTTTAAAAAAAAAGCGCAGGGGAGAAAGAGAAGCGCACACGGCCAATACAAAACAACATCTGAGACTTCTGTGCTGCAAGCAAGCGACAACACTCTCACCTGAGATGCCGAATATCTCGCCAACTAAAGAAGCACTAAATCAAGAAGCTTCAGTTTCAGTTTCAGTCTCAGTCTACTTTGTGTTGCATTCAATCTCACACAACATGGTGCGATTTATTTCTGCTGCGTTTGCATTGGGAACTGCCTTTGCTTCTTCTCCCCCTCCTGTTCAAACCCCGCGCTCACATTGTACTCACCTTTGTGTCCCTGAATCATACTCACTGCAGTCTGGCAAGAAGAAGGGCCTGTCCGTCGAGGAGAAGCGCAAGCGGCTCTTGCAAATGTTCTACGAGAAGGTACTCTTTCTGTTGTCTCGCTCCACAAGCACCAGGCGCTCCGACCATGAACACACACACCCTCAAACGGACCTCCCACCAGTGCTCGTCGTAGTGGCAGGCGGACGCGCTGGCTGGCTGCGTCGCTCGACAAAACAGCACCAAAACTTGCACGAAACTTGGCGTTTTGGTTTCAGAATTTTTTCCCGCCAAAAAAAACTCGAAACCCAGAAACTCATCGGTTTTTTGTTTTTCAATTGCGAATGCCTCACTTGCTCGTGTGCGATTGAATGGGTGTGCAGCAAGACTTTTTCAATCTCAAGGAAGTGGAAAAGTACGGCTCCAAGGAGAAGGGCATTAGTAAGAAAGAGACAAGCGCTTTGGTTTTGGTTTCCATCGCGATCAACCACTCACCCTCTCTCTCTCTCTCTCTCTCTCAGCTGCAATGACCGTCAAGGACATTCTACAGTCGCTGGTGGACGACTCGATGGTCGACACGGAGCGCATTGGCACCTCCAACTATTACTGGGCCTTCCCGAGCAAAGGTTTGCAGATTGTAAGCACTTTGTCAAGAAAACCTCCCCCCCTCAGTTCACACAGCTGATAGCTGATGAAGCTGCAAGCATGCCAGTTGCTGGTGGAACGTTTGACGCTCACCAATCTTGCTGGCCACTTTTAGCGCAAACGCAAAATTGGCGAAATGTCCGAAGAGCTCGCCCGCACCAAGGCTCGCCGCGAGGAGTTGACCGCTGCCGCAGCAGATGCTGGCACTGGCCGTGAAGAGACAGTGCGTGGTGTATTGGGCTGATTGGAAGTTGCTGTTGTTTTGTGAAAAAGTTTCTCACAAAATCTGCTTTTTTGTTTTTTTGCAGGAGGAGCGAGCCACAGCCATCGCAGAGATGGAAGAGCAAGAGTCCATTCTTGCCAAAGTCGAGGCAGAGCTTGCGCAATATCGCGCGTCGGATCCCGAGGTGATTGCCGCCAGAATTCAAGAGACGCAAGTCTGCCTGGATGCGGCCAATCGGTGGACTGGTAAAATGTGCTGGCGATTGCAATCGAAAGTCTTCTTGTTGCTTTGACACTCACGGCCACGACTGCCGTTTGGTTCCATCCTTTGATTTGGTTTGACTTTTCCTCGCAGACAACATGTTTTCGATGAAATCCGTCTTTCGAAATAACTTCAACTTGGAGGAAGCCGACTTCAACAAGGCGTTTGGTGTCCCTGCTGAACTCGATTACGTTGAGCTCAAGTAGTTGCAAATGAAGAAACAATGGAGGAGAGGCGAAAAAACCGAAAAACCGAAAACAAAAAAAACGGCACATGCAAATTTGTTCATAACACTTGTTGTTGTTCTTGTCAAAATACAATGAACGCATCACAACTACGCCCAGAGTCTTTCATTGCAATGCCATGACGCGACGGGTCTTCTCGCGACGGTTTTTGTTGTTGTGCTTCTTGTCCTTGATGTCGTCGCTCGAGCGAGGTGACAGGGACGCGGCGCCCTCAGGGTTGAGGTAGGGGATTTGCGACACTCGGGCCACTCCCGTGCCGCCGTACGTGCCACGCGCGACGAGATTGACATTTCTAGATTGCTGGAAAAAGTCTTCGTCGACTTGATTGAGGTAGCGCGGGTTGTGCTGCAACGAGAGTGACAAAAATGCAGAACAGAGGCAAACACAAAACAACAAAAACAAACTCAGTGCAAAAGAACGTTGAAATCAGCACAAATGCACGTGGAACAAGGATGTACTCACGCGAGGGCCAGCAACCGGGGCAGAGGCAATGTCTTTGGTGGACTTGATGGCCGAGCCGGTGACAGGGCCTTCCAAGTAAATGTCCTTGGACTGGACCCGGTTGAACTCTGCCGCATCAACGTTCGGAGGAGGGTGGCAGAAGAGGAGCTTGCCCTATTTGTCGGTTCGAAAGCAAGAGCAATGGAAGGTGACGAAACAAGTGAGCGTCAGTTTGCACAGTTGAACAAAAACCAGACATAACACAAAATCTGACAAAACACAAACCTTCACGTAGTCCTTGAGAATGTAGCGTGCAGAGCGAGGTTCATCGGGGCTGCCGTGAGCGGTCATGAAACCACGGTTGACTACGTATTGTGATCGGAGAGGGAGAGGAGAGTGAGCAGTGAGAAACAAAAAACACTCCAAAACAACTCCAACCCAAAACTCCAAAAACAACAAAAACTCACAGCCGTAGCAATGCAAAAGCTCATGGGCGGTCGGAGGACGGTCGGGATCTTGGCCTTCGGCAGGACGGATGAGCTTGATGCCGTAGGTGGACTCAATCACGCGGCGGGGAATGCGCTGGGCGACAAGCGCGGTCGGGCCAACGTACTCGCGCAGCTGATCGATGGGAAGCATGCCGTTGCACACCATCTCGGCCTTTGTGGAGAGGAAGGTTGGGAAGACCAGACCGGGGCAGTCGCACAGAATCAAATCCTCTGAGACGTTGATGGTCTGGAAGTGCTTGGTTTTGCCGGGTGTGGCGGAGACGGCCACCTTCTTCTCGCCCATCAGTGCGTTGATCGAGGACGACTTGCCGACGTTGGGGTAGCCCACAAGGCCAATGTTGAGCACCTCGTCTTCGGCAACGAGACGGCTGCCGAGGGCGCGGAAGAGCAGGAAGAGCTCGGGGCCGTTGAAAACGTGGATGGAGGAAAGATGCTTGCGCACTGCGCGGAGGGCAGCCGGGGTGATGGTGGGCTCCTCAAGAACACTCGAGGCAGCCGATGCTGGTGCCGCTGGCTTTGGTGCAGGCGCGTGGTTTGGCGCCGCCTTGGTTGGTCCGCTCAGCACGACGCCTGTTCGTGGATCCACGCGCGTCGGGAATTTGGACGGAGCTGCACCCTTGATTCGGACGTGAGCAGGTGCCGGTGCAGGCGCTGGTTCTGGTTCTGGCACTGGTTCTGGTTCGGGCTCTGGTTCTTCTTCCTCCTCTTCCTCGTCCTCTTCTTCGCCTTCGTCCGTTTCCCATTCTTCGTCTTCGCCGGCTTCGTCGGCATCGTCTCCTTCTTCCTCCTCTGATTCCCACTGGTCGTTATCATCGTCGTCGTCTGCCTCGGCAGCGGGTGCTGGAGCCGATGATGCTGCAGGGGCAGCGGCCGCAGCCGCAGCCGAGGACGATGACGATGCGCGCCCAGACACATTCAAGTTGCTTTCCATCGTGGCAACCGTCTCTTCGAGCTTGCGCAACTCGGCAATCTCGGCCAAACGCGACAACTCGGCGTTGGCAGACCAGAAGGCGAACGTAATCTTGTTTGCCTCAAAGTACTGCTTCCACTGGGTGCGCTGCTCCTCTGTCAGCATGTCGGCCTTGTTCACGAGCAGAATGTTCTTCTTGGTGCGATCAATCTCCTTGACGTACTTTTCAAGGTCGCTCGAGCGGAAGAGGAGTGGGTTGCGCGCGTCGACAATCTGAACGACAATGTGGCAGCGCTCAATGACGCGCCACAGCTGACGCCAGACCTCCAAGTTGCGCTCGAACGGCGTCATGATGACGCCCTTCTCGTCTTGCAGCCAAGCGAGCTGGCGGCGCCATTCGAGGAAGGATTCACTGGGAAGGAGCAAAACGAAGAGAGAGAAGTCAGTCTGCAAAATGAGGACACAACTATAGGGCCTCGACAGGTTCATCCGCATCATCAATATGCCTCACCGCTCCTTTGTCTGTAGCTCTTCGGCAGATGTATCTTCATCCCAAGCAGGTCGTCGAGGCACGGTGAGCATTTCGCTGTGCTCCTTGTGAACCATCTCCTGGATCTTTTGCTCCTCTCGCGACAGCAGGGCGCTGTGCTGGGGTTCCGTGACGACCGAGACGTTGAGTTTTTCTAACAGGGGATGAGGGTGAGGGTTAGGGTTAGAGGTTGTTGGTTGTTTGCACCAAAATGAAACATCGTGGCTTCGGGGATGGCTTGCCTGCAGTGAACTCTTGGCCAGCCAGCTCGGCGGTGGTGAGGAACTCGTCGAGATCGCCTTGCTCGGTGACTGACTGGAGGCGTGCCCAGTTGTAGCCGTCCTCGAGTTCAGCCGAGTGAATCTGAGCAAAACGGTGCGAGCAAGATGATGAGAGTGAGTTCTCGGGCATTGCATTGTGTTGAACATGGCGAGGAGAGCACCCAATGACTCGATTGCTGTGACTCGTTGCTCAATTTGATAGGACGGTCCATCATTGCACAGACTGACTGCGTTGACAGACTGAGGCTGGCCCATGTGGCTGAATGCTGGGCTCGGCGTTTGCCTTTTCGGACGACGCTTGTGCGACTCATCAGCCCCCCGCGCTCTGTCGCACATGCATGAAGCCGAGTCGTTCACGCATGGACTCTGCCAGCGCTCATTGACGAGATAGAGAGAGAGATAGAGAGAGATAGAGAGGGAGATAGAGGGAGAGTGGGGGTTTTGTAATCGCCGTGGTTCTGGAGTGGAGCTGCGCTTCTACTTAAAAGCACAAAAGCCAGACCACTGCAGTTGCACGATACATAGTCAACGTGCGACGCAAGTGAAGAGCCAGACGTAGGCAGAAGCGCGGCACAGAGGCACAGAAGGGGAGAGAGAGAGAAGAGAGAGAGGACCTCAGCAACAGGGAAAAAGAAAAAAAACCATGCGGACTCTCTCTCTCACAATGACTCTCGCTACGACGACGACGACGACGATAGCGAGTCGCTTGGGACGACACTACAGAACGGAAAAAGCAGTCAGTCCCCAGTCCCATGAAACTCACAAAGCCAGACTCGTCGCGGGACACGGCGCCCTTCTTGAAGCGCGCGCGAATGATGGCTGCACCGAGTCGGTCGCTGCCCTTCGACGGTCGGCCTTTCGTCATTGGTGATTTTTGGCTGAGAATGAAGGAATGGGCCACGAGAGAGTGAGTGGAAATTAAAAACCAGAATACTATAGAAAAATAGAACACTGCGAGAGTGGGACGAACAAAGAGAGATGATGAAGGGGTGAATGCATTGACAGTCATTCGACCGGGTGCCCTTCTCCGCCCTCCTCTGCCCCTCCACCAATTGCGTACTTTTCGTTGAAGGATGGGCATACATTTGAGCTCAACCGATCGACTTGCAAAATGACAGCCAATTCCGGTCATCAACAGCGCTCCATTGCGAATCTTCGCAAGCCCTCTCTCTCTCCGTCCTGCAAAACAGAGCAGAGTCGGTGCGTAGAGTATCGAGCAGCAGCGCCGAGCAGCAGCATCGAGCAGCAGCATCGAGCAACAATGAGCTGACATTCATTGTCACATTGTTATTGTTCTGACTGTTGTTGATTGTCAAAATCCCAAATTGAATTTGGCGACAGTCTGTTTCCTTCTGCTTTGTCCCCGTTTCGATGCCGCGAATTCGACTGCAATCGACGATCGCGTTCATCGCTGTGTGCTGCGCTGCGTTGGCAACATCCGCCAGCAGCCGCGAGCACCCCGTCTGCCAGGCGCACCCCTCACGCAGCGGATATGCGGCGGCGCCAAACCAGCACCCAGCTTGTCCCAGTAAAGCAAAAAAACCAAAACCCCAAAAAGCACGCACTTGCGCCTAAATTTGAATGTTGATCTCGGTCATCACATCTACGTCTGTGGATGGATGCATAGATGGATGGATGGATGGCTCATGCTGCGTTGCGTATGTGTGTGGATTGCGTATTTGCGCTTTTTGCCCCATGAATCAGAGTACAGGGCGAATGCTGAGCCGTTTGGCGACGCGCGCCCGCTGCCTGCCGAGCGCACATTCGTCTCGCCCGCCGTCGACAACGCCATCCAGGCCATCACCGCCAAGATGAAGGACCAAAGCCTGGCTGCCGTCTTTGCAAACACGCTGCCAAACACACTCGACACGACCGTGTCGCTGTTCCAGCAATATGTCAGTTTTGGGGGGGGGGATTTTCACAAATCAAGACGTGTTTGTGTCAAACCTGTCAAAATTTTGTGTATTTTGCCAACCAACAAACGCATCGCCTTCGGTGCCGTGCGACCTTTGTCAAATAGCCGACCCTGTCGTCGTACATCATCACAGGAGACATCAACGCCATGTGGCTGCGCGATTCGACGTACCAGGTGTTGCCCTACCTGCGCTACATGCAGCAGGACGCAAACCTGCGCAACCTGATCCACGGCGCAATCAACCGCCAGGTGCAGTACGTCCTGTCGGACGTGTATGGCAGCTCGTTCAACAGGGATGCGCTCAGCGGCACGGGCGTTTTCGACGGCGACTCGACCTGGAGGTCGTCGTTCCTCGGCACCAGCTACAACGCCATGCTCAACAAGATTGTTTACGAGCGCAAGTACTCTGTCGATTCCCTGAGCGCCGTGATGAAACTCTCGTACGGCTTTTACAATGCCACGCGCTCGCTGGATGCCTTTGACTCGAACTGGGTTGCCGCCATGGCCTTGATCATTGACACGCTGCAAATTCAAACCCAAGACACGGCTCAGGAAGACAAGGTGAGTGGGCTGGAGCTGTGGACTCCACAGCTGTTGTGGTACTCACTTAAAGTGCTCGCTTGATACGATCGCATGCGCGGCGCGTGCAAACCCCCCCCCAAACAAATAATAGAATGGCGGTCCCCAGTACACCTTCCAGCGCCTCACCGTCGAGCCAAAGGACTCGCTCATTCATGGACGCGGCTACCCGTGCAGCTATACTGGCATGATCAAGGGCTTCTTCCGTGCCTCGGATGACGCGCAAATCTACTGCTTCTCCATCCCCGCCAACGCCATGGCCGTCGTCGAGCTCCGTCACACGGCTGAGATTTTGACGGCGCTCGGCCAATCCGCCCTTGCCACCCAGGCTTTGACGCTCGCCGCCAGCGTCGACCAAGCAATCTACGCACATGGTGTGGTGCAGCATCGGACCGCCGGGCAGATTTTTGCCTACGAGGTTGACGGATTTGGCAACTACATTTTCATGGACGACGCTCCCGCCCCGTCCCTCCTTTCGCTGCCGTACGTCGGCTACGTGAATGCCTCCGATCCGCTGTATCTGCGCACTCGCGCCGCCGTTCTAAGCAACGCCAATCCGTGGTACTTTTCGGGCGCTGCGACGGACGGCGTTGGTGGCGCTCACTACGGCACTGGCTGGATCTGGCAGCTGTCGATTGCCGTGCGCGCATTCACGTCGACCTCTGACACTGAAATCCTCAAGTGTCTGAAAGATCTTGTCGATTCGACTGTCGGCACCGGCTTTATGCACGAGGCGTTCTACCTGGATGACTATGGCTAGTAAGAAGCGACTCAGCGATATCAAGTGTTTTGGAACTGGGTTTTGAGTCTTGAAGCGCGTTGACTGACGGAGAGTGCTTGGTTTTGCTTTTGTCTGTCTGCTTGCTTGTTTGCGTGTTTTGTTTTTGCGTGTGACAGCTATTCCCGACCCTGGGTTGCATGGGGCAATTCGTTCTTTGGCGATTTGATTCTCTACCTGAGCGACACTCGTCCGTACCTGATTTACACGTAGTGCTCCACCAGGTCTTCCTCGGTTTGGGCACTTTTGCTCTTTATTGTCGCTTTTTGTGTTGTCGCACTGTGATGAGACTGCGATTGATGTACTGTTTGAGAGCCTTGTGTTCCAAGTACAGTTTGTACAGCATTTCTGTTTCAATGGACCCTGCCTTGGTTTGTAGCCGTGTCGGTTGATTTTCCTGTTTGATCTATCGAGTCCAATGTAGTAAAATGCTGAGCCATATCGAGTGAGTGCGCTGAGCAAAGTGTCTCAGTAGTCTCAGTCTTGATTTGTTTGTTGTGTAAGCACTTTCCATCAAGCCATGACTCTGCCTCAGCTCTCCTTCCCGTTGAAACCTCTGCAGTGCTTGGCTGCGTACAAGTGAGACCGAGTTTGGTGGATGGGTAGGGATATGGAGTGGAGTGGGGTTTGACAGTCGCATTGAATCGAGACTGTGAAACCGTATTGCGCCGCTCGCTCGCTTGTCCTGCGCCGCAGAGTGCAAGCTGAGGGGACTGCGTGGCATTGGGAGTTGTTGTTGGAGTTTGGAGGTTGGAGGTTGGAGTATTGGGCCCCCTTCCCCTCCAATGCAACTGCAAAGGGCAGAGAGCAGGCCAATGCTTCTTCCACGTGTGGTCTCTCTCGCTCTCTCTCTAACCCCTCGCCGTGGTCCAGACTCACCCAATCCTTCCCCACCCACCCGCGTCTCCGCTTTGTACATCCCTACAAAGTGCAAGTGCGCACTGCGGGGGAGAAGGAGCAGCTCGGGCAAGTACTTTTGGGACTGTGCTCATCGTTCCACGTGTGTGTCTGGAGCTACATTGGCGCAGCGGAGCGTCGGCCAAGCTCATGCAGTTCGACATTGTCACACTCACTCACCTCGCTCACACGCACTCGAGTCGCACTCTGGAGCGCGCGCCGTGCGAAGAAGTGCGGGAAAGGGCAACTCTATCACGCAACCCCAATCCATCACTCAAACTCACTCGTCATCCACTGCAAACTTGCACAGAATTATCAACTCAATCACCGCACCATGGCCAAGTCCATCCGCTCCAAGCGCATGCGCAAGTTCCGCAACGTCAAGCGAGAACACAACAAGGTCCGCGAGGAAATCATGCTCCGCCACGCTGTTGCTGGTGGCTTTGACCCCAACGTTGAGCCCGTCCCGCTGCTGCCCCACCAAAAGTCGTCGGGCTTCTCGTTCTGGTCTGTTGTCGACGAGATGAAGCGCGAGCAGGGCATTCTCGACTCGCCCACTCCAATCCCGAACGCGCCCGGCATTGCCCCGACGCCCGCCCCGGCCGCCATGAACACGACTCAATCAGCAAACGACGACGACGACGACGATGATGTTGAAGCCGACCAAACCGCAGCGGCATCCAGCACTCGTCGCTCAACACGTCGCAGTGGCGCTGCATCGGTCGACGTTGTGGACATGGAGCTCGGCGCCGAAGTTGAGGAGCGCATCCACCGACCACTTTCTGCTAGTGCCATCAAGAAGCGAAAATCTGCCTTGAAGCTTAAGCGCAAGGGTGTTAAGAATACCAAGCGATTCAACTTGTAATTTGCGCCAGTTGATTCAGTACATATTCCCTATTCTTGTTGCGGTTGATTTGATGTTTCATTTGTGCATGTTTTTAAACAGGTGTGTGTGTGTGTGTGTGTGCGTGTGCGTGTGTGTGTGCGTGTGTGTTTGGTGTTGGTTTACACTGTTTTTGTTTGTGTTTGTCCTTGTGTTGTTTGCTTTTGTCGGGCGACTGTATCATTCCTTGTCAGCAAGTAACGAAACAACAACAAACAAACCTCTGCTGCTTTATAGAGTGCTTGACTCAGTGAGCAACACTTGCCAACTTTGCTCGGAGCATTCGAGACGAAGCGATCAGATGCTTGAAAAAAAAAAAAAAAAAAAAAAAAGCACCGCTCTCCATGTTTAGTACAGCAGCAGTGCAAAAATAATCATGATGCCAAGGAATAGAAACATGCGCGAGAGTGCTGCGTGCTGTTGTTCTAATGGAGTGAGGGTGCGGCCCGAGCCTGGAACAACGCCATTCATGGGCATGGAGGACTGTCAACAGCAATTGGACGTGAGCGTGCATTCAGACCTCAAGAGACCAACAGCAGTAGTGGAACAACAACAACAACAACAACCACCGAAACAGCGTCTTACAAAGGTCAATCCAAAGAGCGACGGGAAGAAGCCAAAGCCAGCCGTGACAGTCACACCATTCCCAACATTGACTTGCGGGAAGAAGCCGTTGAACGCGGCGTTGAATGGATGCTGACGAGGTCCCGGTCCTTCCGCAGCTGGGTCTGGGCGTTGTCCCTGCGGCCGTGGCGGCGGTGTCTTGTCCCTACAACGCACACACACACAGAGAGAAAGAATCGTGAGAAGTGAGCGAAACTTTGAGGTCTCCGGTAAGAGAATTGAAAACGCAGCTTCTGCAGTGCTTCGACACAATGGCACACACGCACACGCGCACGCTCATGTACACTTTATGCTCTCTCTCTCTCTCTCGTACCTTGGATCTTGACGTGAGGTGTTTCCGCGCCCGTAGAGCGGGATGACTTTGTCTCTGCCTATGCCAGCCTTGCAGACGGGGCACAGGGGTCGGTCTGCGTGCAGCTCGAGCCACCGATGGAGGCACGGCCAGCAGTAGAGATGTCCGCAGAGACTGATGACTGCATCGTCGGCCGTGTCGAGGCAAATGTTGCACTCGAATGCACTTGCAGCATCAGCGGCATCAGGAGCAGCAGCAGCAGCAGCAGCAGCAGCAGCAGCAGCAGCAGCAGCAGCGGAAAGTTCTTCTGCGTGGCTGTCGGGCTGG